ACTTACGGATGTCATTGAGCATAGTATATCTTCAACATGTATTTGAGATTTCTTAACATTTTTTTTATTGGAACTTTTAACTACATGTAGTTTTGTTTGTTTGTTTGTTGAACATTTACAAAATGTAGTCACTGTAAAGGTCATAAGAAAACTTTCCAGCTTTACTGGTTGAGGAATATCTCAGCTGCCCCAAATGGGGTATTACAGGTATTTCAGACAGAAGCAGGCACTTTGTTGAGCCATCAACTATACTTAATCTAAACTGGATTAATAATATCTGTAATATGTTGCGGATTGAATTGGAATATCCGTTCCGAGGGGACTCCGCCCATTGGGCGGTAACGAGGCTTGCCAAGTTACCGGCCATGGGCGGGTTCCTGAGGGACGGATATTCCGATCCGAACCGCAAATATAATTATGTCAGATATTTTTTTATTTAAAATGGTTTACCTCAATAAGATATTTTTTCATGAAAATTAATGTCATTTCATCCGTATTTTCTTACAATAGCGTATGAATTTACAACTTTATTAACAACAGCCAAATGACATCATCCTAGGCACATACTTCCCTTCTAACATGACATCATTTTAATATGGTTCATTCATAAAGTGGGCTAAAATGACGTTTTTGTATGGCACGTGACTCAACTGGCACCCCCCATGCCAGATGAAATTTCCGTCATGGGTAAAACTAACGGAAACACCAGTCTGCTATGCAAGAAAGCTTCCTCACTTGAAAGAATCCGAAGTCCTTGATGTGTCTCTTAGAACTCACAGCGGTGAGGGGCAAGTGATGTATACCCGGTGATCTTAACCAATCAGTTTTGTATTTGTATAGCACTAAACTTAATCCTTAATCTCTGTATATTGATCTTTATGAACTCAGAGAAAATATATTCATTAGACCCTATTGTGTACCATGAAAAGATTTCTTGTATAGTTTATGTACATTTTACGTACCTTATTAATTTGCATCTAAATAAGAAAACCAGTTACCAATTAAATGTTAATTACGAAATGTAATTGAAATTTAATCTAAAATGCACCCAAAGACTTTAGACTGTCAAACTGCCATTACAATTATTCGAAATGAACTACAATTGAAAAATGTAAGACATTTGTCACTTGATGGTTGTTATTTTTCCCCTATTCAATGTTGTTTCAATGAAAACTCAATAGTATACAGTTGTAAAACACAAATTTAATGAAACCTTAATTAGCATTTAATTGAAATATCCCAGGTTAAAAACACTTTTTTTATAGTTTCTTTCACAGGACAATTTAACAATAAAATTTTTAGTGTTTTACTAACACTTATGTTTAGGTAATGATTTTTAAAATCGACAAAATTTAACAATACAATTTAGTACACTTTAGAAAAGGCAATGAACTGATTTTTTTGACATGGGGATCTTAAATTATCATTGTTATCATACAAATATAGGCATGCAACAGGCTGTACAATTAAATTTGATTGTAGGACTTGCCCAGTATAACCATACATGCAAAATATGCAATACTTTTTATAATTCAGCCCTGTATAATTTATATGCATATCTAAAACACTTTTTCCAAGAATTTCTTTATTTATACCATACCTTAACTTTTCTTGGTTGTCCACAAGACACCCTTTGTGTATTCATAACAATTCTATTATTGAGAAGATAGCTTTTACGTCTTTCAAGCATATCCGCAACATTTTCCGCCGCACTCATCTTGTATTATGCTTATTCGTTTATTTTTGCTGATGACTTTATTTAATTTATCACAGTGAACAATACTCAATTTTCCGCTGAATAAATTCCAATCTCTATTTCTAATCATCCATTCAAAGCTGTATCAAATAACCATTTTCTCCAGTCAATGATGAATAATCAGAAAAAAAAAACAAATTCCAATCAAATGTTACAATAGCGTTTTGAAAATTCAATTTGAAATTACTGCCATAAAATGAAATATATCCATTAAAAAAACTTTTTTCGTTTTTTTTTTCTGAATCTTTTATAAAATATTTCCAGTTAAACAACTGTTAGTTGCAAAACAAATTTATCAAATGCTGAATGCTTGTCAAAAACATTTTTTTATATTCCACGATTTTTGTTTATGACAAATCTAACGTTAATTAAAACAAACTGAATTGGGTTCTCGGGTAATGTTTGTTACACATGGACAATGTTATTTTAATCATAGTAACAGAAATCATAATAAATTATGGACGAGATTTCATGTTTATAACAGTAGACAATTCTCAAGTGCATCTCGTATCAAATGCTACTAGACAATAAAACTACCGCAGTTACTCTAATAATTAACCCAAAGGAAGACTATCAATTTGTTCTTTTAAAGGCACATTATGCCTCAGAAATGATAAAAAAAAAATTCATTCTTTAGACAGGCCAAAAATGAGATTTATAACATTTTAATTATGGTTCATACAATGTGAACTGTTTTCAATGATCAAGTGGGAGATTTTTCTTCAAAAAGAGGGAGATTTTAGAATTTGCAATAAACAATTAAAGAAGTAAGTTCTGACATCAAAAAGAGGGAGATTTCTTTAATTTGTGAAAATACCTCTTATCTTAAGAAAAATCTTTGAAAATATGGCTGCAGAAAGTGGGAGTCTCCCGCTGAAGAGCTCACATGTATGATGGTTTTAGACATGTTAGATGATTGTCACATGAACAAAGTAGTGCTGAATGTGAAATTATTTACAATAAAAGAATAGAAGTATGTTGACTTCCATATTACAAAATGCTAATTTATTTGTTACCTCTATACTTATTGCCAAAAAGCAAAAGATGGTTCAGGAAGATGGGCAATGATGCCAATGAGTAACTTTTTGGAAATTATTACAGGGCACAAAAAGTAAGAAGCTTTTGAGAAATAAAAATTAAAGCCTATTTCATATTTTCATACTTTGAAATTTTCCTTAAAAATGATAAATGATTTTGACAAGTAAATTTGAGATATTAAGTGTGGTAAGGGTTTAGTAGGCAGTTATAAAATAGCTGGCCGGGGATTCTAACCCAACAACCAGGTCAACCCGGTTATGATTAAACCGGGATTGCGTTATGAAGAAGGCCTTAAATGTTACTTCCTTGCTTTTGGTAAACTGTATTATCCAGATAAATATTTATTTCACAGTCTCTATGTTACATTTTATTCCAGGTTCTATAACAAACAATGTGCTTAGTGCTACCAGAAGTCACGTAAGAATATCATCTTAATAAATAAATGATTGATGACACTGAATATGCTCAAAAAAAAAAATTTGCATTCCCATTCCCAACAAAACCAGAAATATTCTTTGACCTGCTGGTATCCAAGGAGATTACATTTGTATGAATGAACAAGACGTATGCTTGACAGTAAGTTGTCTTAAATAAAAAACTTACTCATTTTAGGATAAATATTTTATATAATAATATATAAAAGTACAATATATTGAACTTGTGCCCATTCATACCATTTTCTATTAACTTACAGGCAATGAATTTCCTACAAAGTTAATGCTCCTAATAGTAAAATAACATATATAACTGTATTCGGTTTTCAAATAGATTTTTTTTAAAGTAAATACGGTTAAACAAATACTGTAAAAACTAAATTCTATTGTCAGATAAGGGCATATAAACTGTTCTCTCACGAGACGTAGGGTGACCATCAAGGGTACTTCAGCTGAGGAAACAATCTACTCTTCGTGCATTATTAATGTGATCAACAAATCGCAACACGCCACAAATACCCCGAACAAAATCAAGATAAAACACCACTATATCTTATAGCATACATGATAACCTTTGACCTCAACGTTAGAAAATACCAGGTTAATATTATAAAATTTTTGGTTATAAATAGGCTGTTAGAGGGTTTTAATTATATAATTACATCAATGGACAATATATACATAGTTACATACATGTACATATGGTCACCTTGGTGCAATAATGGGTTAACTCTTATAAAATTATATAAGGAGTTCACCCATTACTGCACTAATGTGACATTATATTTATTATATTATCATGTTCAACAGCAGAATTTTCAAAGAATTAAAGATAATAAAACTGTTTTATCAGGCAATACATGATGTACAAGTCCTTCAACATTATTGACAAACTACTTGATTTACAACTGCAGTTTTTTTTAATTTTATGATATTTCATTCCCCTAATAGTTGAATGAATAAATAATAGCTTTTAAAGCCCATACATACTTATATTTAAATGTTCAGGGATTTTTTTTAATGACATATTAGCAATAAACTTTTAAGTGAATCTTCAATACTGAATCTTTACAAAGGATCAGGATATCATTTAAATAACATTACCACATACCTGTGCCACTTTTGCGACTGACCGTAAAAATGGTATTGCATGGCCGTGCATATATTTTGATCTGACGGCATTTGTGCTATACAAACATACTTTAAAGACGTGCTTAATGTTATTGTTACACTATTAGTGCATCAATGAAATAGTTAATTTTTTTAAATCATAAACAGCTCTTATTTTGGATATGTGAAAAAAAAAGAGTATTATTTTTGTGTAGCTTCATTATTTATAGCATAGTGCATACAATATTGTAACTCCCCTAGTAGACCGAACATAAGACATTGGGGCTACATCTTACAATGAAACCAGCAGTACAATTGCATATTCTTATTAACCCATGTGGTTTACACCCATGTAAAATATAGACAGAGTGTTGCAAAAAGTTATCACTCAAAAAATTTGCTCTTAATAAGTAATATCACTTAACCCCCCTCCGCCACCTCCTAAAGAAATTCTCTGCTGTGATTCATACACTACAATTTTTTATTCCTCCACTTTTAAAATTTAATGTAATTTACTTTATTACATCATCAAAAATGTGCAAATACCGTGTCTGCAGCCATATAAAATAAGAAACCTTTGAGCGAGATGCATAAAATATTAAAATATTACTATATGAAGGTGCATTACAGTTCACTGCCAATTTAGACACTGAAAATTTTCGTTACACACATCCATCTTTATCATCATTAAGTTCCACTATTTCATTTTCCTAAAAAAAGAACATCAGCTATTTTTAATGTTATAACAAAGCTTTAACATATTGCTTTTAAAAAATGTTCAAAAAGTCTGGTGTTACAAGGAAGAATGCATGTTTCATATTTAGTTTATTCATACAAATGTGTTTTAGGTTCACTCAGATTGATGGAAGCTAAAAGCGTATTGAAACACTCAGTTCCTGGAATCTGTGTCTGCTACCATAACTAAGCAATGAGTGTAAAGTTTCTTGCTCATGAAATTGATGTCTTGCCTTGATGGGGTTTGAACACACCCCAGACCAGCAATTCTTACATCTTTAGCTAAAAAGACTTCAGCGAACAGGTTTTATAGTACTGCACAACGTCAAATTAAAAGCAACATATAAAGTTATGGAAGCCAGAACTATTAGATCTCTTGTCTGACCCTCGGCTGTGCCACCACAAAAGATATTATTTTGGTCTTGCATCATTATAATTGTGACATTCAATAAACTCCTCACTTATTTCAGTGGGGATATTTACAGTATATAATTATATAACTCGTTCAATAAAATCCTACATTATTAAAGGACCTGAATACTTTGAAAGAGAACCATAAATATCTAATGGATAATTACCAATGGATAGTTACCAAAAAATAATTTAGAAAAACACCTTTATGGTTCAACCCTGATCTAAAGTTTCTGTTTAGAATGCTTTAAAACCTAAGGGTAAAGATTCCCATTACTTATACAAATGGTACATAATGTTCAGGACAAAGGGAGGTAATTCAAAAATGGGACATTAAAGTAATAAAGATGATCATGGACTGGATCACATGGCTAATCAACTGCCCATATTAGGTACAATGTCTCTCCTAGTCTAAAATTGTTTGGCGGTGATAATAAAAAAATCATTATTCACCCAAAATTACCCATTACAAAATCTCAATAAAATATCTGCTGTACTTTTTTTTCTTCTGTTCATTAACTATTTACAAAGTCAAACAAACCATTACCCAAGATACAGAAAAAACCCTTAAAGCTAACTGTTTGATTGACCTTGTTTTAAATAATCTGGATGAGAATTTGTACAAATATTGAATACTTCTATCCAATAGAATAAATAAATATTGATAACTTTTGTTTGGTTAGCAGGCCATAAATTTAAACATGAACTTCAAGTGGCTCTAATCATGTTCGGTCAAAACTGTAACAGCATTTAGAATAGAGATTATTAACCACACTTTTCAGAATAAAAATCCTCTAATTTCTTTTTCTATTTCTTTAAAGTGTTTTAAACAGTACAGAAGCCTTGGTAACTGGAGTCTAAACTGATACCAATAGAAAAATCTAAAATGATCCAAAAACAATGGACAGATCCCTATATGACCCTAAAACTGCATTATTTAAATGATCACAATGATTAGCACATTACAATAAGAATTGCACCTGATAACATAATTGTTAGCACAAGAGCACATGTCAATGTTTGTGGTATTCAAATAAATTAGGGACAAATCTATCAATTATTTAAACCTGAGTTACAATACTGCATTTAAATATTATAAAATGGACTTGTCCATCTTATAATCTGGACAAAACCATTTTTTAGGTGAAAAGTTCAGCGGTCACGGATAAAAATCTCGAACCAAACTGGTTGTTTCATTGGTCCAGTAAAGAATTACTAGAGTTTCAAATTAACAACTCTATAGTGTCTGAAATAATAAGGTTTAAACAAGAATATTTAACAAAGCCTAAAAAGTCAGAGCTATCAAATCTGCACTCAGATGTTATTAAATTATGGCATGTGCCAGCTGATTTTGGTCTGCACTGTCTGGGTGAGAAGATGTAGATGCCAACAGCAGACTTTGGGTAAAAAAATAAAGAAGAGTTATATTTGATTCTATTTGATTCAATAACTATATTTGTCTTATAGACTATTATCACCATAGATTGGTCAATTTTGAATTTCAACTCAGATGTAATCAGACTGGTACGGGTTTACTGACACTTAAATTACATGCAAAAAGCTTTCAATATTATCATATAAAACCCCTGACTGCATGCTCTTTCTTAAAGAGTCATGAAAAATTATACAAAACTGTGTAATCTCTGAATGTGAGTACAACTCAAAATCTGTGAACAAAAACTCAACAATTGTTAGTGCAACACCATCAATGTTCATACCTTTCATTAGCTTCAAAGATATTTTTCATGTGTTACATTTCATAAGAATGATTAATTTATGAGTAATCTTTAAAACCTTACTCCTGTCTACAAGAAAAATTCATTTTTGTTTTGATTTATCTATGATATAATTAAGTTCCAAAGTGTTAATCAAGTGTTATTATTCTCAGAGATAAAAACAAGATATGTATTAATTAAATAAAAAGTACTTCACTTAATTCAATCTAAGGCAAGAAATGGCTAAATGTTGTCAAAATTAGTTTGTTTGTTATAACAATTGCTTTACGGTATATCAGAAATGATTTTATCTTCAAAGCTAATGAAGAGCAGATAACTACAACAAAATTTTAACACGTAAACTTACTCCAGTTGTCTGACCATGTCGTCCGCATAATTCTGGGGCTGTCTGATAAATCAATGATTTATATTAAAATGCTGTATAAGATCAAAACTAAGGAGATGATTGTTCTATGCTAAGCTTGATTAAGATAAAATAATACAATATTTACCCTTTATGTGCTAGAAACAACAGTGATCTAGTATAGATCCCGGACAGCCTGCATGCTGGCCAGGTGATATCACCAGGCTAGACTAAAGGGTTTTAAAAGGTTCTAAAATATGATAGACAAGATCAACAAGGAAAGACGGCGCTCAATGATCGCAACCCTCACACAACCTAGCAACAAAAACAAGCGTTATCGCATGACCGCCACAACTTTCCTTTGAAGATCGGCGTTCTCTAAATTTCAGTATTGGAAAACTTTGGGGTGCTCTAAATGAAGTATCAGTACGCTTTGGGGTGCTCTAAATGAGGTATCAGTACACTTTCTCGCGCATGCCCAGTTTATTATTTTATTTCAAATAATAAAATGAGCATACCTGAAAAAGAGCAAAAAAATACATTACACAGTTTACAGACTTTTTTTAAATACATGTATTTATATATCATCTCGATTTTTTTCAAAATCTGAAAATGCAGTTATTATAAAGATGTTGACTCCAGTGGAAAGTAATCGCCATTTTCTGCATCCTGACCTTGAGGACAAATCTGACACAATGGTCAAATTATTCTTTTTTTTTACTTTAAACAATGCCTTCGTTTTACAGGAGATTCTGACCAGTAAGCCATTCAGTAAATCACTACACGCATATGAACATAATATTCTAGCGTTATTATTAAAGGCACATTATGCGTCAGAAATCCTAGCATTTTTATTTCTCAAAATTTTAAATATTTGGTGTCTTGTTACAAGTTCCACAAAAAATAAATGAACTATCTTTGCATCTTTTGCTTTGCTGGCAATTGGTACAATTATAATGAATTAGTATTTTGTATGGAAGTCAAAATACTATTTGTTTTCATTTTGCTACCTTTCGACACATTACTGCACATTCAGCACTACTTTCTTCAGCTGTTAAATATTTTACATGTTCTAAATCCATTATTAAAACATTATTAAACATGTGTTTTACATTTCTAAAGAATTGAATAAAAAAGGATTTCTGAGGCATAATGTGCCTTTAAGTAAAACTCACTACATTGTCGTTAGTTTTAAAAAAATACGCGTACAAGATATACCTCTGAAATATACACCGGGATACTTATCGACAATATTTCCTATAATATTTTGAAAATGAGCTGGAAAGATGATTATTATTTCGCATTTAAAAAAAATGCATCAACTTACCTCGTGAAATGGTTATTTATGTCAAGTTCCTTTAACGGCATCTAATGGGTGTATTTCTGTGGGTATTTCTTAAAATATTTATATGTTTAAATAAAGCAAATTTTACGAGAGAAGAAAAAAGTCGTGATGGTCATGCGATAAAACAGTTACAGAATAAATACTCGGACTTCACCGGCTGGTATCAGCGCATGGGGCGACAACAAGGGTCAATCATAGGAAATTAATCGAGACGGAACGTCGAGATTAATTTTCATGATTGACCCTTGTTGTCGCCCCATGCGCTGATACCAGCCGGTAAAGTCCTCGTATATATTCTATAACTATTACGTAAGGAGCCCATCTAAATTTGATATGATAGAAAAGTTGGCTTGGTGGTTAAGATGTCAGTCTCTCCACCCAGAAAGGCTTGAAGCCATGCTTTCATATGACACTAGTTCATTATACTGTTTAGTTCCTGGAACCAGGCTCAAAAGCAAATGATTAAGCCTGCAAGACTTTGTTTGACATAACTGACCTAAAAGATGATAAATTTGTAAAAATATCATATGAAAAAAAAAGAATATTAGACCTTTAACTACTTATTATATCATAATATGCATGAAAATCTAAATATGTTAACCAATATAATTATTAATACCATGCATGTGCATATTTTCAACTTTTCATAAACAATGTTATCAATCAATTCTATTTTTCAAATTTAATATCAGTAAAACTTTGACAAGGTTAAGTCACAATATATAGCCATTAATGTGCAAACATTCATCTGTATTCTGATAAAAGGTTGGTCTACATGCTTAACACATAATGTACTGTATAAATAGAAGCCTATTTCAATACCTTCTGAAGTGTTTTAATGCAATACAATGGATTTCAATAGAGAAACTTTATACCGATGAATGGTAGTTAATGGTACAGCCTAAAGGCCTACACATTTTATTAACAAAATATCAAATTCCTAAATGAAAATGCATTGCAATTAAGATGTGAAATGTAATTAATTTATAAATACAAATACTGTCATTGTTTACTCCATAAAGTGACAGGACTGATTTATTTTTCATTACCTGTCCATTGAGTTAAACTATAAAGAGACTTAGCAAGTAGGCTTCAAAGACTTGAGCAAGCTTTAATCATTTCTGATGCCTTTTCCATACAGTGAAAAATAATGAATCCCAACCATCAGAAACATTATTGTGAAAAAAGTATTTCTTCCAATAAACTCTCAATTTTCTTCTATCTCAAGGACCTTTAAACATGACATGAGCTTAACTATCATTTAAAATATTTTTTGAATTATTTCTAATTTTTATTTTCAATACCTGTAGGACAGAAAAACAATCCCAGTCAATACATATGTTGAAGTTTCATGCCAATTTGAAACATTATTTCATGTAAGGAATATACTTCTATATGAATTTCAATTTCGAATAGTAATGATCTTCTTGTTCAGTCCAGTAAATCTTGTAAAACAAATCTCCTTTTCTATAAATTTTCTAAAGGCAAAATTTTATCATTATAATTTCTTTTCAATGAAACTGAGACTTTGGATAAAAAACAACAGAGAAATTATAACTAATATACCAAATAAGCATCTCTCGATTTTTTTATGTGCTTCTGATCTGCAAATCAACACTATCAGAAACTGTGATGTGATCCTACGAAATAGTGCTTATATTATGAATAAGCAAAAACTACCAACATCTGAATCCCTAAAAGAGAGCCATGTATACAACTATACATCTTTCTATTTCTATCATAAAATTTTTATGTACAATTTTCAAAAGTTAAAAACTCTTACCCTTCTACTGGCTGGTCTAGTGCCTGGTATGTGCTCAAAAACTGATCTAGTGCTACTTGGCCTGTCAGGTCTGCGGCTAGCTGGTCGTGGTGAGATACTCAATAATGGTGACCTTTTCTCACTTAAACCTGTCCCTGGTCTTTTCTCACTTGAGCTTGTTGAAGGTCTGTCATCAAGCTTCAGAATGTCAAATCCAACAGTTTCCTCATGGACTGGACTTACAGAAGTGATGGGTTCTTCAATGGAAGGCTTTCTTCTACCGTGACTGTGCCTGCAGTGCCGTTTACTTTCAGATGGCTGACCTCTTGTGTTTGTAGAATTCCTCTGAACATCCATCTTACTTTATCTTTAAGTGCAACATAAAATATCCCTACTTCTATCAAATCAGATATAACCTGACACTTTCCTGATTAAAAGTTGTATTACAGAATCAATGAGCCAACTATCAATAAAACTTATCACTAATATTGATCATTTTTATTAATGCAAAAAACAATAGTTCAAGCTAGGAATTTGTTTTCATACAAAGCAATATATCCATAGACACACAAGTTTACCATTGTCACTCCTTTATTCTGATAGTATCTCAAGTTAAACAGCTGAATAAATGAATGTTTGTTCAATTAAATAACTGTCACTTAAAAAATCCAATATCAAATTTAAACTATATACCAACCAAGATATTATGTATTATCAGAAAAATTGGACAATCCAAATGACATTTAAATACAACAAATTTATTCTTTTTAGTGAGAGGGGAAAGGTAAATATTTATACAATGATTTTTGTCGTTTATTTCACTCTCTTTTTTTTCAATTTGACATTTAAGCGTCGTGTTGCTATGGGCCTTTCTTTCATTTTTTTAAACGTGCGACAGGCATGCTGATCATTTTTTATCAAAGTGCGAAGTTTACTTAGTGTATTCGACTGGTGTTATCTAACCTTTGATTTATTACGCAATCGTGTCTCGCACGATTAATCCGGATTAAACTTTGATGAAGTTATTGGAGATTACATGCTTGATTACATTTCGTCATGGACTGTAGACGCATTTTATCAACAAGCATGCGCTGACACTGATTTGTATTCTAACCAATCAGAAATCGTCCTACATTTCTAGCATTTTCCTCTTTCGCAGGTCAAACAGAAAGCTTACGAAACTTCAGCAAATACACAGAGAAATTTCGTTTCAAGTCAGATTTTACTTCAATCGTCAATCAAATATGCCTAGACGTGGAAGATCAGGTGGAATGGGCATGAGGTTAGTAATATTTTAAGATTTCTAATAGTAAAATTAACCATCTTATAGCATCAACAGATCAAGGACATTCTGAAAAACGTGTTGCGTAAAAGATGCCCCTGACCATTTGTTATGGTTATGTAAGCTTTTATTTTCAAGAAAGTTAACCATAACCAAGTGACGATATCTATATAAAATTAATGAAACAGTTTTACATTAGAATTTAGATCATATTTTAATGTTTCTATAAAAATTAAGTGTAGTCATTTTGGCTATATTATTTTCGGATATATCCTGCAAATATGTAAACAAACCAATTTGCCATCGTTTTAGACATGAAATTATATCATATAATATATATGCAATGTTTTATCTATGGAAATGTAATGTCACTTAGTGTTGTACAATTAATATTCCAAATTAACACTGATAAATGAAAATATAAAACAATGTAACTTTTTGTATCAGTAGTATATACTTTATTTAGTTTAGTTCAGTAGTTTGACATGAAATCTTTTAAAGACTTGTTTGACACAAGAAACATAATATTAAAACAGGGTGTTCATTATTAACAAATAGGCAAACTGTATCATCCATTGAAATGCTGTTTAAATTAATAGTATTTTCAGCCTGTGGAGTATAATGTCCTCCTAGACCCTTGGCCATATCGGTTATATTCATTGGCACATCTGTTGCCTCAAATTAAAAATGAAACCCTGTTATAATGAATCAAGTTTTTTGGCAAAAGTATGTATAGATTCAATACCCTGAATAGATGGAATACCCTGGTAGATTAATTTTGTTACAGGTTATGACAATCACAATTTGAATCTTGTATAACCATCTTGAAGGATTTCGAGACGTTTCGGCCCCAAGACGTATCGGCCCCAAACTACCCAAGACGTTTCGGCCCCAGACGTTTCGGCCCTTTACCAAATCGGCCCCAGAATAAGAACTGTATTTTAAACCGATATATTAATAGCATTTCAATAAAAAAATAATCAATTAATATATATATTTAATCATTTTGTATAAAAACTAGATTATTATAGTAGTAGGGGGAAAGTAATCAATACAAACAGAACAGAACATAAACTTTATTTGAAAAAATATAATACACAAACAAACAATTATTAACCTGAATAGATAATATTTTATTTGAAAGAAGCAAGACACAAAACAATACCGCCAATTAGTATAAAATATAAACAGTTAATTAGTTACACTTAGAAAAAATTACGTATAGTTTAATTAAGATCAAAAGATAATGTTTTATAAGTAAATAACCAGCCTTTATTGTTTGTTACACCTTTAAAAATATTAACGTATATCTACATGGTTCAAGAGATCAAAAGATAATAAATAATTATTCAAAGAATTAAAGTGTCTTAATTGTTTAATTGTGATTAAATTAATTGTTGTTAATCAATCAAGCAATACACTATAGTGGGGCCGAAACGTCTCACGGAAAAGGGCCGAAACGTCCAGGGGCCGATTTTTAGACTGGGGCCGATTTTGTTTGGGGCCGAAACATCCTGTTTGCATCTTGAAGTGGTTAAGTTTAAAAATTTTATTTTTCAGCCGTCCAGCACCGGCCCCAGCAAGACCAGCCCCAGCACCAGCCTCAAGACTTCCAGCTCGTGCTGCACCAAGTCAGCCACCTGTACCAGCAGGTGCCCAACCAAAACAGCCTGGTTTGATGGCACAGATGGCAGCTACTGCTGGAGGTGTTGCCATTGGATCTGCTGTGGTGAGTCCCAGTTTTAAATTACACAATATTATTGTAATTATTATAATCTTAGTCATTACTGTTAATAATAATATCATAAATAAAATGGATACAAACCATAAACTTGTGTTTATTTTATACATCTTAAATTCACAAAAACTATGCCCATAATGATGTTCTTAAAGGCACATTTTACTTCAAACAAACAAATTTTACTTTAAAAATCAATATTGTTTAAATAAGTGTTTTAGAAAATTGTTAGCTGTTTTAGAAAATTGTTAGCTTGTTAACTGAAGAAAGTAGCGATAAATGTGAAATATTTTAACATAAAGGTAGCAAAATGTAAATTTGACTTCCATACAAAATACTAATTCACAGAACTGTATCTATTGCCAAAAAGCTACAGATGAAAAAGATGGCTTTGGTAATTGGCCAATGAGTTAACTTTTGGGACACTATAAAAGTTCAAAATTATAAAGCTTTTGAGAAATAAAAAATAAAATATTAAGTCCATATTTTGATCACATATATAAGAGCCTGAGAGGCATACATGTATACAACATTCATATGTTATCTGTATTTTGTTTCTTTTCTAGGGTCACACTATTGGACATGCAATGACTGGCGGTGGATCACAGCAGGCACCAGTTGAGCAATATCAGGCTCCTGCTGGCCAACAACAACAACAATATAGCAGCCCTTGCCAATATGAACTTGATCAGTTTCTTGAATGTTCTAAAAACCAATCAGACTTATCTATGTGTTATGGATTTAATGAAGCTCTGAAGGAGTGCAAAGTTCGATTTGGTAAGTTGAAAGTGTTACATGCTGTTTTATGAGCATTAATGTGAATGGTTATGACAAGTTTTCTAAAAATTACTCCTGAAATTTTGACTAGTGTCCGAAATTTCTTGTTTTCCATAGAAATTACATGTATTAGAGTTTTTAAGACAGTCTATTGTCAACCTTTCTGCAGGACTTGAAATATAGAGCAGAATAAAGCTCTAATTTTCTTATTGGAAATAAATCCCCTTAAGGTGTTGTTTTGTATTAAAATCTCTCGAAATCTCTTTTTCAAAAGTGAAACAAATCAGTTTTCTCATAACAAATAACAACAAATTTACATCTTTTTCAAAAGCAATCAATGTTCTTCTACATAATTGGCTCTAGATTTTTTTTGGGAAAGTATTTCTTAAGATAAAATTTTGGAAGTATAAAAGCTGTTACAAGTCTAGAATTTATTTTTTTGTAAACAGCATATTTAAAAAAAAAAAAATAATTGGGTGGCTTTTTTAGGCCTTTGATCATGTTACTAAGATGGCATTTGTAAGATAAAAGAAAGACTTGTAACACCAGAGTTGAAGCGGATTTAATTATTATTGAATTTAATCAAAACTTAATCGGCAGGATTTTGAAAAGACAGTTTCTTCCACTTGATTTTATATAACAAAAGTACCACAGAACTTGGACCATTCTTTTAGGTCATGCTGTGCAATAAGGCAGTTTACATAAGGTTTATTTACCTGTGTTTTTGGATGGTTTCCAGTTCTTTTATTATTAATTCTTTCCTATTCCTTATTTCAGGTCAAGCATGAGATGGGAGTTGTTCCAAAATATTTATGACTGTTACATAGGCAGTGATTTCATCAGAATAGGTGCATTTGAAATCAACAACAAAAGATAAAACAAATATGTTTGTTTTTCGAACATTTTCCTATTTGGACATTGCCATTCTGTTGACTTGTCATGCATTTCATTAAGTAAAAACACCTTTCTTTGTGCTGTTTGGATTAGTTTTTTTCTTTTAATGTTATAAATGCTATTTCTTTTCTGGGATTAATTTGAACATTAATAAATAACATAGCTTAGATAGTTTACTTGTAACTGAAGACATTTGTTTAATTGTTAAATTACTTAATTTTTAAAAGAGAGAGTTATTTATGAGTTGTACAGATGAAAATAAAATGGATTTTTATCATTATATATAGTTATTTGTTTTGATACTTTCATACCTCAATTTTGGAATGATCTGAGGAAAGCGGGGGTGCTTTGTGCGTTTATCATCATTTTATGTTTACTATTGAGAAACAACTATCATATAAACAATAAACATCCCTGTAACCTTTACCCTTCAGATTTTTAAGCTTTGAATATAGAATAATGAATTTCTGTGTGTAAAGACTACTTGTAAAGAAGTCACAGTATTTTGTTAAAATTTAGAGCTGTAGTCTGTACTGATAATATAATTATGTAACAAAACTTGCAAGAAGAAATGACGGCTTTCAAGTCCGATCTCTTACTGACAATTCATGACTGACAAAATAAATATTAAGGAAAGGATCATTATTAATTTCATACAAGAATAAATACAAGTTAAATTCTGCATTAGTTTGAAAATAATTTATTTTATCGAAGTTGGCATTATACATGACAATATTTTTATACAAAATATTGTTTTATATATGTACTTTTGTTTAATCTTATAATCTGTTGTTACCGTCATAGGATTTGCCATTGCCAACAGAATAGAGCCAGGTCAGCCTGCATTTCTATGCAGTTTGACCAGGCTCTTTATTGTTGGCTGACCAACAGGTAGGGCATTGCTGTGTTGAGTTTGATCTATGGTTGGGCAATGTTCACTATGTCGATTTGATAACAGTTTTCTTACATTTATTTGTCCTCCACATGGGAATTATGTGGAGAAGTTGTCAGATACTTGCTGAGAACAGGTATGAACTGACTGGTACAGAATCTAGGTATGGTTAACTGCCCACCGATACATGACTGAAATTATCAAACACTATTGAAAACAGTGTTAAACCCCAAACAAACAAATGTAGATTCCACATATCTGTAGTTATGTTATTTCTAAAGGTGGCGAGTCTTCAATAGCATGATTGGTAGACTGCATCATGAATGATTTTTAATATGTGAAGTTTATACAAGCATTATTAAGAAGGAAATGGGTCAGGAATAACAAATCTTGGTCCGTTCTTCCGCTAAATATTTATAATTATCCAACGAAATATTTTTACTTTGCGGAACAAAACTGAATTTCAATAACTTGAGTTTGTGCACAATGCTGAATGTAATAATGATATTTCAGCTTTTTGGTACATGTTATTTCACATTATATATGGCAAACATGTCTTTAAATTTAATTTAATTCTTTCCTTCTGCAAAGTATAAATAGCCATTTATTACAACACAATTTAAAAATCAAATCTTTTTACAAATTTAATACAAAAATAATTTATGACATAAATCAGAAATAAAACTTAAATATCATATTTGTTGAATTAGTCTACATGCATATAAGTTAATATGAAATAATGCACAGAAGGGTACCCAAGGTCTTCCTCGAACAGTAAAGCTGGAAAGTCGCCATACGAACTACTGTGTCGGTGCCATGTAAAGCCCAATCAAACAAAATCAAATATAAGTTTACAGCAATAACATTTAGAGATCATCTTTTATTAACTTTCGTGTATAAAGCTATATATCTGCTGCCTGTAGTCTACACAATTCTTGTTTTGAAAGAGTATACATAGAAAATACCTGTATGAAAGAAATTTGTTTACTTCCTGACAAATGAATGGAGCATGCAAAAAAAACATTGCCAAACAGTTAAAACCCTACTCTAAATAAAAGCATAATATTTTGTTCCTGAACATTTTATTCTATTTCTGTATAAGGTTCATGTGTGTTAAATGAGCCACGTCACAACAAAACCAACATACCAGCATGGATCAAGACCAGCCTGCGCATCCAAGTAGAGAATATGATAGCGAACAGCATGGATCCTGATCAGACTGCACGGATGCATCCATGCTGGTCGCAAACCCATTATGTTGGCTTTGTTGTGACGCGGCTCAAATGATAAAAACATCCTGTGATAAAGCTGTTTCAAGAATCAACCATAGGATTATTGCAACAGCATAATTTTACCTTATATAGATTTTATAAAGTTGTTACATAAGATGAACCTTTCAATACAGAAATAATTATATAACATAATAAAATATATAAAACTTTTTTACAAAATCAAAGATAAATCATGACATCAATGCTAAATGGTTAGAAATTATAATAAAATCCATATACAGGTATTTTAATGTGGTGACAAAATTTCTAGGAAAACAAAATTTGATTGTGGCAGGAAAATACAACAATGCAATAATTATAAAAATAAATATAAAAATCCTTATTTTAAAGATGAGTGGCTACCCAAGTGAAAAATGATCATTTTCATAACACAAGACCGAAATAAATTCTGTATTTATCAAAAAATTTGAGGATATACATATTCACTTACTTGACATTATAAGAGAGCCCAACAAGACACCAGTGAAAATACAAAAGATATGTTTCACTGCAGTGAATAAAAAAATTTTACGGTGACAATATGGAAAATGAAAATACGCATTTTACTTCATCAATATTTCATTTACAAGTATAATATAAAAAACTTATTTTCATGAAATATTCACATATACATCATCTCTAAAGATTTAACAAATCAACAGTCAGAATAAGCAGTTTATCCCTTATTATACTAAATATTTTAAATGGACTTCAGAGGCGGCAAAATTACTTGTCAGTGTTGCCCAGGTTATCCCACAGCCTGTTCGGACAAGTGAATTTTCTCAAATATTTACTTTATAAATATCATATGGACAAGTGACTAAAAGATTTGATCATTCAGAAAATGGAAAAGTAAGACAAAATCAGATTTTGCCGGCCCTGGACTTGTTAATCTGGACATAAACACATTTTAACGGAAAACTTCAAAACATTTACTGAGTGAATAATAAACAGTGCAGACCAGGATCAGACAGGCATGGATATACTGGCTAACCTTGGTATGCATTGATTACATAGTCTTGGTCTGCACTGTTCATATTGGTACATAATCACATATACATATATATTTTTGGAGCTGCACTTAAATTATTGTATTCTTTCAGTCTAAATCAATCAATATTAAAATACTTTTAATCCTGACCACACTAAATGTCATAAATGGCCTTGCCCATCTTTCAGTTTGGACAAAACCATTCAACCATTTCAGGTAAATTTTCAAATGATGTATTGACTGAATAACAAACAGTGTAGACTATGATCGTGGTCATGGTTTGACAGAAGTTACAAACATATATGCAGGAGATTTTTTTCTTTTTTAAGTATTTCAAGTTTTAACTTTTTGCAATAGGACTTTTGACTAGTTTTTAAAACGTCATTTGAAATAATCAGAAATGAAGAATAATGAGATTGTTTCCTTACTGATCAACAAAAGATGAGTATACAAGTAACTTTCGTACCATATACTCAAGATGCGGAGCTGATTAATAATGGTTAGATATAAAAAGTAATATTACAACTATCTGTACCAGAATGGTGATTTTTAAAATGCTTTTTTTATTGTTATTACATAATTTGACAAATACATTGTATGCTTTTAAAGAATAGTAAACAAATTTTAAATATCATATAAATACATGTTTATAAATTATTTGGTCCAATTTTCGGAGGTATGTAAACAATGTAGTTAAAATCAAACAGAAAATGAATATGAAGTTATGAATAATATGAAATATTTTTCTGAAACATATTTAAAATATTACTTCAAACAAGACAACATTCTGACAAAATTATATACACAATTGCACACTTTTATAATGTTACATTCTCCTCTTCTATCTATATACAAATGTACATGTACAAAGCTTAGATTAAATTATCTTAAAATAGGCCAAATATCAAATATACTTTTAAGAAACACTGGTTGATGACACTAAGAGTACTGTGATTTGGTTGTGCCTTAAAACTGCTATGTTTGTATAATGGACTTTCCTTGTTTTGAATCTGGAACAGTCCATTAGTACATTAATGGGGAGATCAGAGTCAAGATACTAAATATAGCCAATAGGTAATAGCAAGGATATGAGCATTGTAGCACATTCTGACCCCGTTTGTTATTTGCACCATACAAAACACATATATATGTATAGAATATTAAGTTGTGAGTGCTGGAAGAGTTAAAATAATTATGTACACAAGAATCTAACTCATTCCTGTATTTTCTTCTTTAATCATGAGCAGTTAGTAATTCATGCCAAAGCAGAATCCACTACATCCATATCAATGAAACTATGCTTTCCTGAATAGAACTGTGAATATTTTGACATTGTTTACGAGTATATTTCATATTTCATCCTGCCTGTAGATTTTATATATACATATTGTGTCACATGATTAACTTCAGCACAATAATTTTCCTAAGCTCATTTGTTCCTCCATCAAGTCACTGTCACTAAATTACTCTGAAATACCAAAAAATAAAAATAAATAAATAATATTTTAATCCTTTTATCATTGCTAATTCTGATAAAAATAATGACATCTGCATGGTGAATTCTACAACTTCAAAGCTAATTATTTTCCAAAATGAATCAAAGTGACCCTTGGTGGTCCAGTTTTGAAAAATAAACCACTCTATTGTGCTACCTGTCTATAAGTATAATATATACATGTATATATATCTAAACTCTGTATTATGGTTCAAGGCAAAACAATTAAAAAGATGTTGAGTTTTTTTATTTTAATGTAGAGCAAGAAGAAGACAGGAATTTGTGTATGTGCAGGCAGCGAATAAATCCACAAAGACAAAATGATGAATTTTCATCATTAGTATTTTCATCATCATTTTCAATGACTTCCTGAGACTTTTCAGTTCAGGAGTTACATCTAAAATCAATGTCAGAGTTCAACCACAAGCATTATATTACATGTCACATGCAAAAAGAAGAATTTTTTCACACTTACATGTAAAAGCTTTTGAAATGTTTTTTCTGTAAACCCAGGTATTTTCTTCAAATCTTCAGCCTATTTAAACAAAAGATCTGAGTAAATAAACTATGTACACATGATACAGAAATACATGAAATCTAATACTATTTCTTGAAAAGTAGAAATTACCCTGTTGGACAGATTATTACCATAAGCTTAACCCTTAACTTGCTAAAACCAAAAGTGAATACACTTTGTGACCAGTATAGATCTTGGCCAGTCTGTACTCCTGAGCAGTCTGACCAGGCCCTATACTGTTGGTAGTTCAATCTTAGTATCTTGATATTGAAAAACCTTAAACTTTGAATGGACCAATTCACTTTTCAAGAAGGGCAAATTCATTACAAAAAGTAAGCAGGGTGCTTGCCGCAATAATGACGTCCATATGCCAAAAGTATAGTGCCAGGCCAGCCCGACGATTCATGCAGACCAATCTAACCAGGTTGCTATAGTACTGTTAAGATAATAAGTTTATGCATTAGTAAAACTGGTTAAATTTTTTCTGTCAGATTACAAACACAATTCATCAAAGTATTCATTACAGAAAAAGCATATAAAGAAATAAGTTATGAAACTTTTCTGGATATTTATTGAACATCCCAGGACCCTCTTGTTAGCCTAGGGCAGGACATATTATATGTTTACTTAAATAAATTTTAGTAAAACAGTTTAATAAATTATCATAAGATCTGCAGAAATATCTAAATTTTCAGGTTTTTCAAAAATAACTAGTTTGACTGTAATAAGACTTCCTTAAAGCTTACAACAAATAATAAACATATCTAAAATTAGACATTTACAAAAAACAACCCCAAAGAAAACTTACCTCTGAAAAGGACCCATATGTCTCCCTCCATTCATAGATAAGTTTGGCACGCTTTGCTCCCACTGTTTGTAAGGACTGGAGATCTTTTACTGACGAAGTGTTTAAAATCTGTAAAAACTCTTCATCTGAAAAAGATGTTGTTACATGTATTATCATATCATTATTTTCTAAGGAAAATGTAAAACACTTCAGAAAAGTTAGAAATGCCCCTGTTGTCTGTCAGAAATTGTTGTGCTGGGGCCACTTGCTCAAAGTTCTGTTGAATTTAATCCTCTGTTAACATAGCTATTTAATTTGCTAATTGCAAAGTCATTTCAAAGGTCTATTACAATTTTAAATTAAAATTTTCTGTTAAAAACCTGAATAATTTACACCCTTGTATTTGTAACAGCTCAGTTTTACCCAAAGCTTTTACTAAGTGTCCACTTACTTCTTTTCTGTTGAGATACTGAATTGAGCAGGGCTGATTCTGCTTTTGCTGATGTTTTCTTTTCCCCTTTGGCTGAATTCTCTTTACTTTCATCAGAATCTGAAAATACAAAATAGCCAAATGCATTATCGCTTAAAATATTTCTATTTTTATTTCTGAAAGCATGTAGATATTAAATAAATTCTATCATGCAGTTTTCATTTTGCCTATACAACTATATGAAAATTTAAGCCTACTCCTTTAAAACAAAAATGATATGGATTGAAGAAATTTTTTGGCAGGTTTTTAAATCACATGAACACTGTTAAAGGAACTCCAACAATGAGGTCCAACAGCCTAAAGCATAAAATTCGAATTTCTTAGGACACTTAAAACAGAAAGGTATGCAAAAGATATTTAGCAATATACTCAGAATAAATTGAAAATCATAATTTTGTTTTATTGTAGCTCTGAGTGAAAGGTGTTGGTAAAAAATTTTGTTGTAAAGAAATAATGTTCATTCTTATTAAGTTAATCCATGTATTAACTCAGTGTTCAATCTAGAACAAATTTCCAGAGGGCCCTTTGGGCCCATAAACTTTTCAAAAGGGGGTCATTTGAGAAAAAAGGGGGCCCACACTTAAAATGAACATCAAATTCAAATAAGGTATTGTATCTTTTAAGTTCCTTGTTCACGTACCATATATAGACCAAACACGGTTGCAAAATTCGATGACAATCAACTCAACTAAAAAAAATGACATTATTTGGACCTTTTTGGAGAGATCTGTTAGTGTTGATGCAGGCTCAATTTTAAGAACTGATTGGTAAAGAAACAATGACATAATGTTCAAAGAAACATATGAATCTTATTTTATTGTTACCTGGGATATTTGATAATAATGTTCAGTTTTTTAATCAGCGCCCGATATTATAAAGGAAAATTATATTTTGTTGATGAAGAATATAATCCTACAATAGTCACTAAAACATTAACCCTTCTCAATATATCCAAGCAAAAAACAAAGTGTCAACAGGTGCTAAGAAAATGTATATTGACATACCGGTACCTTTGAAATTTTGTCAGGGCAGCAGTTCTTAGTTCTTACGCCACGCTTAAGATGTCTGTATTGATTAATGATATGCACAATGTTTTAGCGCCACCAGCCAAAGACCAATCAAAGTTAATCTAATCAATTGTCAGACACTCCCTAGCCAATCATGTTTGATTAGCTCCATCTTTAAGACTTTTTTAATTGGATGAAGGCGTGTTTGTAATAATTTATGTACACTTCTCTATAATTAACTCGCACCTTTTCACAAATATAGTTTTTTTTCCTCCGGAAAGTTATTACATATTTATTTGTTTTGACCGTTAAAAAACTATTAACTACACGCACGTATTGGATTATCTGTGACAATTTGTTTTGTTTATAAAAACTGTGACTCAAAAGTAAGTAATAGTTATGGTACGAAAAACAGGTCTGCATAGTATTTTAAAAGGGTTACCAAGTGTGGTAACTATCTTACCATCATACTCTTGTTTTTCTATACAAACTTCAGTTTAGAATTCAGTATTTATTAATATTATTCACAAGAAATTTTTTTATGTACTTAATCAGGTTTAAGAAAGCATTCTAATGTCATTTAGGGCATTTTCTACCAGTGCGCCCGTCTGGCCCACGGTTGAATTTGTTTTGCGCCGGCGGTCTTTTCAGGGGGTCAATGGCGCGCTCTAGATTGAACACTGTTAACTTATTATCTATACTTCATAGTAAAAACATTATCACTTTAAAACAATCCTTTATGCAGAAAAGAAAAATTATTGAGATTTTAAAGATGCAAAAATTGATTTGCTTTACCTTTTATACTAGCAGTACTAGCTGACGATACAAAGTTTTTCTTCTTCATTTTGCCGACAGGTCGAGCAAACAGGGGACTACATGAGAATTCTTCAACCTTCTTTCTCTTTATTCCACTAATTGGACGCTCAAACTTCTCAATTTGTGGTTTTGGCAGTTCTGACTTCCCTGAGTTTGTCTTGTCTGAAAGAAACAATGTTATCTTTCTCATAGGCAAGAAAATAATTTATGATAGTTTGTACTATTATATCTAGTAGAAAATATGATGAATAAAGGTCAAGTTAAATCTGGTCTACTTGAAGGTGGTGTCCGAAGGGTTATGATTGCCAAATATGAAGAAAAGTAATGATTAAGGTTAAAGTTTGCGGACAGCAACAGGAATTCCACCATGACTGTAACAATACTTCTATATTTTTTTTCTTCGGAAAAAAAAATGTTGAGTTAAAAACCAGCATTCAAGCACACTTTATACTTTATTCTTTACTAAAACCATGGCATTAACAGTTTAAGAATGGAGGTTTCTTCTGATGTCATGCATCAAGCACATGAAAACAATGTGAGACAGACTATACTGATTGCATAAACTTATTATTTTGGTTCAATTACGTTAAGGGTTAAATGAACAGATTTCATGTTTTCAAATACAGTACATAAAATTAATTAATTTGGATTAATAAATAAAAATCAAGCATTACCATTTAAGATATGTTTTTCTGGTTGAACTGGTATAACAGGCTTCACAGGGGGTGGGGACTTTACAGGGGGCGGAGACTTCACAGGGGGTGGAGACTTCATATGCCTGCTAGTCAACTCTTTTAACTGAGCATGACTAGCTGCTAATTGCCGCTGCATTTCTTGAATTGCCTTTGTTTTGGGGGTCTGTGCACCTGAAATTGGAAAAAAAAAAAATTTTTTAAAAATTTCAGCCTGACTGGGACTACAACCCAGGACACCCAGAATACCATACTGCGGCTCTACCGACTGAGCTATCCGGCCACTTACACAATAACTACCCTAATTAGTGAACAGTTCTGAACTGTGACAATAAATTCTTAAAAAAAAAATTTATACCCCAGTCGAGATTCTAATCCACAGCAGTTAGGGGCAAGTGATTTGAAGTCATAACCCTCAGCCACAGATGATCCTCTTCAGTAATTGTATGTGATTGTTATGCTACAATGTGGGGTATAAAAATGTTTTCAATATTTACCAACAGGGACACAAGCAGGTAATGCAGTGTGGATTGTACGAGTTATAATACAAAAAAATATTAAAATGTTCATGATATGTACTGACATGGACAACAACAGGTAATACAGGGTGACTGTCATGTAATGATGTGTGGAGGAATAAAAATATGATAATGATATTTACCATCTGGGACACCAGCAGGTAATGCAGTGTGAATTGAGTTATAATACAAAAAATATTAAAAAATGTTTACAATATGTACTGTCACAGACAACAACAGGTAATTCAGGGTGATTATTAATAATTATGTTATAACGCTGAGAAATACAAATATGTTTGTGATATTTACCATCTGGGCCACCAGCAGGTAAGACAGGATGAATTGTTTTCATCTGACTGATGAGATTACTCTCCAGTTCTTGTAGACGTTTGTTCACCGTCTCCTCCCACTGCTCTTGTCTCTTCATTAGAGGACTGTAAACAAACAATGCTGTCATTTCTGGTGCCTCAATATTTAATAGACTTTTTTAACATTGATTTTTTCAAAATAGAAATATAAATGAAAGAATACAAAGGTGGAGAAAACTATTTTGGATGATTCCCTAGGTAAGTACAATATAAATTCTCATGTTGCACATGTGTATGCTAAGTATATCCCCAAAGTGTACAGAATTTTAAGAGGGTATATATTCATTTTTCATTGAAATATGGAATATATTTTCACAAAAAACTTTCTGATACCCTTTATTAGTAAACGCTTGTTTTTTTGGTTTTTTTTACCTTAGTGACGGTGCATCACTGGAGATAGAATCTGTGCTACAATCAAGGCGTGGTCTCTTCACCTTGGACTCCGACTCCCTCACAACTGGAGATGCTTTCCTCACCTGAGGCACTGGTTTTACTATATTAATGCATTGACAAATAATATCATTGACAAATTATATATCATAAATTTTCCACATCAAACTTTTGATATCTTACATATTTTGTGTTTTACTAAGAGAAAAAAAATGTTCAATTAAGGCCCATTCTGTCCCAGTATAATTTTATTTTCATTGCTCAAAAGCTTTTAATTTCTGGTATCACACTATAGGCAATTAATACAATATATAGTGAATTAGTATTTTGAATTGATGTCTAAAAACTACTTTATTTAAAATTTGCTATTTTTATGACAAATAATTTCACATTAAGCAAAACATTTTGCTTATTATAAGCGTCTAACAGACTCTAGAACCATTACACTACTGCTACAAAACTCATGCTTGCCCTTTTTCTAAAGAATTAAAATTTTATTTGTTTTTAGGCTTGATGTACTTTTTAAGTTACACAACATTTGCAGCTAAATTTTTAGTACAGTTATTTTCTTTTCTTCTTATTTAGCAGAAAATGCTATTTTTTAACATATGGGAATAAAGTTTCCAAAATTCTATAAAAATTCATACTACATGTATTTATTTTTTTCTCAGATTGACAACTCAAGCATTTCAATATTGGAGGAAATAGAAGCCATTTCCAAAAGGATGGGTAAAAAAAATCCACAGAGTTTAAACGTATTCCATTCAAAATACACGTGAAAAAATAAGACAGTGAATTCTATGACCATGTGCTAGACAAACATGTTTTCCTGACCTTTGACAATCATTGCTTCAGATTTCAAACAAGAGCATATAGTCTTAGCCTTACTATATTTCCATAAGTATTCTGTACACCTGAATCAAATATTTCTGAGGAATGTATAACACAACATATTTATCTGGAAAAAAAATACAAGCACCGAGTTTATCTAGAAGTACAGAAGTTATTTTTCTCACCAATGCCTACAGCAGTTTCTCTGACTGCCGTGTTATTTACAATTTTCTTGCTTTTAGTGGCGAAGTTAAGTGTACAGTAAGTGTCATAATAATATCTCTCCTCTGGTGCAATGTTTGTTATCATTAATGAATGACAAGTTCCACCAATAGAATCCTGAAAAACAATTACATTAATAAACATGACTATCATAGAGATCCAGTCTCGAGAAAACAGAGGCTAAGTTGTTATTTGTTTGTTTTGGGTTTTTACGTCACATCGACACAGCATAGGTCATATCAGGACGTTCCAGCTTTACTGGTGGAGGAAGACCTCAGGTGCCCTTCCGTGCATTATTTCAGGCACAAAGGGGCTAAGTTGTTGTGGTGCCTACCTATTACCAAAGGTCTGATACCATAAGAATATCAAAGACCAGAACCCATCATTTGCTATGGTTACTGTATATTCACACCTATCACAAAACTTTCATTAAAATATAGTGTAAGGCCTTGCAATGGCATTGTAAAATTTTGTTAATCAGCACAGACACCCTTAATATCTTAAGTTTAAAAAGACAAATTCTTATCTTAGTTTCAAAAAGATAACATCAGAAGTTAATAAAGATGAGTGTGGCTTTAGCAAAAATATAGGAACTATGAATCAATCACATTTGACAAAAGTTTAGATTAACAATGTAACATGTGTCAGGTGCCTGTCCGTTAATTTAGGCACAAGGAAATACCTGTACACTGTAATCTTGGTGGATCATGACTAAGATAGACATGATAATAGTACATATATCTAGTAAACCTTACCTGTAAGAGTCGGGTCAATTTGCTGTTTCTGTATGGAATTCTTGGCTGAAAGATAAAATATAGGTTGAAATTTTATTTTATTTTTCTTCACAGTTGTATTTTGCCTGTTTTGCCTGTTCTGACTTACAATTAACTAAACCAGCATTGTTGAAAATTAGTTTTATCTTCTTCACATAAAACATCAAAAGTCTGTATAAGGCAGGCTGTGGTAGACAATCTACTTTAAGACATGCAGTTTTCATTATTGATTAAAATGAATATAAAATGTACTATTTTTAAGGAAAAAACCTTGGACTTGTCGAGCTTCAATATTTTTTATTAAATTTTCCATAATCAAGTTTGGGGATGTGAATGAAAATATACAGTTGGGCTACCCCCAGTAAAAATTCGGGCTTCACTGCAGGGATGTGCAGACTGTCTTGGCTCTATGCTCGTGGTAAAGACCAACCACTTTTTGTTCCTGCAGATAATAGATAAATGACTTACTAATCCTGAGTTGATGGCATCTACTACTTCTCCCAGAGAAAACAAAGATTTGTTTATTGCTCCACTTTCTTTCAACCTGGAATGAAAAATGCATATGCTACAGATAAATTCTGTTGTGATTATACAGCTTAAAAAAAACAACTTCAGCTTATAGATTGGCTGCAGCCATTTTCACAAAAAAACTTACGAAGATTTTTATTGTCAATAAATCTCATTTTCACGAAATATCTTAAGAAATCTTAAGTGAAAATTCTGTTTTAACTTTACGATAGGTGTCCCAGATTTGTAAGTGTAAGTTTTTATCTCTTTTAGAGTAAATTATCATGTATCTTATATATAAACAGAATGAAAACAAACAAAGAATGGAAGAAAAAATAGCAAACAGTATGCTATAAATAACACAAATAAAGTAAAAATTATTTTTCCAACATTAACATAAATTTGAGACATCATGACCTGGTGACATCATAGTGGAAAGGATTATGGATAGTTTATAAGTGAACTATGTAGAATTCTTGACAACTAATGTTTTGTACAATTTTTTGGGTTCGATTTCATTGCTAGCATGTACTAGTGGCACCCTTTTACTTACTTATAACATAGCAGACCTTCTCTCTGAATCTTTTAGATATATATAATTATTTTCAATTAAGATAGAAAATATATCAGTTTGAATCATTGTTTTCTTCTTATTGTGTGTTCAATACATATTTCAAGCTCTTAATTACTTGATTTTAAAATCGGAAACAAATATAGAGCATGCACATCAACATCAAATGAAAGTTGCAAGGGATGTTTATATTGTAAGATTTATCGTAAGTGAACTTTTTATTTTAAGATAAAATTTCAACTTACGAGTGGCTTTGTGAAAATGACTTAAGATCATTTACAATTATCGTAAGTCAAAAACTTAAGATAAATTGTAAGATATTTTGTGAAAATGTCTGAAGAATGCCAACATATGTCCACTATCAAATTTCATTTCAAAACTAAAGTATTACAATGTATAGCGTAGTAGATTTAGTTTTAATAACTAGCATTGTAAGATTGGTCTTCTTATTAAATAAAGATTTAGCAAGATCTGTGAGACAGATAGCTTTATTGTCTTCTTTCAGTGCTTGACAGTAAAAGTCTTGATAATGCAGTTAAAAGTAGATTTCTTCAATGGCACACAAGAAATTGTGTTACACTAATGCCACAGCGCGTACTGTATATTTTCAGGAAATCCAAAGCAAATTGGAAGTGAAACAAAATTCTTAAAATGAGAAATATGCCATGTTTGAGAACCTATAAAAAATGCCCATTTTTCTCAAAATAGAACTTTAAAAGTTCTCTATGACAAAGAAAATTCTTAATTGGGATATTGTTGTTTTTTTCTCCCTAATCGGTTTACCTTATTTCATAACTTGAAAATTTCGAGTGAAAATTTCTACAAATCACTTCCTAGATTGGTGGCTCTTACTGCACATAATGGTAGTTACCAGCAGATATTGTAACTGATAATTACTCACAAAACAGTGGAAAAATTATTATACCTGATACCCTGGTTCCCTGTACGTCTATTATCTTCTGAGCCAGCCAGATCTATGAGATATATTTTCCCGTGCAGTGTCCGGCATGGCTTTGACTTTGTGACAGTCAGCTGCACTATACTGTGACTTCGACTTGAGTGTTCATTCAACTTGGTGGCTGCTACAGTTCTGTAATATATTTATATAATATAACTTACACTTACATAAAGATGAGTACATAATTCAGACAGGTAGAGTTTTAAAGTGATGGTTTTAATATATATCAACACTTACTGCACTACATTTACCTCGAGAATTAAATACTTTTTTTGGCACCAGTTATCATATTCAAATATTCTACATTCATTAACAATATTAACTAATTAGATTTTACCTTAATCAATCATGGCACAATTTTATGCTTTAACAAATAAATATGGAAATTTATTTGTAACTGAACATTCAAAAAACAGTACACAACAAAAAAAAACAAGAGCTGTCACAGGAGACAGCCAAGCTCGACTAATAAAATACTGGACACAGTAAGGAGGACAAAACTATGAAAGGAAAATCAATTATGTATAATTATGTATTATGTTATAGTAAAAAAATAACATTTGTTAAAATAAATTCCAAGATCAAGGGAAATAATTCTAGAAATAGTCACGCTAGAGTTATGAACCTTGTCACACAACATGCATGTAATGATAAGCAGTATATATTTGAAGTTTGAAGTAGATACCTTAAAAAGTAACAAAGTTATAATATTTCTTAAAGAAAATCCTAAGTTCAAAGAGAAATCAGTCTGTAAAAATTACTTCAAGAGTTATGAACATTGTCACATAAAGTATAATTGATTATAAGGAATAAGTATTTGAAGTTTGAGGTAGATAGTAAACTAACATTTTTCTAGTAAAAAAATCTAAGTTGATGAGGAGATAATTCTTGCAATATTGGTGCTAGAGTTATGAACCTTGTCACATAAGATGTGGATGATGATAAGGTACATATATTTGAAGTATGAAGTTGATCCCTTTAGAAATAAATAAGTTACAGTAAAAAATAATATTTTTTAAAGAAAATTCTAAGTTCAAGGGGAGATAAATCTGAAAATATTGGTGCTAAAGTTATGAACCTTGTCACATAAGATGGGGATGATGATAAGGTACATATATTTGAAGTATGAGGTTGATCCCTTAAGAAATAAAGAAGTAACAGTAAAAAATAGTATTTTTTAAGGAAAATTCTAAGTTCAAGGGGAGATAAATCTGAAAATATTGGTGCTAGAGTTATGACCCTTGTCACATAAGATGGGGATGATGATAAGGTACATATATTTGAAGTATGAGGTTGATCCCTTAAGAAATAAAGAAGTAACAGTAAAAAATAGTATTTTTTAAGAAAAATTCTAAGTTCAAGGGGAGATAAATCTGAAAATATTTGTGCTAGAGTTATGAACCTTGTCACATAAGATGTGGTTGATGATAAGGAACATATATTTGAAGTTTGAAGTTGATACCTTAAGAAATGACAAAGTTATAGTGAAAAATATTTTACTGCACCAAAACTTTAATCTAAAATCTGGACGCGGACGCCGACGCCGACGCCGGGGCGAGTAGGACAGCTCTCCATATACTTCGTATAGTCGAGCTAATAGTACAAAGAAAAACATTTCCATTGCTTGTCAATATTTCTGAATCTTTTGTAACACAAATCAGATAAAAAATTCAAAGGTGAAACATAGAAATAATCTCTGCAAGAACTTTGTAACACATTTAACATACCGATTATTGGAAGCTGGTCCAAAAGCCATTTTAAATTCATCAAAGCTGTGTATTTCTTTTCTGGCTAGCCCTGGAATAAGTATATTCTTATCAGCATCTTCCCTGATAGGCAAGTCTGACCCAGATGGCTCCAACAAATCTTGAACCTGAAAAAATGCATATGCATCAAATGATATGTTACATAACACTGGAAGATAAAACTTAGATGTATAGCAATGCAAACCCTTGGTGATCTCTTTAAACTTTAAGCAAACGACACCGCTACTGCACAATGCATAATATCCAGCGGTAACCTTCCACAGACCTCAGATTCAATAACCAAAGCAGAAATTAAATTAAGCCATATAAAAGATCAGTACTAGATAACTCTAGAGCATTTTTGTATGATAAGATATGCAATGCTATGCAATTGTATACAATCAACTAATTATTACTTTAGTCCAATAACACAATAAATTACTGTGAATCAATCAGTGTAAGTCTACATATTCATATTGATATAAAACAAACCTTACCTTTTCATTATAAATTTCCAAAAATGAAAAAGTGACTTTATACTGCCATTCATCCTCTTCTGATATTTTGTCCTCCTCAATCTGTTCAAACAGACCATTTATAACTCTAGGTATGACACCTGGATTAGATGATGTACCTAACATAGTATGGGTCTTACCTGAAATTAAAGAAACATTAAATATGAAAACAAGTGACATGAAATTGTCATAAAACAAGGTTGTCAACAAGTATTACACCTGTGAAAGATGAAAAGAAATGGCTAAAATTCCGACAATAAATACCTGTAATTCTAATAATAAAGATTTAAACATAAAATCCTGACGAAATAGCCATGACTCTTGATGACAATTATTCTGAAAAAGTTTGGATAATATCTCTTGAGAAATGTAAGAGGAAAAAATGTTTCAAACAGGAATTCTCCCATTTCAAATTGAAAACATAACTAACAAACCTTTGCCAGTGTTTGAGTGATTTTAACAGAAAAGTATTAGTAAGTACTCATATTCATGCTAATTTCACAGTACTATCCAGTACAATCTTACTGAAGGGAAAACTTTTTTCAAATTCCCTACAACAAATAATGAAAATTGAGGCTTTGAAAGAAAAATTAAACTCAATCAGAATAAAATGTACCAACATCACTGGTCTCAAACAGCCATGAAAATTACACTCTCACCCAACGATTTTCTGCACCTAGTCTAAGTACTGGTTAGGTTATCAGTATTTCACTTTCCCAGTAGGAAATGACTTTCAAAATCCCAAAAAGCTTGAGTCAATGAAAGACCTTCATGCATTACATAATACCTTACATTATGTTCTCTTCGTTTTGAATCTGGACTAATTACTAAATTAGCATAACTCTATACAAATCCCTATCACCATGCCTCTCGCCAAAGTAAGTACTATCATAGAAAACTATCATAAACACCTATTTTGTATTGACTGATAGTGATATCAAAGATAGACAGTATTTTTGCTTTTATTACCTGTTGTACATGTTGTATTAATGAATTCAATTTGGGGAAAAAAACACTTAAAGAAACAGCCCAAATATACTCACCAGCACCAGTGGGTCCATAAGCAAATATCGAGACATTCTGCCCTTTAAGGGCTTTTGGTAAGACTGGTTTCACACAGTCTGTGTAAATCTGAAGCTGTGTGCTCTCCATGCCATAAACAGCTGAAAATCTGCAAAATATAAGGATTGTTATAAATGTGGTTATAAATTTTGTCTTCAATGGTGTCAATTTCTTGTTTAAGCCATTATAACAAACAATAATAAGTCTAAACTGGAAATGATATAAAATGTTTTAACAATTCAAGAAATTAGATACTTTGCATACACTGTACAAATTGATTGCTCACATCATAATCTAAATGTAAACAAGAATTTAAGCAACAGAGGTTATCATGATTGCTCTGACATTGAAAATTAAATACCAAAGATACATTTGTACTGGTGAAAAAATGAAGGAGCTGTGTGCTACGAGAAAATGTGTGACAAAAAGGGCAATAAGACAAGTTAGACAACTATATTCTTCTCCAATATTTATTCAGGGCAAATAAAAAGCAGTTGGCTAGAAAAGCTCTAAGTCACTATGCAGTAAGATGAGTGTACATTTTTGGCATCCTTTCCATTGGATGAAATGATTGCAGAGTTTGACTACACCAGAAAATAATAAGTTTTTATATCATATATTATAGCTCAAGATAAACTTTATATATTGTTGCACGTACTGATATTGTATATTTTCCTTGACATTTCTGTGATTGAAGATCTGTACACTATCACTTGTAGCACTGACACTTGTCTTGTCATCTGGTTTCAAAGGGGGTCGTACCCTAATTACTACCTTCACCTTACACTGTTTCTTTTCCATATCCTTCTAATATAATAAATAGAAAACAACAATATTGTACTCATTAGTATCAAACTGCCCTTAAAAAGATAGATAATTTGATTGACTATTGACATTAACACAGCAAAATCAAATTAAGTATTTATCTAACATGTTTAGTATGCTTCGAAACTTTGTGTTTATATTTTCGAGACTGCAATCTTTACTTTTAGGAGACTTGGAGGAACATGGGTTTTTTTTTTATTCTTATGGGAATGGTTTAAAAAATAATTTTAATGATTAAGATGAAATGCCCTAGTTTTTATTGACCGTTCAAAAGGGCGGTTCATAGCGGGCGAAAAAGGGTCTGACCCCCAAGTTTCTATGGCTTTATGTAACTTGAGACAGTCCCATATGGCTAGCCACTTTCTGTAATAAACCCATTGACAGTTTCTATATAAACTATGTGAATAACAGAGGTATATTGAGTGTAAAAACTCAACTTGGCTGGTTCGCTTATCTTCCAGTAAAATCGATTTATATCTAATGCTAAACCAATACAAATTTTGCCGTTTTTAAACAGCTAGTTAATTGCAATTTATAGTCCAATTTTATTTTATATTACATCAATGCAAAGCTCGTGATCTTAGCTTCATCTCAGTATATAAATCAACATCTCTTTAGACAAAAGTATTTAAATTAATTGTTAAACCTACCACATGGCAGGCCTTAAACATATGATTTATATAGAGAGACACGCAGCCGGTAATCTCTTCTCACAAAATTACTGATGAGAAAAACCTGTCGTCTGCTAGTTCGTAAACTGTCAATTGGTGTTTACATCACTTATTTGGATTGGAACTCACTGACTTGGAAGCAGGTAGTACAATATATAGCAGACTTCCCGAAAGTTGAAAAAAACTGTCAGACATTCGGTCTGACAAACCATGAAAATCCGTCGGACCGAAACGAAATCTGTCGGACCAAATAAAATTGATCAAAATCAAAGAATAACTTGTGTTTGTATTTCTAAGACACTTTTTGTTTTTAATTTTTTCGCCGTAAAAATCGGCACATTCCTTACAGCGCATTTTCATCTCCTCCCTATCATACACCAACAATTCACTGTCTTGCTTCTATTTTTCATTAAATTTTGTCTCAGGTCTATTCTTTTTATCCTTTTACTGCTGTTCTGCCTGTTCCTCTGACGTAAATTTTTTATTTTCCCAAGGTTTGGCACCTTTAGCGACGCCATTTTGTATACATGCGGCTTGGATAAAAGCCGGACAGTCGGACCGATCCGGAATAAAAACTCGTCGGACCTGATCGAAATTTATCGGACATGTCCGTCGGACCGACGTATTTCGGGAAGTCTGATATAGTTACAGGTTTGTTATAGTTTATGTCGGTCAAGCCTGAAGTCTAATAGTTATTGCTCATAAAAATTTCAAAAAAGTCTATTGTCTTGCCTTTCAAGCATTATTCAAAGCTTATCTTCTTTTCTTTCAATTTTATGCTCAGTCAATCATTAACAAAAACTCTCAAACAATGTACTTGTCACGGTTTAGAACTGTTCACTATTTAGGGGAGAAAAATGTGCAGCCTGACCAGGACTCTTACCCGGAACCCTCGGAACCGTTCCACGGCTCTACCGACTGAGCTATCCGGACGCTTAATCATATATCAATTTAAAATAAAATATTAACATCAATCTATTTTTGTCTATCGGCATATGCAGTGTCTATTCTAGAAATTCAAAAATAGGGGTGATTTTCCCCCCTCTATTTAAAAAAAGGGGGCGATTTTCAAAATCAAGGGGTGCCAACAAAACTGCCAAATTTAAATCGTCTGCATTAAGTTTACACTGAGGCGTTCAAAAGATGAAATATTTAAAACGAAAATATTCATTTAAGGCAGCAGAAGTTGTCCTCCCTTAATTTATGAACGAAAACAAATTATTATAGAACTGTCGCGATTGATTATCAAGGGATTGACAATACAAACAATCGACTTATCTTTTACGTCATAACCGTAGCCTAGCTAGGAATTGCCTCATTTTTCTTGATTATTTACAATACTAAAATGGCGCCTAACTGTCAGACCTAGCACAATATTTCCGGTCGGTATGGAACATTCCGTTAATTTCCGTCAACTCACATAACCAGTACCATACGGTACTAAATTATTATAATTAGCTTACAGTTACCTCCCTTCAGTTTCCGGTGTAAATGTAAACAAAACAACCAAATAAAATGCGAAATGGAATTATGCATGCGAGGGATCACTTTGTTTCCAGAATTCTTTTACGATTTTATTAACTTTTTTATAGATGCGCGATTTTCACGCATATGATTTTGAATTGTGCGCGATCTGTTAAATATTAGCGTGAATCCCGCAATCGCGCGTCCTAGAATAGACACTGCATATGGTTAAGTAAAGGGCTTTACAGATTGATTCCAAATTTTTGAACGGAAAAAATATATTTGAGTGACAGTACATGGGCAATTATTTTGTTCAAAAACATACTGTTAGAAACTTCTGACTCATTTTAATGCTTGCATTTTAATTAGCCAACCATATGTCGCACACTGTATGGGTGGCCATTTGTTTATCGGCTGCATAAGGAGAGGATTTAATCATAATTTTTCTGATGTGACAGTTTTATTATTTTGTTAAAAGGTATTTATTTTTTACTTTAGTTCATAATTAGGTCAAAATTAATATAAATATACGCTGTCTTAACTGTTTTTTGTTCCCCAGATTTTCTTGCAGTTTGTTTGTTTGTTTGCTTCATTTTACGCCTTTTTCAACAGTATTTCAGTCATATAGGCGGGTAGTTACCTAACCATCGTTCCTGGAGAGTTACACCAGTACTAGACTACCTTCCTCCGCGCTAAACTACCAAAGCATCTCCCGGGGATCGAACCCACGCCAGAGAGGTAACTGGATTAGAAGTCATCGACTCTAACCCCTATACCACGGAGGCGGTCTTTTCTTGCAGAACGTGCTTTAGGTTTTTGAGCAATTTTGATATGATGTTGCCTTGCCTTGAAGCAAAGATATCTCAAAGTGACGTCATTTAATAGGACTAGGAAGCAGGAAACAACTGTTTCTAACCTCCCACTCCTAAAAATAGTAAAATATATAAACTAATAGCGAGCTTTACGGTAATGCGAGTACCTGCTAGAAGATGGTTTTGAAAACTTTCGTCCAAAGTACCGAATAACACATCGCAACTTTTGGAATTTCAAGATTACCATAAAAGCCAAGTTATTCTGATTGAAAATGGAAGCGTAGACTGGTGTCCTACGCAGTTATTTGGGAACCATAATAGAACTTGCTTTGTGGCTTTGCCTTTTTCATATTACAGATTCCTTAGTCAAAATATATTGACGTGCCAAAGCTTGATTCTGAGATATTTTCGTTCTGGGGCAGAATCTCGCTTTAACGTCAAAACCAAAAGGAGACCTTTCTGTGGTGAAACGTGGATTTCGATGTTATGTAAAAATGCAGACAATTTAAACTAAGAATCTATTCAACAATACAATTTTAAGGAATCAACAGCACAAAAAGTGCTAGACTATCAACTTAGAAGAAAGTAAACCACGTGAGTTTCATTTCACCGTCTCGTTTGTGTACCAACGCCGCCATATTGTGATGTTGCTACAGTAATGTAACATGTACGCTAAAAATCGATATTGTTCGGTACCGTGCGTGAATGTTGTCATTTTTTTTTGCGTGGCAAAAAAAAATATGAACAAGAGCTGTCCGTAAGACAGCGCGCTCGACTTTTTTATTGCTTGCCAATAAAAAAAGTTTTTGCAGTAAAAGGCAATACAAGAATCTCTGTATTTTTAAAGTGAACAATGGCCATGAGCATTAAGATATTTAGTGAAGAATTATTTTACTGAATTGTGTGATACCCTTGAACACTGCAGCAAAGTTTGAAATGTTTAAGTCAAAAGAGGGCTGGACATGTTTGGGAATCATGATTGTAAACAAGTATTCCAACTTTCAAATTAATATCTCAAACAGTTCAGTCAAAAAGTGGACTGGTACTAAAAACTTAACCAAGATTCTAAGTCGATAAAAGGCCTTAATTTTTAAAACAAATCCTTGACAGAGTTACCTTCTCTTGCGTACAGATGGGGGTAATGATGTGAAATAGCATTAAAAGTTTCAAAGCAATATCTCAAAGGGTTAAGGCAATAAGTGGATTTTACCCATATTCAATGTATTTTCTAAGTCAAAAAGGGGCATAATTCTGTCAAAAACCTTGACAGAGTTATGTCCTCTTGTCTGTTGATGAAGGTCGTGATGGTAAACAAGTATGGTCAGTTTCAAAGCAATACCTCCAATGGTTTTGAAATAAAGTGAGGTGGTACAAAAAACTTAACCAAGCTCAATACACTTTCTAAGTCAAAAAAGGGCCATAATTCTGTCAAAAACCTTGACAGAGTTATGTACTCTTGTCTGTAGATGGAGGTTATGATGGTGAACAAGTATGGTAAGTTTCAAAGCCATACTTGTAATACTTCTGAAATAAAGTGGGGTGGTACGAAAAACTTAACCAAGGTGTGACGCCAACGCCAACGCCGACGCCGGGGCGAGTAGGATAGCTCCCCTTTTCATAGAAAAGTCGAGCTAAAAACTGTTAAACAGTGCTTATTATTCTTTAATCTTGTTATTATTATTTATATTTATTGCTACATTAAAATAAATCACCAGGAAATAATCTTTAACTATTTTTTCTAATTGATTGAAATCTTTAAAATGATGCGGAGAAACTTTTAATTTAGACCTCTATTTTTATAAACATGTTTATTAAAGGATAAACACATACTGTATTTAATTAAAATTTATATTGTCACCACTCTGTAGTATTATCTATGTTAGAATAATTATGTTAGTTACAACTTGCTGCGTATTAAAAACAGCAACTCCTTGCCTAGGAAAGTTTTGTTTTCCAAACGTGCATTACGCTATGAAAGATTTTTTGATTTCAAATGGTGAATTCTTGCGTTAATTTTTCATTCCTCAACAGTTTTCAGAAAAGTAAAACTCGTTACTCCGAGCGCCCATTTTTCGTTTGTCTGCGTGTACATGTACCATTTATCCGTGTAATAAAAGACTATAATCATAGCATGGCGTAATGGCCTGGATATTTGGGTGTTGTTTAAGCGATATTCCAGAAAAGTTTTTGATCCGGTATAGAAAATATATTCAACCATGTATTTATTTTTGAAACGTTACGTGTCAACTATTCCACAACGCCGACACCGGTACGCTGACCAATATTCAGTTCGGAAATGTTGACACTGCGCAGTTCTGTTTCTTCCTTACTTAAATTCTTTGTGTCAACTTAAAATTTATAAGATTAAGTTTTAAATAAATTTGATTTATAGATAAGTATTTAAATTGGAGCCGTGATTCCTATCCGGAATCAGTTAAACAATTTTCCATGCTAACATGGTCCAAATTGTAAAGAAAAGTTAGTTTTAGATTGTAATTACATGTATTTATTTTTTCAATTTATAATTATAAATATACTTGATGATGATTCATTTTAAAGACGATAATCTTATGCTTAAATTTCTTTCTAAAATTCATTTATGAAAATTGTTTAAACGGTGGTAAGAATTTAAATGTGTTACGGTCACGAGTTTCCTCGGTATATTTTCCCGACTCTGAATTTACGCAAGATATACCAACTTTTTCATTTAATATTTAGGAACTATTTTCTGGTTTTCTATCTAAATTCACTACAAGGTTAAAAATTATTGAAAAAAAAAAAAGAACTGAAGAGGCGCCGTGTTTTCTTGCCGATTTTAAAAGTTCGTTCTCCAAAGCAACAACTTTAATACTTGGGGCAGTAGCAATCTGTATCATATTATTGTTTAAAATGAGTAAACGTGTTGCATAACCCTTAAATCTTATATGATTGGACAAGAATCAAAGAAATCACAGACACTTTGGGTGTGGTGCTCAAAACGCCTTTAAAATCCAAATGAAATGTATATTTGTCAACGTTGGGGTGCCACGTTTGAATTTGTCGAAAGATTTTGACGGCGATAATCTCGATGTTTATTTCGGCTGTTGCGTTGTTTATATTGATGTTGAAGTTTAAAATTGACCATCATCATGAATAATTATATCTACTGTGTCGGTGGGCCAAAGGATTATGTGAAAATATTGGAAACGGAATATAATACATGGTGTTTTTGACGGTAGGTGTGCGGATTTTTTCCGGCGAACATTTTTATCTTGTGTATTATTATAGACGCTGAAATATGATTTTGTTTTCAAAACGGCTTATATTTAGTATTTATATATATATATATATATATATATATATATATACATGATCAGTACATGTGCTGGGATTGACAAATATGCATTTCTTTATTTTAAAATCGTTTTGAGCTCCACACCCTACACCTCTGTGAAAGAAATTAGCGGCGCAGCGTTTTGTTTATGTAACATTGTAAAATAACCGCGTTGATTCTTCAAATCGCACTTCGCAATGCGTGTATTTTAAAGAAGAAAATAATTTCTTAGACGGGATATAAGTGAAATATATGGAATAAATCTTTACTGTATACCAACATTATGAAAGTCTTTTGCAAAACAAAAAACAACAAACAAACAAAAATGGAGCGGGCACCTGTTTCATGAAATATTCCGTACCACGGTCATTTTAAAACAATTTCATACCTACGTGTGTGTGTGGTTTTTTTTTTCTATAAACATCTTCAGAAAGCTTTTTGGAATAAACTAGCCAGAATTATGGACCTGCGTGGATGAGAAAATAAAAAAAAAATTACATGGAATGTTGTTTCCGCACATACATGTATAATGTCGAGGCACCGCGTTTGACATTCATTCGTTTTATTATTGATAATAAATATTTTGAACATTGAAAATATCGTTTAATAGTTAATCAACATTAATATAAATAACAGACTGTCAAATTCCTTCGAATGGTGTCCTCTCGTAGTCGCTAAGGCACTAGGAATCCGTTCGTTTCTCTTTAAACATCTAAACCTCGTGTTTCTGCTGTTAACATATTCCTATTTTCATCATAAACGTGGGGGAAAAAATCTATAGTTACCAATAGGTCCAATGTCCTATATTGACTGGGAAAGCTGAACAAAATAAAAAAAATTTATAAACTAGAAAATGCTTTGTGAGGAGTCCATTTACAGAGTAGCTTTTCTAAAAAGATACTGTAATGATGATTCTGATATTTCTAAGAACGCTCTGACAATAACGAATAAGTTTTGCATCTGCCCCAATAAAATAATATTTTCATCCTTTCATAGTTATTAATTTTTTTGCATAAATAAATGTCTTAAATATAACATTAAACTTGATATTTTACTAAGAGTGTTTCGGCGTTTCTCAGTAACGCAGTAACGCAGTACCGCATACACACCAGTGTAGTTATCAACAGTGTATTTGTCACGTGACATTAGCGGCGATGTCTTTATTTTGATGGTTCATGTGTTTACTTTTCTATCAAAATCTTTATGTTAGGAATATTTTCACAAATAAAACATGAAATTGATGTAGAAATGAATAATCTTTAAAGGTATCGTAACAAATTTATTCAAATATGAATTCTAATACGATTTTAGACGGTCCAAAGCTTGCGCTCAAAATCCCGGCGCAAATTTCACCACAGAAAAGGTACTTTTTATGTTGTACGTAGAGGCGAGATATTGCCCAGACACGAAAATAGCACAATATCTCGTCGCGCAGTACAATTAGTTGGACTAACAGATTCCTCTGCAATGCAAACTGCAACAGCAGCATTTATTTGACGATTTTATTAATTTAATCCATTAAAGTGCATCTACATACTTTTTTTATTTTTGTAAAATCGCGAAAATATGTGAAAAATTATTTTCTATGTATAATGGGATGTTTGGCAAAAAAAGAACAAAAATGCAATGAATACCATTTAGCATGTAAAGTTTTCTTTTAAAGTTACTACTTGTAAGCGATGAACAACGACAATTAAATCATTTTTTGCATAAAAATAGCTTTCTTTGTTTTGAAATTCCCTCTTCCGGTTAGTTGACCAATCGGTAACGAAACTCAGGTTTGGTTTATATAAAACCCGTAAAGTAACGGCTGAGGTATAAAACCCGTTGGTGTCAAATGAAAGATTACTAGAGATGCCTTTAAATTAAAAATAAATTAGACAGAAAAATGTTTTTCATTGTTTGAAAGTTTACATTTTTCTTCTGAAACCACACTCCGAAATTCGATAAGAAAAACACGGCGCCCTACAAACTTTTTTCTTTTTTAATTTAAGCTTTAATTTTCTCCAATGGGGTTTTTATATCTAATTTTAAGTGAATCTTAATTTTAATCAGCTCTTTTACAGCCGTTTATTAGATAAGCCAGGAATGTAAATCACCACGGTTAACCTTTTTGTCATATTTTCCATTATTATCATGAGACTAAGAACTAAATTGGTGCAAAAAATAGTTCTTTTTAACAGAGATGTAGATATCCCATGTTATCTATGTCTCTGTTTTTAAGTTGTTTTTCCTAAACACAGAAAGAATCCCATTTAAGAAATAATTATTGAAAAAAGTAAACATTATATAACAGTGTAAAGTATAAAGATTTTTGTTATTTGTTACTGACCGTCAACGACTTGATGAACTAATTAAGTACTTTGTCGTATTATCTAGTAATTTGTTAGGTTGCTGAAGGCTGGTCGATATGTGATATGTAAGGACAAATATTTTTTAAGAACAAATCATTAATTAACGAACACAAGTCTGGATTAAGGAAATGTAATTTCATTGACACGTGTCTAATAATTTAACTTTCTGATTGGATCCGTACAAAGGGTTACTGGTATGGTATTTCTTGACTTACAGAAAGCATTTGATACCGGACGTCAATCGTGATATTTTGTGTGATACATTAGATCTAAATATTAGGTGTCATATCTATTTTTGTGTTGAATTCATTCTTGTCAGGAAGGTATCAAAAAATGTGTATCGGTAACGCTGTTTCAGACTCAGTTCCTATTACATGTGGGGTCCCTAAGGGCAGTATCTTGGGCCCTCTTCTATTTCTCAGCTACATTAATGACATGGTAACTAGTATTTCAAGATTCTGATTGCAAGTTATTTTTATATTAAGATGAAATTACAATACTGATTTTGAACAAGGACCCAAAAACTTAGAAAGGTTTTTGACGATACTTGTTTAGTTGACAATAAATTATCACTACACGTACCTAGGCAAGACTAAATGTACAGTAATATGGTTTGGATCTAAATCAAACATTAAAAAATGCTTAAGTTTTCTATTTCTTGCAATGATCAAACAATAGTCTTCGTCTGAAGTTAAATATTTCAAATTGGTTTGAATATCGATTGTTCCAGGTGTCAGGAGAAAAAAATGCAAAGAGCATTCTGTCAAAGGTGAATGGAAGAATACATTTTCTATACCGTTACAAAAATTGTTTATCGGGGAAAATAAAGAAACAGTTATATATCATGCCCTTTTACTCAGTCACTTTGATTAATAACTCTTCATCTTCTTGGTTCGAAGGACTGCTCGAGTAAGTAACCGAAGCGCAAACTTTAAGTACATGTAGCTCAAAATATGTTGATGATAAACTTTGAATCGAATACATTTTTTGATTTTAAAGTCTCTCTTATATTTTACTAAAACATTTGGGACTATTTCTAAAGATATGACCCTCAGCATATTACTGCGCGTGATATGAACATGAGCGGTTCTTGACAGGTTTTTGATTCATTTGAAATTTAAAGAAGAAACGCATTTCACAATTGCAAACATGCTAAATAGAATACCAAACAAATGTCTGATATAATAAAATTTATCATGCTCGTGTTGCTGGGTCGTTTGGGGGTTGCGTTCATTGAACGCCGCCTTTCCTTAAATATCATATTTTATGGAAAAAAGAAGAGCGAGGCTCTGCCCCAGCAACCACATGAGGTTGTATTGAATGTTAGTTGTATATGAAAGTTTTTAGACGTCAATCCAACATCATTTATGACATAAATCCAACATCTTTTCAACGTATATACACAACTACTTTCCACCAATTCCCAAACATTTTTCAACGTGATTCCAATCAGTTTCTAACATATATCTAATTAGTTTCATAAGTTATTCCAACCAGTTTCCAATGCTATTCCAAACAGTTCCAAACAATTCCAGCCAGTTACTAACATAATTCCTAACAGTTTTCAATGTACATACATAGCCAAACCGTGGAAAAATTTCTCAATAAAAAGACAACAAAGAACTCTGCATATTCAAAAATAATGTTTTTATTCTGAATTAAAGAATAATCAGAACAAGCAATATAACAACATATAAAAATGCTTACTTTATCCATCAAAAACAAATTGACTATTTATAAAATAAAAAAGAGCATCTATGTTAGACAATAACAAAAAATCAAACTATTATATTCTGTTCAAATCAATTGATAGTATTTGTATCAAATGTTATACCAAAAAGAAGCATCTTACACCAAAAAATATGTGAAATACATAATTCAACTTTGATTCTAGATGAAAACCCAATCCCCGTATGGTATGTTTTGTCATTCTTTGTGGTCAAGACTCGATTTCCTACACAACCCCCCATGGAAACGCTTCTCTTTTATCTCCTATCACGCCTTTCTGTTGAATGCCGAGCTAACGATTTTGTCTGTCCAACTCTAGTATGTTACAACCCATGCCTGAAAGTTCCTGACTGACTACTTGTCCTTGGCACATCACTATGTCTATCACTGGACATAATTCCTGAACTAAATTTTTCGTATGATCTTGGAGTGCTAATAAAATGGCTACAAGGGATCTTTATGACCTTGGCCTTCTTTCCGATGACCTTTCAGGGCTGTTGTATCTTGATGAAGGTGACCGTTTCTATAATGTGGTCCTCGACCCTCTAGAATCACTGTCAGAAAACCTATGGGACATTGGCCTACGACTATCCATTGACTGCCGAGAAATAGACCTTTGCGACAGTCTATTTTGAGATGAAAAAGATCCTTACCTTTGACTTTCTCTTGACAATAACCTGTCAGAATGACTCGCTTGTGAAACTGACATTCTTTTATCCCTCCGGCGAGTTTCATTTAGCTGTAATGACTGCCATGAAGATATTCTGACCTTGACGTGATAGATGATGAAGACTGTGACCTTTAAGAGGATGGATAATCCCAATCAGACCTTGATTACGGTTTATCATTATGATACCTGTCCTTTATTCCTATTGGCGACCTTTCACTACCCTGGACTACTTCAGTCACTGAAATTTGGCTCGAGGCATGGGAAGCAGGTCTATCACGGGACTTTGTTTTGAACTGCCTTTGACCACCCTGTGACTCTTTAAACCAACTTTTTAAATGATTTCCAGAAACCCCCTGTAAAGAGGCAATCTGTGAAAATGAATATCTTGGCCTGTCCGTTGATGATATACTGTTTCTATCTTTTAATTTAAACAGTATCTTTGTTGACAGGCATGTTTGGTTAAGACCTTGGATTTTCAGCCACTCGCTTCTCACCTGAATCCTTCATTGACAGTTTAAGGTGACAATGGAAGTACAGGTACTCCTTCATCTACAGGTACAAAATATTTAGCGTTAGTTCTAATACTAGACGTGTAGATTATTAAAGTAAATAGTTATAAAATTTTATATGTATTCATCTAAATTTTAATAAGGGTGACCAACAATACCATCCTATTAAAAAGTTGTACAGTATATTACTTAAAACATAAACCTTTTTGACAAAAAGGAAATAACCTTTACTGAAAATATTGCTACTTGGTTAATATGTACCTCACGTATATACAGTAAGTAATACATGTACATATTTACAAATAGATTCAAGTAAATATTACAGAATACATACCAGATAAAATAGTTTCTTGTGAATATTCGACAGCTTGTTTACCTTGATTTACGTCACTGCTCCTCCCCTTCATTGATTCGTCGGTGTTCACTTCATTAGCTTCGCTTAAAAAAGCACATTGAAATCATTATATATAAATAAAAAATAGCAGTACGAAAAAAGGACAATTCAATAAAAATGGCTAGAACTAGAAATTATATTACTATGTTACTTTTTCGCGTAAGTTACACTTTTTACACATTAATAGCCAAGATATATTTCTCCAGTAATCTTGCGACGTATGTAATTTCAAACTCATAAAAAGATGTTTGGTTGGGTTTACCAACATTTTAAAAGCTTTACAGGTCGATGAATACCTCAGATGCCATTGTGTGTGTTATTCCAGGCATGAACAGGCACTCGAGTAGAACCACTAAAGGTCCGTTACATAACTGGATAGCTTCCTCGCATGAATTTATCGAATCCCTGGAAAGTGGTTTTTAAGTTAGCCCCGGAAGCCCCTAAACTCTCATGATAAAAGGAAACATTTGATAAATAGAGAATATTAAAGTGTAGATTAAAGAAAAATGAAAACCCCCAAAAATATATATATTATATAATGAGAACCTCTGGCCAGCATAATATGTTACAGATTTATTATTAAAAGTATATTGTCTAATTTTATGACTTCATCATTGTGTCAAGCCCTTTTTTCTCAACCTTACCTGATAAATTGTGTAATATCAGACACTAGCATGGTATTCTCTGCTTATCTACTTTTAATTTGACACATTTTTATCTGGATTTTGACAAGGGTACGTTTTTTTGGATACGTTTCTGGATCCCATGCAAACACCGATTATATGAATTTTTCAAGATCATGTACGAGAAACCCTGATGATACGAGAAACAGTGACCCATACTGAATATGTTTGTGAGTAAATAGTTTGCATGCTGCTTTATATAATGTTAATTAATATTTGTTATAAATAAATCGACGTCAGACAAAATTTATTGTTCTATGTCATAACCAAGCATCGTCCTCTAGCCTCTATTACGGAGCTTTATATGAAATCAAAGGGCTGCACGCTCTGTGGTATTTTCTGATCTTTGCAATATAAATCGTATTGTATATCTGTATGTATTTTTCTGTATAAGTTTATTTTTATATACTATAATTCATCTTACAGGGCACCGAGATGCAGCGAGTGCATTTAGATTTTTAACTACATGTATAACAGTTTGAGTTTGATACATACGGAATTTTTGCAAAAAAATCATATATGTTCATCTTTTATGACAGCTACACTTTATCCTTGCATATCGTGGCCACTTCCTTCAAAATACACTTAAAAATATAGTTGCTGGGGTTTGAACTCAAGACCTCTCACACCCTTAACGAGTGCGATACCCATGCACCACGAGAAGTTATATGAAGAAAGCTTGAATAACATCAAATAATTCTAAATTTAGAAATTCCATTTCGAGTTTGTAATCCTTATTAATTTCGAGTTATTTCGTTCACGATAAACCTGTTGTTTAACACCGATTTAAATAATTTTGCGAATTCTTCTCGCCAAAACAGTCTGACATGTATATATTCCACTACTCGACATTTTTCCATTGATTAAAATGATATTATTCCGCGTAATTTGTGATTGTGCATTTATTGACAAATCTATAAGCCAGCGCTACTTTTAAACTTTGAATGCGTAGTAATTTGTTTGATACTTGTAACAAAATAAAAATATTTCTTTCTTTTACATTGCTAGTTTTAAGCTGTTTTGAGAACTACATGTTGTTAGGTTTGTCTTGAAATCTGTGCCAGAGATTGAATGTCAGCATTGTATTTCTTGATCTGCGATCAGAAAATACAATAAAAGTCTATGACTCCTAAAATAAAGAAAAACAGAATCCCTAAAGAAAGCCCAACACGGCAAAATTGAAAATGTTGTAGGCTCGGTTTGATTGAGCCTGTTCATGGACGGCACTGGCAATGCAAGTTACCGTCCACGCCCCCTAGCACCAGCTTAAGCAGAATTCAACATTTAAACACAAAAAATGGTGAAATTTTGAATTTAGAAACATCCGCAGATGTGTTCATACGGCGGTTATCATGGAACCTTCAATGTGACACGGTAGTGCCATTCCATGAAAAGCGGCATATACATGTATGGTCCGGCCCCTATTAAAAAATGCTTGTGCCCTAAACGAGAAAACAATGGGCAGAACTAAATAAAATGGAATTTTGAAAGGGGATTTGAGGTTATGAAGCCTGCATATCACAGATAAGACGTCAAAAGACAATTTAAAAAGCAGGCAATATATCCTTAATTAGGGTGATTAGACAGTATTCAAGTAGGAATACTGGAACCACCCAAGTTGAAAAAGGCCAAATAAAAGAAACTAAAATACCACATAACATGTAAACACAACACTTATGTCGTGCTGAACGATCTCCAAGGATAGAAAATATAACATCTTGGGGAGACTTTTTACGGCCTAAGCCTTTAAAATATTACATTCGGCGGAAAGATAAATTCTTTAGTGGTGTTCAATCTTTTAGTTTAATTTATTAGTGTTTTGAAACCTTAGTGTTCGGTAATTTCCGACTATCACGGAATTTGACGACTGCATCCCGGCAAGTTTGTAAACAAAAGTTACAGACTAAAAATATTTACCCAAACATCAAAGAAGTTTATAATGCTGATGTGAAAGCAAACACTGAAAATGCCTGAAATAAAGCTCCAACATATTGTTTCATTTAGTAGTGAGGAAAAGGTATATGATAAAAGATTATTCAGCATAATTTCTTGTGCAACAAATTTTCGCGACATTGCCTTTGTGAAGTTTTAAGAAAATTTTAGTTTTTACCAGCTTAGATGTCAAAGTTTAGTGTTAAGTTAACATTGAAAACTATTTTAAATGATCTACATACAGAAAGCTTTGCATGATTTATTTACTTTCTTATTCATATAATAATATTGGCTCATAGTGTCACACGGAAATCGCAATTTCAGCATTTTTCAAGCTGGGTTCATCTACATTATACTGCTTAACAATCAATTCTGATTTGACTAGCAGGCGAAAGTATATATAATAGGCTCATTCTATATTTGTAGTATATAAAATTGACAGTGATAAACATACCGGTCTGTTCAAGGAAATTGCTCAATCATCATGTGAATAGTGCATGGCCAGATTCAGTAAAATTTGGTACCCACAATGCCAAAGGTGTTAGACACATTTGTCAGAGTGTCTTGCCAATTGACCTTTTCGAAAACCTAGCTAAACACCGTTTTCCGGTACGTTACGGATTTAGCTCTGGGGAATTACACCAAATGAAGTACATAACACAGTTACATGATATTTCTATTTTTCTATCATTATTTTACCGTTTAAGGTGAACAAAATTGATGTTTTTGAAAATTATCAATATTACTTTAATATCTTTTGCAAATTTTTAAAAAAATAAATTGTTTATAATGAAAATCAATAAAATTTATACAGACGTAGTGGAATCTTCCAAAATAAATAAGGTTATTTTCTGCGTAAACTTGTGTATTTACTTTATTTTTTGTATGGAATTATTCATACAATGATATTTAATTATTTTCTTATAAAGAAATAATTTTTATTTCAATTTAATTTAAAGAAAGGGCCAAAAACATCGAGTTCGCTGTTACACTCCATTAGGTGAATTTACCAGAGCTATGTACAGAATGTACCGGAAAACAGCGTTTAGCTAGGTTTTTTGAATTCGTGAATAATGGTCAAATAATCATAAAATAATATCCACTTGATCATCATGAACAAAATAACTATCCATATATATAAAATATATACAAGTTATATAACTCACCGTAGCGTATTTCTTGGCATGGTCAACATATAGCTCTCGCATTTTTTTAAATAAGACATATTTTTATACCTATACAGGTTTTTTTCCCCCACATGTTTGGGAAGCAGCCCTGCCCTTAAATTTGGGGGAAAATTACATGGTTTATTTGCAAAAAGGGAAGAAAAAACTTGATGTAAATTCAATTTTTGGGGAAAACTGCATGATTTTAAAGAATTTTTCTTTGGGGGAAGCAGCCCAGTAACAGCCCCTGCTATAAACGGAAAAAGGGCTCTGCTATTTTTGCAAACATAGCACAATAGATGTATCTTTCAAAAACCGTTAAAAATATTGAGCCATCAGTGTCTTCATTTATGATAAATGAAATATCAAACTTGAGTCATGAAGAATTACCTAAATTTTGCTTGGTCAACATGTTATGTGCAATTGAAACTTACATATCCACGGTAGAACCACCATGAGTAAACATACATTTAGCTGTTTGCTTTTCATTATAAAGTCTTCCATTCTTAGTTTTGAGATGTTTTACTTGCATACTAATGACTCAAGGAAATTGTACTTTAGTCTTTACAAACAAAAATTTTCAGACTGATTTTCATTGGAAAATTTGTGGCACAGTGCATACCAAATAACCAATTCATGAAAAAATACATATTGAGTGAATATCAAATGCGCTATTTTAGTTAGGACACTTTTAGTCCAAATTAGTCTCTTTCTTTCCTAATGTCAAAAAAAAAGTGGAGAAAAAAACAACAACCCAACGTTAGCTAAAAAATAAACTTTTTCTCATTCTGAGAAAAAATGAACTGTATGTCTTTTATGCAATGTATATAGTAACTACACTTTTCATACATGTATATTAGAATTATGAACAGTTTTTCATTGCTTTTTATGCACTCTGCATCTGCACTCATCCCATCCCATAAATTAAAATATTATTAGACATATTGATATTATTTTTCTATAAACTTTTGAAAACAGGGTTTACCTTGTCATGTACATTCAGACCAAAGTTTTTAAGAATTCATTTCAAGCATTATGACTATCATACTTTTCTTTACTTACTAGAACCATCCAGCAGACAATCTACTGAAGCCTGAAGGGACATATAAATGGAAATGTGCAGCACCGGGTGAAAAGAGTGTATCTGTAGTTATTCAGGTATTGTATATTAAAGAAGACTTTTTAATGTATCATTGTGTCATCACCTGTATAGAGTAGCTTCAACATATAGAGATCAGTCTAGTCGTGCATATTGTAGGCATTTTCCAGTTAAGTGATTTCTGTAAGAGTTATTGCCATCCAATGATTTTTATTTTCAAAATTTGTCCGGACTACTTCTCTTTTACTACTGATGCAATTTGAGTGAAACTTTAGAGCATTGATCGATATCTCAGGCTCAAGTACTAGCTTATGTTTTATGGGTTTTCAGCTGAAATGATTTTTAGGTGAGTTAGTGTGTTGTGTTTCTTGCTACACAGTAGCTGCAAATGCAATGAAATAGCAGCGACATACAGTGAACCAGGGCTTCCATTAATGGAAGTTTGGAAGTCATTTACTCCCTGTTTTTCCTTGTGACTTCCAAAATTTAAAAATGTTCCTTCTTAGCCTATATGCTGTGACTTCCAATCTTGGAGACTTGGCAGCCTCTGACTTCCAAATTTTGAAACTTAATGGAAGCCCTGGTAAACAAACTGGTCAATTACCTCTTGATTCAACGCTTATTTAGCTATCGTCAGGCGACACATGGTCAGTGATCGCTCTTGTTTTTAAACATGAAAAAGGCACAAAGGTTTTTGATATTTGAAGGGAAAATTTCAGCATTTTAATAATATTGGTGAAAGAAAAACATCAATTTTATATGAGAAAAGTACTTACCTCACCTGGTAAAATTTTAAAAAATATTTGCCTAATCAAATTGATTATACATTGATAATATGTATATAATACAATAATTTATATATATTTGTATATCTTCACAGTTTGAGAAAGCGTCACAAATACAGAGTATAGATATAGGAAATGAAGGGTCAGCATTTGTAGAGATTCTGGTTGGCAGGTCGTCTGCTGCCAATGATCATGACTATCAGGTATGATAAAAATATTAAGGGGAACGGTGGCCTAGTGGTTAAGGTGTCTGCCTCTCAACCTAGGGATCGTTGTTTTGAGCCCTACTCGGGTTACGATCATGATTCCTCATATGACAGCAGTACTGGTTAGTTCCAGAAAGCGGACTAGAAAGTGCTTACCGTAATAGAGGCTGCAAGAGTTTGTTTCACAATCAAGCTAAAATAAATATGTTTAAACTAATAAAAATGTTTTTAAATTCTTTTAATTATATAATAGTCTTTGTTATGTTACAGTCAATCTTGTCTAATCAACTATGGTCATTTATGATACACAGCAGCATTATTGCAATTTTCATATCTTTAGTTTGGTGACATCATCGAATACCCACGGTTTATATTAGATTATGTATTATGTACAATTACATACCCCGGGTAACCAGCAATGGTTTGGTGACAACTAGGTAGCATTGACTATTGTATGGGTTCAAAATAACTCTCAGGATGTCTTATTTACATGGCCATTGGCCATAGAAAGCAAGTGATGCTTTAAACTACCTTTTGTGTAGAGATTTTAATGATTGGAAATCAACATACAAATGACAGTGACTATATCTCATTAAAAAGTGAGATTTTGAAAAAAATTAAATTCTCGAAAGAGTAAAGCACAAATAAAACTATAAAATAATTCATTTTTTAAAGTGAGAGATATAGCCCATCTTCACTAATAAGATACACATTTTCTGTAAATTTAATGGCACATTTTAATAATAGGTCTCAGAAATGAATAAAATTTTCTTCTTTAGAAAGAGCAAACATGAATTTTATGATTGTCTAAATACACGCATGACTGTTGATATCTTTTCACAAGTCGACTGGTCAGCAAGTGGATCTGCGCCAATTAGTCTGGCTTCGAATGATAATTAGTATGGCTTCGAATAATAGGTGTGAAATTCTTTCATAATTGTATAATAGGGATTGAAATTTACGTCGAAAAATAGGATGTATACTATTCGGATAATGCATTTCGAATAATACGCTTATATTGATATTGATTTATATAGAGATAAAAACGGGACCGCCGATCTACTTCAAATAATGCTAGGTATTCGAATAAAGGGTTGTCAAATAACTGAGGTCGGACTGTATATTAGATTTGGTTTTTTTTTAGATGTTTAAAGTGCCTTTGAAATTAATTTTAAAGAGGTAATAAATTGAAGATTGTGTTCTTAGCAGGAAAAGCCTAAATTAGATTTATGTCTTGTTGAAAACAAGATAAACTTTAAGAAATTGTTATTTTTACTCAGGTATTGTTGGTTGCATCATCATTTATGACGCCTCTAGAAGCAAGGAATGGTACAAATAGAAACAGTGTACGCATGTTTGATGCACGTAAATTATCAGCTGCTGTCTCCAGCCAAAAATGGGACAGGGTGAAAATTGTTTGTACACAACCATTTAACAAGGTATACTTTTTTGTTTCTTCTCCTTTTATTATGTTCCAGTTAAATAAAAAAAATTCATATCAGAATTAAGTGTAACATACAAGTCAGTTTATTTATTTCCATTGCACAACATTTAAACAATTAAAAAATCCATGTATGTTTAATCAACTGTACTGTAAGCATAAAATTAAATCTTTAACTGCTGAATGTCTTAAATGGACTTGTCCAGCTTCCATTTTAGGAACTGTCCATTACCAAACTTGGGGATATCAGTATAGAGCTTGGCACAGATGTGCAGGCTGGCTCTATTTTGGTGGCAAAGGCTATATACATTGCCAGCATTAGGTCATTAGACATTTATGTCAGAAGTTCTTGTCTGTGGTATGGGACATGTTTGCTTACAATTTTGCTGATGGCACTGTATATAATAACAATCTTCCTTCACCAGTTATTCAAATGATTTACATTGAGAACTATGAGAAGATAACAGTTCCTGGTGGAATTGTAAGTTATCAAACTCAATTCAAATTAAAATCAGATCATCCTTTTCGCTCTGATACTCTTTGCTGCAAAGGGTAGTGTGGAACAACAGTAAGGATATGATTTTAATGAGATTGTAAAGTCCATGCACTGATGTTACATGAAAAGGGAAGTTTTATAAGTAAAGCACTTACAGTGTATTTGACAGAAATATATGTATTGCAATATTGATGTTAAGCTCAAAGCCTCGGCAGCAAAACAACGAAAATATTTTTCAAAAAAAAAGATAATGTTGTTCCATTATGATTTCAGACAAGTACATTTGGTTTATCATTCATCAAGTTTCACAGTCCATCACTACCTGGAGATAAAGGTTCAGGGGTAGGTATTTAGCAGGTTTAATATGTATCTGACTTTTGCAACAACATTTGAAAACTACAAAATTTATTACATCTTTAAAGTAACACAGTTTTTGTGACAGAAAATTTACAGGATACTTTGTTTAAAGCACCATCTTATTTTCTCATTTCACCTATTGTTCCATCTCATACTATCCAGTTCTTGTAAACTTATGGCCAGTTTTCTCCTTGTCCTTCTTGATGTGATCAAGTTCAGAAAACTTACTATTTTATTCACCCTCTTCACTATAAACTACATTGTATACTAAACAGTAAAAACATGGAGGAAAAGGGATATTATTATTACTTTTTATTTTATTCATTTATTTCTCTGTATTTAGATTGAGATCTTTATATATACATATAGATGGAGTTAATGCTTATTTGAACTGTCTTCTTGAGTTGATCAGGAATGTATTCCATAAACTGTTATTAAAAGTGTCATTGAAATAGAAAAAAGATGAAAACACCTAAAATAGTTTAAAATAGAAAAAAAAGAAAACCGGTCAAATTTCAAAAATGAAAATGTTGCAGACTGTCAAATTTAGACTGTATTAAAAGCCGCATATTATCATACAATTACAGATATCTTTGCCTCTTAAAAAGTTCACATATTTTAATGTTGTAAATATATATATGTTTGTTCAACCCATTATGACATAGGAAGGTGAAAAGAAGGTTGGATTTTTCAAGCTGAAGACAGATGATAAGGATGATGTTAAAACAGGAAGTCTGTTTTCACACCGGAAGCCAGAAACCAGTACCCCTTCTACTCCATTGTCAGGTATACTTTTTATTTCCATGCTTATATTTAATTGTGCACCATAGTTTAATGACCAATGGATTGTAATGTTGTTGGATGGGATGGCAAGATAAATCAACATGGACATTAGCCAGTTTCTACCCCACTTATCAGTCTTTCCAGCTGTAATGTATTAGTCAAATACAAATGTATTTTGTTTTCCTAATAAACTTTTGCTTACTAAGCATGTTCCTTAATTTCCGATGTATTATATATTTGTTAGTTTGAAACATTATTATTTAACTGTACGTTATTTACATGTAATCCTTAACATACTAAAGTTTTACTGGAGACTTTTGTAATGTTAATTTGAGGGATTTGATATTTAATGGTTAATTTTTAACCCTGAACCTGCTGGCGGTAAAAGATTCTACCCATGCCCCCATTGCAAATCAAGATCAGATTGCACATCCACACTGCCAGATCAAGGTCTCCTCTATTCTTTTTTCAGTCAGTACTTATCTTATAACTTTCACTATAAAAATGATGAATGGTTTTGTCCAGATTTAAAGATGGACAAGTCTGTATAAGATATTTAGTGAGATAAGTATTAAGTAGTGAACTGTAAACAATATAGTCACACTGCCAGGACATTTCTTTTCACTGGTTTGATAGTTTAATGATTATTGCTATTAATCACTGAAGAAAACAATAATAATAGTTTGAAAAAACAGACTAAATATTTTAAATATTTGGTTCATACCAACTGTGTATGATATATGTGTATGTATGATAATTGCCAAAAAATATCAATATTCATATTATCGATATTGTAATGTAGCGTTTGCATTGTAACCATTCGATATTATGACACAGAATATTTCTAATTGCTGAGGTTTTATTCAGGTTTTAGGTTCTATTGCTACCCATTAACAGATACAATTGATAGATTCCTACTCTGCACTTTCATTTGAATAACAATAGATTTAACCACAAACTTTGACATGTGCACAAATAGGTTGTGATGAAATTCTTATCGTATCCACTAATCTGAAGTTAAGGGATCTATGCATTGTAGTGAGTCTGCGATTTTCACTTTCATTTCAGTACTTTTCTGGTGTTTCACTTGTTTAGAATCAGAACATAACACATAAAGATAAATATTTACAGGTGCTGCAGCTGTGAGGGCAGCATCAAGGTTAGCGGAACAGTCTAAACCATCAACCTCTCCATCGTCATCATCTACACCTGCCAAACTAGCAACTAAAGCTACTTTTGAATCCCCGAAAGAAGAGCCCAAAAATCAGGGAAAGAAAGTTCCCACCCCTGTAAGTAGCATATCTTATATCAAAGATTAACAAAAAAAAAATAATCTATAATGGTGGGTTTCTTTCTTTCTTTGTTCTGAAATTTGTGAGGGTTGTGTAGATGATATTGAAAGGTGCAGAGTGATGAAGGTTTCCAAAATTGCATCGCTTTCCACAACTGCAGTGAGATCAAATCCTGCTTGAGGCTTTGAATTCTTTCAGGCTCAGAAGCTACAAAGCTAGCTCACAGAAGGTTGGTGGTAGGCGGTTCTTCTTATATGCCTGCTTATGCCAGAAATAATGCTGGGGAAGCGTCTGAGGTTTTCTAGAAAGTCTCTGTATAATTACCTTTACATTGTCACGGGGGAGGAAGTGTTACACGAAGGATGGAGTTCTTATGATAACTTGTTTGGAGTTCTTATGATAACTGTCACGGAGTTCCTGGAAAACGTTACGGATTTCTGTGGAAAACTTTTCTATTTACTTGGAGAACTCACGTGAAAAATGGTCATTTTTACCTTTAAATGGGGAGTTTGAGAGGCTAAATTAAACTTTGATAATTAAGCTTGCCCTACATATTGTATTATGTTTCAGAAAAACCTTTTATTCCATTTTTCATCACCTTTTTTTTTAAAAATTTGGTAGTTTTGAGTAAAATTTCCAAATTACTTGCTCATTCGTACATATTGACCTTTTCATTTGTGATCTTCTTCGTTGCTATACATAATTACATAATTATAATGCAGAGTTGCAAACATAAAGCCCAGGCTAATTAATTTATACCCGATTTTTCAAATGTCACGGAGTTCTTGTGATAACTCAAAATATGTTCCGGAGTTCTTATGATAACTTTTGTTACTGCCAGTGTGTTTCTTGTGCTAAATTACGGCCCGTTTAAGCATATTTTATTAGTCAATAAGTGTGTAAATCATTATGAAGCATAGTACGCGTATCATTTGCACACACATTTGGTTATATAACGGTGGTTTAGAGTGTATTTCAGTTCAAGAGATATTTTTCTTACCTCCGTTTCTTGTGTTTTTAGCTCACCTGTCACAAAGTGACAGGGTGAGCTTTTGTGATCGCTTTTAAATGACATCTCCTCATAAACCACTAGGCCAATTTCATCCAAACTTCACAGGAATGTTCCTTTGGTGGTCACCTTTAAAAATTGTTCAAAGAATTTAATTCCATGCAGAACTCTGGTTGCCATGGCAACCGAAAGAAAAAACTTTAAATATCTTCTTTTAAAAAACCCAAAGAGCTAGAGCTTAGATATTTGGCATGAAACATCATCTAGTCAGTGTCTACCAAGTTTGTTCAAATAAAAGTCCTGGGGTCAAAATTGGCCCCGCCCCAGGGGGTCATTGATTTTCCCTATATGCATATAGTAAAACCTTAAAAAATCTTCTTTTAAAAAACCCAAAGAGCTAGAGCTTAGATATTTGGCATGAAACATCTTCTAGTCAGTGTCTACCAAGTTTGTTCAAATAAAAGCCCTGGGGTCAAAATTGGCCCCGCCCCAGGGGGTCATTGATTTTTCCTTTATGCATATAGTAAAACCTTAAAAAATCTTCTTTTAAAAGTCCCAAAGAGCTAGAGCTAAGATATTTAGCATGAAACATCCTCTAATGGGTGTCTTCCAAGTTTGTTCAAATAAAAGCCCTGGGGTCAAATTTGGCCCCGCCCCAGGGGGTCATTGATTTACCCTATATGCATATAGTAAAACCTTAAAAAATCTTCTTTTAAAAAACCCAAAAAGGTAGAGCCTAAATATTTGGCATGAAACATCTTCTAGTCAGTGTCTACCAAGTTTGTTCAAATAAAAGCCCTGGGGTCAAAATTGGCCCCGCCCCAGGGGGTCATTGATTTTCCCAATATGCATATAATAAAACCTTAAAAAATCTTCTTTTAAAAAACCCAAAGAGCTAGAGCTAAGATATTTAGCATGAAACATCCTCTAATGGGTGTCTACCAAGTTTGTTCAAATAAAAGCCCTGGGGTCAAAATTGGCCCCACCCCAGGGGGTCATTGATTTACCCTATATGCATATAGTAAAACCTTAAAAAAATTTTCTTTTAAAAAACCCAAAGAGGTAGAGCTTAGATATTTGGCATGAAACATCTTCTAGTCAGTGTCTACCAAGTTTGTACAAATAAAAGCCCTGGGGTCAAAATTGGCCCCGCCCCAGGGGGTCATTGATTTTTCCTATATGCATATAGTAAAACCTTAAAAAATCTTCTTTTAAAGAACCCAAAGAGCTAGAGCTAAGATATTTAGCATGAAACATCCTCTAATGGGTGTCTACCAAGTTTGTTCAAATAAAAGCCCTGGGGTCAAATTTGGCCCCGCCCCAGGGGGTCATTGATTTACCCTATATGCATATAGTAAAAACTTAAAAAATCTTCTTTTAAAAAACCCAAAGAGCTAGAGCTTAGCTATTAAGCATGAAACCTCTTCTAGTGGGTGTCTAACAAGTTTGTTCAAATAAAAGCCCTGGGGTCAAAGTTGGCCCCGCCCCAGGGGGTCATTGTTTTTCCTTTTATGTATATAGTTAAAACATAAAAAATCTTCTTTTAAAAAATCTTAAAAGCTAGAGCTAAGATATTTAGCATGAAACATCTTCTAATGGATGTCTACCATTTTTGTTAAATTAAGGGCCCTGGGGTTAAAAAATTGGCCCGGCCCCGGGATCATTGATTTTCCCTATATGTATATAGTAAAAACTGAAAAAATGTTCTGTTAAAAAGCCCAAAGAGATAGAGTTTAGATATTAAGCATGAATTATTTTCTAGTGAGTGTTTACCAAGTTTGTTCAAATAAAAGCCCTGGGGACAAAATTGGCCCGCACAGAGGGTGTGGGTCATTGTTTTTCACTATATGTGTTTAGTAAAAACTTAAAGATTTTCTTAGAGCTAGAGCTTAGATATTTATCATGAAACATCTTCAAATGGGGATCTACCAAGTTTGTTCAAATAAAAGCCCCTGGGTTAAAATTAGCCCCGCCCCGGGGGCCTATATACAGGTGAGCGATTTCAGGGCCATCATGGCCCTCTTGTTTGTGTTTGTTTGGGTTTTTGGGTTTGTTTGATTGTTGTTTTTTTCCATTTCATTGGAATGACTGAAAACATACTTGATGTAGAGCATTTACTTACAGGATAAAACTACGCTTTGAATTTAATATTTAAGCATGATTTCTTCATGTATACATTATTCCTGGCAGTTCTAGAGAACATAAAGTAATTATGCTATCGGTCTGCCGAAACAAATTACATGTAAATGGATGGTTTGCAGCAAAAGTATGCACTACCTTTATCTAAATTTAATGAGGTGGGTGTCATCTTTAGATATTCAATGGATATCTTAATTTCTAAAACGTATCAATTTTGTCATAGAAACGTAAAAAGTACTATGACAATGATATGACAATAGAAAGTAAGAATTTAATAATATATGTGAGTCACCATTAAAGGCTTACTTTCTATTGTCTTAGAACTTAATATGTTTCTATGACAAAATTGCAACCATTTACATGTAATTTGTTTCGGCAGACCGATAGCATAATTACTTTATGTTCTCTAGAACTGCCAGGAATAATGTATACTGAAGAAATCATGCTTAGATATTAAATTAAAAGCGTATTTTTATCCTGTACAGTAAGTAAATGCTCTACATCAAGTATGTTTTCAGTCATTTCAATGAAATGGAAAAAAACAACAATCAAACAAACTCAAAAACCCAAACAAACACAAAAAACACAAGAAACGGAGGGAAAAAAATATCTCTTGAACTGAAATACACTCTAAACCACCGTTATATAACCAAATGTGTGTGCAAATGATACGCAAACTATGCTTCATAATGATTTACACACTTACTGACTAATAAAATTAGCTTAAACGGGCCGTAATTTAGCACAAGAAACACACTGGCAATAACAAAAGTTATCATAAGAACTCCGGAACATATTTTGAGTTATCACAAGAACTCCGTGACATTTGAAAAATCAGGTATAAATTTATTAGCCTGGGCTTTATGTTTGCAACTCTGCATTATAATTATGTAATTATGTATAGCAAGGAAGAAGATCACAAATGAAAAGGTCAATATGTACGAATGAGCAAGTAATTTGGAAATTTTACTCAAAACTACCAAATTTATTTATAAAAAGGCGATGAAAAATGGAATAAAAGGTTTTTCTGAAACATAACACAATATGTAGGGCAAGCTTAATTATCAAAGTGTAATTTAGCACCTCAAACTCCCCATTTAAAGGTAAAAATGACCATTTTTCATGTGATCTCTCTAAGTAAATAGAAAAGTTTTCCACAGAAACCCGTAACGTTTTCCAGGAACTCCGTGACAGTTATCATAAGAACTCCAAACAAGTTATCATAAGAACTCCATCCTTTTTGTAACACTTCCTCCCCCGTGATTGTGGTGTGACTTTAAACTCATTCTGCCATATTTGCAACAAGAAAACATGAGCAGAGGTAAGGCATTTGAATCAAGCCTTCCAATTTGGCTATAATAATGATATTATATTTATTAAAGGCTACTATTCAGATATTATGCTCTTGTTTTCTAGTCACAGAACAGAGAGAAGAGAAAGCACAATGTTAGTGATAATGATGACACGGATGAGGAGACTGATGACATACCTGCTCTACGTAAACAATCTACCAGTCTTAGTTCTGTCGCATCTAAAGACTCTGGAAAGTCCCACAAACAGCCACCTTTGAAGAAAACCAAATGTAATTTGTGTGCTAGATTTTTAGTAGAATATAGGGAGCTATTTGACTTTTCGTGTCATTGGTTTACTTTGTGCAATTTCATTTCTTATTGTTAGATATACAATTTCATTTCTTATAATTAGATATACTATGAACTTCACACATGTGTCTTTAGGATTCATGTTTTAGGGCCAATACCTAAGACCCATAACTCTAGCATGAATTTTTATTAAATTTTAAGCACTCCTATTTGTAATTTAGAAATTTTTTGGATTTAGTGCAAGACTTGCTCAAGTTTTTCTTACAATTTTATATCTCATTAACAATTCACTAGCAATTTTATGTAAGTCTTCAGAGTTCAAATTGTAGGTACATGTATAACTCTAGCAAGAATTTCTGAATTATTTCCCCGTCTGGGATTTAAAATTTTTCAATGGCTCCAGTTTAACAAAAGTAAGAGTGCACTTTCCATATGACAGCTCTAGTTTCATAACAGCCTAACAATTTTAAATATACTAGTTTGTAAATGGAATGAAAAGATTTCAACATTTTGAATTTGATTTAATTTGTAGTATAACACAATACAGCATACTCTAAGATAAATAAACGTCAGTGATAATTTGGTATAAATACTACTGATAATAAATAGGTACAACTGTGAATGTTAGTTTAAAATTTTCTTCTTGCTTGATACATGTATTTAGTATATTTCATGTCAAGTCTTATCCACATTTTAAACAGCAAGGTTAATTATTTGCAGCTGAGCCACCAAAAGAGTCCCCAGTGAAAGAGTTCAGCAAGTTAATGGATAGAGTGACATTTGTAATGAGCGGGTACCAGAACCCATACAGAGCAGAGTTGAGGGATCGAGCCTTGTCCATGGGTGCCACTTATAGACCAGACTGGGGGAAGGGATGTACACATCTTATGTAAGTTTTTTGTTTTGTTTCTCATGCTACATTGATTGTCAGAAATGGTTCTTGTTACTATAAATAGTTAATTTACTAGATATCAGCAAGACATATTATGGAGTTTTCTGGATTGTCTTAGAGAAAAACCTACCTTTGTATTGAATCAGGTGTAAATATGCACATGTAGTTCATTTGAATCCTAGTGTTCTTATTTTAGAATTTTAATTCACAGATACGAGCTTGATTGTATGGTCACATGTGCTTCTTTTATGTAACAAAGTATGTTTTTTGTTTTTGTTTTCAATTCCAAAGGTGTATGTTGAAAGAGGCAATTGAATAAAGATAAAAATGTTATGTTAGACTTGTTAAAAGGATTCCTTTCATAGGTTAAGTTCAATAAATTTCTTCATATGTTGAATTTGAATGTGAAAAAGTAATCATAATACTGTTCTCTTACTAGGTGAGCATGTCACAGGGTGTAAAAAATTTTTCAGCCTGTCTGAGAAGCCGACCTGGGACACTCTTAAGTACTGTTCCACGTCACATCCGACTGAGATCTCAGGCCGCTTACATTTGATTTTCCCTAAAATATTGAATAGTTCTTTACAGTAATAATAAGTAAGAAACGTTATATTTATTTCAGATGTGCATTTGGAAATACTCCAAAGTATAATCAGGTTAAAGGTCGTGGGAAAATTGTGGATAAAAAATGGATAAATGACTGCTATAAACAGAAGAAATTGTTGCCATGGAGAAAGTAAGAAAATCTTAAATATCAACAAAACTGTTGTTACACATGCATGGCAATATGTTTAGCAATTTCATAAGTCATTCTTGCTGTTTGTTTGTGTGATGCCATTTGAATTGTAAAGTGATATCATACTTTATGTAATATATAACATTATATACAGTGCTTGTGACCAATGGTTGTATTCCTTTTAATAAGAAAGAAATCACTTTAAGATTGGTTTTTAAGAAAACTAAATGTATACTAACTAGAACTATATATATGTGGTATGCAATGTTATTTGTGACAGACTTAAGCTTTGCGGGTTAGGTTCATTTAAGAAGAAAATTTGGAGCAGAGTGTAAATTTTCATTTAAAAAAATGCTATTATGTCTAAACTTGTTATTCAGTAAAATACACTGAATATATTGTTTTGTTTTTACAGTTATAGAGTAGGTGATGCAGAGTCACCAGATGAAGATTCTGATGAGGAGGTTTTACCTGTTAAATCTAAAACAGGTAAACAGACAACACTATTTTATCTATAATAAAGTGCTTATTCATAGATTTGTGTTGTTGTCTTTTAAACAATTGTGTAAATGAAAATTTAATGAACACTGAACAATTATAAAGCCTTTTTTTGGTTGCTATAAAATATTCTTTGCAGAACTCTGTGTATGGAACACATTTCCAGCATTTATATAATTCATAAAGAAATTACTAAGGTGATTCCCTGCCGAATTTATGTGATAGATTTGCTGTGTTTCAGTTTGTATCAGTCCATGTGAAGTTTAGGGAATTAAATATCATAATGTAAAAAAATTGAGCTACCAACACAGTATTGAGCCTGGTCAGACACAGAATTGCAGTGTGGCCAGGCTTTGAATTGGTTGGTTTAAGCTGGTAATGCGTTAATCCATCCAATTTTTTATATAATTTCATAAATGAATCTAAAAGACATGCACATAATAGAAAATATAAGAAGTAAAACTTGTTTAGAATTGAATTCATAAAGGCAATTTTTTTTCACTTCAGAAACACCGAAGCAGAAAACACCTAAGAAAGAAGGTAAAAGATTTCCTCTTGATTTACTTGTTTTGTTGTGCATCTTTTATGTTAAATGTGGCACAGTGCATTATAAATTGTTTGCAGTTGACAAGGTAGAGAGAGAGAATAAATTATTTCTATAGTTATATGATCATGTGTGAGCAAGTAAGAGAAGGAGTATTCTTTAAGGTTGTAGACTTCTTACTATCTCAAACACTTGTTTTCCACTATGGTTCTGTTCCTTTGGAGAATGATCAGCGTTAACATCATCATTAACAGATTGATGATCAGTATTATCCGATTGGTTGCCTCAGATAAAAATGAAAAGTCTGATGATTTTTTTTGCCACAACATAGCATGACATTATTTGATTCTATTCAAGTTTCAAGCAATTACCAGAAATACTGTGGTAAGAGCTGGTTATGCTCTCAGTTTTAGACACTCGCCTCAAGTATTACAGTAAAAGTTTGTGTTTATGCTTTACAAAAAACTACTGCTGTTGAATATTTTGTTCTCTGTAAATGTCAAAAGAATGAGATTAACCTAAAGCCTGTTATAAACCTAAAGTGGTTGTAAATTATAGAAAAGACACCAGTTGTGGATGTTGCCGATAGTGATGATGATATGTATGGGGGAAATACTGACTCAGGGGGAGACACTGAAGATGAAATAAGAAGGTAAATCATTATACAGTCTAACCTGTCAATAAAGGACACCTGCAGGTAGCTTTGTATTGATAACTTATTAGACATTGTTGTTTTATTGTTGTTTTCCACACTTAAATATGACATTTTCCATATAGTTTGAAGCATAAATCTGTGCTACATACATTATGTAAATTCTATTAAAGTCTTTTTAAAGATCAATGCATTATATTCTCATAAAATAAAAGAATCGAGAAGATTTAGAAATTTTTTATCTTCTAGTTCTCATAAAATTATGCTTCATACACATATATATATATATATATATATATATATATATATATATATATATATAATATATATATATATATATATATACATAATACTGATGTTTCCGTGTCAGGAACCTGTACAAGATTGTTGTCAGTTCTGATAATTTGCAATTTCTCTTAGATTCTATACTTACTGATTAAGATATAATTAACCAGTCTAATCACAATTTTAAGGATAAAAGAGGGAAAAGGTAAGAAAAAGAAGGCAAGTCCAGGGAAGAGTCCAAAGAAAGAAAGTCCGAAGAAGGCATTACCAGCAGATCCATATGATGTAGATACAGATGAAGATGATAAACCAGGTAAGACAATATCATCAAAGTTTAATGTTCTATTCCAAAAATAGAAAATATCATCTTATTTGCAATCTTGTATATACATTACAAGTGTTTACACAGAGGTGCGATATTTTGTGCCCAAAAGGGAATATAGTATTTGATACAAGTGTCACAGGGGCGTCTGTGGTCAAGTGATTAAAATTGCCTTCTCCAAATCAATTGCACTTCTGCACTGTGTGTCCAACTGCGGTGAACCTGAAACAATGCACAAAGGGACACCATAGGTCTTCCTCCACCAGTAAAGTTGGGAAATTGCTTTAGGATCTTAAGAAGTGTTTGTATGATTTTAAAACCAAACGGAAACAAACTTGTCTTCTCCTGATCTAAATCTGATCAATGGACAAGTAAGATAGATATATCTACAAAGCATGTCTCATTGTTTTCCTGGTTCATTTCCACATCCGGCATATTTTTTTATTATTATTTCAGGACCGAGTGAAAACAATGATGCAGATTCCGATGGTGATTCTGGTTTGCCGGAACTTCCTGACTTTTTTGCAGACAAACATTTCTTTTTATATGGTGAGATGGAAGCTTCAACGAGACGTCTGATGACCAGGTTTATCACAGCTTACGCTGGGTAATATACTTTATTCTGTACATACACACGTTTCTCTTTTGTGGCCACCGTTTAATCCCTGCATGATTGTAAGAGGTGACTAAATGGGTTTGAATTATTAGAGTCTATGCCTACCTTAGCTCCAGCAGGTGCAGTGGTGTTGACCCCTGGTGTTGCTTTAAGTTTGTAACACCCAAGGTTAGCCAAATCATCTTTCCTCTTAACGGTGCCATTTGACCTAAATTGTGTTATTGTAAAACCAAACAAACAAACAAAAGATACACTTGTTTCATTTGACCTATTTTCTAGCAACTATTTGGCTATAGTTTTGGGTAGGATGTTGAGCATAAGTTAAAATGAAATATTTTTCTTAGTAAAGTGTACATGCTGAAAATAATATATATTATGAATTAAGATGCTATCTTTGCCAAATTTAAATCAAGTAGTTTCTCCTATTTTTAAGCAAAACATAGCAAAATTTAGAAATGTCTAGGGTTTGTGTTGGGATTATGTCCCAAGATTGACCACCTAAGGCTGTAAATGTTCCTAAAATTCAAGTTTTGAGGTAAGGGATTTTTTTAAAAATGTAGAGTTTTTGACAATAAATAAAAATAACAACCTTTTTTTTGTTTTTGAAATTACTACCACTTTTATTGTTAAGATTAAGTATTTTACATTAACCTTTGATTAACATTTCAGTGAGTTGGAGGAATATATGAATGACAAGGTGAAGTATGTTGTCACCTCCGCTAAATGGGATAAAAATTTTGATGATGTAAGTTACTATTTTTGGTTGCTGTTTTTATTGAATTGAGGAAGTGTAGTTGAACAATTGTGTATACTGGTCGCCAACCAGTATATCAGTAATAATCTATTATAAATGAAATGAAGATGATCTGTTAGCCTAGTGGTCTGCCTTTTAACCAAAGGATCATAGGATCAAGCTCTATTTAACATTGACAACAATTTTTTCCTCATATGACAGGTCCATTTCTGGTTAGTTCCAGGAAGCCAGCTTTATAGTAGTTCAAATAATCCTTAGTTTTCATCACAATTATATGGCATAAAGCACTATACCAAATTTCTCTATGCCAGTAGTAGGCAACTTTTTTTCACATTCCTACACAATCGAGGTGATGGGTTAAAGACTTAGTCTTTAATGCAATAGTTATTGCCAAAACTTTTATTATCTTTATTTAAAGCCTTTCAGGAGTATTTGACATGTGGGTAGAAGTCATTTTTGGTTATAATGAATTATCAGCGATTTTTTTTTTTTTACATAAAATATTCCTTTATCATTCAAGTGCAGTGGTACTAAAATGTCAGACAGTTTTCATTGACATATTGTAAATGTATTATTCAGTCATTTCTTCTCATGTGGGGGAAGATTTGAGCATGATGACCATGAAAGTGCAAATAAAAGTTAATGTAAATCATAGTGAAGTCAGTAACTATACATACTAACCTTTGAGTGCTAACAGTAACAACACCTTGTTTAAGCAATAACTGATTCTGTATGATGGATTTGTCCTGCTTAAAAATCAAAACTGTTTGCTGTAAAGTTTATTGAATAGAGTAATAAATGCATGGGTGTAAGTTAAAAATATCAGAAAACCTGAAAGCCCTGAATTTAGTATTATTTCAGTTGGTTTTATAAAGGAAAAGCTCTCAAGAGAAGGAAAAAACCCTGAACTTCAGGGAAATGCCCGAAAACTTGTACCCATGTAAATGTCTGGTAATACTGCAGGCTCTGGTGACATAGGCAAGTTATCAGGACTGTTAACACTTTAAAAACAAACATTTTACAATTGAATTATTGATTTAAATTTATGAATATTCTTATTCAGTTTTTGCTCTCTTTTTTTCCAGGCATTATCAGAGAACCCAAACCTTGTGTTTGTGAAACCTAAATGGGTGCAAATGTGCCATGAGAAATTGAAATGTGTACCACATCAGCCATACATAGTTGTCCCCCCTGAAGACTGAAACAAAATTGTACAGATAATTGTCACACATAGAAATAGAGATTAGAAAATTTAGAACCTCCCTGTGGTGATGATTAAAAGCTTGCTTTTACCAATGAATTTTGAAAACTAAATTGTATTAATGTGACATATGAAATGAAAGTTAACCATGTGTTTTACAGCTATGCTGGATAGGGTGGGGAGTTAGTATAAATTTGCAATAAAACATTTTAGTAATACTAGTATTATGTAATAGAAAGGAACACATCTTGTTGCATAAAAAATTTAAATTATAACTGTTGTAGGTTAGAATTTTGGACATGAAGTTTACAAAAGTCCTGTTGTTTTTTTAATGATATATGTGAGATATTATTGTATAGAAAATTTTTTAGTGTGTTATATAATACTTAATGAATTTTGATGGCAGCTTAATGTGAAATGTTATTTAACCATTGGACTTCGACATCACATTTATCCAAATACATAACTCTAGAAAAGCTTAGAAAACCTGGCAGCTTTTCACCTTTATTATCTTTTTGATTTTCTCTCATAAATTTTACTGCAAATTTTCAGTGAAGCATCTTTAAGTGTTCCTTACCCTCTGTTATACTATTTGGTCCCTTTTATTGAAATATTTTGCTCTAATAAAAAAAAACTGTTTAGTTAAAGCATACAGTAGGTAAGTTACTAACTTGTATGTGAACATTGTAGTGTCATCAAGGGCTCACCCTCTTTAAAAAAACTCGTTCTAATTGCAGTTTTAATGATACAAAATTTTACCTTTTTCTTGAATTTTAATGAAGAGTTTTAAATAAAAAGGAACAACAAGCAATATAAGTTCCGTCAATTTTATTGAACATTTGTCTTCAAGACTATATTAACATATTACAGACAACAAAAGCAGTTAAATTCTGACAAATATCTTATATTCTCTTTGGTTAACTACCACACTAATCTCATTTATTAAATAAGTATACATGTACAAACTTAAGCTGAGGTAGAAAGTAAAGCCATTAAGATAACAATAAAAAAAATAACACTTTAATAACATGTTAGCAGCTTTACCCTTAATCTGCAGAATTTCATAATGGATTTGCCCTAATTAGAAATTGGAATAGTCCATCTAGCTGCTAACAGTATAGGACCTGGCAAGGTTGCACAGATGTGCAGGCTGCCCTGGCTCTAGACTGGTGGCAAAGGGCAATCACTTTCTGTTTCAGCCGGTTAAGGGTTTGAATATCTATTTCATATAAGAATTAAGACTTATAAAACAAAGAGATAATGTACATCTCATCTTTAGATACTAGTAGGTTAGAATATAGATTTAACTTGGTAAGACACTACTAAATGCCTCAGTGGCAAGATCTAGGCTTTAAGATGCTAAATCATTACATGCAAATAAATAAATAAATAAAAACAAATAGCTATTTACAATATGAGTATAAATATATTAACAAGACAAATCAATGGGGAATGACTGTGTTATATATTGAATGGAATGTTTGAAAGTGGTTTTAATTATTTATAACACATTTTTATTTCTATTATATTTTTTACATTATGTTGTTAAAGATACATTAAGACTGTGTTTAAGTATTATTGAAGAAAGTTGTTCTGAACAAATGAAATTTTTAATTCAGTGAACTTCGATTACCTGATTACAGAATTTAAAATCAGAATTTGTGTCAATGGTTACTGATTTTGTCCTAGTTTATTGTGTGTAATGTAAAATCTGTTTAAAATTCTATTGTTTAAACATTATTGTAATCTGATTCCCTTTTTGAAAGATGTAAAAATCTGTAAACTAATTTATCATGTTTACATTTATAATTATATAAACACAGGGTTTTTCCTTAGAACATTATTGTAAAAACATTGAATAATGTATGTAAACTTTTTGTAACTTTAAAGAAAATTTGGATTCAGTAAAACATATTACTTCAGTAAATGTGAACATTTGGTGTTATAACTGTGTTAAATTGTAAACATCCACATTTTCTTTATGAATACAAATGGTGAAATCACCTGTTGTTTTATCATATGATATCTGTAAATTGTTTTAGGTGTAAAAATTAACATTGATTTAATGAACAAATTGCACCACATGTAACGAGATGGAGATCAAATCTTTTGAAAGTAAGCATTTTGTAATGTTATCATCTTTGACTGTTAACATTTGCATTCAATTTACATGATGTGACATTATCTATCTATATTCCATAAAACAAGGCATACTATTCATATCACTGTGTCAGCTAATCATTTAACCAGGGTCTTTCAAAAAGAATGGTCTGGAGTCGGACCAATTTTAGGAAAAAAGATGTCTAGGTTGAATCACATGATTAGGTTGTGATTAGGTTATTTACCGACCATGATCTGGCATAGTACATGACCATTCAAAAATCAAATTATAAGATAATGTTTTGTTAAATCGGTCAAAACATTACTGAAAACTAATCCTGGCTACATAACATTACAAGATTTTGCTTTTAAAAGGGCAGTTTTATAGATTTGCTATGAAAATTGAAATACCCTAAATTTAACTTAGCATGTTTTACACCATCTTGTAAAATCTGTAAGCATTTGGTTTAATAAACATATGGTTTCGTCAAAGTTTCTTGTAAACAGTTAAAAATGTTTACCATATATCATGTAAATGTTTACCATTTATCATATTGTAGACAAAAATACCAGTGTTTAATTTGCAAGTATTTATCATTTTAGCATTTGATTTGATTGCCATAAACGTGTTTGATAATAGTCAATTGACTAAAACGCACCAATTTCATCTCATTTAAACTGTTGTTAAAAAAAAATAATTAACTTAATTTGTGTCCTATTTTTAATGTAAACAAAATAATGATATGTCTATATTGTCTTTCCCATATTTCTTTGTTTATTTACAACGCATTAAGCATCTACGTGATTATGATCATAATTAGGGCTCCGGGACGCTTGATCCTTTAGAATATTCTTCATTTCTGTTATCAGATTTTATAGAAAGGCATTTCATAGGCATGACAAATGAAATTGCTGCACCTATACTAAAAATAAGTCCTCCCCATGCGAACCCATACGCCCAGTCAAAATCCCACCTCCTAACGGCCTCCGCATACCGGATATCCTGACCAAACTTGACCGGAAATATAACCACGACCATAAACTCTAGTAAAGCTGAAAGAGAAACAAAAAACACCTATGTCAGGCCTCGCAGGTGTAAAATTTGACATAGTTGTGCCTCTTTTTTTCGACTAGCAGCACTTTTATCTATAGCAAGCAAAGACTGTACTATACAACAGTAAACTTGCGCGGTCTCGTTTTGACCGATTGCTCAGACCTTTTATGACATTCAAATAGAGGCACGTGGTTCTGAGAAAATTATACGTGTCAAGGTACTAAAATATTCTTAGGATAATTTTGTTGTTTTGTTATTGTAAACTCTTAGTGTTGTTGTTATATGAGAATAATTGTAAATACATATATTTTTGGTAAATAAAAACATAGATACACATTTAGTTTATCATCGTTTGTTTGATTTACTCAGGGTCTTTCAAATATTTGAAAGACCCAGATTTACTTTACTTTTAAATAGTGTCACTCACAATGAAGGTGATGACAAGCTTTTCTTGTTGCCTGGTACAGCAAACAAACTTAAATCAAAATGTTATGGTAAAAATCACAGACATGACATGTAGGACTGTCCTTGATGGCAGTAAAATCTTTGGATCCGGCTGGCTGCTTAGACAGCTAGTGCTTGTTTCTAGTTGGAGATATTTTAATACGAAGGTCCCATGAATAAGTGTTTTACATCTGTTTTATTTATAAATGCATCGTTTTTACTTCTCAAACTTCTTGCCATATCCTCCAGAAAATTACACTTCTGAATGGACTCGCTCATACAGGTGATTCCGGTGGCGTCTTTTAATAAAACAAGATTCTAAAATGGATTTAGACATCGACCAAAAGTGGTTGCTTTTACTAGCATTTATTTGTCTTTACAGAAAGAATAATAAAGTTGATACTTTACCTACGACAGAGAGAAACCCGGCGGCAACTTTATAGAATATGTTGGGTTTATTGTCGGGATCGCGCATGCCCAGTAACCCACAAACGGAGGCCGCCATTGACAGGATCAGTGCTATTATACTGAACACGAGACATACTGTAATCCAGTCTGAAAAATAAAAAAAGTTTCATTATTCAATTTAGGAAATAAATAATTTAGAAAAATAAATAACCGGCTGCTAAAGATGTTATAGCTCCGCCTACAAGATCACGTGGACACTGAGCAGTTAATTTGGCGCTTTATGATGATAATATTTGGCGGGAAAACCACAAATAAAGTGACTATGCAAAAAATAAATGCCATCAGAAAACTTACTTAGATATGGGAGATTTCTTTTCGCCAGTAATTGAAAGTTATGAATATAATTATAATAAATGAATAAGTTCGAGCGGATAGGCCGCCTGCCAGCTTCGGCAAATATGTGCAGTTTGTGTAATGAAAGTATGATGTTATAGTAACCACATGTCAACTTTTAAATTTATTGAAATTGTAATGCAATTTTCTCATCAGTATAAACACGGACTTAAATTATATAACTAAAGTCTGTGGTATAAACTATCGAGATAATGTAAGTAGAAATTTTCGTAGGCTGCGCATAATGTATTAAATCATTTTTATGAAATAGATGATTTTGCCTTACAAAAACAAAAACGAAAAAAGACAGGCTCTTTATCTGCCAAAAGCATGTTACGTTTAAGGAAAATATGTACGCGTATATCTTTTTGTACGACAGAGACAATCATCAATACATCAACTAAGTAGGCCTGCCTAATGGAGGGGCTTCTATCCAATATATCACTTTACTTCGCTTCAGGACATCAATAGATTCTTTATTCAGTATTCAATGTTCGTTTATTGCAAGCGATACGGTCTGTCTGTGCAGAAAATAAAACAATAAAACACTAAAGAATCAACATGTTTGTTAATTTATCAACGGATCTTTTTGGCGTCGACTGCAATTGGCAGCATGTCAAATACGTACAGGTCTTCTATTATTTACAAAACAAGCACTTTTAAAAGAAAGTGAATGTATCTAGATCTATTTTAAGCAGAAACGTGCATTTACAAAACGAGTGAACGAAATATATACTATTACCTTCATTGACACAGATAATTAACACATCTTCGAGTCTGTTGCACGTTTTCCAGAGTCCCCAAGTCCAAGTTTGATCCTCGAAGTACAGGAACCGAACTACCACCCAGCCTTCCCCTGCCACTGCCACAAGTAACCATACTACTGTAATAACGCATAGAACTTCTGCCACAATCTAAACAAACAACAATTAAAAAAAAATAGGAGAAGATAGCAGACATATAGCAGACGAACTAAAAGAACTGCTGAAGATATATTTAAGGGTTTCTAATTTGTTACGATTTGCTACTAGATGTAACGCCGTTAGTAAATGGTAAAGGAATTCTGACCATTCGTCAATGTGTCAAGACAATTCTGACTACCATAGCATTCTGCTATTTCCAAATCGATAAAATATTTCCAAACGCTATAAGGTTTAAGGCCATATGACAGATCCGTTCAGCAGTTGATTAATGCAAAGTTAACATATCTAAAATCAATACAAAATGTAAATTGACTTACTTTCGCAGGCGTAATAACAATAATCTTTTCTCCCATTATTCCCAGAATTGTTGCAGATATTCATTTGATATTGTTAGTTTATATAAAGTTATCATCGTGATGCACGATTGTGAGCAAAAAACATCCAAATTCCCGAGCACGAAACAAGTGCATTCCGGACGGACCGGAAATTTATCGGTAAACTTCGGTAATTTCCGTAAGTAATATGTGTGTTCATTAGAAACGTTCATCGTTCAAGGTGCAGTTGATCGTAGCATTCAGTTTAGAGCAAATTTGATTTGATTGTAGGCGTATGATACATCCTGGAGTCTTGCTAAAAAGGACATATGTTAAACTCGTATGTAGGGGTACTGATAGCCTTATCTTTATAAACAAAAGTTTTTCCATTTCTATTCGTACTCCTCGATAGTATAGTGGTGAGTATCCCCGCCTGTCACGCGGGAGACCGGGGTTCAATTCCCCGTCGGTGGGAGGTGTTTTTTTCTTCTTTTTCTTACAATATTGTTTTTATATCACCATTCATTATTCAATATTTGCTATTTTTTTTTAATTTATCTTTTATACGGTTTCAATCAGATTAAAATCAGCTGCTAAATATCGCTATGCATGAGCTTTTACATGATAGATCTGAATCTTAGTCACATTAATACAATTTACAAGAACATTTGATAAGATGTTTCTGTAACATTTAAATTGCAAACTTTTGCAAAGATTTTCAATGCTTTCTGTAAGTAGTGTAGGAAAGTGACCTGCCCTGTAACTTCCGTTTGTATTGACGCATCAAGGTTTTTTTTTTTTGTTTTTTTTTGAGAATAAACTTTTTTATTTTAACAACCTTGGTAGATGATCTCTCATTTTGTGAAATAATATAAAAACCAGAGTAAAAGTGTTGTTTGAAGGAGAAATAGACCAAGGCCTTGTGTGGTCACGTTTCACAATATTAAAAAAATTGAACAATCTTGATAGTCATTGTCATGTAAATACGAGGGATGATTGATAAATTGGCAATATTGCTTTATTAATGAAACCTGGATTTAATAAAAACAAGCTTATTGGACTTGATGCCATCATGGTATACCGTATTTTTTCATTTATGTAAAAATTTTTTGAAAACCTGTTTTGTCGTTGTAACAGATGTCCCATACGTGTTTAAATATTAAAATATTTTTGATAAGAGTATTTACAGGGGCGTATCACGTTGGGGCAGGTTCTGACCCCAAGCGTCTGTGTCATTATGTTGACATCATGCGCCTTATGGACAAAAGGTGTTTCTGCGTAATAACTTCTAAACATTTGTATGACGCCGAAGTGTCACGCCAATGTCATTTGCGTTCGCGCAAAATTTGCGTTAAACTAAACATGTTTAATAAATTCAAAGTATTTCAAGTCACCAAACAGTGGTTGTAAGAGATACTATGTAATTCTTCTTCTTAAGTATTAAATATCTACTCACCTAACTAATGACAAAAAAAAGAGAAAATAAGTTATTTCACTTATACATGTAACGAGTTTTCTTGTATTTTGATGAAGAAAGCCGTCGTTTATCAAACTTATAAAGAGGATTTTCAGTTATTCTTTTTGGCTTACATGGTAATGAAAGTTCTGAATAAAATTGAAATATTCTAACAACATTCAAGGATCTCCTGTGAAGTTTTAATGATACCTACCCAGTGGTTGAGGAGGTGCTTGGACAAATAGACAGACAGACACACAGTGATTGATCAGCATGTTGTTCATAACAAGAGCGATCAGTAATCACATGTGTCGCCTCATGATGGCCAATTTCATGTTGGGACAAATTTTGTGACAGACAGACGGACAGTGCACAACTAGACTTGGTACTGATCATTCCTGTAAAGTTTGGATTGAGAGGTTTGGAAACCAGACTTGGGGACATACAACGACAAGCAGTGATCTGGAACTCAGACATTTGTTCATAAAACACTTATTATGTATACATGATATCGACATCGAGTCAAATTTGAATAATATAGATGTTGCACCATGGAGCCATTCACAGTCTACGACCAGTTAAGCTGACCACAACAGTGTCAGTCTGGTTTAGAAACTAATTAAAATCGTTGCATTAAAGTGAAAATTTTCATACCATTAATAAACCAGCAATAAAATCAATACAGATAAACGATGTCTGTACAAAATATGCGCATTTTTACTGCCTGCAGCGATTTGCAGTTTACAAATGTTAGATACAATTTATTTCTTAATTCAATTAATGTATATACAAAGCATTTTGTTTCAAATTTAAATCAGAAAGTATTTGCCAATATTATAAGAATTATCATTTTGAATTTCAATTTGTCTGCCAATGAAATTTTTTTGTATTTTAAAACTTGCCAAAATTTAATTATTCCAGTCCGTTCATACAGTTTCCTTTCTACGGTCATTCGCACTGTACCTATGCTCTGGCATGTACCAGAAGTCAGTTCATTGCGAAAAATGAAGGCAACTAATATTGTTAAACTACTTGGAGTCTGCCCCGAGGAAAGATGTGCAGGTTGAACTGCGCTCTGGTAAATTCAATGATCCAGAGAGAAAACTACCAACACCACTCCAAATATGGTGGAAATAAAGTACCTATCTCTGATAAATGGAGGCATTCCCAATATCTTAATGTGGGGCATTTCCCCAGTTGGTTACGTTTTCTTTGATATATTATTTGAGTGTAGACTTTTGACAGATAACCCCTTATTTTTTTGTCATTAAATGAATATAATAATTATTTGTTTACAGTAAAACAAATAATAGACAGTCACAGTGAGTGATAAAAGTAGCACATATTGAGGATCATACTGAGCTCAGGTGAGCTAAAAAAACAACAACACATTTCAATATCTCACTTCATTTAAATTTTATTCTGTACAAGGCATTTTATTTAAATTAATATGCCATTTACACAAAAAGTTTCTAAGCTGATATATATAACAGGTAACAGTTTCATGTACTCTTGAAATAAAAACAAAAACACACTTCATAAACTGTACAACAGAGATCTTGAAAACATTACTAATCATAATTACTTCCCCTGATAACCTACAGCAATTACTTCCCCTTTTAACATAGAGTAATTGCCTTCCTTAATTACCTCCCCTGTTTACCTGTAATTACCTCTCTCGATTACCAAGAATATTTACCTCCCCTGATAACCAAGAGCAGTTACCTCCCTTGATAGCCAAGAGCAGATACCTCCCCTGATAGCCAAGGAGTTACCTCCCCTGATAACCAAAAGTAATTACCTCCCCTGATAAAACAAAAAAAGTTTCAACACAAACCCTTTCATACCCTTGCTTATTGCGATTTTTGAATAATATCAATATATGTATTATATTATTTTCTTGTCAAAAATAAAAACCAAACTGTTTTCTGCCTCTCTACTATACAGTCTTTTCCTACGGACGATGAATCTATTTACAAATGTACATATAAAAATGTCTAAATATAAATTGCTGCAATTTTTCAATGGGTGGGGTAAACACCTTATAGACTACATGCAATTATTCAAAACAATATCATTTTATTTTTTTTAATAATTCATTAAAAAATAAGCTCAAACATTACTAAGAATTTCACTCATACTGGTGAAATATGGAGAACATAATTCAGTCAATCCATTTAAATAAATCTTTTAGTTTAAATATTTATTTTTTGTTAATTAGATGCCAATGAGATGTATACAATGCCCAATTTTTAATCTCAATTTCTGACCTTGACCTTATGGCTACGGATACAATATGATTTTTGACATTTTTCATTTGAATACAATACACGATGATGATTTATATTATTATTTATAAAAGTTATACAAAGCTCATATAATTCTGTAGGATTTTTGTTTTATCCAATAAGAAACCAGAATTGAAAGTATTGATTGATTGATTTTGATAAAAAAATAGTTAATGGCAAAACCAATCCCCTTAAATAAGACAGAGAAAAATAAAAGAAACCAAATTATAAACATCCCTTAACTTTCCAACTACATCATCGCAGCTAAAAAAACAAAATTCTCGCGGAAATTTAGTTAACATGATGGTATAAAAGAACCTATATGTTTTGTGTCTGAATTATTTCATGCAGTATATTGCAAGTACATGTGTGCTACAAGATTTCACTCAACAACAAAGGGGGGTCATATTGTAATGGTGAACACATTTTTACATTTTTAGCAGTGATTATAATATGTACAGTTAACCCATTACCCGCTGAATTTCTTCAATGGACCAGTCCAGCTTCCATTTCTGGAACAGTCCATTATCAATCTTGGGTATATCAAGATGAACATTTTGAATCTGCTTAGTGTTGAGCCAGGCCTTACTGCATAGATATACAGGTTGGCCTGGCTCTATACTGATGGCAAAGGCTAATCATTTTTGTTTTCCAGCAGGGTTTGAGTAAATACTATGAAAAGAACACTACCAGATTATCTTGAATACATATCTAGGCACAAGAAAAGAAAAAAAAAAAATATGAATGAACCTGTAAGAATCTTAACAGATCATGTTCAAAAACTATTTTAAACTTACCCAAAAATTTAATAATTCTTTAATACATTTAAAACAGTTGATGATTACTAAGTAGTAAAAATATTGACTTTCATCATGGTCAATGTCAATGCATCAATATATCTTAAAGGGGGCTTGCTTTTAAATCAAACTGTCAATGTAATGGTTGTAAAGTTCATATAATGTAAATAAACATCATTAGTTATTGCCTTCATTAAAAAAGAAAAATCTTGGAAAAAAAAAAGAGGAAAATATTACCTTATTCTAAAATGTGAATAACAAATTTATGCAGTACACTATTTTGAACATCTAAAGTCTAAAAGTCCTGAACTGAATTTAAAATTGAGCCGCTTCACGACAAAACCAACATAATGGGTTTGCAACCAGCATGGATCCAGACCAGCCTGCGCATCCTCGCAGTCTGATCAGGATCCATGCTGTTCGCTGGCAGACCCTATAACAAGTAAAGAAACTGATAGCGAACAGCATGGATCCTGATCAGACTGCGCGGATGCGCAGGCTGGTCTGGATCCATGCTGGTCGCAAACCCATTATGTTGGTTTTGTCATGACACGGCTCAATTAACCCTTAACCTGCTGGAACCTGAAGTGTTAAACCTTTACCATCAGTATCACCAGGCCAGCCTTCCAAGATGTCTGACCAGGCTCTATACTTGCTGATAACTCTAAAATTCTGTATTTTGATATCGAAATCCCTTATACTTTGAATGGACTGTTCCAAATTCAAAGCTGGGCAAATCCATTATCGAAATTCAGCAGGTTAAGGGTAAACCAACCTTCAGTCAAAAGAAAGCACCAAATAAGGTGAAAATATGATACACAAAGTAAAAACAAGGAATGAGCCACGCCATGACAAAACCAACATAGTGCATTTGCGACCAGCATGGATCCAGACTAGCCTGCCCATTCACGCAGTCTGATCAGGATCCATGATATTTACGATCAGTTTCTCTACTTGTAAAAGGGTTTGTATAAACGAACAGCATGGATCCTGATCAGACTGCGCAGATGTGAATGCTGGTCTGGATCCATGCTGGTCGCAAATGCACTTTGTTGGTTTTGTCATGGCTAGGCTCAAATATATAGTTCATATATACAATACACGGTAAAACACTTCAGTCACATTTCAACTTCATCAAGGGGCAGCCAGTCATATGCTGTATAGTTAATACATGGCAAATTTCTTGCCTTCAACAGAATATACATGCATTATGTCATATACAATGAAATTCTGTAACACACTTAAATTATAGAGGAAAAAAAATCAATGTTTAAAAAAAAAATCAACATTCCAAGAATACACATTTATACATGTAATAAATGAAGTAAAAAACATTTTGTCATGTACATGATACAGAAAATGGTAGATATATTTTACACACACACAAAAAAGTTCATCTTGATTCACTATTACCAAATTTATGCTGTAAAAAAACTCGTAATTCAGTAAAAAAGAAGTTATTATTGTAACTCAATGAGTAAAAATGACAGATATTTAATCAGGGACAACCATGTGATTGAAAATTTGTCTGTAACCCTTATCACGCTAAAAATGTTAAATGGACTTGTCCGTCTTTTAATCTGGACAAAACCATTTATCATTTTTAGGGGAAAAAATTCAAAATATACATTGAAAGATATAGCAAACGGTGCAGACCAAACAGAAATTTTGTTTTTGTTTTTATGTCTTACGCAACCATAATATTTTCATGAAAATAAAAAGTAAAATAAGGAAACATTTTATTACCCGGAATATGAAAGGAAATATGCATATAATAATAGTTATGTTTTAAGATATCCCACTCAATGTAATGACCAAGGTGAAATGGACATGTATGATTCAATCCATTCTTTTTTTACATTTAGCATAAATTGTGAAAAATTTGATGTTACATTGTAAAGTTAAACATACATGTTTGAAAATGAGAACATTTCATGTATTTCACCACAAATTGTCAAGATGTTAAGATGAGGGTCAGTTTGACCAAGAGTAAAAAAGAATACTGTAACCTCACGGGTTTTCAAAATAAATGATTTAATGGATATATAAAAGTGATAAATTGGCTCAAATTTATACTAAAATATTCACATTTTAACCAAGTTTCTTAAATGGACTAGTCTAGATAACATTTATGGAACTGTCCATTAACAATTTTGGGGGATATCCAAATTAAAATTTACATTAAATCAGTCAGGAGAATAGAGCCAGGTAAGACTCCACTGATGTGAGACAGGCCTTGCCTTATACTGTTATCATATCATGCAGGACAACTGCCCTATGCACTCAGTTATAAGACGGGCTATTCACCAACTATTAAGAGGGCTATAACTTAAATCTTAGCCTTATAGACAGGTCAAAAAGATATTTGTTCATTAGAAGCAAAAAACACCCAGTATAAGTGTAAAATATATGTAAACCTGTGATGTCTAGTAAACAAACTAATTTTATGTGTAAAATAAATGGCGTGAAATATGTAGTGTCTTCAACTGGTGTAAACAGAATAGATGAGAAAATGTGAGAAAATAATGGTTATATTCCAGAATAATATGTAATAGTTTGATAAAACCCTGCACTAACCTTATAACTTATAAAACTAAGCAAACTACAAACAAAAAAGAAGAAATCTATTTATGATAATGGTATGGCAAGAAGTAATTAAATGCAAATGCTAATATGTTAGTGAGAATGATTAAATAAGTGAATGCTGTATGCAAACTTATACAACAGGGAGGTAAATCGTAGAGACACACGTCATAACCATAGTCAAATAAACAATTAACAAAACATGCGAGGATCCAGAGTGGTAGTTTTGGGGGTTATAAACCCCCCCACCACCCCTGGGGCTAGTATGATGAATCCCACGAGATTTGTATATCAACTTATGTAATTTTTTTTATGAACATCAAGCAATAACAAGTGAGTCACGAAATACGAGCCCTATGGAAAATAAGTAAAATATCAACCAACCTTTGGAATATGCATTAACTTTTATCAAAATTTTGTGACCCACTCTGATGAAAAATCCTGGGTCCACACCTGCTATAGAATACACAGTGTATAGGAGTTAAATGTTTATTTCACAATGATTAGGACTCTTGACTAGACTACTAGAAATTGTGAATGAATTTATTTTTTACTATTACCCTTGTTTTATTTTTACGGGCTTTCATTGTGACCCAGTTGCCAAGGAAACTCCCAAGCAACATGTTATGAAACTGCCCAGCTTCTCTTGCTAAGGTTCTATTACATTCATTCCTGCTACTTAAATGCATGTATAACCTAAAATTTTTAAGAAATGATCCAGTTTTGGCTTTTTTCCCCCAAATATAAAAAAACCTCTTAATTCATATGATTTTATGCAAACCTGGAAAAATAATATTCTTGCTAACTCTACATATATAACATATAGTTGTATGCAATGTATATAATATTCCCATTAAAACTTGACCTATTGTTCTGGCACTGATGGCCAAATTAAACTATATAGAGACAGGTAACAAAATATATAGGCAGTTTATAATCTAGGATATTGTAATATCTTCAGCAATAGCATTTTAGAAATGTTTCAGCTCAGGGATAAATTTCACAAAACTCACAAGAACCATAAACAGCAAGATAAGAAAACCAGAGTTGTAGCAAAACATAATATTTTATATATAAATGCCCGATTGGTTGGAAAATGTCGATTTATCATGCAAATCATTACACACATCATGTACACTGAAGATGATGACTCACAACATACATGTACATGTAGTTTCAGATGGGTTGCCATACATTTTTACATACCAAAAAACATGATGGGAAAAGATAAAATTTCTCTATAATAATGAGATTGACAAAACTTCTTTCATAAACTAGTATGACAATTTAGGGAAGATGAAGAGGAATCCTGAGAAAGCTAACTGTGTTTATAATTCTACAGTAATCTAAGACATTTAACATAATTCTTAGGAAGTGCTTGATCAACAAACTAGCTATTGTGTACATGTACTTACTTTTATAGTTTACGCGTATTTGTTTAAGAGTAAGTCCAGAAGAAATCTTATTTCGCTACCATTCTCAAATCAACTTCATAGAGTTATAAGCAGTGGTGTCAAATGGAGAAAACATGGTTGTTTGCCAAGTAGGACTTGAACCCACATCCCCTTGGTTAAGAGGCAGACACCTTTACCACTAAGCCACCGCTCATTTAACGCTGTTAAAAAGGTTAATAAAGGAACTTGTTCACAGGAAATAATTTTTAACTATCTTTAAATCTAGCATTATGCAATGGCAAGCTAATTATAAACACTTCCAATTTAAGTACCAACTTCAAATACTAGTATCTTATAAAGTAATACTTGTTTTGCATCATAATTGCTTTACATTAAAATACGTTACATGACTTTAAAGAACTCACAGAAAGTAAATGTATTCATTGATGTAACCAGAAATTGCAAAGCACTGACATGATATTTATACACAATATTACCGCTATTGAGCTAGATTTATAACTATCTAAAACAAACAATCATTTTTCATTGAAATTATTTCTACATACATATAATTATATCTTAACATTTATAAGCTCACCGATTGTTTCATATTTCACTATCTTGACATATATAGACTAAATAAAACTCATGATATCTTACATACACATGAACTTATTGCGACGTGACATCTCCATAGCAACACTATATACAAAACAACCATGAACAGTGTCAGTTCATTAATTAAAATAGTAAGTATACATGTTTTCAAGAAGCAAACACAAACTGTTTGCTTCAGTATCTGTTTTGTTTTTTGAATACGAAACATAATTTAGGCAAGAAAAAAAAACCTGGTTGTTTTTTGAATACAAAACATAATTTAGGCAAGAAAAAAAAACCTGGTTGTTTTGTTTGTTTTATTGGGTTTTACGTCACACCGACACAGTTTAGGTCATATGGTGACGTACTAGCTTTACAGGTGGAAGAAGACCTCATGTGCCCTTCTGTGCATTATTTCAGGTTCCTGAGTAGAACCACCGACGTTCCGTAAGCTAGCTGAATAGCTTCCTCACTTGAAAGAATTCTAAGTCCCTGTCAGGATTCGAACCCACAGCGGTGAGGGGCAAATGGTTTAAAGTCAACGACCTTAACCACTCGGCAACGGACGGCAAACCAGGTTGGGATGGGTCACAGAAACCTAGTGTTATCAAGCCTTGGCCTGACAATGGTTGCTCCGCAACTGATATTTATACAAAAATATGTAAGAAGAAACTTACGATTAAGTTAAGATACCACCAAACAGTTTGTGTTCACTAATTGTGTTTTTATCAATTTACAATCATACACAATGTCAACATAACAACGTTGTCATTTCATTAAAAGCAGGATTCAGGTAAAAAAACTGTAACTTGATTAAAAACAACCTACAAAACAATCGCATTTCCCCATTACTGTAAAATATTTGTTTTTTCTATGAAGATTTTGTTTAACATCTACCTACAACTGATTTTAAATATATATCTTATGAATGAGTTGAAAACAATATTTCATTCCGAGTTTTTACCATATAAATAAAAGTGCTAATGTGGTTTTTGCATGATGATAACTATACATACTGCAAATGTAACATAACTATTTAAAGACATTTTCAGTAAATGATTGGTTTTAAACATCATATAAAGTTTGTGATTGATACATTATTGAATAAACAAGTTTGAATAACTGAGTTTTAGTATAAATATTTTCCTTTTCCAGAGAATTTTGTGTTAAGAGAAGTTTACTGACATCAATTTTTGACTTCACAGAAGTATTCTGTTTTGCATCAACTAATGTTTCACATTTTGCTTGATCAATATAAAATGCATAACGTAACATTTAAAAAAGTAATTTAATACATTTCATTTATAAAAAAATAGATACTTCTATAGTAGTTCTATGTTCGATCAATCATTTCTACCCTACATGCCGGTCACGATTCACCAATATATAATGCCATGGTTTGTTGAATGGTATACTATTATAAAGTTTCAATTTTCCAGAAACTCTGTCTATGCACCCCTTCACCGAGGCCCTCAATCACACTTTATCAGTGCAAACATACGATGACATAAATGGCAACCTTTCGGAGGGCCTCCTCACACCTGGGCATATGACAACAGCTGGAGCGGGTTAGAGCCCCAAGTTATTCACTGCCGCTAGCACTTGTTGTGTTGATGACATATACAGATTCTATACAGCTCCTTTAAACTTCATCTGAAGAACAGGGAAAAAGATTTTTTAAAATGCAATATTTATACACATACAAGATGTGTCATTTCCAGAGGGGTTTTTAATATTACTATAAAACTGGCAGCATTTTATTTTGACTCTCAAGCAAGGTTGTAAGGTATCCAAAAGTATTTAAATCAAAGGGGAAAAAAACCTTGTCCAATGGGCAAGTAAATGTGGAATCATACCAGTCTTTCAGATAAAGACAATAATTAGTCTTTCAGATAAAAGACAATAATCATTTGTAATAAAATATCAAAAAATTTATTATTCCTGTTTATTTCGATTTGAACAAATCTACAGCACACTCAAGTATATAGAAGAACATGTATATTATGGTGTTTTCTGTTTCCAGCAATAAACCTTTCCACTGTTGATTTCTTGTAAAAAATGCTTATTCCTGGTTATATATATATACTTTACGTCAAATAATGTACATGTATAAATATATATATACATATAAATATACATATTTGGCACCACAATAAATGAAACCAAAAGGTTTTCAGTACTGTTACAGTTTATTATGATGTTACATCTTCAGAATTGGTAGGTCACATTTTCAAAGATATCTTAATATATATATAAATCTCTTTCAAATGCCAAATAACGGAATACAATTTACATGGGGCTACAAAATGACCAATGGTGTCTTACTAATGTCAAATCATGGCAGCATCATAGCATGGTGTCATATTCATCTCACAGAATAATCTTAATGTAATAATAAAATAACAAGATTCAAGTTATCACTTAGCATCTGCCATTATTTTGACCAATTAAATCGGCACACTTCCACTCAGCCGATGCAACTCGAACTAGAATTATGGGCTTAACAATTAATTAAATTTAAAGCAGCATGCTTCCAGATTCATGCTAATTTTCATGAAAATTTTTAAAAAAGTAAAACATTATGAAGTAAACAAAGTAATTCACACATTGCAAAAATGGCACTTACAATCCACATAAAATACCAAGAAAAGGTCAAAATATGCAATAATAGCCCTTACTGCATTAGTCAGGAAGTAGAAATATGGTGATAATTATGTACTGCAAAAGCTGTATTTAATTGCACATTCCGTAACATGTTAATTATTACTTGAATCTTTAGTTATTACTTTTCTTTAAATCTTAGTACATTTTTTCTCAAATTTGATTTTCTTGAAATAATTTGACTCATCTGGAAGCATGCAGTTTTTAATGAGAAACACAATCGTCAACTCACCATAAAAATAACATACAGACGGGAAAATATGACTGCTACTCAATGTTGACTATTTTGACTGGTTTCACTAATTGTCCTACTTCGCTCGCCATCATCTGCATCCTTGGGCGATTTCTCTCGCGGTTTCCCCGTACCAAAAATACTGGCATTTCTTTGAGTATTCACAAAGTCATTAGGAGGGTCACGTACAGTTCTCGGTAATAACTTTAACCTTGGTCGAGCTGCAGCTGATTCTAAAAATAGACAGGGAAATCCGACTCAGTGAAACCTTTTACAAGTGGTAAGTTGATTAAAAAAAAAAAATTTAAGATTTTTATCTATAGCAAGTGCATTATTGCACGATGAAGTTTAGTATGAAGTTCAAATCTTAAAGTAAAATTATCACATGGAAAGTAGGTCATTGAGATAGGTTACAAAGTAGTTTAAGTACTTAAAACAAACAATTTTCATGAATTAAATGATAAAGTCCCTAAAGATAACACATTTTTTCTATATAAGCAGGGTTCTCAGTAAGTTTCAGGTCAGCAGACCAAATTTGTATTCTAGCAGGCCTCCTAGGGGGGTACGGGGGCATGCTCCCCCGGAAATTTTTTATATTAAGCGCTTGATTTCCTGCATTCTAGGCCATATTTTGGTAGTTTAAAACTATTACAGAAGACCAAATGTAAAGGCATAATTTGAAAAAAAAAACTATATAAAATTTCTCACACTTTTAAATTCTGTAAAAAATGTGTTACATTATGAGTAATCCAGTATTAAGAGTGTTGTCAAATATATTTTGTGTGATTAATTAGAAAAAAAGTGCAGTTTTGCCTTAAATACAGTTTTTTAATTCATTTTAAACTTAATGACACATCATATCCTGCAATTCATTTTAAAATACTGGACCAATACAGTTAAGTCGGGCATTAATTGCAGACAGGAGAAAAATATTAGAAAATTACTGCATAAAAATCCCTCTTATTCAATAATAAAATATCATGTGCCAGATGCCAATCATTGTGTTTCATTTTTTAGGGATTAACGCTTTCATCGAACAGCCTGACATTTTAAAATGACTTCCCAATTATTTGAATACTCACCTGGCAATAAATGATTAAATAAAAAATAAGCAAATTATGTGTTGCTTGTCAAGCTACAGACATGACACTAACAAGATTTCAATAGAGCTTATAGTTTCACATCTACATATATATACATCAGTTTACAAAATCAAAACAGGCCCAGTGTTCACAAAAATTTAAGGGTCAGGATCAAATTAAAAACTAATATTCTTCATTGTTTATCCTCATAGATTATATATCTAATATTAATTTGATGAAGTTGGGTTTGCGATGGCAGGTTTTTGAAAGTTTAGATAAATTTATTGCTATTTTTGTAAGATTAAGGATATTTTACAGTTGATCCACTTAATATTGATCCTGATCATAAAACTGATTCTCATTTTGAAGTTAAAAGCTTGAACAGGACCTAAATGTGTTAGTGACATACATTCTATAAACTTATTTGTCAGACATGGAACAGAGCAAATGTCACAAAAACAAACTTTTACTATTTATGCCTACACATCTCAGTACATTTAATTCACTAAAAATGTATCAGTTATTTGGTATAAGACTTGAGTAGGAACATTGGACTTATATCTTTTGTCCCTGATTTGAACAACAAATTATAGATTTTAAGTCATTTTGATCAAAGTATATTGCTCTTAATTTTTATACCTAGGGTATCAAAACTTTGATAACAAGCTTGTTATTCATACTATATTACTTGCATTAAAATTGCTTATTCATAAATAAGCATTGTATATATCAGTGTATGAAGATCAGTCAAAGAAAGATATTTTATTTAAAACAATTCTTTTTTTCTTTTATGAAATTTTTCCCAATCCATAAGTGCATGTCCGAATAAGTTACATCCGAAATCAGATCTATTTTCGACAACACATGAATGTATTTTAGTACACATTACCAGTATAAATGACAACTATCAACAATTGATTTTACGATTTTATAGTAAACAAATCATGTTTTTTAAAGTTTAAACCCTTGAATAGTGTCCAGTTTTAGCAAGTATTCTCATTGCAATATTGCAGTAGGCTGGAAAAATCGGCAATGGAGTTAGACTTCCGGTTTCACTTAATGCAAATTTAATTAAGATTTATTTGCTAATGAAAGTCTGTTTTCAGATTTATTCCAATCATTTATTGTGTTTCTACTGAAAAATTAATAATTATCACGGAGCATCAGTATTTGACAGTCAAATTCTGTTCTCAGTTTTTGGTATTAATTGAAAATTTTACAAATTTCAGCCGGCCAAAAGTGTTTTTAAACGGTCATTTCGGCCGGCGGCCGGCTCTTATTGAGAACCCTGTATAAGTACTGCAAAGTGATATCAATTAATAGATGAGGATGCTTATTCTAGATAGCATGTATTATATATTTATAATGAGGGAGGAATTGACAATTGTTCCCTATAATTCAACCCTGGGGGCAGGGCAGGGGGGAAGGGAGGGGCTATGCCCTTTTAACATTCACAGTAAACTTGCTTATTTAATTAAATTGGTTGAAAAAAAAGTTGCCAAGAGAAACCTATTGGAGAGTTCACACAACTTCAGAATTATACAACTTAGGTAGAACAAAGCTGCAATAATATTTTCACCTTATTGCAATAACTGGTTCACTCCTATTAAATTTAGAAGGACTTAACCCGTCAATTTTTTCAGGAAGCATAACATGTCAATAATAACCAGTATTGACTATCTTTCATTAAGACTGAACCGAATTTTTATTCTTTAAAAAGCATTATTATGTTACTCTTAATTTAGATTTCATTAACTTATATACAATTTAGTAATATCTCATTAAAGAATTTTTTTTAAATTTTATACAAACCAGGTGAAGGTTCCCGTAACTGCTCTACTGGAGGTCCGCCGCTGTTTTGCCGTCTTCGTCCGCCACCCATTTCATTATCTCTGTTATCAAATCTATCATAGCCGCCACGTCCTCGGCCCCTGCCACCACCACCGCGACCACCATAATGATCAAAGTCGTCGGATCTATCTTGGAAATTATTAAATCCCCCTCTGCCACCCCTGTTATCATTGAAGCCACCCCTGTTATCATTGAAACCACCACGTCCTCCACGGAAATCATCAAAACCGCCTCTTCCACGGCCACCACGCCCACCTCTAAATCCTGCAAGTTAATTAGTACAATAGATAATTTCACTATCTTTGTGTTGCACCTGTAAATAATTTGGCAGTTTAAACAGTTGTTTGTTTAATTTGGGTGTTAAGTTTTAAAACTATCACAGTCATATGGTGGCTTTCAAAATTTAGGATACATCACGTGCTTCTGAGCATTTCATGATTTGTAGATAGTTGCTTGAACCCAACACTGTCATTGATAAACAATACTAAATGTGAAATATTAAAACTTTGTTAAACGAATTAACATGCCTTAAATTTCCACAAAAAAAACACTCTAGTAACTATTCAGTTAAATAACCAACAAAAATCATTTTAAATAGAGATAATTTCTTTCAATTCATATGAAAATAACTGAAAATTAATGTACGACAACAGTTTTGTCTTCTGATCAAAATGTTTTGTTTTTTAAAATTATAATTCTTGATTTCCCCCAACAATAGACTTGAACATTCTCAACTTTCAGACTTTAACAAAGATTGGCTAAAAATGGGAAAATATCAATGTGTGAATAATTTTTAAATTTTTTTTTCAAAATTAAAACATCTTATTTTTTTTATTTTTCAAAAAATAATAGGTTTATTGTTTAAAACTTTTTAAAAAAACCAAAAATTTATCAGTTGTAGCAAACGAAAACCCCCCATCTTGGACACAAATTTTTAGGTCCATTTGTAATTATTTTCAAGGTGAATTTTCAAACAAAGTTTGAAGATTAAATCCTTCAAGGCATATAGAATATATTAGGCAATGCAAAATTTCTACACGACCTTTAAGTGGACCTGACAAGAACTGGCACAGAAGCATATTTGTTACATCTTTATGAATATTTTAAGCCAAGTTTAAAAAAAAAATCTTCAAGGTGTAGGGTTCATAAAAGGCAACAACAAAATTTAGAGCCAAAGTAACCAACAGAACAACCAAAAAGCAACAAAGTGATTCCCATATAACTCCTCCCAACAACATTTATATGGTGAGGGCATAAAGCCAATAATTAATAGTTCAAGAAATGTAAAATAATTCACAATCTTTTTCGGCATTTGCATTCTTTTATACAACATATAATTTATTTTACTGCATTCACTAAATACTTCAACCCTATACTTATGAAATAAGGGCTATTGAACCTATTTTTACTTATTTTCATATGTTCTATGACCCAGATCATTTCTGCTGATTTTAGGTGTCTTTGGCTAGGTGAAATGATTAAATCACATTATTTGCACACACATTATTTTCAACATTTTATTATCAAAGCAATTTCTAGATTTTCATAAAAAATAAAACAGTACTTTGAGCAGATTTCAATTCTAAGTAGCAATAAAGGATGAAACCTAGCAGTGACTTTGAATAGAGTACATGGCATGATTTACCTCCCCTGTCATCATTCCATCCCCCTCTGCCTCCGCGGCCACCACCTCGCCCACCTTGCTGTCTGTTCTGTTTCCCTTCTGCAATGTCCACTCTAATGTTTTTGTCTTCAAAGAGCTGAAAGTATTATGCAAAATGTAAAAAGATATTGAACACACAAAAGCTTATATGTAACATGCTACATAATCTTTAATCTGACAAAGATGTATTATCTAATCAAATGTCAAATTTAGTATCTGGTTCCATTTAGAAATAAAAAAATTCTATTCATTGTTTTAATACATTCTTACATACTTTCAAAACAGTTTAAGATATGAACAATTTAGAAAATTTTCGAGTTGTGACATTATTCCATTTAAGGAGATAAAAAAGTGATTTCCCTTTCATGTAGGCATTTTTTTTTATTGCTGAAACCAACAAATTTTACTTACAGCACCATCGTATGTCAATGCCTCTTTGAGGGAGTCAAGATCTTCAAATTCTACATAAGCAAATCCTTTAAACTGATCGGTCTCCTTGTCTCTAACTAGTCGTACACTTCGTACCTGAAATTCAAAGTGGTTTTTTGTTTTTAAAAATAATCTTTTAATCGGTCTCCTTGTCTCTAACTAGTCCTATACTTCGTACCTGAAATTCAAAGTGTTTTTTTTTTAAAAATAATCTTGTCAGCTTTCAGTGAATTTATCCCCTATATTTTACAGCCAAATAAAGAATGTTTTCACTGACCCAAAGTAGGTATATTTTCCCCTAAATTAAATGCTGTATTTTCCCCTGACAAGCCCTGTGCACATTCTTCACCAGAACCATGACCTAAACAGCAGTTGACTTATATCAGCTAATTGATAAATTTAATTGACTGACAGGCAGAAAGTCATGCTAACCTGCTGATTCAATTATTATTGCTAAATCAAGGAATATCTTATTGAATGATATTTGTAGTAAAAATCACAATTTTTTTCATATCTATCTTTGTTATAATTAATATTTTTTGAAAGACCAAAACTCAAACAACTTTCTATGTTGAAATTAGCATCGAAATAATTTTTAACAATGGAGAAACTTAACGATACATTCAATAAATTAGACATTTAAATTTTTAATAGTGATCTTGAGTATTCGGATGTAGTCTTATACTTACTCTTAAATCTTTAAATATTAATTCTAAATCTCCTTGTACAATGCCATTTGGTAAATTGCCAACAAACACTGTGTATGGGGGTTCAGTGGGCATTGGTTTTCTCCCACCTCCCCGACCGCCTCCTCTTCCACCGCCTCTACCCCCTCCATATCCTTGATTATAGTTGCCTCTGAATCCACCACTAAAATATACATATAAATTTTGTTACTTATTGTTATCCTAGTCATTTTAATATCAAAAGTTAGGGGCGTCTGTAGCCAAGTAGCCGTTGACTTCAAAATACTTGCCTCTCACCACTGTTGGACTCTTTCTGAAATTCATGAGGAAGATGTCCAGCTAGATTACGAAACATTGGTGGTTCTACTCAGGTTCTCTTACATGCATTATAGCAGGCACAAACATGCTTGAGGTCTTCCTCAAGCAGTAAAGCTGGAAAGTCACCATATGTCAATGATCTATACTGGGTTGGCAGTGATTTTTTCCCTGCATTTTACAGCAGAATAAAGCCTAAAAGGCGGTTTCCCCTAGCCCTAAATAGGTATATTTTCCCCTAAAAATGCTACTATTTTGCCCCTTAAATGCCCTTGGCACATTTATCACTAGAGCCGTGACTTAACAGCAGCTGACTTATATCAGCTTAAGACAGAACGCTGTCCCTACAGATACCCCTGCATGTATCATGGATGTTAAACCGAATTGAAATTGAATATTCTAAAACATGGGTGGGTAAACCATTCTCAGTTGTTAGAATTTGATTTTCCCCTTTTCTGATTTATCGCGCTATATTTTCCCCTTCAGAAAGCCACAGGTTGTTTTGAAAATTGAAAAAAAAAATCACTGGTTGGTGCGAAAATAAAAAATAAATAAAAATAAAAAAAGTTACAATATCATTAAATAATTGTAGACTACATGTATTTAATTTTAAACATTTATTTCATTTGCTTATATTGTCATGATGGAAGATCTGTCTCACGACTTTTCCTACTTTTAAGTCTCCAAAAATTTGTGTCAAACAATGCTATTCATCCCTTTGCAATTTTTTGATGAGTGAAAAACTGCCATATCAAATTTTTTTTGCAAAGGTATGTTATGCAGGAACAACATATGCTTCATTTCGCATTATCATAACTTTTATTATGTTCAACTTAGCAAAATCCTGTTAACATAGCAAATTTATAACAGAAGTAAAAATATAGACTGAAGTGTCCCAAATATCTAAACTAATCTAACTACCTGTATTTAAATAGCTTTTGTCCAGATCACACAAATTTATTGAATTACAGCATGACATAAATATGTCATGGATCTGGTTGACTTCCGATACGGGATTGGCTTCAGCAAACATGTCTAGCAGTACTATAAAACCTATTTGCTAAAGTATCTTTAGCTAGCTGGTATTCTGATAACAAACAATAGCGACTTTTCGGATTAATAACAAGAGTATTCTATGTGAAAATGGAAGCGGTGCATCAAATACCAAATGACACCTTTAAAACGGAAAAATGAACTATTTCTTAACCGGCTTCCCCGTTCCTAGGCTTCTCCTTATTTCACAGCGAGCTCGAAGAGCTGGCCCGAAGGGCCTGCTTGCATAGCGAACTTTACGGTAACGAGAGTACCTGTTCGATAGTGATGGTTTTGAAAACTTTCGTCCGAAGTACTGAAATGACACATCGTAACTTTTTCGAATTACAAGATAACTATAAAAGCAGAATAATTCTGATTGAAAACGGAAGCGTAGACTGGTGTCCTCTACATCTACATTGTACGTCGGTGCAATCACACTTGATTATGACGCGACGGGTGGTGCTAGGTCAAGAAAAAGAAATATACAAGAAATGATAGAAAGTTAGAAGAGGTTGGATAGTACAAAGGTAGAGATATAGACAAAAAGTATGGCCAGCTATATTTCGCCTCTTCAACCCAAACCTCTCCGGTTACGGTGGCCGCTGCCGGCACAGCCTTGGATATCACTAGTGGGTACTTGTAGCTGGGCCCATAAGGCGACTTAGAATGTGAGGGCTGATAGCCCCTGCTTGAAGGATACCAAGTCAGGGGCCTCTGCAACGGAGGCAGGTAAGCTGTTCCATATTGTGGCTGTAGTACGATGTAGATGTGGATGGTAGATGGAACTTCTTGGAGTGGTCACTTCTAGTGCGGCTCGGGGCAGGGGTGAGATAATCGCTGACTGGTATGTCCACAAGGTCATTGGTGATCATGAACATCATGGTCAGCTGGGCTTTGGTCCGTCGTGACTCTAATGTCTCCCACTCCAAGTGTTGGATCATTGAGGATACGCTGCTTGTGTTGTGGTAACGGTTCGTCACATATCTTGCAGCTCTCCTCTGGACCATCTCGAGCTTGCGTGTAAGGTCCTTGGTATAAGGGTTCCAGACGGTGGAGCAATATTCAAGGCCTGGTCGCACGAGTGACATGTAGGCTGTGCTCTTGACCTGTTCATTGCTGATGCGCAGGTTGCGTCGAAGGAAGCCGAGTGTACTGTTGCCCTTCTTCACGATCTTGTCAACATGTTGATTCCAGGAGAGGTTTCCAGACATATGGACTCCGAGGTACTTGGTTATCGATCTATCTCGAGTGTGTGGCCCTTCAAGGAGTACGGGACTCAGTGATTTTTCTCACTTCATTGGGAAGAGGCCTATGCCTCTTGATTTTGGGAAAAATTATCGCTAAAATTGTTGATTTGGGAAGTAAAAAAGCTGATTTAAGTTCAGATTTTTGGGAAAACTGCATGATTTTAAAGAAAATTTCAATTGGGAAGAGGCCTTTTTTCGGAGTCTGTTATATAAGTAGGAAAATCACTGCGGGTATATGATGGGGTTCCTCTTCCTGTGGACCCTGATTATGCTGCACTTCTCTGGGTGGAAACTCATGCCCCAGCGTTTCTCCCACAATGCCAACTTCTTCAGGTCATCCTGTAAAACGTGGCAGTCCTCTTCAGTGTTGATTTCCCGGTATACCACACAGTCGTCAGCAAAGAGTCTGGCTTTGGACGTGACATGAAGTGGCAGGTCATTGATGAAGACCAGGAAGAGTATGGGTCCGAGCACACTTCCCTGGGGTACTCCGCTGATAACGGGTGCTGGGTCGGACTTTGCTCCATCAACAACTACGCTCTGAGTGCGGCCTGTGAGAAATGCCTCAATCCACTTCAGGGTATGGTTTCTGATGCCATAATGATGGAGCTTGACAAGCAAGCGACTGTGTGGGACTACGCACTAACATGGGAACCATAATAGGATAGGAACCAGAATAAAAGGAAGCAGTATATAAAATACCAAATAACAATTTTAAAACGGAAAATGTAAAATAAAAATGAACGATTATGTTATTACTATTTCACGATAAAATTAAATTCGAGCTCGCTTTGAGGCTTTGCCTTTTTCATACTATTACTGAACTTCTGTGTTCTGAAAAAAAATTTCTTAAAGCTTTTGCAAATAAAGTTCATCAACCAAACTCATAATCTAATTCGTGATATGTGATTTCTATAATACGTTTGGTTTCATAGTAGCACTATAAAAATCATTATACCATAATTGTTACTGAACATATTCTTTAAACCATAAACAGTTTAAACATAGAAATGTTTAATCTTCAGAATAATACTTGAAACATGTGATTTTTGCAGGCAGCCAATATGGTGAGTTGTAGAGTAATTGCAACGACTGACAGCACAAGAAAATACACATGTCTATGTGCAATATTTATTCTCTCAATTGCAATGTACTGAAAAAAGATTTAACGCCACTGATTTGACGTACCCGCCAAAATTTCCTCCACCATATCCTCCGTGATGATCATCAAATTCGGCCATGTTTAGTTAACTTGGCCCGAATGGTTCCCAATATTACAAAAATCTTGGTACTTTGGCGCTTTTGAATCTGTATTTCATCCATCTTTTTACAAGCGTCTTTTGATAATATAAAAATGTACCAGTCAAGAAATTACTAAATTCCGTTTTGACGTACATCACTTGCCTGAAGGTCAGACTTATCTATTGATTAAAATAACATAGATACCACAAAACTGAGTATTCATCTTCAATTTATTTTTTTTCTATGAGAAAACATATCAATGACTTCTTAAAATCATTTTTTATTTCAAAAAATGCCTGCAAATAGGAATACTCCTACCCCTTCTTTGAAGTTAAGGACTGAACAATAATCACAAGACCAACATGCTTTTTTTAAAGTCCTAAACCCATATTAATAAATCCATGATTTTCAGAGAAGAATGTTACGTATGTTTCTGTTTTGCCTAAATCATTAAATTTAGACAACACACAAACGTAAATAACGATACGATAAAATTGTTCTATGTACTGTTAAGGCACTAAAGGTTTCATTTTTAAGCACAAATTTATAAGTGGTGATAATCACCATATTAAACTCTCAATTTGCAATAAAATATTTGATGATAATAAAGTTATATTCCAATCTGAATTTTAATATAATGACTGACGTAATTTTTGATATTCAAATGATCTTAGTGGACAAAATCTTATTTAGCATATTAATTCTTCTACAGCTTACATGATAATTAATAATATTCATTTCGAATAGAAGATGTAATGTTTGTGTACTGACTGTGTATATTTTTTGTATATTCTAATGTTGTTGTTTGCTTTAGATGTCATTTTATGTTGTGCCTATTGTAAATATGTTATGCTCTCCCGTGTGGAGGAAATAAAAGTATCAAGTATCTAACTTTATCACATAAACCGCGGCGCAGGAGTCGTAATAAAGCCATTTTAATAAAAACGACATTACACTAGTGTTATAACACCTTGACGTGACGTCATTTGCGCTATATGGAAACATAGCGTTAAAGTGCGCTAATGTTAGCGTTACACTATGGGCGCGTCATTGAATAATCACTCATTTTAACAGTTTTTTGTTCTTCTTTTACATATGTGATAAATAGAATATTATATTCGTGTAGATTCAATACTAAATATATTGAACTCGTTGAATTAAACAATATTATGCTCACCAGAGGCTCGCATAATATGATTTTATTCAACTAATTCAATAAATTTAGTATTAAACTATACTCAGTAAATATCCTCTATGTATGCAAATTGTATACATGTCCCAGATTCCAGTATTTGTTGCACCTGCTGAGCGAAAAGATTTATGCTGTGTATTTTGGATGTACAGTACCTGCAAATTAAAACACAATAATTTTGAGTTCTATGTGCTCTTCAACATAATATATCATAAAGAATCTGCTATAAATCAATTTCATACTAAAATTTCATGGATTCGTTGATTTTAGTTTCTATCTGAAACAATACGATTGAAGTTTCTGAAGCAGCGTTCATCGTCATTACAATCAATTAAAACATGAGAATAAAAGTCAGCAAGGGGGAGCACATTCATGGAACGTAGTCTCCAATATACTCTATTGCATATGACACTAGTAGGGGCATTAAAGGGGATTGAATTTAATGCGACTGGCTGGTTGAGAGAATAAAAGAAGAGGAGGAGATTGGGACAATTAATCAACAATAATATCCATCAAGAACCATAAGTATTAATAGAATTAAATTGCAAGTGGCAGTGGGTCTACACATATGTTTTCATCTAAATCTACCTCATACTGCTTCAAAATCTTTTACGATTACACAAAGAAGGTTCGTTGTCTGGGAAAAGCTGTTAAACAAATGAAGTGCAAATTTATATATGTACATGTATAATATAAAAGCAAGTTAAAAGAAGACTTAATATAGTGATCTAAACTGGGACTAGCTTGTAAGGGCACAAGTACCCCATTCCACAGACGAATATTTCTTGGGGACATGAATTGGAGAGATGCTGTGTCATTGAGTATGGTATTAGTAGAAAGGTTCTAGTAAGTGTCACATGATGATGGTCGACCCTCACAAGATTGTATTGGATTTTGTAGAAAATGATATAACAGAGCTGATGTTGCGCCTCTGCTCTAGAGTTAGACAATTATATATAAGATCATTTAACATTTTAGATACACTATGTTATAATTGTAGTCATTATATACATATCTGGCAGCTGACCTTTGAACTTGTTCTAATTTGTAAACCAAATATTTTGTGAAGAATGCCATACCTGGAAACAGCATTCTAACTGAGGTCTAACATAAGTTTTATAGGCAGTTTCTTTGACCTTTTTTGTTGAAAGTTTATTATCTTTTTTTTTATAAATATATGTGTGAGTTATTTGCTTTTGCTGTTATGTTATTTATAGCATTGTTCAAAGATAGATCTTTACTTATTGTTACACCTAAATATTTTGAAGCCTCAGTGGATTTTAGTTATTGACCATGTAGTTTATAAAGGAATATTACTGGATGTTTTTGTTACTACCAGTAATTACCAAGGAATCTATGAACTTAAATTGTTTAATTTAGAGAAATGCTTCATTTTTCATCTACAGCTCATTGAACTAGGAATGAATTCATAATATTGATTATTGCTGTTTTCCAACAGACACTTAGGGTGTGGAGCTCCAAACGCCTTGAAATCCAAATAGAATGTACATTTTGTCAATTCCAGCACATAATTATTATAAAAGAGATGGACATATGACTTTTTCAAATATATTAAGTTTTATCGAAATATATCATAAGCATATGTGCTGGGATAGAGACAAATTTACATTTTTATTCGTATTTTAAGGCGTTTGAGATCCGACACGTCCCAAGTATCTGTACAAATAAGTGTACGGATATGAGGTCAGGGTCTTACATTGTAACATGGCCAACGATTGGCTGAAAAAAGTGCAGGGAACACCTTATGGTCTAATTGGACATGAGGTGATTGGGTGAAAATGGGTTATTTTTAAGTATAAAAACTTCTTCTTCTTCTTCTTTCTTCTTCCAATATACTGGCCACCTTCAACTAACTGAAGTTTACTGCCAGGTTAATGCGCAAGACGGAAAGAAAGAGTAAAAATAGTGAGAAATATATACAGTGCAGGTTAAAAACGGACAAGAGTGTGGTTTAGATATAGAGTTGGGACAGATGAGTACGGAATGACTCAACTGTACCGGCTGACGTAGTGTCTGGAGGTAGGCTGTTCCAGTCTTTGATGGTACGTGGGAAGAAAGATTGTTGACGGTATTGTGTACGGCAGTAGGGTATCTTGAAGGTTAGGTTGTGTGAATTTCTTGTAGATGTGGAGTTGGAGGGTATGAGTTGTGAATTGTCTAGAGCGACCTTGTTGTTGATGACTTTGTAGAGCATGATCAGTCTGGCCTCCTTTCGACGTTCTTGTAATGGTTTCCATTCAAGATCTGCAAGCATGTCTGTGACGCTGGACCTGTTGTGGTACTTGTTTTTAACAAACCGTGCAGCACGTCGTTGGACCATGTCTAGACGGTGTATGTCTCCCTTCTCGTGGGGGTCCCAGACAGTGCTCGCATACTCTACTGTGGGGCGGACTAGAGCTTTGTAGGCTGTTTCTTTGGTGGAAGTAGAGGCGATGTTGAGGTTTCTTCGCAGGAAGCTGGTGGTGCGGTTGGCTTTGTTACAAATGTTGTGTATATGTTGGCCCCAGTCTAGGTTGTTATTCAGGGTGCATCCAAGGTATTTAGCTGATGTGACGTGTTCTAAAGTATGACCATGAAGAGTGTAGTTATGGCAGATGGGGCTTCTTTTCTTGGAGATGGTGAGGACTTGGCATTTGTCTGGATGGAATGACATTTTCCATTTCTCTTCCCAGACAGCTAGTTTGTCGAGGTCAGCTTGTAGGGTGGAACAGTCAGACTTGTTTGTGATGGCAAGATAGGCCAGCGTATCATCTGCAAATAGTCGGACGACTGCGTTGAGACCCTCTGGGATGTCATTTATGTAGAAGAGGAACAGACTCGGGCCAAGGACTGAGCCCTGTGGGACGCCGGATTCTACAGATACTGTATCTGAGGTTACCCCTTCCAAGACTACAGATTGGGATCGGTTGCTTAAGAAAGCCTGAATCCACAGGTTGGTCTTGCCTCTGATGCCGTAGTGCTCCAGTTTGTGGGATAAAAGGCTGTGACAAACTTTGTCGAAGGCCTTGGCGAAGTCCATGATAAGAACATCAGTCTGTTTTCCATTTTCCATGTTCCGGGTTATGTCATCTGTGAATTCAAGAAGCTGTGTTTCACAGGATCTGCCCTTTCTGAAGCCATGTTGGAGAGGATAGAGAATCTTTTGTTTTTCGGCATGGTTCATGATGTGGCTGGTGACAATGTGTTCTAGGAGCTTGCAGCAGATGCACGTTAGGGAGATAGGGCGGTAGTTTTCTGGTTTATATCTGCTACCTTTCTTGTAGACTGGGGATACATTGGCTTTCTTCCAGTCATTAGGGATGGTGCTATTTTCAAGTGACAGAGTGAAGATGGTGTTGAGTATTGGAGCGATGTCAGATGCCAATTCCTTGAGGATACGAGGACTTATGGTGTCGGGTCCTGCAGCTTTATGTGGGTTCAGTGCGAGAAGGAGTTTGGTGATTCCATTTGTGGTTATCGATATTTCAGGGGCTACAGGATGTGTTGATTGTGGATTGACGTAGTCCCCCTTCTTGAAGTCATCAGCAGTGATCTTGATGTTGTCTGTGAATACAGATTTGAACTGCCGATTTAGAATGTTAGCTTTGGACTTAGGATCGGAGTGGAGTTGTCCATGTTCTTTTAGTCCAGTAATTGTTTGATTGTCTTTCTTCTTGTGTTTTATGAAGGTCCAGAAACGTTTCTGACTGCTGTGTATGTTTGGATCTGAGGGCTGCGGCGTTACAATATTATCGACATATGTCCAGTAGGCTTGTCGGAGTTTCTTCTGCACTAAGTGTTTGCAGGTCTTGTAATTTCTTTGATGTTGTTTGTCTTGAGATTTTTTCATTTTCTTATGGAGAAAACTAATTTAGAAAGCAACACTAAATTGTTTTCTGAAGAAAATGAAATATTTGTCTCTATGATAATTTTTGACTTGGATATATGCATTTATAAAAAGTGTAGATCAGCAGAAAATTTCAATGAAATGGGGGTACAGTAATCCTCTTTGAAGTCATTTTGCAAAAAAAATGGTTGGCTACCCCTATAAAACAGGAACATTTTTATGTGTCAGGCATTTCATTCTGCTAGAAAAATCACATCTTTAGCATGAAAACTCAATTTCAAGGTAGGATTAGGCCTAGGGACCACTTCTTATAATGTAAGTCTATGGAAAAATCAATGTGAGTGTCTGACCATGAAACTTATTTACCATACGGGTTTTCGGGTTTTATACTCACCAAATTGTGCTTACATGCAAGTAAACACATGTGCACTAGAATCGAGATGGAAAACTTAAGTGAAAACAGTCAAAGAAAGCTCCCAGAGAGAAATATTTTAGATTTATTTGTAATTCTGACAAAATCTGGTGATGTAAAAAGGTGTAACGCAACCAAGTGTCTTTTGGATCATCTCCAGAAGCAGCAAGCCAGCAGTGGCAAGGCACGAAAACTAATGCTTTTAATATTCGTACACAATATATATCGTACTTATTGTGAAACATTTTTAATATTTTCAACGATTTTATGATCGGGTCTATTTTTTTTAACAATAACAGGGACTAAGTCACACTGAATAGATAACAATTTTGATACTGTATTTCAGGTTGGAGAAATAATTTGAAGTTAAGTTTGTAGGATTTTGTTATTAGTTTATATAAAAATTATTTATTAATATTTAACAACTTCCAGGAAATTTTAGCATTTCTTTTGAACATATGCATCATAGGAACTCGAGAACGGGACCGCAGATTGCGGCGTATATTTTCGATCTTGTAACGGTTTTTAAATACGTTTCTGCTACATCTAAATATCTTTTAGTATTATCCGAGTGTATGGACTCAAAAAATATATTATCAATTGAACCCAATCTGTCTCTTTTAAAATTGGTCAAATTTTACGGTATTATAAAAAAGACAAGGAGTGACATCCGCCATTTGCCGCAACGTTTTCGGCATGAGTTTTTCCCCTTTGGCTACAATTGATTACTATTTTTTCAGAATTTTGTTCCCGTTATTTTTGTCAACTTTCAGGTATCGTCCGGACGTTAACGGTTTATTGTTTACGGTTTATTGTTTACACGTGTTGACATGTATAGGCGGCATTATAACGGGCGTATTCGTGTTTTGATTTGTTAACTTGGAGAAAACAGACACTTTAGTAATATGGTCCAACTGATTGTGCCTAACTGAAAAAAGGAATATTAAAACATGATCCATAGATAAATATTTTAGGCACTCATCTGGTATTCATTACTAAAAAAATTAAAACAAAAATCAAACATATCAAGGGGGATAACTTACGCCGAACGTTGCGGCAAATGGCGGATGTCACTCCTTTTCTTTTTTCAATATACCGTAAATTTGATTGATTTTTAAATTAGCAGATTATATTTAATTGAGATTAGATAATTAAAGACCACCCGCTCGCATCATATGAAAAGATATTCAAAGGTAGGACAAACAATATGTAAAGCCAGTACGGATTCGGATTTATTCGCCGCAATTAATATGCGGTCCTGTTCCAGAGTTCCTATGATATGCATGCCATTTATTTATTTATATTGCTACATTTATTTTTAGAACTTGTGTGGGGATGTCAAATACACAATTAAGAGACTAGTTCAGGGCCTGTCATCAGATAGAAAATATACAAGAGTTGGTTTTTCCACAGCACTTTGCCAACTTCTAAGAACTGTTGATACTATAGCCAGTAGTGATGTCTTGAGTTGTATAGCACATTCTGCTGATAATACAGCTAAAAATGTAAGATATAAATTTTTTTGATAAGTTTGTCTATAGGCCTAATTTCTTGCAGTAGATGGGCTTTTTGATACATGTTTGGGAAGGGCCCTTCCCTTAGAATTTTGGGAAAATAACACGTAATTACTTTTGAAAAAGGGATGAAATTACTTGATTTAAATTGAATTTGATGGTAAAACTGCATGATTCCAAAGAATTTTCCTGAGCATTTGCTGCCACACCCTGTAGCCACTTAGTATCATTTTATAAGCTTTATTGATGCATTGTATAAAAAATGTTTTAGAATAATTTCAGGCATGTGTCTATTCCCTTATTGAAAGATTATTTTTGATAGCTCAAAAAGATTTGCTTCGGGTGTATATTTCTCCTCCTTTATTTTGCTCTTGCTCAAATTGTAATTGTTAATGTTTTATTTCAGGAGGAAAGGAATGTTTTTCTTGGGAATGCATTTGGTCTTTTAACTCTGATCAATTCAGGTAAAATCTTGACAGCAAGTTCAGGGGAGATAAGCGATATTGTTGACAAGTTACTTCAGCTTTATAACAAGAAGACCTACTTACAGCTCTTGTGTCTAAATGGCATTTTGCAAATTATTATGCAGGTATAACATTTTAATTTGATTCTGTACAAATGTTTATAAAGAAAGGATTTGGGCTATATATCACTATTTTTCGTTTAAATTGGGGAGTTATCCTGATCCCTAACATCCATGGAAAGAGAGGATATCAGTGGGAATAAGCCAAGATTTTACCATCTGGTTGTCTGTGCAGGGCAAGGCCTTTTATCCCAAGGGTTTGAAAGTTTGAAATAAGAGTCCCTACTGTTTGCTTAATGAAAATGAATGACATTATGCCCTTGTCCAGTCTAGTATTGTGAAAACGTATTGTTACATAATGACATTTTATGTGAAAGTAACCCTAATAATAAGAAATGTTTTTGTTTATATATCATAATAATATATTTATGTTTAAAATTACTCTGTAAAAATCAAACAATATGAGAATTACAGTAGCATTAATTGCTTAACACTTCATTGAGGTGAGTTCATACCACATGAATCACTGAAGTTGAGCACCAAGTTAACCACCCTGATCCTAGTATGAATTTTTACTGAGTAGTGTCTGTTTTGTAAGATTCCTGGTTGAGGTTGTGTATGCTAGTTTTATCTTCATTACCATTGAACATATTCACTTGAAAAGACACATGTCACCAGGGTGGGTGTATGACTATAAAGGAAGTTTCGAACCAAGACCCACAACTTTGTCATAAATTTTCACGGAGTTATTTCCTTTGTTAATGTAAAAGTTCTAGACATGTCTTTCTAATGTTTATTCTCAAGCTTGTAGAATAGCGAAAGGCTCTGTCCCTCTTGACTACTGCTAATTATTACTTCTAGGGTCGCTCTTTCGATCATCGGTCAATGAGTATTTCTCTGTGACTATTAGATCTTGGAAATTGCCTGATATTGCTGATTCAAAAATCATGTGGGATTAGTAGTTGGTCAGTTGCAGAGAAATTGGTAATTACTGGTTAGTTATCCAGGAAAGCCTGTTAGGCTGATCACTCACCAGGATGTAACCAAAACAAGTGTTAAAATCAGCATTAAAAAAAACAACAGAAAGGCAAACAAATTTAATATAGTAATTAACAACATTGAATATGATTTCAGGTATCCCATGATGTGTTTAAGAATAGTGTTTTGCCTCATCTTCAGCAGCAGTATGCTACGGGTTGGGATGTTTGCACACCAGATACCTTGCAACTCCTTTTAACATCTTGCAAATATCACCCAGTAAGTATTTATATATTATCACTGAAACATTAAATGATATGTGTTTGAATTGCTTGAAATGGATACAGCTTGAGCAGGGTTTTTGGATGCTTTGACATGATCTGTTACTTCAATATGACGAGACTGTATTTTTTTTCTACCTTTTCAGGCCAGTGTAAAGAAATTTTTAAAAGATCATTGGTTAGGTGACCAGTTGATCTCAGAGAAAAACTTTCCACATCTAGGTACTGTTGTTTTGGTAAGTACTTTCAGCTGGTTAGCTGTCACTTTTCAAATAAAAAAGTGTGGGTATTGTCATGACCCTGGCAGGCATTGTCCATTGTATAGTTTTGGTCTGGGTATATCTTTTGCATACAAAGAGGGGTTTTAATATAACTTGATAAAAATGTTCACTGCCATAAGACAGTGTGTTAGTGTATGAACCAGGTTTCTAGGTCAATGTTAAATAAATTGAGTTTCTTTAATTTCTAACTCTTGGTAAGAAACATATTATGAACTTCATAAAAAAAACCCTGAGAGTACTGAAAACATTCAGGGGTCAATTATGGGGGTCTTTTGCAAAGCTGCATGTACATGCCAACATTGGACAGAGTGTTTTTCTGTTGTCTTATTTGTAATAAATTCTGATAATTTCCTGGCGAGTAGTGTTATACTTGTATTGACATTTAAGGTTGTTGTTGTTTTGTTACAGAAAAGCACAAGTCTGACACATATGATACACCCACTGATAGACGAGTTGTTGGCAGTTGTCAAAGAGAAACATCTAGACGTTGGCAAATTCTGGAAACATGTTGGCAGTAAGTTGATAATTATCTTTATCACATAAACCGTGGCGCAGGAGAGTAATAAAGCCATTTAATAAAAACGATATTACACTAGTGTAATAACACTTGACGAGACGTCATTTGCGCTATATAGAAATATAGCGTTAAAGCGCGCTAATGTTACGCGTTACATTATAGGTGCGTCATTGAAAAATTACTCATTTTAACAGTTTAACGTTCTTATATTATATATGTGATAAATAGAATATGATATTTGTGTAGATTCAATACTACAGAGGCTCGCATAATATGATTTTATTCAACTCGTTCAATAAATTTAGTATTTAACTACACTCATTCAATATCCTCTATGTATAAGTTATATATATCTGAAAAATTTAATACCATACCTAAAGTTGTAAGATAAAAAACGCATGTGAAATGGCTGTCATAATTATGATTATAGATTTAATTAATAGCAGAATTTTTTTTTAAACTGGTGTTCAGGTATGTCAGTCTGAATTTCCTGCCAATCAGTTTGACCACTTTGCTCAGGTGTAGGGAGAGCATTGTATTTGTAATCTAGGGGTCACCAGTTAGATCTTTAGTTTCCTTTGTGACAATTGATCTCAGACATGGAGTCTAATGTTCATTTGTCTCTCATCACTTATTTAGAAATCATGTGGGATAAGTAGCCTGTCATTTGTGGGGAAATTGTTTATTACTGGTTAGTTATCCAGAAAAGCCATTTATGTGGAACAACCGCCAAGATGAAGCCATAAATGTGTCAAAATTGGCATTAACACACAAACCGACAGACTATCAATTAAATATCAATTAATTTTTCAGAGACTTTACTAGCATCTGACAGGAGAGTTAGGGTAGGACCTAAACAAATCCTAGGACTGTACCTGCTTGAGAAAATACTGCCACTTATTGACACTCCAGAAAAGGTAAGCATTGTCCTTTTCAGATCTATATATTTTCATGCATGTCACAGGGACCATCTCTGATTAAAGACCATATTTAATCCATGTCCATGCCAGCATTTTGTATTTCTTCTTGTTTAAACAATAACAATTGTATATGTGAAACTTTTTTCTTTTCACTTTTATTTTACAATGCTCCAACACTGTGAAGTCATATGGCAATTCCACCTTTACCGCTTGAGAAAGGTCTCAAGGGCATGTCAGTGCATTGTTTCAGCCTGAGTACAGTGTAACTTCCGAAAACCGAACACCCATGGGACTTGTCATAAAGTTTGGATTTCAGAGGTTTCCGGAATTCAGAGGTTTATGATAATGCGGACAAGACTAAGCCACTTAATATCACTAAATGTCAAGGAAGAAGTGGCCTTTACTGTAATATCATATATAATAGTCTTTTAATCAAGATAAAGATGTGAATGAAAAGAATACATTTTTATCTTACTTGCAAATGCTTCTGAATTTCTATCAGTTTGTAGAAATGTTGTTAATTGCATAAACTTACATATCGTCCCATGCTAGATAACTAATTATTACATCAAATGCAATAAAATCCCTAAAGACTTTTGATGCATACATTGTCCAATTAATTGTCATTTAATCCGCTAATATACACTTCAAATTAACTGACCGCCGTAAATTACTTTGATTAACCGCATCACTCCAAACATACCATTTCACAGTTTGTGATTTTAACGCGTGTCAAATTACACGGTCACCGCTAATAAGTAAACAATCGCTGGGGAGATTAAATCTTCCTGCAGGGATTACAATGTATTTCACACCTTTGGATGTTTCTGGTTTTTGGAGGTAAAATTGCATTGATTTGACTCTAATTTTTCGAAAATATCGTCCGGAATTCAGAATTTAGAAGTTCCGGAATTCAGAAGTATTATATTAATAGAAAATAGAAGGGAAAATATCGGGACCGAAAAAATTGTTCGGTATTTAGAAGTTTCCGGATTTCAGAAGTTCTGGAATTCGGAAGTTACACTGTAGAACCACTGACGTTTCGTAAGGTTACGTACACGCAAAGTGAAAAAAACAAACAAAAACAATTTACATACTTAATAGCTCATAAACCTACGTTTTAGTTATGGTAATACACTTGACTTAATATATCATACAGTTGAAAGCTGTGATGTTACCAGACATAGGGAGTGTGTTAATACAGCTCTGTTCTAAGAAGATGGAGGAGGGAACTAAAGGTGCTAAAAAAATAAGTGATGTTATAAGCAAGATAACTCAAGTGGTAAGTTTAAAAATATATCTCACTATTTTATACGAGTGCATACTGTTTTTATAAGAGGCTTTTTTTTTTTTTTTTTAAAGCTAGGCAAATCCATTGCAAGAATTCAGCAGGTTAAGGTTTATGATTGCTGGTGTTTATCTGTTGACTTTTGTGCACCCAGCTCCTGCCTGGTAAATAGGTATGCACAATTGTAAATGGAGCAAAAAAAAACAAAATGCTTGAAGATAAAAACTGTAGGATTGAGATAATGGCAAGCTAAATATTACATGTATTTTTCACCTTTACTAGTTGATATAGGCTCATATTTTTCAATGGCGGGAGGGGATAATAAAAAGTTTTAAAAAAATGCAAATAAGATAAGATTGATTTGACTCTAAGTTTACATTTGATATAAATATTTGACATATATCCTGTAATTATTACAGCTGACAGCTTTGGTTGAGTTGACGGTAGCTAGTAAGGATGCCCAGTTTCAGCTAGAGATGTTGAAATGCTTGATCTCACCACCTGGATCTTTTGAGTTTGACAACCAGACAAATACAACAACCATTGCACAGATATCAAGTCAGGTATATGATTTGATGATAATTCACCAGATTTATTTACTAAATATCGTTATGTACATGTTAGGGTAACAAATAGTGATGTCACATAGTAACATTGCTTTTCGGTCTGCTGGCATTACCAAATAGCATGTGATGCATACCAGGCATCCGTTCTCTTTCTGAAATTTTTTTTTAGTACATTTGTAATGAAATAAATATCTCATCCCATTGTCCTTTAAGGGTTGAGGCATCAAAATTGCAGCAACAGTTTACCCCTGTGTGATTGAAAGAGGCAACTAAATGGGTTCAAATTACTGGAGTCTCTTAACAGATGAGGTGGTTTTGACCCCAGGTGTGGCTTGAAGTTTTTAAAACACAAGGTTAGCCAAAATCGTTTTGGCTCCATATGACATATAATGTGTTGATGCACTATTAAACCAAACAAACTAAATATCACATCCCACTGCAGGTGATAGATCTGAACAAAACATTAATGGGAGACATGTTAATGTCAGTCTTCGTTACTGCCTTCATGGACATCACTTGTCTTGGGTGAACATTATGTTCTATCACCCTAAGTATGTGATACTTGTAAATTGTCAAATGATTTTTAGCTCACCTGTCACAAAGTGACAGGGTGAGCTTTTGTGATCGCTTTTCGTCCAGCGTCCGTCCGTCCGTCGTCCGTCCGTCCGTAAACTTTTGCTTTAAATGACATCCCCTCATAAACCACTGAGCCAATTTCATCCAAACTTCACAGGAATGTTCCTTTGGTGGTCACCTTTGAAAATTGTTCAAAGAATTTAATTCCATGCAGAACTCTGGTTGCCATGGCAACCAAAAGAAAAAACTTTAAATATCTTCTTTTAAAAAACCATAAGAGCTAGAGCTTAGATATTTGGCATGAAACATCTTCTAGTGAGTGTCTACCAAGTTTGTTCAAATAAAAGCCCTGGGGTCAAAATTGGCCCCGCCCCAGGGGGGCATTGATTTTCCCTATATGCATATAGTAAAAACTTAAAAAATCTTCTTTTAAAGAACCCAAAGAGCTAGAGCTAAGATATTGGGCATGAAACATCTTCTAGTGAGTGTCTACCAAGTTTGTTCAAATAAAAGCCCTGGGGTCAAAATTGGCCCCGCCCCTGGGGGTCATTGATTTTCCCTATATGCATATAGTAAAAACTTAAAAAATCTTCTTTTAAAGAACCGTAAGAGCTAGAGCTTAGATATTTGGCATGAAACATCTTCTAGTGAGTGTCTACCAAGTATGTTCAAATAAAAGCCTTGGGGTCAAAACTGGCCCCGCCCGGTGGGGGGGGGGGTCATTGATTTTCCTTATATGTGTATAGCAAAAAATGCTCATACATCTAAAAGTATATGGTACTTTTACTAAATAAATGAGATTTAATACACTTGTTACTATTTATAGTAACAAAATTGCCTATGATTTCAACTGATTATGAGTGTCATGTGACCTATTATGAGTTTGCGGCCCGGGGCCGAGAACTAGTTATCAGCCCGCAGAACATGTGCACGTGCACAAACTGAAACAATGACGTCATATTTTACGTCATCAAACAGTTAACTGTAAAAGTGAAAGTAGGTTGTCAGCACGAATCGCTTTATTTCTATTATGAGAGCTATGTTTAGTACAAACACATTTTTGTTACTATTGAAATTTGAAGAAATAATACGACAAATTCATTCCGAAAAAAAATGAAAATAAAACTTGCTTCTAGATTCTACTGCTTTGAACACACAAACAGTAAATGTCTCTGTACAGAACAGTAGAAGGGTAGACAAAAATTTCAACGAAAGAACTTCAAAGTATTTGTTGGTTCTTTTTTTTGGTTTTAAAAAAAATGCTACTATTAGAATCTAGATCTACCAAGTGTATTAAAGACATTAATACAGAACATGTGCACGTGCACAAACTGAAACAATGACGTCATATTTTACGTCATCAAACAGATAACTGTAAAAGTGAAAGTAGGTTGTCAGCACGAATCGCTAGCTTAAGCGTATTTAGTACAAACACATTTTTGTTACTATTGACATTTGAAGTAATAATACGACAAATTCATTCCGAAAAAAATGAAAATAAAACTTGCTTCTTTGAACACACAAACAGTAAACATTTCTGTACTGTACAGTACAGTAGAAGAGTAGACAAGAATTTCAACGAAAGAACTTCAAAGTATTTGTTGTTTTTATTTTTTTTTTTAAATGCTACTATTAGATCTACCAAGTGTATTAAAGACATTAATACACGTCAGAGTATGGCCGGAAGGTGATAATCGGCCCTGAATGAATAATTGCCCTCGGGTCCATTATTCATTTTGCGGGCCGATTATCACTTTCCGGCCCTCTCCTGCCGTGTATTAACCTCTTATTAATACACGTCAGAGTAGGGCCGGAAGGTGATAATCGGCCCTGAATGAATATTGGCCCTCGGGCTAAAGCCCTCGGGTCCATTATTCATTTTGCGGGCCGATTATCACCTTCCGGCCCTCTCCTGCCGTGTATTAACCTCTTAATATTTGTAAATTACAGTTACTACCTGAGGCTAAACATGAATATATTGAGGAGCTGATGAAAGCTTTTAGGGGTGAACCATCCTGGATGTAAGTATATTTTATATAAACAACACTTGTCTCTCAGGGTAATAGTGCATATTAGCAACCCAAGAACTATAATAACTCCCGAGGGGGGCAGCCAACTCATTTTAACTTTTTACTATACAGCCTAATGTGAGGTAACATGCTGTTATTTCGATCAATCAAACTGGAAATGAATATCACTCGGTCAGTAATTTTTTGCAATTTTCCCCAGGGGCAAGTAATCTATATAGACTTCTTGAATGTTCTAGTTCTTTCCCCTGGTCGCTCTGCTCATGTAAACCTTTTACTATATTAAAATGTTTTACTATATTAAAATATTGATTTAACTGAAATAACACCATCAACTCCGTCTCGGGAGTTATGTCATTAATTGGGTTGCTAATTGCTAATATGCACTTTTACTCTGAGAGACATCATCACATGCGTTATTTTTATAATGACATATTTGTAAAAACACAGATTCAAAATATGCAATGTTTAGCTGACCTAGGAGCGAACAGTTCCATGGGTACAAGTTCTCAGGCATTTGCCTGAAGTTCATGTGTTTTGTTCTTTAGAAAGCACTCTTTTTCTATATAAAACCAATTAAAAATATTACTAAATTAAGAGGTTTCAGGTTTTTCGATATTTTTAACTTGCACACATGCAGTTCTTTAATTATTGCATAATGTGTTAAGCTGTTTGGTCTGACTAGTGGGCCTTTTCATAGTGCATTACCTTTTTAGATTCATATTAATAAATTTATAACATAAACCACAATGTATGCAGAAATGTAATTAATGATAAAATGATATTACACTTGTGTAATAAAAATGCAATGTACCATCATTTGTGTTAAAAAAAAAAGACATAAAAACACCCTAAATGTTAACATTACACTATAGGCATGTCAATGAAAAAAAATGTTCTTTTAACTGTTAACAGTTCTTAATTTTTGGGCATGTGATAAATTGAAAATTATATTTATTTTAAAGGTTCAATTCTGAATTTGTAAAATAATATAATATTATGTTCTCTAGAGGCTTACACTATACAATTTTATACAACTTATTCATTAAAGTCAGCATTTAACTTACTTTCAATTAATATATCTTTTATATATGATACGAAAAAAAAAATGTTAATTTTGTATCACACTGATGAAGGCTTTTGAATAGCCAAAACGTAGGTCTTTAATAAAATTACTGAAACCTAACTCACTTTGTTTGGTGTTTTTCACATCCCTTATTCTTTTTACAAGCTGAGGGATATAAGACTTAAGACTTATATGGTATTTGCTGTCTACTGTCACTGATTGTGTTACGGAATGAGAACACCTAGTATAGGGGTGTCCGTGGCCAAGTGGTTAAGGGCGATGACTTCAAATCACTTCCCCTCACCGCTGTGGGTTTGAATCTTGACAGGGATTTTGGATTCTTTCATGTGAGGAAGCTATCCAGCTAGCTTACGGAACTTTACGTAAAACTCAATCAAACAAACACCTAGAAAATATCATTGATTTGTCATTATAATGTTATTATTTCAGAGCTTCAGAGAATCAGTCTGCTTCTTTGCCACAGTGGTGTGTTAAACAGCTCTGTTTGATGTGTGGTAACACAGAGTCGTCATGGCAACTGAAGATTTTTCAATTCTTATTTCTACACAGCTTCTTCACTGTGAAAAAATATAGCAAAGATATACCCCATGTAAGTAAAACAATGGAAAATTTATATAAAAAAGTTAGTTCACAATTATATTTTTAATGAACAGTATTGTGACACAACAAACATCTTTGTGTAGTTATTTCTTAATCTGTTGAATTTCCTGAAGGGATATCCATGGCTGAGTGGTTGGACTTCAAACCACTTACCCCTCATTGTGGGAGGTTTGAATCCTGCCAGCAACTTTGTATTCTTTTATGTAAGGAAGCTTTCCAGCTAGCTTACGGACTGTTGTTTGCCCACTTGTGACTGAATTGATGCACAAAGGAGCACCTGAGGTCTTCTTCTACCAGTAAAGCTGGAAAGTTACCATATGACCTCAACTGTTTTGGTGCAAAGTAAAACCTGACCAAAAAAAAGTTTTCTGAATGGACTTGAGTGGCTTGCCTTTTAGGAAAAGCCAATTTTTAATTCATGGATATCAAAATGAAAATTTAAATACTGATTTGCTTGAATAAAGAGACCATAAGGAAGTGTTAGACTGCCCTAATTCTATTCTAGTGGTGAAACATTTGTTGATTATGTTTCAGAATTGAAAAGCCTTTTGTTGTTGAATTGTAATATGAGTTATAAAAGACTTCATTTGTTGAAGTAGCATAGCTTTTATCATATAAACCATTATTTGAATACACAGGCTTATGAAGGTGGCTGAAATGAATAGTTCAGAGTAATGGTAGTTAATAAATATCTTAATATTTAAATGTATTACAAAGGGTAGTTTCCTTATAAATAAATATCTTAATAATTAAATATATTACAAAGGGTAGTTTCCTTATAATGAAGTATCAGGAGCAGGTGTGTTCAGATACAGGTTTTACATTTGATTATGTATGTTTATTCAATTCCATGCTCTTCTCAAATGTAACCCCCGCCATGATGTAAAAGGCCACAAACATGTATTTGTTCATATGCTGAATAAATAAATTAAAACTATTTCTCCAAGTTTATTTATCAGTAAGAAAAGCATGTATGAATTATATTTTAATTTTGACTTCCTAAGGTATCATGTTTCCTCACAAAGTTTAGGACCTTTGTGGCCCAATGGATAACTTCAAACTTTTGCCCCTCATTCCTGTGGGTGCGAAGCCTACCATGGCTTTTGGATTCTTTAGTGTGAGGAAGGTCTAAAGAGGTTGTAAGGAAGGTATTTTGGTTTTACTTAGGTGCCCACTTATGCCTTGAGTTCTTCCTCCAGTAAAAATGAAAAATAGCCATATGGCCTTATTAGTGTCAGTGTCAATCTGTGGATCACTTATATAATTTATTATCATTAGAGAAAGGTTCTTTTGACAATACAAAATTATAGAATTAAATAAGTATTATAATCATTGATGTAAGATTGTTAAATAAAGAAATAAATTTTTTATGTTTTTACAGTGCAACCGTTGTCGCTAGGGAAGTCCAAAAAATTTTAAAGAGAAAGGTTTGTGGCGGGAACATTTTTTTAAAAACACAAAACCAATTTGCTGAATAAACTGAAAAAAGGTAAGTTTAGTTTTTTACCATTCTGAAAAACCCTTTCCCTTTAGACAAAAAAAGTGTTAATTCCCCACACAAAAACCCAAAATTTGGGTTTATAAACCGGACAAGGTCCCTTGAATGTTTAAATGCCAAAATTTCGCCTTTTCACCCAACAAAATTTAGTTAAAAACATCCCATTCATTTTTTCCCCCGATTTTATAAAAGGGAAATTTAAATTGAAAAATGTAAAAATCGGGCGAAAAAAGCAATTTTTTTTCCCTACTTAGTGATAAAGGGATTTCTGAAAAGAAATAAAAGAGGTTTGCCCCAAAACCCAAGTAGTGAGTGAAAACCCTTCCCCTTAAAAACGGGGTCAGATAATGGTCCCGAAAAAATTTTAAAACGGGAAAAAAGTTTTTTCCAAAAAGTGTTAAATAATTTTCGTTTTTTTTGAAATCTTAATTAATTTTAAATTTTTAAAATTGCTAGTATGAAAAATGAGAACTCCCCCCAGCCAAACTGAAATTTTCAGTAATCCCAAACAGATGGCCGGCTGATCTTTGTCAGGGCAAGGGTTAAATTTTGGTCAAAAGGGCTACACAAAATTTCTTTTAAAGTTTGGAATACTTTCTTTGAAAAATTTAATGAAGAAAACAAGAAAAAAAAAATCACATGTCTTTACTTTTTTGTATGAACAGAAAAATATATTTTACTAGGTATAAAAGTGAATTAATTTTTCAAGAAATAAGTTTTCAACCCCCCCCAAACAAAAATGATATTTTTTGTATAAAAAAAAAGCGCTTGAATGATTCAATGCTTAAATCTTATCTTTCAAATGAGCTTTATAACGTTAAAATCATTCTTTTACACCAATTTATATACGGTAATGAATGAAAAATGTGAAAATCAGCGAAAAAAGCAATAAGTCACTAGTGATGCAAAAGCCAGAAAAATGAAGAGCTGTCATCGATAGAGACAATATCGATGTATCGTTGATATTTTTTTGTCAATCAATAATCGATACACATTTGTAAAAATCGATAATTTTGGTTAATTATTTTGATGTCTATAAATTTTGAAAATTCGACCAAAGCATATACAAAAGCAGGTGACCATGTCTAACACCAAGCTGTTGTTACATAATTGACACATTTCATAGTGGTGATTACAAAAAATTGGTTAGGAGGAAGTCCTACAAAGGACATTTATTAACAGGACACATCATATTTGTATATACAGAACATATGTTTTAATAGGTATGAAAGTGAATTATATACAAGAAATAAGGAGTATATATCAATATATATTGTTGTATCCGTGTATCTCTGATATTTGTCATCGGATATCGATGTATGGTCAATATGCTTTGCTATGAATCAATGACAGTTTGGAAAAATAGAGTTGTGTCCCTTTCTTTTCATTCAATGATAAATTATAATATCTAAAATATTATTTGTAGCTAGAATTTTCTGCAACCAGTTACTATTTTGTGCTGCAATCATCAATGAAATACTGATTTTTCAATGTGATAAAAGGGTTACCACCCATTATAGTATAGTCTGATTTTATTGACCTGTCAATTATGAATACATTATAGCACTCATTTAAATATTCGATCCTACTTCGGTTTTGTCCGTTTATTTTACGAGAATTGATATGGAGTATATAACTAATGTTTGGAAAACTCCCACTAGCTTAATGTAGGTTCTCGTAACATCCGCAATAGCAAAGTCGGTTAAGTGATTGCCTAATGTATGAGAGGTCCGAGGTTCGATCCCTTCTTCTTGACAATTTTTTTAGACGTCACTTAATTTAGAGTTATTTTTACTTTTATTTTTAAGTATATTATAATGGAAAATGATCAAGCGCTTTCAGAATTTTCTACACAGATATGAAAAAAACTAAGAACACTGAATTGTCACGTTTTGTATTGTATTTTACGGCACTGAAAATGACATTTATTGATCTTTAACCCAAATGAATTTGTATTATTATTAATTTCTTTAACAATGTTATATAATAAATTATAGTGTTAACAAAAAAGTGCAAACACCTATTAAAACAAAAAAAAAACATTAACTTCAAAAATTTTGAAAATAGTTATGATTAAGAAAAAAAATGCCTGGACATACGCTGTCTCGATCTTACAACACGTAGGGCATTGAGAAATTATATACCCGTAGTTTACCCTATTGCGCTATAACGGTCAGTGTAACTTATGCATAGAAACCAGATGAATTTAATCATATCTTACTGCTAAAATCTCACGGAATTTACCGAACATTTAGCGGCTATTAATATATTCTGTGCACTGACCGTATAATCAGTATGGAATTGACAGGTTAATAAAATCAAACAATAGTGTATTGTGAAATTTATTGATACTTAGCAATAGTGTTTATGTAAATAAAAGAATTAGCAACATTAAAAAAAACCCAACAAACAAAAAACATCTTATAGGTTGAAAAGATTTGTTGAAATACACCATTTTAACAATGACTTTACAAATATCTTCAATGGAGTCACTCCCAATACTTGTGTGATCCTTTGACTGGCCTTTTCATTTCTTTGATCTCGATACACCCGTCTCTAAATGTCCAAATATCTTTCACAGATACCCCACTTTCGTTATCAACATCAGTATTGTACTTTCTATTGGCATCACTCTCGCCCACACTATAGTCTTTACTACTTGTATCAGATAACTCATTTCCTTCGTTATCATAAAAGTCGTTATCGGTGACATCGGAAAATTCGTTCCCCTCACCATTTTTATAGCCATCGATGAGGTTGTTAATATTCGTTTCTGGAAAAATGTCCAAGTTTTCTATTGTACTAGCATTATTCTGAGCCATCTTGCAATTATCAATCATGAAAGTGGTTTCGGCTTGAAATAGATGAGCTGGATTGAAAGCTTTTTTACCGTTTAACTTATCTCTCACAGAATATATTGGTCCAAGTTTATTGCAGATAAGTTCTAATATGTTTCTCTGTGCATTGACAAAGTCTATTTGACTGCCAAACCTGAGGAAAGCCTTTATTTGTTGATGGTGAACATCAAAAGATGACACGTGGTCATAATTTATAAGAAGGATGTTTTTGGTTGGGTCTGCTTTGTATATATTCCAGCCATACTTCCATTCATTATCCGTCCAGATTTTGTCTTCTTGATTAAGATAGCTTTCAGAGAGAATCAAAACGAAAGTACGCGTGGACTGTAAAACATCAATAGTGGCGTTTGATCGAACCTCACCAAAAGGTAAGTCAAGCATTGGTAAAAATATCTTATAGCCTAATGCTTCAAGGTATATTTTTAAGGTATTGTATACCCAGTTACGAAGGTCCTCATTTTCTGTATCAAAGGAAAGGTATGCATCATACTTAAACAATGGTCGAATGGCATTTGGGTTTTTCTGTCTATATTTAAGGAAAATTACCAAAATTTCGTGCCTGAATTGTACGAGCAGGGCTACAGATAATATCAGTGCAATAAATATGCTCGCTACTGGTGCACTAACTGTTACTAGAAACAAACTGTTATCAAAACAGTCTAACATATCTTTACTGAACTCCCCAGCTGGCATGATACCGTGACCTTCTACGTGGCAGAAGACTTCAGTCTTATTTTGGCACTTTTTTACGTGCATCCAGCTCTCCAGCCATTCCGACCCGCATCCGCATTCTAAAACAAGGTTGTTCAAACGTATAGAGCACAAGCTCTTTGACTGAATGACCTGTGGTAAGACCGTTATTTTAGAATTACCAGATATATCAAAAACACTTGCATTCTGTAACCTTTTCGCAGCTTCGTCAGTGATTTCTTTAAGTTGGTTCTGGGATAAGTCCAAGCTGGATATGCTATTTAAGTACGAAACATTTCCTATTTCAGTGATTTGATTGCCAGACAGGTTCAGGTTAATTTTGTGTGAATACTTTAAGGTTGGGAGCTCGGGTAATTCCTTAAGTCCTTTGTTGGCACAGTCAACGAACAGTGTGTTCTTACTAGGTATATTTTTACAACTACATCCAGGGGGACAACCCTGGTTTGGCTTAATATCACAGATAAAATCGTCTAAAGTGACGTTTATAACGGATTTGCCCTTGAGGTTTGGTGGAGAGTCACACTTTACATCAAAATAGTCCCTCCAATAAGTTTTTACAAAAGATTGCGCTTTTTCCATATATGGCTCCATTACACAGTCACATCCTATACTTGTTTCACGAAAATCAAATCCAAGATTCAATATAGCGCCAAGTTGTTCTATACTGCTAAGATTGAGTAGCTCTGTGAAGTCTGGGAAAGTTTCAAACAGATTACCCTTTAGCGAGACAACCCCGCCCCCGTATTTTTTGCTTGTGTCAAGACTGATTTGGTGTAGATTAGTCAAACTTTCTATCTTATTTCCAGAATAATCCAGCCCACAAAATGGATTTTCGCTGATAAAGTTTGTGATATCTAGGTTTCTAAGTTCATTTTGGCTAATATCTATGTCAGTAAGATGCATTGTCTCCCCTGCTATGATAAACGTGTCCATTGATTTAATTCTATTGTACTGTAACTTAAGGACCCTAAGGTGAGTTAAACTTGTGAATGATGAATTTGAAACGTGTTCAATCCAGTTAGAAGATAAATCTAGTGTATCCAGGGCTGTTAAACAGTTGAGATCACTTATTTTACGCAGCTTGTTATAAGAAAGATTGATGTTGACAATTCTTGGCCAGAAGGCGGATATGTTTGTGAGATAGGATGCTTCTGTGATAATCTTTTTCAGTATTTTGTCTCCTTGATAACGATTGTTGCAAATATTTATTGGAATTTCTGTTAATTCTGCACCTATATGCTCAATTTTATACACATTTGCTGCATTAATATCTTCATTATGTAGAACAATTGCTTTTCCTTGCACAGAAACATATTCAATAACAAGTTCTTTCTCTTTGTCTTTCCAAATTGGTGTAGCATAGCAACGGCAATATTCATTCTTGGTCATTGTAGAAGGACAATTTTTCAAATTGCATTTAAGGTCATGTTTATCAGGTACTCCTTCTGGATGCCACTGGCCAGAAAATGTTGAATTAAGCATATCCAAAACCCCTGATAACTCACACAGCAGGCCTGGAAATGGTTTTTAAAAAAACAAAAAGGAAATTTTAAAACCAGTACTGAAATAAAAAAAAATTTTTGAAAAAATTCGCCCAATTATTTTTAAAACTTCGGGCTAGAATATTTTTAAAGACTGTCCCCAAAAAACAAAAAGCAGAATGAAATCCAAAATTATTTTTTATATTTTTTAAAAATTTTTTGTACTGCAATTTTGCTTTTTATTTAAAAAAAATAAAATTGAGAAAAAAATGCTATCTGCTAATTTGTTTATAGATCTATAAAGTGTGTCAATTGTTCCAATTTATTCTTTTGATGGGATTAAAATGTTAAACTTTTTTGTATTTTTTTTATGGTTTTAAGATGATGGTTACTTGTGTACATAGTTCTGAAAATTGATGCAATAAGCACAAACATTTCAATAAAAATGGAACTTTAATTTAATAGTAAGAATGACTTACCTTTCCATGTTTTGACAGGGCTGCTTTTACTGAATCTGTGATAAGTACCGGTATGTCATGTGTTTATAAACTTTAAACCAGTCATAACAAATTTGAGGCCAGTATTGATTTGGTTCTTATCATAGATGTTTACATGGGAGGTAAAAAATGTAGGATGCTTAAGATTTTTGATGTTTTTTTTTTAGTTCGATGTTGAAAAAAAATTAATATGAGCCAAATATTTCAAGAAAATCAAACTGAGAAAAGAAAAGATTTGAAAAAAAAAAAAAAAAAGATTCAAGATTCAAGTAATGATTGTTATGTGTCACACAATTGACTGATTTTGTAGTATTTATCATAATTTTGTAACTATTTTTTAATACTGCTTAATTGTTCTTTTGATGAAAATAGAAAAAAAACAATGCAAAAATTTGCAGGGGCCTTGTTATAATTATGGAAAGCACAAAATACAAGGTTGTCAAATGAAATTGAATGTGTTGATTATAATATTGGAATGATTCATGAGGCCAAGAAATACCCTTTTTTATTGGCATACCAAGTCTTGCTTACTAAATCTTTCCGATATGGATTTTGTCCAATTTTGTGACTTTAAACAAGTAACGGGTGCATATTGATCTGTCTTTACAGAAGTTTGTGTGATGTAAGCCACTACAGGAAATGTTCATGATTGAATCGAATACTTGGTACTAAGTATTAAATATTACTTCAATCAAAAGCAATCAGATATAGAAATCTTAATATTTTTGTTAGATTTATATTTAACTTGCTGGAATTGAAAGTGATTAGTCTTTACCATTTGTCAGTCTGAAAAGGCTATAATTATATAGAGGATATTTGTTTAGTTCAGTGTAAGATCGGAATATATTTCACAGAGTGAGCACCAAAAGGTATATTTCATGAGTGGCGCAGCCACGAGTGAAATATGAACTTTTGGTGTTCACAAGGTTAAACTAAACAATTTTTTTTTTTATAGTATGCAAAGAAACGTTTAAAAAGATATTTAAACCTAGTACTAAATGAAAAGGGCGCCAAATAATAATACAACATGACGTCATTTACGACATCACATCATTAAGTTGGTTTCCAGTACTGTGAACGCTTGTATTTCACTGAAACAACGTAAAGGGCTCAAATATTCAAAACAGTGAAAATATTAAATTGATAATTTCACTGTTTATTACAGTGAAATTATCATTTTTTATTTCACTGATATATTTCTATAAACCACCAAAGATTGAGGTTAGTGTTACAATCACATTGGAGGGTGTGTGTGGGGGGGAGGTGTATGGGGTTATCGGAGGTTATCATTTGGTTACAGTATTAGTAATCTGTCAGAGGTTATCATCTAGTCAGAAGTTATCATCTAGTTGGTCTTTTTTAAGGATGATTACTATAGAAATTCAGATACCCTGTGAAGCATTCATCTGTTAAGGACATTAAAACAAACACAAGGTAAATGAGTGTTTCATTTTGGGTAAACAAATGTCATAACTAGGTCATATAGTTGTGAGCGAAATAAAAAAACTGAATTTTTAGCTTTTGGCTTATTTAAGCAACAATTATCTTCCATATTTTGACATTAAAAAAGGACTGGCTTTGCATCTTAGACATCTGAAAGAGAAGAAGTTGTGGACTACATTATGCAGAAGAACCAAAATAAAAAAGAAATATACTTGCAGTTTAGTTGGAAAAAAAAACAGGGACGTCTGTGGCCAGGTGGTTAAGGTTGTTGACTTCAAATCACTTGCACCTTGCTTATGAAACCTTGGTGGTTCTACTTGTGTGCCTAAAATAATGTACAGAAGGGCACCTGAGGGCAGTTAAGCTGGAAAGTCAACGTAAATCATATACTGTTTTGGTGCGACATAACCCCCCACCCCCACTTCCAAAAACAAAAAAACAAAACAAAAAAAAACAACATGGTTCGCATGATTTAAGCCTGCTTTCTGCTCAATTTTGCACAAAAAAAGATTATTCATGGAAGAAAAAAGTTATATAAAATTTAAGTTTGCACGTTTGCACATAAGTTTGTTGGTGCAAAAAAATGAAATCATATCAGGTTTGAATTGTGCAGAATTTATGTTGCATCTGTATTTTTTTAAAGAGTATTTCCGTACATTGTAAGTGCACGTGTTGATTGATGTAAGAATGCAAATTTTAATTATGTCTTTGTTTTTTTTTACACATTTGGACCTCAGTGGTGTTCCTTTAAAATACTTGAACTATAAACATACAGTACTAATAAGTGATGATAATAACAGGCAAAGACATAACAAGAAAATCAACTGGGAAAAATATTGCTTTTTAATGAAATTCAGAGCTATTGCCCTTGTTTTTTTATTGCAATATTATTGGCAAAGTTATAAGCAAGATAAATCATGACATATACCTGTAGGTTTTTTGTCATGCAAATAGAACAGAAACTTATGGAAAACGACGAGATTTTTTTATATAGACCATGCAATTTTATCCTTATCTAAAGCAGTTACTACTAGGGTTAATGGAATTTGAAAATGAAGACAAGTCCAAAAATGTTTGAAGTGTTTTGTATAAAGATCAGTTGGTGACCTATAAACATTGTTTTACTTATTGTGAATCTCTGATAAGAAACCATCAGTTACAATTTGAAATTCAGAAGTTTTGAATAGTTTTAATTCTCTCTAATGTATAAGTTGGATTTATTAACAGTTCTCTATTTTTCACCTTGCAATTTAATCAGTTTATATGATTCAACACTGTTTTATATATTGTGAATTCCTGATAAGAAATATTGAACCAGATTTTCTTAAAATAAATACCCCACCCCCCCACTGCCACCCCCACCCTTATTTTGGCAGATGGAATGCTGGTGTGAACAATTATTGGCATAGATGGAACACTCCGGTGCAGACCATGAATAGAAGGGCCCCCCAAAAAACCCAAAAATCCCCTTTATTGGGGTTTAATAAAAAAAACACTTGGGGGTTTGCTTTTGTTGGCCCGGTAAAAAAATATGGTTTTTTTTGCCCGCCGCCACATGTAGGCTAAGGTTAAAAATTGACGGTTTCCAATTCAAAGCAAGACAATCTTTATGAGCCACGCCATGACAAAATCAACATGTGCGTTTGCAAACAGAGCCTGCGCATCCGCGCAGTCTGATCAAGATCCATGCTATCAGTTTCTCTACTTGTAATAGAGTTGGTAAGCAAACATCATGGATCCTGATCAGACTGCGAGGAGGCGCAGGCTGGTCTAGATCCATGCTGGTCGCAAACGCACTATGTTGGTTTTGTCATGGCACGGCTCATATCATCTTGGATAATCTATTTGCTTTGGTTTAAACTTACATGACTGCTTGTATAAACATCACTAAGTTTAATATATATACTGTGTTGGAAGTACTGTTCTCAGCAGTATTGTCAAGGAGGAGATATATGTGTTGTATTTGTGGTCTGAACCTTTAAAACTGAGGTCCATAGACTTACTGTGAAAGCTTAAAGCTGCATTAAATAAATTTCATAAAAAAATAAATAGCATCATTCCGTTTATTAAATGTGTTTCATATCAACTCCCGTCTCTATTCAACCTTTAGTGTTACTGCAGGGGTTTTCATTTTAAGATCGTAACTTATGAACAATGTTTAATGAGATTTACAACAATACTGTTAAAACCTACTTGACCTGTAATAGTGAACGCAGCTTCAAATACATAGTTTATTTATTCTTTTTTTCAAATAAGACATATTCAGTTAGAATTTCATAGATTTCAATAAATTTCTGTGATTAAAATATTTTACTCAAGGATGAACATAGTATATCTTTAAGCAGACGGAAAAAAAAGTTTACTTAGTTATTTAATGCAGCTTTAACCTGCTGAATTTGTACAATTTATTTTCCCTGCATTGAATCTGGGACAGTTTGTTCAAAATTTATCAGAATTCAAAATAAAATTAACAGGTCAGACTGCACACTGGCTTGACATGTAATTACCTGTAGCAATTCAAGGCTATCAATCTTAGGGACAGGAAGCAAACATTGAAATAACAGTCTGCAGGCCGTAATGATAAAACGAGAATGAGTTTTTTGTGCTAAACAGAAATTCTTTGTAAGATCAAAGCCATCATTTTGTGAGTGTTGACCATTGGGTCTTTTCTTATGTATGATTGACCTTAAATATTATCAACCAAAATAAATAGAGTAATTTTGATTATCTGTGTGAGTTAAGAGTTGTATTGAAAGAAAATCAAATAAAACATCATTTTTTACACCATGTTACGGGGCAGTAGTTCTAGTAACTCTGTTAACAAGATAAATAATGTAACCTTGCCTTTGACTTTAAAGGGTAATAATGAAGAAAAATGTGACCAAAAAAAGGAAGTGTTAAATACGTGATAAATATAACCATATTGTAAGAGGTGACATAGTGTTGGCAAAGATTTATCTTCATTGAATAAGCATTTTCTTTCTTGTTTGCAATTTCAGAATTTATCAGTGATTGAATTGAGGTAATTTTAAGCTCAACTGAGCAGTTTTTGCTCAGAGATTAGCTTTTCTGCTAAAATGATGTTCGTTATGTCATTATCCATGATTTCTTTAAACATCTTCTCCTCTTAAACTGCACAGCAGATTTTTATTAAACTTCACAGAATAAGCCTTAGTTGCTCCTCATCAAAAGTTGTATAAATTGTTCATGTCTGTTCCACAAGTACCCTATGTCACAGGAGGTGAAAATAGACTTTAAAAATGAAATCTTAAATCTTTTGTTCAAAACATTGCAATGCTTCATGCTTAGATATTTGACATGAAGCATTACCTTCTGGTCCTTTAAAAATTAAACGGTACTTAAATGACATAATGCCTCTGAGGGTTAAATTTGGCTGACCCATTTAAGTTTATATAGAACTATATTTGTGAAGCTACAATTACCAGAACTTTGATATTTAGCATGTAGCATTAACTAATGGACCTCTTCAAATCTTATACAAATCATGCCTTGGAGTTGAAAATTGCCCCACCATGATCATCACATATTCAATAGACCTGTGTAGTAAAAGTATGTCTTAAAAATCTTCTTCTCTAAAACTTTATTGCCCACAGCTTAGCTGTTTTACCTGTTTAGCTTCAGCTTGTGCATGGTTCTCTACAAAAATTATATAAATCATGTGTCAAGGTCAAAATAAGCCATCCTGAAGATCACTTAGTTATTATAGACTTACGTAGGGAAACAATTGCAAGGTATTTATGTCTTCTTATGTAAAACTACAATCATGTTACATGTAGCTTTGGCATGTAGCATTGTCCAGTATTTCTACTAAAGATATAATTATAAATCATGCTTCTTGGTTTGTCCCTGGGTTGAGGGGTTGTATGTGGTAAAGTGGTTTAGGTTGTTAACTTCAAACCATTTGCCTCTTAACTGTTGTGGGTTCAAATCCCTCCAGGGATTTTGTGCCTGAAATAAATCAGAGGGTCACTTGAGATTTTCTTTCACCAGTATAGCTGAAAAGTTTCCATATGACATATATTTTACATGTTGCAGTACCAAGTTGAAGTCTATACAGTTTTATAAATCATGTTGCTAGGGAAATAAATTACATTTCCTAAATGTGATCAAATTAACAATTCAAGCATTGAAAATTCACGACCATTTTTAGAAGTGAATTTCAGGTGAGATAAATAGTGCCATTTCTGCCCTCTCGACTATTACTTAATTTGATTGGACAGTTTTTGTGCATATTTCTGTTGATTATTTGATAATGGTTATCAGATTTTATTAACATATTTTCAATGTTAACCCTGAAACTTTAATCTGCTAAAAGTTAATATCAAAACAGACAGATAAAGATCAGACGATAAGTGTGTTGAACTTCCGCTTTATTTCAGAAGTTTTCTTTTTAGAAAGAAAATAACTCTAAAAAAACCTGTAATTTTATCCTTAGATATCAAGTGTTTTTTTATTAATAATTGTTTATATACAAGTAACAAAAAGCAAACAGACAACACAAGCTGAATGATTTGTTATATTCAAAATTTTTAAATATATAAAAATATTATCCCAACCCATCCATTTAAAATTTTCGTTTGACCATTTTTCCTTTACGAGGCTGTCTATTATAAATTCAAAATACAGAGCTCTACAATCTACTAATTTCAAAATGTTTAAAACATGTATAAAAATGTTATCCAACCCCCACCCATTATTAAGTAAACTTTCGTTTAACCCTTTTCCAACTTACGAGTGCCTAATTCAAACTACTGCTACAATCTACTAAATTTTAAAGTTTGTCCAAAGTTTCTCTGTCAGAGGTACATTTTTGATAATACTCACCTTGTAGTTTTGATTTCATTGAGACTTTGAAAATATTGAGTACAGTGTAACTTCCGAATTCCGGAACTTCTGAAATCCGGAAACTTCTAAAAACCGAACAATTTTTTCGGTCCCGACTTTTTTCCTTCTATTTTCTATTAATATAATACTTCTGAATTCCGGAACTTCTAAATTCTGAATTCCGGACGATATTTTCGTAAAATTAGAGTCAAATCAATGCAATTTTACCTCCAAAAACCGGAAATATCCAAAGGTGTGAAATACATTGTAAATCAGAATGTTTTACCCTGCAGGAAGATTTAATCTCCCTATCGATTGTTTACTAATTAGCGGTGATCGTGTAATTTGACACGCGTTAAAATCACAAACTGTGAAATGGTATGTTTGAAGTGATGGGGTTAATCAAAGTAATTTACGGCGGTCAGTTAATTTGAAGTGTTTATTAGCGGATTAAATGACATTTAATTGGACAATGTATGCATCAAACGTCTTTTAGCGATTTTTTATTGCATTTGATGTAATAATTAATTAACTAGCATCGGACGATATGTAAGTTTTATGCAATTAACAATATTTCTACCAACTGATAGAAATTCAAAAGCATTTGCAGGTAAGATAAAAATGTATTCTTTTCATTCACATCTTTACCTTGATTAAAAGACTATTATATATGATATTTAGTGATATTAAGTGGCTTAGTCTTGTCCACATTATCATAAACCTCTGAATTCCGGAAACCTCTGAAATCCGAACTTTTTGACAAGTCCCATGGGTGTTCGGTTTTCGGAAGTTACACTGTACCATATTTGATAATTAGATCTAGCTAATTTAGTCAATAAATACCTATAATGATTATAGATGTTAAAAAATCACCTGTCTCTGTCTAAAAAGGATTTGAGAGATATATTATAATAACATGGCTAAAGGGAAGTAACTTGTCCGTGAACTTGTTCTTATTACTTCCCTTACCAACCTCAGACACTGCCAGTGACATTGAAATCATTCAAATGAAAAAGTTACCTGGTTTCATGATTAAGTCATAAATAACCTGAGGGCCTGAACTTTGAGTAAAACTAGAATGACCTAAAGCATGTTAGTTCTAGGTCTCAATTTAATTATGATACAGCCTCACAAGGCTATTTAAATTGTGGCTATTTCAAACTGTTAACATCAGAGTAAAATTTAGCGACTATGAACTAAATAGAAATATGAGTTTTAATCCAAAGAAAGATACAAACAAGCAGAGAAACTATTGTCTGCATAATAAAACAGGAACTTAATACTTAGGGAAACATGTTGATATTCACTGTACAATATGACAAACATGTTGATATTCACTGTAAAATATGACAAACATGTTGATATTCACTGTAAAATATGATAAACATGTTGATATTTACTGTACAAAATGATAAACATGTTGATATTCACAGTGCAATATAACAGACATGTTGATATTCACTGTACAATATGGCAAACATGTTGATATTCACTGTTAAATTTTACAAACATGTTGATATTCACTCTACAATATGACAGTTTCATTCTATGAGAAAAGAATAGGATCAGTATCGCTGAAAAAGATTGATATTCACTGTACAATATGACACACATGTTGTGTGAAATGAAAAGGATCAATATTGCTAAAAAAATTAAATTTATTTTATGCTACAACAAACAAGATTTTATATGAAAAAAAGTACCGTATTGTTTCCAGGGAGTTACATTTTTTGAATGTGGTCGCTAATTAGGACTTAAGATATGTTTATTAAAGATACAATTCAATTATAAAAATCATTATTCATTATAATAATGTAATATATAATACAGGATTATTTGTTTTAATTATTTTACATTACTTAATTGTTAATTATTAATTTGTAATTTTTATAATAAAAATGTTTGGATTTTTTGGATTGCTCTTTCATTATGGATTATTAATCTATAAGGTAAGATTTTTTCCTCTACAAAATGTGGTTGTGGCGCTAATTTAGAGAAGGAGCATTAAAATGGAAACAATATGTCAAGTTTAGAGAGGAAAATGATTGTTTTGATATACTTATTATTCTGCAATGTTCTACATAAGATCTCTCTCAGGATTGCTATTGTTAAACATCACAACCATTTAAATATAACTCTTTTTTTCCTGAGATAATTAAGTAAGAAAATTTACAGGCAGTTCACATTACTTTTTTTTTTTTAACATTATAAACTCTTTGCAAAATATTGGACAAAGGTTTTAATACTGTCACTTTTAACAATTTGAAAACACATTTATAAACCTGTATATTGAAATTGATAAGTCAAAATATCTATATAAAAAAATTGTAACTGCTTCCTCTTTGAAACAAATTTGATTTTCCATGAAACATACATGTCATATCTTGTTTTCTAAGCATAACTTATTTCTGTTAAAGTTGTATTATTTATATTCTTTGAATTAAAAAACAAAGTTGAACTACCAATACTTGTTGTGGAGCTATTTGAAGAACCTCCAAGGCTTCTTGTTTCAGATCCATGATCTCCAAGGCTTCTTGTTTCAGATACTTGATCTCCAAGGCTTCTTGTTTCAAATACATGACCTCCAAGGCTTCTTGCTTCAGATACTTGACCTTCAAGGCTTCTTGTTTCAGATCCATTAAAGTTACTATCCATAACAACAGACAGACTTCTCTCACTGTTTGTCAAGTTCATGTTCAGCTGAAATAGGTCCTCATCTTCTTCGATGTTTTGATATGTAGCTTTATTCTCAGGATCATATGAAACAACCTTTGTAAAATTTGTCTCGCCTCTCCTTGCTCGTTGCTTGGTACTTGTATAATAACTGCTCTCAGTTTGTTGATCAAACATTGGAAAGATTGATTTAAAACGTTGTTGTTCACTGTCAGAGCTCTTTCGTTTACATGAAGGATTTATGTTAACAGACTTGCATAGTTTGTATGTTTGTGAGAGCTCTATTGCAGACTCAGGAGTTTGTTGTTGGGAAAAGTTATGAGAAGTCTTCATAGATTTTTGATTTTTGGTGTGTGAATTGATAGGTCTTCTTTCCAACTTTACTTCATTGTGCATCAATGCATGTGACTGCCTTTGGCCTTTGTGTTGTTTATAACTGCTGTCTTTTGTTAATTCATCATTTTCATGTCTTTCAGAATTTGATAGATTCTGCAAGTATTTCTTTCTTGTATGAAGGTCATTCTTTAGAATAGGAGTAGTAAGACTTGTTTCTTGTTCTGAAGTTGATTGTTCATCAAAATTAGCAGTAAATGATACATTTTCTGAAAGTTTAGGTTTCATATTTTCTAGACCTCTTGCATCTTTCATTTGAGGATAAAATGGCTTTCCAAGTTTCCCACAGACATCTTTTATGATTTTTCTGTGATGATTTCTGAAATCGATTGTGCAGCCAACTCTTAAGAATGCCTTTATTTGTTGCTGATTGACATCGAATGACGAAATGTGATCAAAGTTTATAATGATAAGGTTCTTGTATTTGTCCTTCATAAAGTTGTGCCATCCATATTTCCATTCGTTTTCTGTCCAAGGTCTTATTCCTTCATTATCCTGATTTAAATAGCCGTCAGATAGGATAAGAAGAAAGTTGCATGTTTTATTGATTGTCTCCAGCACTTCAGAATTTCGCTCTGCACCAAATGTGACATCATGACCTGCTTGAAATACTCTATATCCTGCAGCACGTAAATTGTCTTCTAGGGTATCATCCACCCATTTTGTGACAATTACATCATCATCATTAAACGACAGGAATACATCGTAGTTATAATGAGACAAAACCTTCCACCTATCTACCTGTTTCAAACGAATATATATAATCAGCAACTCGTAGCGAAATTTGTAAACTGTTGTACTCAGTAGAATTAGAAAAACAGTCACTGCTGTTAAAACATAAGGTAGATATTCAGGTGTAGAACAATCTACATCTGTTGATCTGAACTCCAAAGCTGGCTTGATATCTTTATTTGGAAGCTGACAGTTGAACATTTGTTCTGCCACGTTGCATTTCGATGACTTTAGCCATGTCTCAATCCATAAAGAGTCACAGTTACAATCAATTAAAAGATTTTTCATGTATGTAGTGCAAACATTACGATATTGAAGGAACAACTTTGGTAATCGTTCCATATTAGAATTATTTGATAAATCAACGGTAGCATTTTCAAGAGCTTTTACAACATCATCGTTAATTTCCCTGATGTTATTGTTTGATGCCTTCAGCATTTTAATATTCCTGAGTAGAGTAATATTTGAAATGTCTGTAATTCTATGGCCAGAAATATCCAATTCTATAAAGTTTGAATGCTTTGACTGATGAATTGCAGGAAGAGTGTCTAACCATTGTTTTTCATCTTTTATAGAACAGTCTACATATAAAGTGTCCTTTGATGGTTGATCTGTACAATTACATTCGGGGGTAGGGCAACCAGAATCGGCTGGTAGTTTACAAATCAGTTGATCTGCTTGGACCTGCGGTATGGTTTTTCCTGCTAATTCCGGTGGTCCTACACATTTCACATTCATGTGATCCCACACGATTGTTTTAAGGACATCGGCGGCCAGAGAATGAAACTCTTCGAAATGACAATCACATGTTAATGGGATATTCGAGAAATTAAAGCCAAGATTTAAAAGACTGCCCAGCTGAGTGATATCATCCAGGTGTAATAATTCTTTGAAATCGGGAAATGTTTGTAAGTCATTGTTGTTGAATAATACAAAACCTGGTCCATATGTTTTAGTTGTGTCCAATTTAAAATTAGCTTCATTGACTAGTTGAGTTATTTCATTTGATTCAAAACCAATGGCACAGAATGGATAAAGTGACAGCATATTTGAAACATCTAATTCTTTCATTTTGTTATTGCTGAAGTCGACATCAAATAAGTTCATAGGCACTGCTGTAAGAATACCTGGGTCAATTTTTGTGATTAGGTTCCCAGAGAAGTATATTCTTCTCAGGTATGTAAGGCTTGTAAAAGATGTGTTGGATATATAGGTAAGTTTATTGTTATTCATATTTATTTCATCAAGTCTGTGAAGGCAAGTAAGATTTGTAAGTGTACTGATCTTGTTGTTTTTAAAGTTTATTTTCACCATTCTTTCCCATATTTTCTCCATGCTTTCAAATTGTTCATGGTATCTAGGTTTTAAAATTGCGTCATTGTCCCAATTACACAGATTGCTTGGCATTTTTGCTAATCCTCCATTTGTGTGCTGAAGTTTAAAGACCACATCAGTGTCATTGGGTGTATGCTTATATATAATCAAGCTTTTCCCTGACACTGATATCAATTCTAAAAATAGCTCAATTTCAGTGCCCTCCCAGACAGGACATGATCTACAAGCACAGCATGTGTCATATTTCTTATATTTGAATAAGGTGGTTCCATTGGTGCAGTCCTCTCTATCTTGTTTGCATCGTAAATCCTGTCTTTGGTTTTCATGAATCCAGGAAGGTGTCCATTTTCCCCCCCATGTTTCATTAATAGGTGGATCACAGGGCAGCATTCCTGATACAACAGGAATAAGTGCAGAGAACAGAAGGGCATATCTAAAAAACATAAAAGAGTGTTTATAAATGAAAGGAAAGATTAAAGCTCGACCCGTATATATGCATTGTTAGTGTGACTAAATTTTATAATTACAGTCAAAATTTGTTCGCTCGAATTCAGAGAGCCAGAGCAAATTTGTCCTAGTGATTTAAAGTTCAAGCCAAATAAGGTTGAAGTATTATCATGTATTATAAAATTGTTTACTATGGGAGACAATAGGTGTGATGGTAATCCTTGTTATTTCCATATAACATAACACCTCTATTCATCGCAAGAAAATTGGTAGAATGAAAAATATGTCTACACTAAGCGGGCAATTACTTGGAGCATTATAATAAAGGAAGGTACACATTCATGATCCAAATTTGAGCGAACAAAGTTTAACTGTATTTAAGATGTATGTAGAACAGTTGGTATGAAGACAAAACTTTTGTATTGGTTTGATATGAAATTTTCATGTCCTTTTGTGTTGGAAAAAAAAGTGAAATAGTTGCTAGTATATCAATATAATTTGAAAATTTGATATGTTGAATTTATAAATTTTGTTAATACAGCATGCCTCCAGATTCCTGCTAATTTTCATGAAATTTTTAAAAAAAATGTATTAAAATGTAAAATATTGTGAAATAAAATTTTACAAAGTAAATGATTTACACATTGCAAACAGCACTTATAACCAATGTGATGAAAATATGCAAAAATAGCCCTAACTGTGTTGTTAGTAAAGCATTAGAAATATGGTGACAATACTGCGAAATTGGTCATTAAAAACACATAACATGGAAATTAATACTTTTATTGTTAATCTTTTTACTGTTCTTCAAATTTTTTCTCACTTTTTGATTTTCCTGAAATATTTTGGCTCATCTGGAGGCACGCAGCTTTAAATTAATGGGTTGCAAATTTTCTATGTTTTATTATTTTTAGAACTTGTAAGTCTCATTACAGTTTTAATATATGGTTAATTTCAAAAACATAAATAAAGGAAGACTTCAGTATCTTTAATAAAATTCACTTTTATATATTTTAGTAATATATTTCTTATCATAAATATTTTATTTCTTATCATAAATGTTTTACAAGAATTAAGAAATTTCAGATGTTTCAATAAACTGTAATTTGAAAAATGACAGTTTAGATAATATATAAGATTTAGACAAACCTCATTTTTTGTGCTTTCTAAAATTCTCAGACTTTAGCGTCCTTTCTATTCCACTGCTCATGTCTTTTCTATTCTACAGCTCAGAGATTTATATATAGAGCACATAGGATGTTCAAATAGAAAAAAGTTAGTTTTTTTGTTGTGTACTTTTTTTGATTTATGTATCAATTTATATTTAAAGAAAGATAACAAAAATAGGCAAGTATTTTCTATTGGTGGGATACGAATTAGTGGAAATACATATTAGTTTGAAGAAGTATCTAGGAAGTTATCTGTATTGCGATAATAATGGGGGGGGGGGGGCGGAGTGATAATGGAATTTTGGGATATGATCAATGCTGATATCTTTTGTCATTTATATATTAATTTTATATATCACTGCTGAACTTCCCTTCACACTACTAAATACCTAAGGGGGCGTCCGTGGCCGAGTAGTTAAGGTGGTTGACTTCTAACGCTTGCCCCTCATTGCTGTGGGTTCGAATCCCTACAGGGACTTTGGATTCTTTCATGTGAGGAAGCTATCCAGCAAGCTTACGGAACATCGGTGGTTCTACTCAGGTGCCCGTTCATGCCTGAAGTAATGCACTGAAGGGCATCTGAGGTCTCCCTCCACTAGTAAAGCTAGAACGTCGCCATATGACCTATACTCTATACTGAGATGGTGTAACGTAAAACCCAATCAAACAAACAAACAAAACTAAATACCTTAAATAGACTTGTCCCATCGTTCATCCAGGACTAATCCATTCATCATTTTTCAGGGAAATTTCATACTGAATAAGGAAGTAGTGCATACCAGGATGAGATAGCACAGCAGAATGCTGATCTTTGCACTGGTCCCCTGCATAGAATCTTAAGTTGCCAGATGGCTTTGGGTTTTATGTAAGGTCTACCCAGAAGTGGGCATGGAGCTGCTTTTCTTTCTATGGGATGGGCCCAAGTTTGTGATTGCTAAATAATTTTTGCTTTTGCTGGGACATTTTTCCCAAAATTTTCCTAATTTCATAATCAAGAAATTAAAATGAAAAGAGTATTTTTGAGAAAAGGAGAAAACACAGGCAATTTGTACATATTTTCCATAATTAAAAAGGTTGAAGAAAATGTATGTCAAACATGATTTTCTTTGAGTAATTCATATATAAAAGTTTGCAGTCACTTAAATAGAGATAAGTTGGTGGGGCGTCCATGGTCGAGTGAATAAGGTTATTGACTTCAAACCACTTGCCCCTCACCGCTGTGGGTTCGAATCCCAACAGGGACTTTGGATTCTGTCATGTGAGGGAGCTATCCAGGTAGCTTACGGAACGTCGGTGGTTCTATTCAGGTGTCATTCGTGCCTGAAATAATGCATGTAAGGGGGCACCTGAGGTCTTCCTCCAACAGAAAGGTTGGAACGTCGCCATATGACCTATGCTGTGTCGGTGTGACGTAAAACCCAATCAAACAAACAACAAAAGAGATAAGTTGTTCTTAAATCCACCTGTTTTACATTACAAGAAATGAGGTAATATTACATGTTAAATTTGTAGCTATATATCAAGTAACAAGTGATATGTCTATATGTCAAAATATGTCACAAATATATATATTTCACAAATTGTTGAAGGTTTTTCTGAGATCTATATTTTTTTAATATAGTTTTGATAAGTAATCTCTTTATCTTTTTAACCAGTTTGAGATTTCGCTTAAGAAAACTTGAAACTTCCTGATCTATGACCTGATTTGATGCTATCTCTTGCTTCTAGTAAACTTTTTATTGCATAATAACAGGCCTAACTTCTTGAGATTAAATAGCATTTAATTTGTATGTTTCAGTCCTGAATAGTTTTTTTCTGTCAACTGATGTTTTGAGTGTTTAATGTGTACTGACCTGGACACGTCACCAAACAATTACCTTTTAAGAGAAATATAGAAAGTGAATTAGATGCAATTGAGTGTAAGTGAAAAAAGTTTCAATCTAAAAGCAGATAACCTCATACACAAAATTTACAAGGAACCTTTATGAAAGAATTGCCCTTTCTCATTTCTAAATGGATTCGAGTTAATGGAGTCTATGCATCTGTTAGCTCTACCGGATGTTTTTTTATGCCACCGCAGCATCTGCGATGCGGTGGCATATAGCGATTCACCTGTGTGTGTGTTTGTTTGTGTGTGTGTGTGTTATATAGATTATATAGTGAACTTAAAAAATCTTCTTGTGAAAAACCACTAGTCCAATTTCAACCAAACTTGGCAGGATTGATCCTTGGGTGTAGGGCTTCCAAAGTTGTTCAAAGAATTTCATTCCATGCAGAAATCTGGTTGCCATGGCAACCAAAAGGAATTATAAGAATAAATTTAAAAAATCTTCTTATAAAGACCCAGAAGGCCTAGAGCTTAGATATTTTGCATAAGGCATTGTCTGGTAGACCTCTACCAAGATTGTTCAAATTATAGCCCTGGGGTCAAAATCGGCCCCGCCCCGGGGGTCATTGATTTTCATTATATGTACATATAGTAAAAACTGAAAATACCTTCTTGTAAAGACCCAAAAGGCCCAGAGCTTAGATATTTTGCATAAGGCATTTTCTTGTAGACCCTTACCAAAGATTGTTCAAATTATAGCCCTGTGGTCAAAAATCGGCTCCGCCCGGGGGTCTTGAATTTCACTATATGCACATATAGTAAAAACTTAAAATACCCTTCTTGTGAAGACCCAAAAAGGCCTAGAGAGCTTAGATATTTTACATAAGGCATTGTGTAGTGAAAACCTCTAGCAAGATTGTTTCAAATTATAGCCTTGGGGTCAAAATCGGCCCCGCCCCTGGGTCATTGGTTTCTTTATATGTATATTGTAAAAAAACTTACAGTAAAAACTTTTAAAAACATTTCTTCTAGCAATTGACAAATGCTAGAGGTTAGATATTTGCGTGAAACATTATGTAGTGAACCTCTAGCAAGATTGTTCAAATTATAGCCCTGGGGTCAAAATTACCCCTGCCAGGAGGGTCAATGATTTCCAATATATACATATAGTAAAAAAGAATAAAAATCTTCTTGTCTGAAGGTACAAGGCTTAGAGCTTTATATTTATTAAATGATATCATATATAGGTACTCTACCAAAGTTGTTCAAATTTTGCCTCTAGTGTCAAAATTAGCCCCGCCCCGGGGGCCATAGGATTTCCTTATATGTGTATAGTAAAAACTTAAAAATCATCTTCTCTAAATTTACAAAGGCGAGAGTTCAGATATTTTGCATGAAACATTGTATAGTGAACCTCTAGCAAGATTGTACAAATTTAGTCCTGGTGTCAAAATTGGCCCCACCCCCAGGGGTCATTGATTTTCACTATGTACATATAGTGAAAAATCAAAAAAATCTTCTTGTCTGAAGGTACAAGGCTTAGAGCTTTGATATTTGGTATATAATATCATCTATGGTCCTCTACTAATGTTGTTTTAATTATGCCCCTAGTGAAAAAATTGCCCTGCCCTAGAGGCGATAGTTTTCCTTATATGTATAAAGTAAAAACTTGAAAAAAATCTTCTTCTCTGAATTGACAAAGGCTAGAGGTTAAATTTATGGCATGAGACTTTGGGAAGTGAACCTCTACTAAACATTCTTCAAATTATATCCTGGGTCAAAAAATTGGGGTCCACCCCGGGTTCATTTGATTTTCATTATGTACATATAGTAAAAAAAAATAAATAAATAAAAACTATTTTTGTCTAAAGGTACAAGGCATAAGAGCTTTGATGTTTGCTATATAATATCAACTGTAGGTCCTCTACCAAAGTTTTTCAAAATATTTCCCCTGGTGTCAAAATTGGCCCTGCCCTGGGCGCAGTGATTTTCATTAAGTACACATTATTAAAACAGAAAATAAAAAAAATGTTTTTTTCTGAATGGGAAGAAAGCTACAGCTTAGATATTTGACTTTAAATGTTGTTTGGTTGGAACTGTATCAAGATTGTTTTGAATTAAACCCTTAGCTCAAAATTTTGCCTTGCCCAAGGGGACAGTGACCTACTTTCTTGTCCTTTGATGAACAGCAATGAAATTTTGACCATGTGCAAAGTTTTAGTTTGTAAAATTGAACTTTTATATCAAGTGACCTAGATTTTGATTATGTGACCTACTTTCTTGTCCTTTGATGTACAGCTATGAAAATTTGAACCATGTGCACAGATTAAGATGTAAAGAGAACTTTGATATCAGCTGACCTAGATTTTGACAAAAGTGTCTTCTGTGTTGTCCTTTGATGTAGTCATGAAATTAGGCTGTCGTCTGCTTATCTTTCTGCAAAAGGAAAGCTGGTTTATAGTATTAAAAATCCAGCAAAATTACGAGGTTAAAAAACCCTTCTTCACAGTTTTGTTCCTACATTTTTATTTAGTTTGTTTAATGCGGTGGGTGCATTTTCTAAAAGCAAACTTGTTTTCCCCTGTTTTGCTTTTAATTTTTAAATCTAAGGGTTTGCCAAAAAATCTTGCATTTATGTAATTGTGTTGGTGCACCCCTAAAACCAAACCAAAAAACGCGTCTCTGATGAATGCCGGCTTATATTCCTGCTGATTTGGGGTTTAAAATCCCTTGAAAAAAATAAGGAAATTTAGTTCAAAAATTTAAAGTCAAAAGGGTTGAGTGGATTTAGGCGCTATAGCCCTTTGTACAGAAAAAAAAAAACCGAATTTTTAGAAAATTTTTTTATGTAAATCATTTCTTCACAATGTACTTTTGATTAAATATTAAAAATATTTTTTACAACAATTGCTCCAAAGTGTCATCAATACAGGTTTATTTCACATGTTAATTAGTGTGTATAACTTTTACACAATATATTTCCCTGTACCCTGGGACAGACCTATTTAAAATTGTTTGCTTGCAGATGACATGAAGAAAAATGATCAATGTAAATTTGTTTGTTCTGACAGTTGCTTATCTCGTATACATGTATATAACGTCAACTTAGTGCAGTAATGGAATAAGTCCTTCTAAATTTTATAGTAGTTAATCAGTTATTGCACTAAGGTGACAATATACATGTATAAAAATTTGGTAAAGTGAATACCCCTGGAGAAACATGAAAGCAAAGCATATAGTTGACAGTAGCAGGCTCGGTTTTATGAGAGGGTAATGTAATTTACAACATATCTCGGGGCCCCCTTAAGAACCGACTTAAGCATTATTCAAGTTTCAACACTAAAGATATTGGAATCATATTGACCCTGAATTCAAGGACCATAAAAATGTAACAGCACCTAAATCTTACAGTCATAGCCGGTGGTAGGGGGCTTGGATGATAACTTGCAATTACCACTGCCATCTATTTACAGTTTCAATCACAAATCAAGTCTGCAACATTTTCTATTTTGCCACTTTGGGGTTTCTTTAGAGATTCTGTTATACAGTGGAGTGTGTTTACAAGATTCTAAAATACAAGATTTTATTTAAAAAGGCATTGATCATTTTACAAAGTTAAATGATGGTTACAAATAGTAAATGAGAAAAGTATGTACAGTGATACTTCTAAAAACCGAACACCTGTGGGACTTGCCAAAAAGTTCAGAATTTGGAAATTTCCGGAATTCAGAACTTCGGAAGTATCTGAACAAGTAAAAACATAAGGTTAACATTGAACATCAATTGTTGCCTTGTCAGTTTTGATTGTAATAGATGTCAAGATAAATGGTTTGCTGCTAATTGGAAGATACTGACATTTTGTAGGTTTTACAACCTCAATCATAATTTTCCTTAACACCTTTTTCAATGTCCGGATTTTGGAAGTAAATTTGAATGGATATAATCTAAATTTTACCGGAAAATTGTTCGGAATTCAGAATTTAGAAGTTCCAGAATTCAGAGGTATTTATTACATTGAAAACAGGGACCCTGAAAAATGTTTGGATTTCAGAAGTTTCCGGATTTTAGAAGTTCCGGAATTCAGAAGTTACACTGTAGTTAACTGAATACAAAAGTCCTTGCTGAGTTCATTGAAAGAAACAAAGTTAGAATCATAAACAATAACACTTGTTAAAAACCCATGATCTTTATATAATATATACATTCTGTATGAGAAATAGCCTTGGATATAGAGGATGACATAAAAAAATAGGTGACATGACATAATTACTCATAGAGGTTTATTACATGTAACAAAAAGAAACCATAAAAACACCCCCAAAAAACAAAGACACACAAAATCAACAAAAAATACAGACTATTAACAAAGCGGTTAATAATGAAGCTAAGTTTTTATAATTCTTGTGGTTATTGAACGTATAATAATATAATAATAGTACTAGGTGAATTATTGTTGATGAACTAGGCCTCACTTATCTCAGTGATACTAATGTCAGTAGAAGTAATTGAATTAAAAGAGACGGTTGAACTGCCAATACTTGTTGTAAATGTGTTTGACGACACTTCTGTACTTCTTGTGTCAGAGACTGACGACATGTCCAAGCTCCTTGTAGAATATCCGTGGTAGTCACCCATGGTTACAAAACTCCTCTCACTAGTTGTCATGGAAATGTTCAGCTGAGATATGACATCTTTATCGTTCGAGTTACTAATTACATCATTTTTAGTGTCTTTGTAAGATGCTTCTGTGAAATCTGTCACATTTTCTCCCCGATGATCGCATGGTCCTGATTCATGCTTGGCTTCATTTGATGATGGCCCAGTAGATTTCGGACTTGTTTCTTCATATTTGGTACTTGTTTCTTCATATTTGGTATTTTTTTGTTTACATTCAGAACTTTTCACAATAGATGATTGTCTTTCATAGACATCTGAAAGTTTTTTCATCTTGACTGGATTAAATGCTTTGGATGGACTCCAGCTGTTTTTAGATTTATCTTTGTTAAACAGAGGAATATGTGGTGTTTTCTTTAAACTCAAGTCTTCATGGTAACACTGAAAGCGCCCTTTTGTTTGTGGTGAGAACCGTTGAACCTTTTGACTTCCTTTCTTATGGTTATCTATGTCAGTGTCTAGTATATTTTGAAAATATTTAATCCCTTGAGGATCATCAAGAATGTTATCAGGAGTTGCTTTGATTGGATCCAAATGATGAGTTGGTTTGCCATCAGATATTGAAGGAAAAATTGTATTCCTCGGAAGTTTAAGATTCATGTTTTCAAGACCTCTTGTATCTTTCATTGGAGTATAAAATGGCTTTCCAAGTTTCTCACAGATATCTTTCATGATTTTTCTGTCCTGATTTCTGAAATCAATTGTGCAGCCAACTCGTAAGAATGCCTTTATTTGTGGCTGATTGACATCGAATGACGAAATGTGATCAAAGTTTATAATGATAAGATTCTTGTATTTGTCCCTCATAAAGTTGTGCCATCCATATTTCCATTCGTTTTCTGTCCAAGGTCTCATTCCTTCATTGTCCTGATTTAAATAACTGTCAGATAGGATAAGAAGAAAGTTGCATGTTTTACTGATTGACTCGAGCACTTCAGAATTTCGTTCGGCACCAAATGTTACATCTTGACCCGCCTGAAAAACTCTATATCCTGCAGCAAGTAAATTGTCTTCTAGCATACTATTGACCCATTTTCTGACATTGTCATCTGCATCATTGAAGGACAAGAATACATCATAATGATACTGTGGTAAGACTTTACGCCTATCTGCCTGTTTCAGGCGTATAGAAATAATTAGCAACTCGTAACGAAAGGTAAAGATTAAGGTGCTGATTATTATGATAAAAGCGATGAAAATGGTCATGCCAGCTAACATGTCAGTAGGAACTTTATTAGATGTGGAGCATTGAATGTCTTCAGATTTGAACATCAAGGCCGATTTTATTTCATCATTTGGAAGTCGACAGTTGAACATTTGTTCCTTTTTGATGCACTTTTGTGGTTTAAGCCATGTTTCGATCCATTGTGAACTACAGTCACAGTTTATAGTGAGATTGCTCATGTACATTTTGCAAATGTTACAATATTGGAATGTCTGAGGCAGATGTGTTAAATGGATATTGTTTGAAATATCAACAGTAGCATTTTCTAGTGCTTTTGCAACATCTTTACTTATTTCCAGAATATCATTGCCTGATGCATTCAGCATAGATATATTCGCCCATTGAGTGATGTTGGTAATATTTGTAATTTTATGGCCAGAAATATCCACAGAAATGAAGTCAGACAGGTTTGATGTTGGAATTGTTGGAAGAGTTTTTAATGCATTTTTTGGGTCATGATTTGAACAGTTTACATGTAATGTATTGTTCTTTGGTGCGTCTACACAGTTACATTCTGGAGTTTGGCAGTCAGAACTTTTAAGTTTGCAAATTAATCTTTGCGGGTCGACCTGACTTACATTCATTCCTTTTAAATCAGGCGGTCCATCACATGTCACAGTCATGTAATCTCTCCACAGTGTGTCAAGTATTGGTTTAGCAAGAGACATAAACGGTTCTAAATGACAATCACAGATTAAAGGAATGTTCTGGTAATCAAAGCCGGAACTTATAAGTTTTCCCAATTGGGCAATATCATCCAGATGAAGTAAAGTTTTGAAATCGGGAAAGGTGTCCATTTTATTGCCCATGAAACTTACAAAACCCGGTCCATAGCTTTTAGTCATTTCTAATGTAAAGTTAGCTTCATTCACTAGTTTAGTTATTTCGTTTGTTTTGAAATTAACTTGACAAGAGGGATAAACGCTTAGCATATTTGATACATCTAATTGACTCATTCTGTTGTGTGAGAAATCAGCTTCAAATATGTTCAGAGGCTTGGCTGATAGAATACCAGGATCGATATTTTTTATCAGATTTCTAGAGAAATATATTTTCCTCAGATGTGTAAGGCTTGTGAAGGAAGTATTAGAGATGTATGTAAGTCTATTGTTGTTCAGATTTAATTCATCAAGTTTCTCAAGGCAAGAAAGGTCTGTAAGATTTCTGATTTTGTTGTTTTCAAAGTTTATTTTTACAATATTTCCCCATATCTTCTTTACACTTTCAAATTCCTGAGAATATAATGCTGTTAAACTTATGTCTGTGTCCCAGTTGCAAAGATTGCTCGGAATTACTGTCATATCACCATTAACATGTTTTATTTCATATACTTCAGATTTATTAGAAGCTTGATCAGTCAATACCAAGCTTCTTCCTAACACTGATGCATATTCTATAAATAGCTCAATTTCACTGCCTTCCCAGATTGCACATGAACTGCAGGCACAGCAATTATCAAATTGCTCTGATTTTACTGGTGTTGACTCATTCCTACAATGACTATTAAGATTGCATCGTAGATCATCCCTGGGGTTTGCAATCCAAGATGGCTTCCATGGTTTCCCAAATGTGTCATCACAAGGGGTTGAAATGAAGAATGTTTGAGATAAACTGATTGTTTGAAGAGCTAATGCAAATAAGAGGGGACATATATACCTGAAAAGGAAAGAGAAAATGAAAAAGAAATAAATGATACAAAATATACCTTTTTCACATTTAGCATAAAAGCCTTGCCTTTTCTGTCCGTCTGCTTAGCTCAAATGGGAGAGCATTAGATTTGTAATTCAAGGGTCACTGGTTCATACATGTGAACTTTTTTAGATGATCAAGTGGGAGATTTTTCTTCAAAAAGGGGGAGATTTTAGAATTTGTAATAAACAAAGAAGAAAGTTCTGACATCAAAAAGAGGGAGATTTCTTTAATTTGTGAAAATACCCTTTATTTTAAGAAAAATCTTTGAAATTATGGCTGCAGAAAGTGGGAGTCTCTCACTAAAAGTGGGAGAGTTTACATGTATGCTGGTTTGATTCTTGGGTGAGGAGAATTTTCTCCATGACAATTGATGTGAGACATAGTGATTAATCATTGAAATGGTTATTTTAACTCAGTTGTCACACATCAGCATTTAGAGACAAATGACTATTAGACACTTTAACAGCTGTAAATTTTTAAGAACTTGCAGGGGTTACAAGGAGTAGGTCTGTTGTTAAGAAATTGGTATTTACTGGTTAGTTATACAGGAAAGCTGGTCAAGTCAAACAACAGCAAAGATATTACTAAACTTTTGTTAAAATTGGTGTAAAAAAAAACTAACAATTGTTGAAATTGGTGATTTTTTTTTTAAAACAATGGAATAATGTATAATGATACAGCCTTAGTTTGAAAAAAAAGTTTTTGCAGAAAAATCTGAATCTGAGGTAGCAGTTTTCGTTTTCACATTTTGATTTTTATGTTTCAGACATTTTCAAAAAGTGACCTACCAATTACATAATACTTTTATACAGAATTATAATACTTTTATAATAGAATTCAACCATGTGAAAAATAATGCAATTTTCTATGTTTCAATCCACATCATAGAATTTTTATGCAGTATTAAAATACAACAAATTTAGTGACAATTGAAAGTAGAAATGATTATGTTGCGTAAATCAATAAATGATTATATTGCTTTTACCTTAAATGATAAAAATAAATTATAACTTTATATCTTTTTTTAATGAAATTTTTAGATTTGTATTTAATATAATATGATAAAAATAAATTATAACTTTTATATCTTTTTTTATGAAATTTTTAGATTTGCATTTAACCCTATATGATAAAAATAAATTATAAATTTATATCTTTTTTTTATGAAATTTTAAGGTTTGTATTTAACACAATATGATAAAAATAAATTATAACTTAATATCTTTTTTATGAAATTTTAAGGTTTGTATTTAACACAATATGATAAAAATAAATTATAACTTAATATCATATTTAACACAATATGATAAAAATAAATTTTAACTTAATATCATATTTAACACAATATGATAAAAATAAATTATAACTTAATATCTTTTTTTATGAAATTTTAAGGTTTGTATTTAACACAATATGATAAAAATAAATTATAACTTAATATCTTTTTTTTATGAAATTTTAAGGTTTGTATTTAAACAATATGATAAAAATAAATTATAAATTTATATCTTTTTTTATGAAATTTTAAGGTTTGTATTTAACATTATATGATAAAAATAAATTATAACTTAATATCTTTTTTATGAAATTTTAAGGTTTGTATTTAACACAATATGATAAAAATAAATTATAACTTAATATCATATTTAACACAATATGATAAAAATAAATTTTTAACTTAATATCATATTTAACATAATATGATAAAATAAATTATAACTTAATATCTTTTTTATGAAATTTTAAGGTTTGTATTTTACACAATATGATAAAAATAAATTATAACTTAATATCATATTTAACACAATATGATAAAAATAAATTTTAACTTAATATCATATTTAACATAATATGATAAAATAAATTATAACTTAATATCTTTTTTATGAAATTTTAAGGTTTGTATTTTACACAATATGATAAAAATAAATTATAACTTAATATCATATTTAACACAATATGATAAAAATAAATTTTAACTTAATATCATATTTAACACAATATGATAAAAATAAATTATAACTTAATATCTTTTTTTATGAAATTTTAAGGTTTGTATTTAACACAATATGATAAAAATAAATTTTTAATTTATATCTTTTTTTCTGAAATTTTAAGGTTTGTATTTAACACAATATGATAAAAATAAATTATAACTTAATATCTTTTTGTGTGAAATTTTAAGGTTTGTATTTAACACAATATGATAAAAATAAATTATAAATTTATATCTTTTTTTTATGAAATTTTAAGGTTTGTATTTAAACAATATGATTAAAATAAATTATAACTTAAAAATTTTAGTTGAAACTTTTAAGGTTTGCATTTTGGAGATGAATTTTATCTGTTATTAAATATTTTTGCAAACACTGAACTGATGTCTTTATTACAAATCACTAGTTTTACAATGGTTACTAAGAATTAAGACAACTTACCCCATATTATGTTCTTGTTGTTTGCTTTTTTGTAAAAAAAAAAAAGTATTTTGTATGCCTTCACTAAATAATTAGAACTCTAAAGCAAAAAAAAAAAAAAAAAACAGCAACAAAAAAAGCCAACTTTTTGCTTAATGTTTTGCCAAACTGTGTTTTGCATGTGTGTGTGATCAAAGTTTGAATATCGACCTATCATAGAATTTTGATAAATGTTTGAAACAGATAACGGGGATTTTTTTTATCGGTCATTACTTTATAGCATGGTTTAAATTTTTCATGGAGGAACAAAGTTTATCAGTATGGCTGCCCTACTATTGATAAACTTTGTTTTTTTTTAGTGAGATAACTAGGGCACATTTTCAATATACAAAATACATATTGCCATGCTATTTGATTGATTAGTTTTTACCACCGATTTTAACCAATTCTTTTAGAGCTCACCTAACTTGATTTCCTGTATAGCTTACTAGTAATTATCAAATTCTCCACAAAGAACTGACTACCAAGAACCCTGGCACACACGGTTTCTATATCAGCAGAGAGACAAATAACCATTAAAACTGAAAGTCAGAGATCAGTTGTCCTGAGGATTGAACCAGCGACCGACCACTTGATTACAAATCTGATGCAAAACAGACCAAGGGTACTTGTTACTTATTGCAGTTACAGTTAAACATTATTATAGTTTAATATTTGGTTGTAACACATTAACTGTGGCGCAGGAGTGTAATAAAGTGAAGCGTTATGAATAAACATAGCGTACATTTTTAGTGCGCTCAAATGTTAGCGTTACATTATAGGTGTGTCAATGAAAAATTATTCTTTTAACAGTTAATAGTTCTTGTTTTATGTATGTTATAAAAATAAAATTATATTCGTGTAAATTCAATACAAGATTTATTGAACTCATTGAATAAAACAATATTATGTTCGCCCAAGGCTTGATTCAACTTGTTTAATAAATTTAGTATTATTATACCTACACTCATACAATATCCTCTATTTAATAGTTAAACATTTAGTTTTATCTGAAAAATAACCTTATAAAATCTAGTTGTTGTTCTCCTGTTCCTGAACATTGACTTTTTACATTACAATACAGTAAAAACCCTCAGTAAGACCACAATCAGGATGGGACCAAAGTGGTCTTAATTGCGGGGTGGTCTTAATTGTGGGTATTCTTATCATTGCTTACATACATTATGACCAAGGCCTATTTTAGTAATTTTGTATGAACAAACAATAAGTATCTTTAGCTGCAAATACAATATGAAAGTATGTTATAATGTTACATCTGATGGAAAGAAAACATATTTCATCAAATTTTCTTTGTTCTTATTTCAATAATAATTATTGTATGATGTACAGACATTATTTCTTCACAAAATAAATGTGCATAAAGCAACATTAAACCACTCTGAAATTAACTTTCTCACCTTTTTTCATTAAATATCCCATAAATAACAGTTTTTGTGCCCCCACGTTAGTGGCGGGCATTTAGATTTACCCTTGTCCGTCCGTCCGTCCTTCTGTCCGTCCTTCCGTCCGTCCGTTCACTTTTGTGTCGCACGTAACTCAAAAAGTATTTGACCTAGAGTCATGAAACTTTACAGGAATGTTGATCAGCATGTGTAGTTGTGCACCTGGGTATATTCGTCTGGATATTTTTAGTATTTTCAGAGTTATTGCCCTTGACTTAGTAAAATTTTGCAATTTTCAACTTGTGTCGCATGTAACTCAAAAAGTATTTGACCTAGAGTCATGAAACTTTACAGGAATGTTGATCAGCATGTGTTGTTGTGCACCTGGGTATTTTCGTCTGGATATTTTTAGTATTTTCAGAGTTATTGCCTTGACTTAGTAAAATTTTGCAATTTTCAACTTGTGTGTCGCATGTAACTCAAAAAGTATTTGACCTGGAGTCATGAACTTTACAGAATTGTTGATCAGCATGTGTAGTTGTGCACCTGGGTATTTTTGTCTGGAATGATTTTTCAGTATTTGTAGAGTTATAAGCCCTTGACTTTAGTAAAATTTTGCTATTTTCAAACTTGTGTCGCATGTAACTCAAAAAGTATTTGACCTAGAGTGATGAAACTTTACAGGAATGTTGATCAGCATGTGTTGTTGTGCACCTGGGTATTTTTGTCTGGATATTTTTAGTATTTTCAAGAGTTATTGCCCTTGACTTAGTAAAATTTTTTGCAATTTTCACTTGTGTCGCATGTAACTCAAAAAGTATTTGACCTAGAGTCATGAAACTTTACAGGAATGTTGATCAGCATGTGCAGTTGTGCATCAGATATTTTCGTCTGGATTTATTTAGTATTTTTAGAGTTATTGCCCTTCCTTTTGAAAATTTTTGCAATTTTTAACTTGTGTCGCAAGTTACTCAAAAAGTATTTGACATAGTCATTAAACCTTATGGGCAGGTTGCTCAGCATATTTAGATTTGCACCTTGGGTTTCGCTTGTGGATTTATCCAGTATTTGTAGAGTTATTTCCCTTGACTTAGTAAAAAGATTGACAGAACAGTGGCGCGGTGGGGGCACCCGTGTCCTATGGACACATTTCTAGTTTACACCTTGTGTAATCAAGCAGAATATAACAACATAACAACACATTTAAGATCTAGGAAGGTGTTGATTTTAATATCAGTGGTCTCAATAGTGAGGTCAAAAAAAGAACAAAATAATGAACACTGAATTTGGTGGTCTTAAAAGTGGATAAGTTAGGTGGTCTTAATTCTGGATCATGTAACCATTGACATAAAGAACAGAAAATTCTGTTCTTTTAAAAACTGCAGGTCTTAAAAGCAGGGTGGTCTTAATTCCAAGGTGGGTCGTCATTAAGTAGGCAGTTCTGACAATAGTTAACAACTTTTTTGATCACAAGTACAAAATCAAAAACATCTTTCATATCCAGGGTCAGTTTCTTGCAAGCATTTTCCAAGTCTCAGAATTAACTGACTACATGTACTACTCTCTCTCTCTCCTGTGCACATGGTTTTACTACTAAAAACTTTTTGCATCTTAGGTCTGCACTGCGACTGCAGTAGTCGTTTTTCCCAGTACGTACTTTTAACACTTAAATAAAGGGCAACAGGGTACCTCGAATGTTGTTTTTTCAACAGGACTCACGCTTGTGCAGAGATAGATTGGTTAATTCCTTTATTAAATTTTATAGAGTTTAACCAGTTATTGCGACTAAGGTGCAACGACCTGGTGAGATTAATCATCATGTCTACTCATGTGATTCAGCAATTAATTTGACATATTTATTTACATTTAAAAAGAATACCAGCTCTTGCCAACACTTACAGATGAGAGATTGCAGTATCTTTAGTTTCACATTACTTATGAGTTTGGTCAGAATTATTCTCCTCTTTAAGTATTTGGATACGCCTATAAAGAGTTACCGTTAATTGTGTATAAACATAGCAAACTTAAACATGCAATGACCGTTAATACCCATTTTACCCGGTGATTTGATCTTGGACACCTGATTAAATAAGGCAATAAAGATAATTTTTTACCCCAAATTTTCCGTTATTCAATTTAAAGAAAATCATTCTATTCATATAATGCAGAATTTACTTACTATTATTTATAGACAATCATAACAAGTCTAAGCTTACAAAAAATAGCATTATCTGAAAATTTCAGTAATAATTGGCCTACAATAACGGAATGTGAAAAGTTGAAGCAATAGTTAAATAATTTTACATTGTAAAAGTAGACCATGTTTTCGTCACCTTGTGAAATGCTGCAATGTCAAATTTCTGCAATATTAGGCCAGTAGAACATTTCTGTGGCAAGCTGTAATCAATTGCATTGATATGTGACTGTAACGACCGGTTTTCTCAATATGCTAAGTATAGTCTTACATTTGTGCTTTAAAAAATAAAAGAGCATTGAATTTTTGCATTCGTCAATTTAGGTCCTGATATTCTCAGATGAAGAAAATCATTAAACTTCTCTCTTAACTCTCTATGCTGAAGAGGAATACTGCCAATTCAATTTCAAAAGGTCAAGCGTCCATTGGCACAAGGTTAATTCGGTTGTTGATCCACTTCAAACCAACTTCGCCCGTCTCACCGCTGTTGAGAGTTTCCCTAATCCCGTTCTCAGGGACTTTGGACTTCTTGCATCCTAGATGGGAGAAGTCTTATACTAGGTAGCTATATAGAAAGGTCATTGAATTGCCTGTTTGTGGCACATGTATGAATTGATTAATCACTTATATCAAGGTGGCTATTTACATGAAGTGGTTCTTCATTCTATCTAGCTAATTTTGACTTGTAGAAAGTGACCATATGACCATCATTCTTTATGCGCTGTTGCCGGCATGTGGAGATCTGTATAAGAGCCCACACAACCTCTAATATAACAAAAATGTTATAGCATGTGGGCTATCCAATATTAAGGAATTGGCCAGTAGCAAACACTTTAAAATGTATTTATGTATGCATATACATCACTCATGTTACAATCTCTGTGTGCTTAAAAGTAGTCACTATTGATTTTCCTTAATTATATAGATTATGGATGCATCAATAAATCTATCTTCTCTAGGGAAGACATATTATATGTCTGTCATTTATTTATCAGTAGATCTACTTTTATTTTCAACTCCCATGCTACAGAAAAATAGTGAAAACAAAAGAGCCTTCTCTAACCTTATAATATTTAAAAAAAAATGAATACAATGTCTGTACACGTGTCTTATTTAATTTCAGCACGTGAAACTTGTTTCATTTACTGAACATGCGACTATTATCAAATGACAACATTTATAATCTGATATTGACATCTTGCAGATGTTTTTTTTCCAAAACTTCCTTGAATTTATCATGGGTGTGCTCAGTATATCGCGTGGCTCGTGGCTCATATGGAAGGCACACTATCATTTGTATAAACTTAAATATAACTTGTGTTAAGCTACGTTCTCAAATTCGCTTGGTGTAGGGTCTACCTATATTGAGTATGTGTCTTATTTGATTATTTTTTATTTTTGTATTTAATTTTCTTGCTAGGGTCATCACTCGTATAAAGATTTTAGTTGGTATCAATTGTTATCATTGGGTGATATACTTTTCAATATTTGTCATCTGAGATAATAGAAGACATAGAGATAGATTAAAATAAGTGTTTTATTTGTCCCAGGTATATTTAAGGTTATGAGACGAATCTCCAATCGCCCTAATATTTTCATCCCTTTCATTGCTGTCATTTTTAATATAATTTGCATTCACATAATAATTTATTTGTTCAGTGTGTGAGACATCTCAAACCCTAGTCAGATTTTTTATTATTATTTTCAAGCGATACAGCAAAAAAAAAAAAAAAAAAAAAGTCATGCTCTTCTTTTGCTATTCAATTTTTAGCTCGACTATTCGAAGAATATGAGAGCTATTGTAGTCGCCCTGGCGTCGGCGTCAGCGTCCGCCTGTGGGTTCGTCTGCGTTGGTTAAAGTTTTTGTAAATTCAAATATCTCAATTATTGCTTGAGATATTCAATTGAAACTTACAATACTTATTTATAGTAACAATGTACATCAGATTGATAAGTTGGATAACTCTACCTACAATATTGACAGAATTATGCCCCTTTTTTAACTTAGAAATTTTGGTTAAAGTTTTTGTAAATTCAAATATCTCAATTATTGCTTGAGATATTCAATTGAAACTTACAATACTTATTTATAGTAACAATGTACATCAGATTGACAAAGTTGGACAACTCTGTCTACAATATTTACAGAATTATGCCCTTTTTAACTTAGAAATTTTGGTTAAAGTTTTTTGTAAATTCAAATATCTCAATTATTGCTTGAGATATTCAATTGAAACTTACAATACTTATTTATAGTAACAATGTACATCAGATTGACAAGTTGGACAACTCTGTCTACAATATTTACAGAATTATGCCCTTTTTTAACTTAGAAATTTTGGTTAAAGATTTTTTGTAAATTCAAATATCTCAATTATTGCTTGAGATATTCAATTGAAACTTACAATACTTATTTATAGTAACAATGTACATCAGATTGACAAGTTGGACAACTCTGTCTACAATATTTATAGAATTATGCCCCTTTTTAACTTAGAAATTTTGGTTAAAGTTTTTTTGTAAATTCAAATATCTCAATTATTGCTTTGAGATATTCAGTTGAAACTTACAATACTTATTTATAGTAACAATGTACATCAGATTGACAAGTTGGACAACTCTGTCTATAATATTAACAGAATAATGCCCCTTTATAACTTAGAAATTTGGGTTAAAGTTTTTTTGTAAAGTCAAATATCTCAATTATTGCTTGAGATATTCAATTGAAATTTACAATACTTTTTTATAGTAACAATGTACATCAGTTTACAAAATTGCATAACTCTGTCTGCAATATTTGCAGAGTTATTTGCCCCTTTGAAACTTAGAAATTTTGGTTAAAGGTTAAAGGTCTTCAAAGATATTTACTTGAAACTTTACACATGTACTTAGAGTCATAATTGGAGAGTCATAATTTGTATGTCACTGACCAAAGTTCCATAACTCTACTCGCATTTAGGCTGATTCATCTCCCCTTTTCTACTTAGTCTCTAGGTTAATGTTTACATGCAAGATTTACTATCTCAATAAGTATTAAAGATATTTATTTAAAACTTCACATATGCATTAAGAATTTAATTGTAGGTCACTGACCAAGATCCATAATTCTATCTTGCATTTAGGCTGATTTTTCTCCCCTTTTTCAACTTAGAAATTCATGGAAAAGTTTTGCTTGTAAGCTGTTATCTCCATAACTACTGAAGAGTTTGTGTGTTTTTGGGACATTTTTATGCATTATTAATAATAAAGCAGTGATTTACTTGATAACAAGCCTTTGTACCTTTTCGGTCAATTTTATGTATTCATAAAATACAGCAATTTATCTACTCAATAAACACTCTTGTGACAAATTTTTGAATAGTCGAGCCAATACTGTCCTCCGACAGTTCTTGTTGTTTATCAAATTAAAAACTGGCAAAAAACCCTTTACTTTAAGATTTTCACAAACTGTATAAATAAAATTTATGATAAATTAAAAGGCAAATCATGAATTTTGATCAAAATGTAATAAATTAATGTGAAACAATAAAGCTGATTAAAATCTGATTATATCAACATTTTTAATCTCTTTTTATATCAACATGGACAGTGTTTAAATATATCAACATGAAATATTTTTTATATCAACATTGACATTCTTTATATCAACAGGATAATTATTTATATCAACATGAAACATTCTTGATATCATCATGAAATATTATTTATGACAACACAAAACTTTGTTTATATCAACATGGAACATTGTTATATCAACATGAACATTCTTTATATCAACATGATCATTCTTATATCAACATGGAAGATTGTTTATATCAACATGGAACATTCTTATATCAATATGAATATTCTTATATCAACATGGAGCATTGTTTATATCAACATGAACATTCTTATATCAACATGGAACATTGTTTTTATCAGCATGAGACATTCTTGATATCAAAATGGAACATTGTTTATATCAACATTAGATATTTTTCATCATACAACATGAAACATTGTTTATATCAACATGATACATTGTTTATGGAACATTGTTTATATCAACATGGAACATTATTTATCTCAACATTGACATTCTTTATATCAACATAATGTATAAGTTGATATAGATCATGTTTCTTGTTGATATAAAAAGTAGGAAATTAGAATTTGAAACAACACCTTACCTAAAATTGAACATTTTTAGTGGCTATTGAAATATATCATTAATAGAATTAATTCTTATTGCTTTTACAAAATGAAAATTAAGCAAATTAACAATTTTTGTATTCAATATCTTACTGTAAAATCAATCTTTTTATTCTTTTAATTAGTAGAGAAAGAAATAGCTATCTCTTTTAATTTAACAAAATTACTTAATTTCTCTTCCACATTTGATAAAACCCAACAAATTAAAAAAAATAATCATACTAGACAGCAAAGAAACAACAATGGTCAAAAAGCTATAATTCAAACACATAAACTGAATTTTTTTTCACACCTGCATAGATAAATAAGTTATTGAACATGTTGGTATTATGTTCTAGCCCACATTTGATAAAATTAGAAGATTGATTCTTATTACCATCCTATTTTCAGGGGATTTTTTCATGCATGTTTAGCAGTAGTGCTGGTTTCCAGCATTCAGAGGTCCCGGTATTAAACATTTGTTGTTTTGTTTTTTTTCAATGAACTTTCAAAGAAATAAAAATACAGGACTTTTTTTTTTACACCGTCAATTTCAATTTTCAGATATTTTTCAGAATTTTTGTTCTAGAATTTATTTGTTTTTGAATGTCTACTTGTACTTGATGAATATGTTTGACTTGAGAATGGTCTCAGTGTGAACATTTCCAATGGCCTGTCAACACTGCCATTTCCGGGCATGTTTACCCTCTCGTCTTTAATCTTACAAGCATAGCATTTTCTAAACTTGCATGATTGGATAACAGTATGTCTTTGATGGGTGTGTTCATTGGTTTGACTGTCTCTGGACTCTGCATTAAGTTCTTGATCAGTTAGACTGTCTGTCATCCCATCTACTTTGTTTGGTTTCTTTTCCATCTCTGTTTCTGTGATCAACATATCATTAACATTCATGATTTCTTTGTATTGCTCTGCAGGGAAAAATTTACTGATATTATCTATTTCAACAGATCCATCTGTAAGTTCAACTGCTTCTCCTGGTACTTTGTAGCGTCCATAGGCTGAGAATTTACTCTTTGGTATTTTCCATGGTTCTCCAAGTTTTGTGTAAATTTCTTCCATAATCTTCCTATCGGTATTCTTAAAGTTTACTGTGCAGCCAACTCTAAGAAAAGCTTTTATTTGCGAATGAATGACATCGAAAGATGACAGATGGTCAAAGTTAACAAGAACAATGTTCTTCAATCTGTCAGTTTTGAAATTGTTCCATCCATATTTCCATTCATTTTCAGTCCAAGATCTCATATCATTGGCCTCTTGGAGGTAATTGTCTGTCATTATGACAAGAAAGTTTTTTGCTGTAGCCAATACTGAAATAATTAGTGAATCTCTTTCACTTCCAAAATCGATATCCTTGTTTGGCCTGAATACTTTATAGCCTGTCTTTATCAGATTTTTTTCAAGTATTTTTTCGACCCATTTAGAAACATCCTCATCTCCATCGTTGTAGGATAGAAAAACATCGTACTTGAAAGAAGGCACTATAACATTGCGTCTTTTATGCCGAGCACGAAGGTAGAGGATCAGAATTTCGTATCGGAAAATAAAGACCACTGTTCCTGCAATGATTAACAACGCAAGCAATATGCCTAATATTATGGTTTCTAGAATATAATTGGTCCAAGTACCATAGCATACTAAGTCATTTTCAGCAAAGTTCAATGCAGGTTTTATAGTGTTATCAGGCATTACGCATTTGAATAATTGTTTAGAGTTGATGCATTTTTTGGAGAGATTCAACCATTGTTCAATCCACAAAGCTTCACAATTGCAAGTGATCTGTAAGTGTTCCATATTTCTAAGGCAAACATTATGATATTGGAAGGCCTGAGGAAGATTCTGTAATCTTGGATTGTCTGATATATCAACATACGAAGCATTTTCAAGCATTCTAGCTTCATAAATGTTAATTTTACCTAGGTCATTTCCAGAGATATCCAGTACAGACAATTTTTGCAAGACTGAGTTATTTTTGAGGTCCTTAATGTTATTACCAGAAACATTAAGTGATATATATTGTGAATTCTTTGAAAACGGTATGTCAGGGATCTCCGTGAGATCAGAATTTGAGCAATCGACCACTAAAGTGTTCTCATCTGGCTTGTCCACACATGTGCATTCCGGTGTTTGACAGCCTGAATCGGCTGAAACAGGGCAAGTGAGTGAATCAAGTGTCACATTGATGGCATTCATTCCTGCAAGTTCCGGAGGTGCCGTGCATTTTACATCAAAATATTCTAGCCACAAGATTTTAATGACGTCTTCTGCAAGTGTCATAAAGGAATGCAAATTACAGTCACAAACTAAGGGTATGCCACGTAAATCAAACCCAAAGCTAAGTAATGTACCTAGTTGGGCAATTGAGTCCAAGGAAAGAATCGATTTAAAGTCTGGAAATGTTGAAATTTTATTGTATTTCAAGTTTACAAAACCAGGTCCATAAGTTTGATCAAGACTGAGTTTGAAGTCAGCTTCATTAGTTATCTCAGTTATTTCATTTGATTCATAATCAATTTTACAAAAGGGGTGTAAGCTCATAGCATTTGAGAAATCAAGGCTGGTCATGTCATTGTGACTGAAATTTGCAAAGAATAAACTAAGGTAAGGAGATGTTAATGTATTTGGATCCATGTTTTGTATGAAGTTACCTGAGAAGTCTATAACTCTGAGATTTGACAGATTGGATATTGAAGTATTGGATAGGAATTGAATTTCATTATTTCTCAGGATAAGAGTATCTAGTCTAGGTAAGCAGTTAATATCTGGGACATTTCTGATTTTATTGCCTTCAAAGTTTATTGTTACTATGTTACTGAAATATTTCTTGATGCTTTCAAACTCTTCTTCATAGTATTCCATCAGATTTGATTTATTGTCCCAGCCACAGATATTGCTTGGAATTTCTGTCATTTCCGAATAAGTGTGCTGAATTCTGTACACTCCAGTTTCAGTAAGAGCTTGATCAGACAGTACCAAGCTTTTACCAAACACTGATACATATTCTATATAAAGATCAATTTCTGAACCCTCCCAATTCATACAATTATTGCATGTGCAACATTTTTCATCATCACACCTTTTGTTACAGCGCATATCATTTCTTACTGACGTTGAAGCATCTGGCATGGTTTCATTAGTCCATGAGGGAATCCACAAATCCCCAAAATTCTCATTGCACTCGGACACACTGCCAGATGGTTGATTGAAAAATAGCAACAGATTTATAACTGCAAGGTATCTGAAAAAAAAAGAAAAAAACAATATATATTTTTATCACAAAAATTGCGGCGCAGGAGTGTAATAAAGCCATTCAATAAAAATGCTATTACACTAGTGTAATGACACTTTGATGTTACGTCATTTGTGCTATATATAAACATAGCGTTAAAGTGCGCTTATGTTAGCGCTACACTAAATACGCCTCAATGAAAAATAACACTTTTTAACAGTGTACAGTTCTATTTCTAAATATGTAATAAATAGATTATTATATTTGTGTAGATTCAATTCTAAATTTATTGAACTAGTTGAATTAAACAAGATTATGTTCGCCAGACCCTAGAATTATATGATTTTATTCATCTTGTTCAATAAATTTTGTATTAAACTTACACTAATTTAATATCCTCTATTTATACATGTAGTTTCTGTATAATAACAAACAATATCGTTATGGTAATATTACAATCTAACCTAGCTCACAGCGATGGTACATTTAATGAAAGACACACTAGATAGAGGTTTAAAGGGACTCCACTGAGGTTTTTTTTTTTTGACATGACGTGGCTGGAAATAATTGTTAAAGATGAATGTTTCATTTGATGTTAGGTTAGACCGATAACTTGTGTGCAAAATTCCAGATCAATCGCTCACTCCGTTTTCACTTAGTAATTATTTCAATTCTGAAAAATGACCAGAAATTAAAACGCTTTTTACCCCAAATCAAGCTAGAAATAGCACAAAATACAATTTTCAACTTATTTCTAATATAATTTTTAATTATCTTTTGCATATTTTTCTGTTTGTAAGTGCCCAGCTAATTTATGTAGCACATTCAAATTTTTTGTTTTTAGGGGAGTCCCTTTAAAGAAGTTTTGATTTTTAACCTGCTGAATTGTATGATTGATTGACTCAGTTTTGAATTAAGAACAATCCATTTAAAATAAGGGGTTTTCAGTATCAAAATATAAAGATTGAGCGGATATGCAGGCTAGTATTTTTAGAACACAATAGCATGTGCCCCTCACCGCTGTGGGTTCGAATTCTGACAGGGGATTCTTTCATGTTAGGAAACTATCCAGCTAGCTTACCGAACGTCGGTGGTTCTACTCAGGTGCCTGTTTGTGCCTGAATAATGCACAGAAGGGCACCTGAGGTCTTCCTCCACCAGTTAAGCTGGAATGTCGCCAAATGACCTATACTGTGTCGGCGTGACGTAAAACCCCCAAAAAATATAAAAAACCAAAAAAACCAATAACATGTGGATTTGGGAATTTGAATTAATGAATGTTTGCTATTAACAGTCTTAAAATATTGTTTTGGCTATTGGTTAGTGCCCTTTGTGACGTCACATTAGACAGGCAATTGTTGTAGTTGGATCCTGGGTGTATTAAAAAGTATCTCAAATAAAAGATAATGTTACTAAGGTTGTGTTAGACAGTATGTCATTTTAACCAGAGAGTCTAAAAGAAAGGTTTGACTGTACTTGAAAATACAAGCATATTGGCTTTAAAAATGACAATAAACGTACTACAAATTTTTAAAATTTAAGATACGAAGTAACAGTGAAAGTCTATCTATCTAGCTAATGGAAGGTCATTGGTTCTACTCAGGTGTAAGCTTAATGTGCCTGAAATAATGTATGAAGGGGCAACTGAGGTCTTCGTTCACCAGAAAACTGGAAAGTTGCCATATGATCTCTATCACCTCCTACCCCAACAGCACCACCCCCAACCCTCTCCCCCCCCCAAAAAAAAAAAAAAACGCCCCCCCCCCCCCCCCAAAAAAAAAAAAAAACAAAAAAAAAACTGTTGCTGTCAAAGCAGGCTATATTAAAATTGTGCAGCCAACATTTTAGTTCTGAGTCAGACTGCGGGAATGTGCACCTGGCTTTAACTTCAAATCTATTGCAAAGTTTAACAATGACTTTATTTAAATTCTTAATGAATATGCCATTGAAAGTATTTATATAACATTCTTTTCAAATATTCAAGTAAAGAAAAAAAGACGTATTTGATATTAAAATTTCAGTTTTACTTTTAAATTTTAAAATACATTTGTATATAAAATTTCTTCGTATTATCTTTGGGCAATATATTTCTATTAATGTTTAGTTTTCCATGTAGAATTTATATATAAACAATTATTTGTTCTTCATTAAAATACATTTACATTTAAAGCAGCATGCCTCCAGATCCATGATAATTTTCATGAAAATTTTGAAAATGTATTAAAAAGTAAACTATTGCGATATGAACAAAGTGAATAATTTTTAAATTGCAAACAGCACTTACAGACCATAAAAATTTCCAAAAACAGGTCAAAATATGCAAAATTTGCTCTTACTGTGTTAGTAACAGCAGTAGAAAAATGGTGAAAAATACTGCAAAATTGGTCATAAATGGCACATAGCATGAAAATCATAACATTTACCAGTATCTTGAATTTCACTTTTCTTAAAATCTCAATAATGATTTTCGTTCAATATTTTGGCTCATCTCGAGTCATGAAGCTTTAATATACTTTGATATTTAAAATTACAAGCAATTTTTTTATGTAAATCATAATTTTTACATACTAACAATGATTTGTTTATTATTAAGCATAATTACTTTTAATATTGTTTGATATTCAAAATAATGTGTAATTTTATGTAAATTATAATTTTTACCTTCTGAGAAACATCCTTGTAATTGCAAAAAATCAAAACTTACAGTGAAACTTTAATCGTTCTCTCTTTTATAAGAGTGTTTCATTTGAATATGCAGATTAAGTATTAATTCAATGAATAGTTAAATTGTTATGACTCGCTGACTGTAATGCATTATTTACTCGCATAAAAAATTTCTTATAAAGTAAACAAAATCTTTTTAAAAAGTTGGATTAAAAATTACCCTGTTATAACCCTTTTCTTATTAATGTTATGTAAATAATTATGACTTACATACCCTATTGACTACCTATTGATTATTTCAGTGGATGTACTGATTTCAGCATGAATTTTAGTTTCTAGCTCACCTGAGCACAAATAATAATAATATAATTTCTTCATATCTGAATATGTTTTGCACTTATTTCATACTCATTTTAAATAACAAGGTTTAAGAGTAAATATTTAATTACATTTTATTTCATTCAGATTAAAATCAATATATGTCATTTCAATGCCGAAAAACACTAATATAAATCGAGACAAAACAGTGTTTTTAAGTTGCTTTATATTTGAACTAAATTATGTAAGCATTTGGTCATTTCCAGTTAAATATACAAAAGAGCATAATATTTAAAAATGGCAACAGTAGGGATCGAACCACGGACCTCTCAAGCCTAAAATAAAATATTTTGTGTTTCCGGTGGCCCGACCGACCCTATTTTTTAGCGCCGACCCAAAGTTTTTTATCGCTGTACAAAAAAAAAATGGCGCCCTTACCAAAGACGGGTTTTAGTATTGCGAGTCGACAACGCTGTGAGGCACAGACGATTCGGGTTCCAATTACGTATTAAGACGCACCGGCTAATATGGCGGCACAACAAGCAGCCGAAGTGTCACTGCTGGCGATTTTCTTTAAAAATACAATCATAGTTTGGCAAAACAGGAAATCAAATTAATAGACCACAGCAAAACAGCTCAAAACATTTTTCGGACGTGCATGGTCATGTTAAGAGTGATAATATTAAAATTGAAGCCAGTTGTTCGGTAAGAATAAAAAAAAATGAAAACGAAAGTCGAGTCATGCCATTGGTAAAATTTATTTCAAAATAAAATATTGAAGACTAGGTTTGGTAGTCTAACATTTTAAGTACTTTTATATGCTATAGCTTTAAGTACTTTTATATGCTATAGAATATAATTTAAATTATCACATAAACCGCGGCACAGGAGTGTAATAAAGCCGTTTAATAAAAACGATATTACACTAGACAATATTACACTATAGTATAGTGTAATAACACTTTGACGTCACGTCATTTGCGCTATAAACATAGCGTTAAAGCGCGCTAATTATAGCGTTACACTATAGGCGCGTCAAAGAAAAATGACTCTTTTTAACAATTTACCGTTCCTATTTTATATATGTGATAAATAGAATATTATATTCGTGTAGATTCAATACTAAATTTATTGAACTCGTTGAATAAAACAATATTATGCTCGCCAGAGGCTCGCATATTATGATTTTATTCAACTCGTTCAATAAATTTAGTATTAAACCTACACTCATTCAATATCCTCTATGTACATATAATCCGGATCTGACATATCTACAATTGTTGATTGACTAAAAAAAGAAAGAAAAAAAAAGTCTGACCTACCGACCCTTCTTTTTTTCGCCTTGCCACCAGAAACACATCAATTTTTTTTTAGGCCTCATATATGAAGCCAGCATTTCACCAACTGCTACTGCTGATATAACCACAACCTTTTCATTAAACTGGTGTGGCCTTGAAAACAGTTATAATTACTCCATCTTGATTCTCGTAAACTACACGGACAGAACCGAATTGGAATGGAATATCTAAACGAGTTCTATAATATATTCATAATAAACCGGTCAATAGAATCAGACTATAACTGTGACATGCAAACATTGTTTTTTGCGAGCACATATGCCTGTTATTTACCGGAAGTAGGTACATTTATCCAGTGGGTATATTATTATTTATACAAGTTTACTGCCAGATATATGGGATAATATTATATGAGATAAATAATTGACCCAATCACCAGTCAAGGCTAAATTCTTCTATGTATCCAGTCAGCAACATGTATAACAAATTTATAATTATGCAAATTGTTTTTGATGACAAGTTTATAAGAAAATCCAGAAATTCAAGAATATAAAGTCATCATAATAAGGTGTATCTTTTGTTTGAAGTAATGACATTTGAAACGAGAAATATATGATAAAGAATAATATGCAATAACAAATTTTTAGCACAAGAAGTTAATTGTCTACAATTTTGAAATACGTTGTTTTTTGTGTGCACTTCGGTTCTTCATGGTATATATGGCATCATATTACAAAGTGTTTTGGTCATTCATAATTCAAGAAATTTATTTGCATTATTACAATCTCCCATACATTCATACAAGTCATCAACTTGTTTTACTTAGCTTTAGAAAGATGATGATCTAAGAGACAAACTTTAAGGAAACTATCATGTAGACTTTGGTTCAGTACAAAAGAACCAGTACTTCCATGAAATACAGTAGAACTTCGGTAAGTCGAAGTTGAAAGGACAGCGTAAAAACTTAAACACATCGCGACTTTGACTCATAAATCAATCTAAATTTAATAAAAAAATTTCAAGCCGTTGACGTTTACAAGCAAGTTACAAAAGGCTTAACAAAAAGAAAGCCCGATTATAGTAAATATTACTTGTGTGATTATCACCAACATGACGGGTCACAGAATTTCTCAAATGAAAGTAGTTATTACTGTTTACGTTCAAATACCACTACAACAATTTGAATGGTAACAATTAAATGCATACTAAGGTTGTTCGAGCAAACGGTTGTGTAATTTACACATGTCACACAATTTTGATTGGAAATCATCTTCGCGGCTAAAAATGGTGTGAAAAATGTCTCAAGATCCAAGGTGTCAAAATAAACAAAGGACTTCAACTTATTTGTGGTAAATAGTACTCGATTGATTCTTTACAGACAATGAAAAATCTTCGACACATTGAAAAATTCGACTCATAAACTCCTAAATAGAAGTTCGACTCCTAGAAGTTCTACAGTAGCTCTTTAATAACTGATTGCTTCTAGCAGATATGCATACAAACGATAACAAAAATAAATATATCGTTGATGTCTAAATAAAGTCGCCTTAATGTTTTCCCTTAAAAGGGTTATACATTTTTATGTGGTACAATTTCCATAACATGGTTTGTTAAATAATATAAACATGTTTCTGTTGAAAAAAATAGATGAACTAAGAGAATTTCAAGTTTGTATTAAAAATTTAACTTTTGTTAGTGATGCAGTATCAGAGGTACATAGGCAAAATGACTACAGTCAGTATTTCTTGTTTCAGAAAAAAATTGGATTTTTGTTAATTATGTCCTACATAGCTTCAATACATAAAATAAGAAAGTACCATGAATGTCTATAATCATACTTGTGACTGCTGCACAGAATAATGTTCTATTGACATCACAATTAATATTAATAATGAAGAACCATCTCCCTGAACCCTCGCCCCTTTGTTACAATGATGTTAAAGATTAAAGGTAACTTTAAACACTATCATTTATCTTATTAGCTCGACTATTCGATAAGAATAAGTAGAGCTATTGCAGTCACCCGAGCGTCGGCGTAACCACTTATGTTAAAGTTTTTGTAATAGTTCAAATATTTTCAAAGTCCATTGACATATGACTTTGAAACTTTGCACACTTGTTCACCATCATGACCCCAACCTGTAGACAGGAGGAGGTAACTCTATCAAGCATTTTGACAGAATTATGCCCCTTTTTCGACTTAAAATTTACGTTAAAGTTTTTGTAATAGTTCAAATATTTTCAAAGTCCATTGACATATGGCTTTGAAACTTTGCACACTTGTTCACCATCATGACCCCAACCTGTAGACAGGAGGAGGTAACTCTATCAAGCATTTTGACAGAATTATGCCCCTTTTTCGAATTAGAATTTACGTTAAAGTTTTTGTAATAGTTCAAATATTTTCAAAGTCCATTGACATATGGCTTTGAAACTTTGCACACTTGTTCACCATCATGACCCCAACCTGTAGACAGGAGGAGGTAACTCTATCAAGCATTTTGACAGAATTATGCCCCTTTTTCGACTTAGAATTTACATTAAAGTTTTTGTAATAGTTCAAATATTTTCAAAGTCCATTGACATATGGCTTTGAAACTTTGCACACTTGTTCAACATCATGACCCCAATCTGTAAACAGTAGGAGGTAACTCTATCAAGCATTTTGACAGAATTAAGCCCCTTTTTTGACTTAGAATTTACGTTAAAGTTTTGTAATAGTTCAAATATTTTCAAAGTCCATTGACATATGGCTTTGAAACTTTGCACACTTGTTCACCATCATGACCCCAACCTGTAAACAGGAGGAGGTAACTGTATCAAGCATTTTTTTTACTATCAAGCACTAAGAATAGTTGAGCGTTGCTGTCCTACCGACAGTTCTTGTTTCAATTATTATTAATTGAGTTACTACAGTGTTGCAATTAATATTGTAAATAGATGCCATCATTTTGTGCATGTTATACTGTAGTAAGTCTAGTTACTACTGTCTTGCACTCAAAATAATTTTCAAAATATTACCATTTGAGCGCCAGAGTGTAGTAACTCAGCACAGTCCAAATATCTAAGAAAGGAAAAAAGATTAACATTGTTTTGTTAATTCATTTGCTTTCTTCTACACTTTCTTTTCATATTCTAAGAAATCTTAAGAAATGATAGAATATCATTTAAAACAGAATGTTTTTTGCCTCTCTTGTAAAATTTACAAATATACAGTTACTACAGTCTTGCGCTAAACCCTCGATATATTTAAAAAAAAAAAAAAACAACAACAAAAAACAACAGTGTATTTGTATGGAACAGTGGCTTGCAAATTGTGATTAGCATCTAATAAAAATAAAAAAAAAAAAATTGAAGAGTTATAATTTTTACCTTCTGAAAAGCATCCTTTTGATGGTTAGAATCATATTTTACTATATTGTTTCTTCCTTTTATAATTTATTAATTGTTAATCTGCATAATACAGATCTAGTAAATTCCATGAATAGTTACATCATTATGACAGAGACTGTTCATTTTAGAATCCAGATCATATGTGCTTAAACTGATGAAAAGTTTGGAATTATTAAATCTTATTTGAACAAGGTTTTTATAAAGTTTATTTGTTTGAACCCTGTAATTACCCTGATTTAACACTTTTCTAATTTTAAAATTATGATCAATAACTATTATTAGCAAATCATTAATTTTCCATTGTATTGATTGTTTAATATTGATTTCGGTTTATTCCAATTGTTCGCATGACTCATTTACCAATTAGTTTTTGGTGTCAAGAGTTTTGACCCTGTTTTTGATTCTAAACACTATTCTTTTGTGTGTGTAGCAATTTCTTCAGAGATATCTGTTACACAAGAACAGAACAATGCAGTTGGCATCAAATTCTACTCATGCCATCAGTGCACCATGCCGTCTGATCATGGTCTGCACTGTTTGCTATTCAGTCAAAACATATTTTAAAATTTTCCCTGATGATGATGAATGTGTTTTTTTATATTGAAAAAAAATTCATTTGAATCAACATTATGTTTTCTTTCATTTCATTCAGCCAAACATAAATAATTTATCATTTAACTCCATAATTAATATCCTACAAGGATAAAATATAAATAAGAAAGACAATGTAGGAGTGGCTACTACAGGTTCACTTTAATTTTATCGAATAAATAAACATACATTCATACACATCGACGACACTTGAAAAAAAAAATCACTTTAAACTAGTGAGGAGTGTCTCTGCACTTAACAATATATAACATATGCTCATATAAAAGTCCCATGTCGTCGATCCGAACATTCCAAAAATTGTGGTTCCGTGTAATTCCAGTCCACTGTAAGGAATAATATGTCTTAATACACATAAATGTGTTACCTCAAAGTCAGAACCACAAAACTCACTCAAACTTAGCATCCATCCTTGCAACGTTATCAAAAGACAACAAAAAATTGTCTACTCTGAAAAAGACAAAACAAAGATAATTTCCATATTAAATAAACATTAATCAATACCGTTGATTAACCTTAAAGTATACATTATTTTTTTTTTTTAACATTATTGTGACATTACAAAGTCCAGCATGACATAATACAATTTTAAGTGTAATCTCAAAATGAGGGCGGGGTGGGTGGGCGTCTGTGTGTAGAGAACCTATAGTACCTCGAATGGTCAAATACCCGTTTGCATACACCTTATATATTGACCAGTCTTACGCATCGATACGCTTGGTGGACAGCTGAAATACAGCTGTGCTGTCCACAGTGACCGAAAATCATATTATATTAAAGACCAATGATAAATAAATTTATGCCAATCCAAGGGTATATAGTGAGTTAACAGGAAAAAATCAAAATAAAGAAAAAACTATGAATAAATTGTGATCCCCCAGAAGCATAGTTGTATTAAAGGGATACTCGGGCAAATTAATGACAAAAATATTAAAATGATCTTATGTATTCAAATAATGCTGAAATGACATTTTTTAAAGTCCCAGCTGGAATTTCTGTATAGATTCTATATATTTTGGGTTTTAAGTGTAAATATATCTATCTAATAATGTTGAACGAAATTTAGACGCCGACTGTAAAACAAGTCATGTGACTTGAACATATCCTGGAAGTTACAATAATAGATATTTTGTATATTGTATGATTGAAACAAGTCTAAGTCGTTCATTTGACATATTCTTTAATGTTCCAAAGTTCACTTTCAACAAGTCTAAGTCGTTCATTTGACATGTTCTTTAACGTTCCAAAGTTCACTTTCACAACTGTTGTGAACTCTTAACGCTCTAACCTGACCCATGTGGGTCAAGTAAGAAAACCTACATTTTATTTTTTATAAAGAGAAAAGTGTTCCCGTGACTGCCTTGTGTTATTGTTTTGAGGACATTTACAGAATAATGAATGAAAAATACAAAAACAAAGAATTGAAAATTTTGCCTATGTATCCCTTTAAATTAATCATCTGAATGGTTTGAATAAAATACAAATTTTCTTTTTGTTATTATGAACTTATGTGATATAACTCTTTAAGGTAGTCTGTTAATCAACTTTGAAAACCAGACCCTGTCTGGGCTTGAGCATTTTAGAGTCTGGTTTTCAGAGGATTGCATTTTCCAGAGGCTTTATACAGTCAAAAATAAATCATTCTGTGTTTGTACAAATCCTTTTGTTTTTACTGTTCTGTCTCTAGTCAAATATTATAATTTCTTGTTTCAATTAAATTTTGATTTGCAAAGTAGAAAATTAAAAAATTAAAACAACGCCTTACCTGAAATTGAACATTTTTAGAGGCTTATTACTCTAACAAAAATGAATTAAGCAAATTAACAATTTTTGTAATAAATATTGTGCTGTAAAATCAATTTATTAATTAGCAGAGAAAGAAATAGCTCTTTTAATTAAACAAAGTTTCTTAATTTTCTTCCACATTTTATAAAACCAAACAAATTAAAACTTTTTGAAAAAAAAATCATACTTAACACCAAAATAAACAACAATGGTCAAAGAGCTATAGTTCAAACTCACAAACTGACATTTTTTCACACCTGCAAAGATAAATACATGTAAGTAATTGAACATGTCACTTGTTGGTATTATGTTTTAACCCACATCTGATAACATATTAGAAAGTTGACTCTCATTACCATTCATTTCTCAGCATGAGTGTTGGTTTTCAGAATTCAGATGTCCCAGTGTTAAACATTTGTTGTTGTTTTTTATTTTCAATGAACTTCAAAAGAAAAAAAAAAATACAGGACTTTTTTTTTAAACCGTCAATTTCAATTTTCAGAGGGTCTGGTTTTCAGATATTTACAGAATTTTTGTTTTAGAATTTATTTGTTTTTGAATGTCTACTTGTGCTTGATGAATATGTTTGGCTTGAGAATGGTGTCAATGTGAACATTTCCAATGGCTTGTCTACACTGCCATTTCTGGGCATGTTTACCCTCTCGTCTTCACTAATTTTACAAGCATAGCATTTTCTAAACTTGCATGATTGGATAACATTATGTCTTTGATGGGTGTGTTCATTGGTTTGACTGTCTCTGGACTCTGTGTTAAATTCTTGATCAGTTAGACTGTCTGTCATCCCATCTGCTTTATTTGATTTCTTTTCCATCTCTGTTTCTGTGATCAACATATCATTAACATTCATGATTTCTTTGTATTGCTCCGCAGGGAAGAATTTACTGATATTATCTATTTCAACTGATACTTCTGTAAGTTCAACTGCTTCTCCTGGTACTTTGTAGCGTCCATAGGCTGAGAATTTACTCTTTGGTATTTTGCATGGTTCTCCAAGTTTTGTGTAAATCTCTTCCATAATCTTCCCATCGGTATTCTTAAAATTGACTGTGCAGCCAACTCTAAGAAAAGCTTTTATTTGCGAATGAATGACATCGAAAGATGACAGATGGTCAAAGTTAACAAGAACAATGTTCTTCAATCTGTCAGTTTTGAAATTGTTCCATCCATATTTCCATTCATTTTCAGTCCAAGATCTCATATCATTGGCCTCTAGGAGGTAATTGTCCGTCATTATGACTAGAAAGTTTTTTGCTGTAGCCAATACTGAAAGGATTTGTGAATCTCTTTCACTTCCATAATTGATATCTTTGTTCGGCCTGAATACTTTATAGCCAGTCTTTATCAGATTTTTTTCAAGTATTTTTTCGACCCATTTAGAAACATCCTCCTCTCTATCATTGTAGGATAGGAAAACATCATACTTGAAAGGAGGTGCTATGACCTTGCATCTCTTTTGTTGACTACGAAGGTAGAGGATCAGAATTTCGTATCGGAAAATAAAGATCACTGTTCCTGCAATGATTAACAAGGCAAGCATTATGCCTGATATTATTGCTTCTTGACGATAATTGTTCCAAGTGCTATAGCATACTAAGTCTTTTTCAGCAAAGTTCAATGCAGGTTTTATGGTGTTATCAGGCATTACACATTGGAATAATTGTTTAGAGTTGATGCATTTTTTGGAGAGATTCAACCATTGTTCAATCCACAAAGCTTCACAATCGCAAGTGATCTGTAAGTGTTCCATATTTCTAAGGCAAACATTATGATATTGGAAGGCCTGAGGAAGATTCTGTAATCTTGGATTGTCTGATATATCAACATACGAAGCATTTTCAAGCATTCTAGCTTCATTATAGTTTATTTTACGTAGGTCATTTCCAGATATATCCAGTACAGATAATTTTTGCAAGACTGAGTTATTTTTTAGGTCCTTAATGTTATTACCAGAAACATTAAGTGATATATATTGTGAATTCTTTGAAAACGGTATGTCAGGGATCTCTGTGAGATCAGAATTTGAGCAATCGATGACTAAAGTGTTCTCATCTGGCTTATCCACACATGTACACTCCGGTGTTTGACAGCCAGAATCGGCTGAAAGTGGGCAAATGAGTGAATCAAGTTTCACATCGATGGCATTCTGTCCTGCAAGTTTTTGAGGTGCCATGCATTTTACTTCAAAATATTCTCGCCACAAGACTTTAATGATGTATTTGAAATGTGCCATAAAGGAATGTAAATTACAGTCACAAACTAAGGGTATGCCACGGAAGTCAAACCCAAATCTTAGTAACGTGCCTAGTTGGACAATTGAGTCCAAGGAAAGAATCGATTTAAAGTCTGGAAATGTTGAAATTTTATTGTATTTCAAGTTTACAAAACCAGGTCCATAAGTTTGATCAAGACTGAGTTTGAAGTCAGCTTCATTAGTTATCTCAGTAATTTCATTTGATTCATAATCAATTTTACAGAAGGGATATAAGCTTATACTATTTGAGAAATCAAGGTTGGTTATTTCATTGTGACTGAAGTTGGCAAAGAATAAACTAAGGTAAGGAGATGTTAATGTATTTGGATCCATGTTTTGTATGAAGTTACCAGAGAAGTCTATAACTCTGAGATTTGACAGATTGGATATTGAAGTATTGGATATGAATTGAATTTCATTATTTCTCAGGATAAGAGTATCTAGTCTGGATAAGCAGTTAATATCTGGGACATTTTTGATTTTATTGCCTTCAAAGTTTATTGTTACTATGTTACTGAAGTATTTCTTGATGCTTTCAAAGTCTTCTTCATAGTATTCCATCAGATTTGATTTATTGTCCCAGCCACAGATATTGCTTGGTATTTCTGTCATTTCGGAATAAGTGTGCTGAATTCTGTACACTCCAGTTTCAGTAGGAGCTTGATCAGACAATACCAAGCTTTTGCCAAACACTGATACATATTCTATATAAAGATCTATTTCTGAACCCTCCCAATTCATACAATTATAGCATGTGCAACAATTTTCATTATCACATCTTTTGTGACAGCGCATATCATTTCTTTCTGACGTTGAAGCATCTGTTGTGGTTTCATTAGTCCATGAAGGAATCCAGAAATCCCCAAAATTCTCAGTACACACAGACTCATTGCCAGATGGTTGATTGAAAAATAGCAACAGAGGTATAACTGCAAGGTATCTGAAAAAAGAAACCAATGAGTATTTCTATACAATGTAGTTTATGTATAATAACATATTAATGTCAATATTGTTATGGTAATATTACAATCTAACCTACAGCGAAGGTACATTTAATGAAAGACACACTAGATAGAAGATATGTCTGTGGAAACCAGGCTGGCCTAACTATGCTAAGAGCTATTGCTATTGGCACTGGTATAAAAAGGTTTAAAAGAAGTTTTAACCTTTAACCTGAGGAATTGTATGACTGGTTGATCCAGTTTTGAATTAAGAACAGTCCATTGAAAATTTAAGGGATTTCAGTATAAGAATACAAAAATTGAGTGGATATGTAGTACTTTAAGAACACAATTTCATGTAGATTTGGGAATTTGAATTAATGAAAGTTTGCTATATTCAGTCTTAAAATATTGTTTTGGCTATTAGTTAGTGCCCTTTGTTACATTAAACAGGAAATTGTTATAGTTGGATCCTGGGTGTATTAAACAGTATCTCAAATGAGAGGTAATGTTACTAAGATTGTGTTACACAGGATGTCACTAAAACCAGAAAGTCTAAAAGAAAGGTTTGACTGTACTTGAAAATACAAGGATATTGGCTTAAAAAATGACTAATGATAAAAATTTGTAAAATGTAAGAAACTAAGTAACAGTGAAAGCCTGTCTAGCTAGCTTATGGAAGGTCATTAGTTCTAGTCAGATGCAAGCTTGTGTCTGTAATAATGTATGAAGGGGCAGCTGAGGTCTTCGTTCACCAGAAAAATGGAAAGTTGCTATTAACCCTTTACCTCATATATATGCATAACAACTCACTTTCGACACCCCCATGCCTCAAATAGTGAAAAAAATGTCCTGTTTGGACCCCAAACACATATTTTTATTCGAGAAATGTTGATAAAAAAAGTGATCACTTTTTCCGCGCCGGCACCCAGCAAAAAGGTATATCAGGGGGTTGCCAGAAGGGGGGATCTGTTAGTGGGTTTGAAGGGGGGCGGAGTCCCCCTCATCGCCAAGAAAATTTTGGACTTGTGAGAGGCTAAAAATGACCCCAGGTCGATCATAAATGTAACGTGTAACCAACGCTAAAAAGCCTTTGACTCTATCTCAATCCCTTGAGAAGTTGCAGCACTTTGAAATAAATTTTGATGGAAAAAATCGAGGCAAAATAGTGATTTTTGGCAATTTTGAGATGTCCCCTCGTTGCCATGGTAACAGGAAATTTAGGACTGAGCATGTCGTTACAAAGGTAATGGTCCAGTCAACATTTGTGCCAAGTTTGATTAGTATTGAAGCATTTTTCATAGTTTCATAGCAGTTTGAACTTGTAACAGGAGGCTTTTCAGTGAAAACGGCCATTTTTCACAATATGCTCATGGGGGAAAGGGTTAAACCACCTCACATTTGGGCGGCTTATGTAATTTACAGGGCCGCTTATTGATTGTAAGTGTGCTAGTTGTCGGATACTTTAACTTTACGTGGAGGCCAGTAAAATTCGCCAATTAAAGATTTTATGTGCCAGAATTAATATTTTGTCGCATTTGCCACCACTGGGGAAAGACAATCCTTGCAGAAATACAACTTTTGAACGTAAAGGCCCATAGCAGTATAATGTCTGACTATTGTTGCACCTTGTGCAATTTTTATGCGGCAATTTTCGTAAATGTGTGATATTCTTGCAAATCGCATGCCTTTCCCTGTCATTGTTGATATTAAAATTTCAATTTTACTTTTAAATTTTAAAATACATTTGTATATAAAATTTTCTTTTTTTAGCTCACCAGAACAGAAGGTTCAGGGTGAGCTATTAGTATTAAAGGGGGATGCTCCGACGTCCATTGTCTGTCCTTCCGTCAGTCCTTCCATACGTACGTATATACGTACGTCCCGAATTCATGTCGGGCCCATAACTTTGTTATTTGAAGTTGGATTTTACAACTATTTCACAGAAATAATCACCATATTGGGACGACGTGTCTCACCCAACATTTGGGTCGCTACCTTGAAGGTCTTGGTCACAGCATGACCTTGCAGCAAATCGTGTCCGGACCATAACTTTGTTATTTGAAGTCGGATTTTACAACTATTTCACAGAAATGATCACCATATTGAGACGATGTGGCACACCCAACATTTGGGTCGTTACCTTGAAGGTCAAGGTCACAGCATGACCTTGCAGCAAAATCGTGTCCGGCCCATAACTTTGTTATTTGAAGTTGAATTTTAAAACTATTTCACAGAAATGATCACCTTATTAAGACGACTTGTCGGGCGCAACATTTAGGTTGCTACCTTCAAGGTCAAGGACACAGCATGACCTTGCAGCAAAATTGTGTCCGGCCCATAACTTTGTTATTTGAAGTCAAATTTACAACTATTTCACAGAAATGATCACCATATTGAGACTATGTGTTGCATACAACATTTGGGTCACTACCTTGAATGTCAAGGTCACAGCATGACCTTGCAGCAAAATTGTGTTCCACCCATAACTTTGTTATTTGAAGTTGGATTTTATAACTATTTCACAGAAATGATAACCATATTTTGACGACGTGTCGCACACAACATTTGGGTTGCTACCTTGAAGGTCAAGGTCACAGCATGTCCTAGCAGCAAAATCATGTCCAGCCTATAACTTTGTTATTTGAAGTTGGATTTTACAACTATTTCACAGAAATGATCACCATATTGAGACGACATGTCACGTGCCATTTTTATGTCCTTAGCTTGAAGGTCAAGGTCACAGCATGACCTTGCAGCAAAATCGTGTCCGGCACATAACTTGCAACTACTTCACAGAAATGATCACCATATTGAAACGAGGTGTTGCATGCAACATTTCGGTTGTTAATTTAGAGGTATACCTTCCTGTGTCCAAAACCTATTCGGGGTGCATTACCCGGTTCAACCGGCTCTTGTTTCAATTGGCCCCTTTTAGCGGGGTCAACAGAGCTAAAAGTAGAAAAACCTTTAAACATCTACTACAGAACTAATTGATGGATTAGCCACCAAACTTTGTCTGTAGCATTCTTGGGTAGTCTTTTATCAAGTTTGCTCATATTAATTTGATTGGCCCCTTTTAGGGGTCTCTAGAGTTAAAAAAAGAAAAACCTTTAAATATCCACTTCTACAGAACTAATTGATGGATGATCATTAAACTTTGTTTGTAGCATTTTTGGGTAGTCTTTTATGAAGTTTGCTCTGACCCCTTTTAGGGACTGCTAAAGCTAAAAAAAAGAAATACCTTTAAATGTCTATTTCTGCAGAACTAATTGATGGATGATCACCAAACTTTGTAGCATTCTTAGGTAGTCTTTTAACAAGTTTGCTCATATTAATTTTATTGGCCCCTGTTAGGGGCCGCTAAAGCTATAAAAAGAAATACCTTTAAACATCTATTTCTAAAGAACTCTAACCGGTAATTGATGGATGATTACCAAACTTTTTCTGAAGCATTCTTGGTTAGTCTTTTATAAGGTTTGCTCATATTAATTTGATTGGCCCCTTTTAGGGGCTGCTAAAGCTTAAAATAGAAAATACATTTAAACATCTATTTCTAAAGAACTACCGGTAATTGATGGATGATTACCAAACTTTGTCTGAAGCATTCTTGGGTAGTCTTTTATCAGGTTTGCTCATATTAATTTGATTGGCCTCTTTTAGGGGCCGCTAAAGCTAAAAATAGAAAATACATTTAGACGTCTATTTCTACAGAACTAATTGATGGATGATCACCAAACTTTGTCGGGTAGTCTTTTATCAAGTTTGCTCATATTAATTTGATTAGCCCATTTTAGGGGCCGCTAAAGCTAAAAATAGAAAATACATTTAAACGTCTATTTCTACAGAATTAATTGATGGATGATCACCAAAATTTTGTCGGGTAGTCTTTTATCAAGTTTGCTCATATTAATTTGATTGGCCCAGTTTTAGGGGCCGCTAAAGCTAAAAATAGAAAATACATTTAAACGTCTATTTCTATAGAACTACCGGTAATTGATGGATGATTACCAAACTTTGTCTGAAGCATTCTTGGGTAGTCTTTTATCAGGTTTGCTCATATTAATTTGATTGGCCTCTTTTAGGGGCCGCTAAAGCTAAAAATAGAAAATACATTTAAACGTCTATTTCTACAGAACTAATTGATGGATGATCACCAAACTTTGTCGGGTAGTCTTTTATCAAGTTTGCTCATATTAATTTGATTAGCCCATTTTAGGGGCCACTAAAGCTAAAAATAGAAAAACCTATGAAGACCATTTCCTACTGAATTAATTGATGGATGATCACCAAACTTTGTAGTATTCTTGGGTAGTCTTTTATCAAGTTTGCTCATATTAATTTGATTAGCCCATTTTAGGGGCCACTAAAGCTAAAAATAGAAAAACCTATGAAGACCATTTCCTACTAAATTAATTGATGGATGATCACCAAACTTCGTAGCGTTCTTGGGTAGTCTTTTATCAAGTTTGCTCATATTAATTTGATTGGCCCAATTTAAGCTAAAACTTAAATGCCCCAGGTCATGGCTTGTATTCAAATAATTGTTTAAACATATTCTATGCTCAAATTTAATATTAGAAAATATTGACAATGGATAATTTCCAACACTGAAAAGCAGTGTTTCTGGTGAGACACTCAGGGCCATAATGGCCCTCTTGTTTTATTATGTTTGGGCAAAATATTTCTATTCATTATCATTTTAAAAAATATAAAAAAAATAATTTATATTATCTTTGGGATGATATATTTCCACTTATGTTTAGTTTTGTATGTAGAATTTATATATAAACAATTATTTGTTCATCATAAAGTACATTTACTTTTAAAGTAGCATGCCTGGATACATGCTGATTTTCATGACAATTTTGTAAATGTATTAAAAAGTAAACAAAGTGAATAATTTTCAAATTGCAAACTGCACTAACAGAACATAACAATTACCAAAAAAAGAGGTCAAATTATGCAAAATTTGCCCTTACTGCATTCAAGTAACGGCAGATAAAAGATAGTGAAAAATACTGTTAAATTGGTCATAAATGGCACATAGCATGAAAATTATTACATTTATCTTTAATCTTTTTACTTTTCTTAAAATCTCAAAAATTTTTGTGAAGTATGATTTCTTTAAATATTTTGGCTCATCTGGAGGCATGTAGCTTTTATATACTTTGATATTTAAAATTACAAGCAATTTTTAGCTCACCTGTCACAAAGTGACAGGGTGAGCTTTTGTGATCGCTTTTCGTCCGGCGTCCGTCCGTCCGTCGTCCGTCCGTAAACTTTTGCTTTAGATGACATCTCCTCATAAACCACTGAGCCAATTTCATCCAAACTTCACAGGAATGTTCCTTTGGTGGTCACCTTTAAAAATTGTTCAAAGAATTTAATTCCATGCAGAACTCTGGTTGCCATGGCAACCGAAAGAAAAATCTTTAAATATCTTCTTTTAAACAACCCCAAGAGCTAGAGCTTAGATATTTGGCATGAAACATCTTCTAGTGAGTGTCTACCAAGTTTGTTCAAATAAAAGCCCTGGGGTCAAAATTGGCCCCGCCCCAGGGGGTCATTGATTTTCCCTATATGCATATAGTAAAAACTTAAAAAATCTTCTTTTAAAGAACCCAAAGAGCTAGAGCTAAGATATTTGGCATGAAACATCTTCTAATAAGTGTCTACCAAGTTTGTTCAAATAAAAGCCCTTGGGTCAAAATTGGCCCCACCCCAGGGGGTCATTGATTTTCCCTATATGCATATAGTAAAAACTTAAAAAATCTTCTTTTAAAGAACCGTAAGAGCTAGAGCTTAGATATTAAGCAAGAAACATCTTCTAGTGAATGTCTACCAAGTTTGTTCAAATAAAAGCCCTGGGGTCAAAATTGACCTGCCCCAGGGGGTCATAGATTTTCCCTATATGCATATAGTAAAAACTGAAAAAATCTTCTTTTAAAGAACCCAAAGAGCTAGAGCTAAGATATTTAGCATGAAACATCTTCTAATAAGTGTCTACCAAGTTTGTTCAAATAAAAGCCCTTGGGTCAAAATTGGCCCCACCCCAGGGGGTCATTGATTTTCCCTATATGCATATAGTAAAAACTTAAAAATTCTTCTTTTAAAGAACTCAAAGAGCTAGAGCTAAGATATTTAGCATGAAACATGTTCTAATGGGTGTCTACCAAAGTATGTTCAAATAAAAGCCCTGGGGTCAAAACTGGCCCCGCCCGGGTGGGGGGGGGGGGTCATTGATTTTCCTTAAATATGTGTATAGCAAAAACTTAAAAAATCTTCTTTGAAAAAACCCAAATAGCTAGAGTTTTAGATATTAAGCATGAAACATCTTTAAGTAAATATCTACAAAGTTTGTTCAAATAAAAGCCCGGGGGTCAAAACTGGCCCTGCCCCAGGGGTGTCATTGTTTTTAACTATATGTGTATAGTAAAAACTTAAAAAATCTTCTTTTAAAAAACCCAATGAGCTAGAAATTAGATGTTTAGCATGAAACATCTTCTTATGGGTGTCTACCAAGTCTGTTCAAATAAACAAATAAAAGCCCTTGGGTAAAAATTGGCCCGGGGGTGGGGGGCCTATATACAGGTGAGCGACCTCAGGGCCATCATGGCCCTCTTTTTTATGTAAATCATAATTTTTACATACTAACACTGATTTGTTTATTATTAAGCATAATTACTTTTAATATTGTTTGATATTCAATATTATGTGCAATTTTATGTAAATTATAATTTTTACCTTCTGAGAAACATCCTTGTAATTGCAAAAGTCAAAATGTACAGTGAAACTTTAATCGTTCTCTCTTTTATAACAGTGTGTCATTTGATATGATATGCGGATTAAGTATCAATTCAATGAATAGTTTAATTGTTACAACTTGTAATGCATTATTATCTCGTATAAAAATTTCTAATAAAGTTACACAATCTTTTTAAAAAGTTGATTTTAAAATTCCCCTGTTATATCCTGTCAGATAATCATACAGTTTCACTGTAAATAGTTTTTTTTTACAAGGAGTCAGAGATACACTGAAGTGTATCATATTTCAATGTACAGTTTCATTTAAAAACCTGTTGCTGGGAGTATAAGATATATCTACATGTTTATAGGTGCTAGCAAATATGCCCGTTTAGAGAGAGATTTTACATCAGTTAGGAGAGACACGCTGATTGTGTGTAGCGGTTATTTTTTTATTGGGAAGAGAATTTTGTTGTTTTGAAGAGAATTTTGTTGTTTTGAAGTCAGTTCTGTTGGTTTGTTGAAGTGGTTGAATATAATTGTGGTGATCTTAATTGATCAGGGTTTATTGGTTGTAATTAGTTGTTTAGGTTGTTGAGTTAGATATAATTGGTTGATATTGGTTGAATGTTTGGTATTGTCAAGATTATGTTAGTTGCTGCTTTGTTTTGAGGATATATGTAAATATTGGGTGCTTTAGTTTAAGTTGTTTACTGATGCTGATTAGATTGTGTGAAGTTAATATTGTTGGATGAATGTTTGCGGTTTATACTGTATCTTAGAGTTGTAAAAATATTCATTTTTGTGTTCTTCATTTTGTGGTGATTTTATTGTTTTGTTTAGTCATAAGTTGTTTAGAGCCAGGTGTCTTGTTTTGTTTCGCATAAAAGACGTATAGGTGGAAAGATATTTCGTATAAGTGGCTGATAAATGATGTGTGTTTGTTTTGGGTGTAAATAATGATCAGAGTTCTGTGTTTTGGGTGTTAATAATAGTCAGAGGTGGTTGTGTAAATGTATATATTGATTTGAGATAGAAAAAGATAAAAATACCTAAAAAAAAGTGTTAACTAAACAATTACATGCTAGTTTTCCAACTGAGAATATTTCAATTTTATGTCAGGCGTTGCTGCCCTGAGCCCCTATATCTTGGAAATTGGTTCTAGTATTTATTGCTAAATCTTTCCTAAGATTAAATAACATCAAGGCAGACATTTCTCCTGACATATCCCTGTTCTTATTAACGTTATGTCACTAAATATTACTTGCATACCCTATTCAGTGGATATAGATTTCAGTGCATGAATTTCAGTTTCTAGCTCACCTGAGCACATTTAGCTCAGGTGAGCTTTAGCTGAGCTATTTTGTTCATCCGGTTCCAGCATCCATGGTTAACATTTTACTAACATAAACTCCATGTCCTGTAGTAAATTGACATTGTTGTCTGTTGTCAGTATACTCATAACATCAAGAAGTACATAGTTCACATTCAAGGCACCATTGAAATTAAAAGATATAAACACATTCTTGCTTAAATGTAACTGTTCTCATATATTTATAATATAAGACACAATTAAAAGTTGCTAGTAATAAATACCATTTTGCTATTAGTGAAAAAAAGCTCTGGCCAAAAAAATTAAATCTAACCCCTGCATTGTCTAATGGACTCTACTTGGTTGTTTTGAAATGATAGGTTTAAGGTAAAAATTGGTCCCACCCGAATGGGGTTACAGGTTTTCCTTATTATTATATATATATATATTTTTTAAAGTTACAAAATCTTCTCCTGAATCTGCAAATGTTAGTGCTTAGGTCACTATTTGGCTATGAAACATTAAGCTATTGGACCTCTACCATGTTTGTTCAAATATTAGGCATGGGAGTTGTAATTTGCCCTGGCTGGAGTATGTATGAAATAAAAACTAAAAAAATCTTTTCCACTTAACAGCGTAGACAAGAACTAAAATGTTTGTCATGAAACATTGTCTGGTGGACTTATACCAAGTTTGTTTAAATTATAGCCCTTAATTTGGTCAAAATTCAGGGCAAGTAAAATATACTGCAAAAATAAAGAGTAGGTCTAAAATAATGGCAACAGTAGGGATCGAACCATGGACTTCATATATAAGGCCATCACTTCACCAACTGCTATTGCTGATGTAATCATGACCTTTTCATTAAGCTTGTGTGGCCTTCAAAACAATTATATACTCCATATTTATTCTCTTAAACTACTAGGACAGAACCTAAATGGAATCGAATATGTAAATGAGTTCTGTAATATATAAATAGTTTACAGGTTAATAAAATCAGACTATAACTGTGACATGCAAACATTGCTGAATAAAGTAAAACACACAATCATTTTAAAAAGCCTGCACTTTTCATCAAATAGCAAGTTCCAGACACAAAATAAATGGTGTTCAATTAACTTAAAAGGACACAACTAAAGCTGGGAGCTTTTGCTACAAAATGTAATGGCTAACTGTATTTTCATTTGTGATTTATGTTTTTTTTTCTTTTAAAAATTTTCTGTTTCTTTGAAATATATAGTTTGTATTATTTGACATTACATAATAAGAAATATGTAGTAGCTTTCTGAAGCTTTGTACTATTATTTCATTGATGTGCTTGAACTTTTAGAAGTAAGAAAAAGTTGGATGTGACCCCCAATAGGCAGTAACTCTTGTTCAAAAATAAAATGATGCATAAGGCATCAATTTGCTAGTTATCATACTTCACTGTTTAATGTGTTTATTGTGCAAAAAAAAAAAAATGAAATTTTATACATGCAAGGTGGATTTTTGTGTTTCATGCAAATGATTGACTTTGCAGATTTTCATAAAAATGCTAAAACTGTAAATTTTCTTTAAAAAACAATGACATTGTATTTGTATGGAACAGTGGCTTGCAAATTATGATTAACATCTTTAAAAAAAAATGTTATAATTTTTACCTTTTGAAAAACATCCTTTTGATGGATAGAATCATATTTTACTATATTGTTTCTTCCTTTTTTAATTAATAAATTGTTAATCTGCATAATACAGATCTAGAAAATTCCATGAATTGTTACATCATTATGACAGCTGGCTGTTTACATTTTGGAATCCAAATCATATGTGCCTACACTCATGAAAATTTTGGAATTATTAATTCTTAATTCAACAAGGTCTTTTTAAAGTTTATTTGTTTGAACCCTATATTTACTCTGATTTAACACTTTTAATTTAAGATCAAAACTATATTTAGCACATCATTAATTTTCCATTGTCTTGATTGTTAATATTGATTTCGGTTTATTCCAATTGTTTGCATGACTCATTAACCAATTAGTTTTTGGTGTCAAGAGTTTTGACCCTGTTTTTGATTCTAAATACTATTCTTTTGTGTATGTAGCATTTTCTTCAGAGATATCTGTTACACAAGAACAGAACAATGCAGTTGGCATCAAATTCTACTCATGCCACCAGGTCACCATGCCATCTGATCATGGTCTGCACTGTTAGCTATTCAGTCAAAACATATTTTGAAATTTTCCCTGATGATGATGAATGTGTTTGTTCATATTGAAAAAAAATTGACATGTCCATTGAATGTGACATTATGCCCATTCAAGGGTATATAGTGAATAAACAGGAAAAAGTCAAAATAAAGAAAAAAATCTGAATAAATTGTTATCCCCCAGAAGCATTAATCACAACAAAATTACATGAAAATTGCAGACTTGTTTGTACATGAGGGATGATGAAAAAATGCAACATCCCTCACACACCCTAAGCACCTCATTTTACCATAATTTCTTTCAATTGTATACCTTTACGTAGCAAGAACAATAAATAACACGCAATACCCAAAGAAATTTCTTTAAATATCCGTTGGAATTTACTTTATAAGAGTCAATTTATAAAAAGAGTTAGGTAGTCTTGGGCAGTCCATGGGGGGGGGGATGCTTCCTGTGAACGTTGCCTTTACGGAGTTGATCTTTATTCTTGTCTTTTATATGTTTGGCAGATTTATATTCTATCGTAAATGTTTTATGATATCAACTCTCGGTCAACCACCAAAATAACAATCAATCTTTTGAACTATTTAGTCAATTCAGCTTAACTTCTCATGAAAAAAATGAGCATCATGTCAATTTAAGATATTTATGATCATCAAAGTAAATCTGATGCCTCAGCAAATTTTTTATCAGCAAAGGGGTTTCTTAAAGTAAAATTACAGTGAAGTAAATAAACACTGCAGAACTTCCTGGTATTGACCATGATCGAACATTTTAGGGTGATGTCTTTTAGAAATGTCACTAAATGTACGATAATGAATAAATGAAAAGCATAGAGTTTAGATATCTAGAAAAATATCTCAAGATTGTTAAAAAAATTCTAATTTTATTTGCATTGCTTTATGAAACTAACATTGATCATATCAGGCTAAAATGATAAGTTATGGTTTGTCAACAAAATGTGAAAAAACAGCAGCAACAACTACAAAAGACAGCCACAGTTTTCTGTTAAGGGCAGATAATTATAATGCTAATCAGCTTTACAGAACAATGCCTCTTGTCTTTTTTGCTTTATGATATGATACTTTCCATCACTGAGAAAAAGTAGAGTGCGCTGCTCCTTTGACAGATCTTGTTCTATAATTTAAAGTTAGAAAAAGTAGAGTGCACTGTTCCTTTCACAGATCTTGTTCTTTAATTTAAAGTGAGAAATATAGAGTGCACTGTTCCTTTGACAGATCTTGTTCTATAATTTAAAGTGAGAAATATAGATTGCACTGTTCCTTTGACAGATCTTGTTCTATAATTTAAAGTGAGAAAAAGTAGAGTGCACTGTTTATTTGACAGATCTTGTTCTATAAATTAAAGTGAGAAAAAGGAGAGTGCACTGATCCTTTCACAGATCTTGTTCTACGATTTAAAGTGAGAAAAAGGAGAGTGCAATGTTCCTTTGACAGATCTTGTTCGATAATTTAAAGTGAGAAAAAAGTAGAGTGCACTGATCCTTTCACAGATCTTGTTCTATATTTTAAAGTGAGAAATATAGAGTGTACATACTGCTCTTTTGGCAGATTTTTTTTCTACAATTTAAAGTTACAAGTGTCAATTTGTGTAGACTTTGTCGAGTTAATTTCATCTTTAGCACAAGGAATTTCATTACTTTAAGTTTCTTTCATAGACCTGCTGCTAGCACTTTTCATTGTCACCTCTCTCCTGATTTTTGGTAAATTTGGAATGTTTTGTGTGTCATTGTTGCCATAGCGACAAGCATAACATTTTCTATATTCACATTTTTTTACTTGAGTTTTGGTATACTTATTATTATGGTGATACTTTACATGCTTAGACACATCAATAGAATTAGAATTGTCTTCATTGTTGTTTTTCTCAAAATTTGTAAAAATGGGGTTGATTAACTCTACATCGCCGTATGTTTTTTGATTCCAGTCATTTGTGTTGTAGGGCGTCTTGTTTGGTATCATGAAAATGTCAAAATGGGAGAATCGAGGCAAGTTGTTCTCCATTGCTTTACTAGGGAATGACTTTCTTAGTGATGGTCCAAGTTTTTCAAAGATTTCCTGCATGATTTTTCTGTCATGGTTTTTAAAGTCAACAGTGCAGCCAACTCGTAGAAAGGCTTTTATCTGTGGTTTGTTGACATCAAATGATGACAAATAGTCAAAGTTAACAAGTACTATGTTCTTGGATCTGTCACTTTTGAAATTGTTCCAACCATATTTCCATTCGTTCTCGGTCCATGATCTCATTCCGTCTTCACTCTCTTGGATATAACTTTCAGACATTATTGTGAGGAAGTTGCGTGTTTTAGAGAGAATGTCAATTATTTCTGAGTCTCTTTCAGCCCCAAATGCAACATCTCTGTTTGGCCTAAAGACTGAGTAACCAGCATTTGTAAGTTCTGGTTCAAGTATACTATTTACCCATCTGTCAACATCGTCATTTGCATCATTAAAGGAAAGGAAAACGTCATATTCATTGAGAGGAACAACAGTGTTTCTACTTTTCTGTCTCAAACGAAGGCAAAGAATAAGTAATTCATAACGGAAGGTATACACAAGAATTCCTATTAAGACAAGGGTCAGAATAACCCCGGCAATTATTGTCTCAAGAAAAAACAAGAAACCTTCAGGCGAACATTCTAAATCTTCAGGATTGAAGTCAAGAGCTCTACTTATACCTATATTAGGAATTTCACATTGAAACAAGTTATTTTGGAATTCATTACATGACCTCGAATGAACCCATTTTTCAATCCATTTTGACTGGCAGTCACAGCTTATTTGAAGGTTTTTCATGTGACGAGAGCACACATTATGGTACTGGAACATTTGTGGAAGTTGCCTTAGTTTTGGATTATTTGATATATCAATATATGTGGCGTTTTCAAGACGATTTGCAATAGTGTTGTTTATTTCTTTAAGATCGTTTCCAGAAATATCCAGCATAGATATTTTGTGAAGGTATGGCACATTTTCAATTACTGAGATATCATTGTTAGAGACATTTAATGAGAGGAAGTATGAATATCTAGACAGTGGTATATCTGGAAGTCTTTTTAGTCCAGAGTTTGAACAGTTAATAAAAGTTGTGTTTTTGAATGGTTGATCTATGCAAGTACAACGTGGATCACAGCCAATATCTGTATCACAGATTAGTTTTTCAGGTGCTATAGTAACAACAGGCTGGCCTGCTAATTTCTTGGGTTCTTTGCAAGTTATATTCATATAGTCCCTCCATACCGTATTGACGATCTCATATGCACGTTCCATGAATTCTTCAATGTAGCAGTCACATTTTAAAGGAATATCCATTAAATCAAACCCAAAACTAAACAAGTGTCCAAGTTGTGTGATGTCATCAAGTTTTAAAAGTTGAACAAAGTCTGGAAATTTAGATATTTGGTTTTCTTTTAAAGACACAAAACCTGGTCCATATGTAAATGATAAATTGAACGAAAAATTTGCTGTATTCACTAGTTCAGTAATTTGGTTTTTAGAATAGTCTATGTGGCAAAATGGGTACAAGCTGATCATGTTTGAAATGTCTAAGTTATGGAGCTGATTGTTATGCAAGTCCACCTGGAATAAACTTCTCAAATTCTTTGATGTGAAAATATTTGGATCCATATTTTGTATGAGGTTTCCTGATAAATCAACAGTCCTTAGGTGGTCCATATTTGTAAAAGATGAATTTGAAATGAATGTCAATTTGTTGTTTTTAAGATTGAGTTCGTCAAGTTTAACTACGCATCTTATGTCAGGAAGTTTGGAAATTTTATTATCTCTAAAATTCATTTTCACTATCCTTTCCATATAAGCTTGCATGATACTAAAATCATTAGGGTATCTTGCTTTTAAACCTGATTCTTTGTCCCAGTTGCAAAGATTACTTGGAATTTCTGTCATTATAGAATTCTCTTGCTCAATTTTATAAACATCATTTTCACTAGGAGCTTGAATTGCAACCACTAAGCTTCTGCCAAACACTGATACAAATTCTATAAATAGCTCAATTTCATGACCTTCCCAGACTGCACATGAATTGCAAGTGCAGCATTTGTCATAATTTGTCCGTCTTTCCTCATCAGGCAATGTTTGAAGATCTTGGCTATTACAGGATGAATAACAACGGATATCTTTTCTTGGATCTGTCGACCATGATGCTTTCCATATTTTACCATAGTCATCATTACAGTGACTGTTAGCAAAAGCTCCCCCTGGTGTTGGTTTATGTGTAAACATCAGCAGAAAAATTGCTACCCTAGAAAAGAGCATATCTGATTATCTTTCTGTAAAGTAAATTGATTCTTTGAAAGCAGTGCATACATTTAGTTCAGCAATTAAACAAACTATCATAGTTTGTCAAAAAACAAACAAACAAAAAATAATGTTTGAACAACTTTTTTTCTAACTTTGAAAAGAATTTCTCACAAAAACAATTCATTTTTCATGTATATCTATAAACATCATAATAATAGATAAACAGAAAAATGAAATATTTTGTTATTAAAACAATTTTGTTACTTACCATAAAGTTGTCATTGCTCCTGTAATTTGATTCCTGATGATAAACAATAATTGATTTATAGGCACACAAAAATATATTTAACTGCAGCTATATCTCTATAAAACCCCTGGTGAACTAATTTCAGATTGTAAATTGGAGCTCTTTGAAATGATATCTTGAAAAAGAAAATGATAAATGCAGTTATAAAATGCTTGTGTAGACCTAAGATAAAGAGTTGTTTTTTTATCTTATTTGAATAATGATGAGCTTCAATAATTCCATATATCAATTGATATGATGTTCAATAGGAACACTATTTAGGCCAACATTTTTTTATTAAATGTTTTACGGGACATATTTTTTTAGAAATTGGGTCGGGGAGGGGATAAATCGGGAGGGGATAAATCGGGAGGGGATAAATAAAAATAAAAATAAAATTCAATGTTTTTATCAGTCGACCACAAAATAAAAATAAAATGATAAAAGAGGTTAAAAAATTTTATTTTCAAACATTTTTTTTAACACTCCAAAAACTAGGGCTGGGGCGTGTATCCGAGTACTCGGATAATCACGAATCAAAGTGAAAAATCGAGTTTGAATATTCGTAAGCCCAGAGATCGTGGATCGCGATCTAATTTTTTTTTTATACATTCACTGTTTCTCACACACTTAAAATCAAGAAAAATACGATTTGAGTGTAAATTATATGAAGTTTACCTAAATACAATTTGCTGGTTAATGTACCATGATGCTGAGCTAGGAAGTAATTGGTTTCAAAAAACAAAACAAAAATACTTTTCCAAAGAATAAAAACATAAACCTTGTTTATATTTTATGTTTAATGTTTAGTATTGTTTTTTGTTTTAAATAAACATGTTTTTATATCTAATGTACATATTTTTATGGGTTTTTTATATCTAATGTACATATTTTTATGGGTGTCTTGATAACAAAATATTTGTGGTTTGATTTGTGAATCGTAAGTGCTGAATCGTGGTTCGGATCGGATCGTCACTTTTCGGACAATCCACACCCCTGAGAAAAATTGTGTCCGGCCCATGACTTGGTTATTTGAAGTCGGATTTTACAACTATTTCACAGAAATGATCAACATATTTAGACGACATGTCGCACGCAAGTCGGTAGATAGATCTAATTGAGTAGAAGTGCAGTACAAAGAACAGTAACTCTGCATTGCCTAAGTTTGGAATTATCACACTTTGACATAACTTTGAAACTACAAAATATAATACTTTTCTGTTTCCAAATCCTAGTCGACGAGCATCACCTGGTTCAACCGGCTCTTGTTTTGGAAATACAGTCCGACCCCGGTTAATCGACAACCCTTTATTCGAATACCCGGCATTATCCGAAGTAGATCGGCGGTCCCGTTTTTATCTCTATATAAATCAATATAAATACGAGCGTATTATTCGAAATGCATTATCCGAATACCTCCTATTTTTCGAAGTAAAATTTCGGTCCCGACTATACAATTATGAAAGAATTTCACACCTATTATTCGAAGCCAGCCTTATTATTATTCGAAGTCAGACTAATTGGCGCAGATCCGCTCGCTGACTGGTCGACTTGTGAAAAACATCAATAGTCATGCATGTATTTAGACAATCGTGATAATAGCTCTTTTTGTGTTCTTTAATCAACTTTATTTACCGAAAATGAAAAGCACTGCACAGTGTCCGATTTTGTTACTGTTATTGCTTGAAGATGACAGCAATATTTTTCATACATACCGTATATGTAAATTTGTCAAAACATCCAAAACGCTACATAAGATCCTTTTTCCTAATCGAAAATACCAGAGTTTAGCTGTAAATACCGTAATGACAACACGGCCATTATCAAGGTTTTGCGCAAAACGAAGCGATACATAATGTAGAATAAAATGCAAGTATTTATGTCTTCAATGTCAATACAATAATGTTTACGCATGTTTTCTTTAACATTTATTTTTCTCAATTGATTACAGGAAGTAAATGTGTTTTAAACGGTAGTTTTACTACGATTCGTCAAAGTGGAGTTGTTTTCGTATATATATAATATTCGGATTTCGATTATTCGAACCCATCGATTATTCGAAGTAAATATTCAGTCCCAGGCACTTCGAATAAACGGGGTTGGACTGTATACAGAAATTATTCCATTACAGAAAAATACTTTGGTCCATTGTCAGATTCTAAATCTATTTTTTAAGCTCAGGTACATGTATTTGATTAATCAAAAACTGCCGCAGATCCTGATCTTTTCTTTGTCAACACGGGGCCTGGCGTGATAATCAGTTTAAATCAAACCATTTTTATTGGTCAGATCAATAATTTCTTAATTCATAGAATGCATTTTAGTTGGTTAATAATTTCTTGTTTTAGGCCGGGTTTCCTTTTGATTTAACATGAACTTTATGGTCAAGCAAGAATAACTATGCAGATTATTATTAAGGAAAAGGGAAACTAAAATTGTTGCATTATTTGCTTGGCTGGCATATGTATTGACCACTGACTGATTTTTAAAAGAATGTCATAAAATGTCAAGCCTTTACTGCCCATGCTGCGACCATCTGATCCATTTATAAATCGCACAGATGCCATCCAGACATCAGGCGGCCTCTGCCCGGTCTTTGAATGCTTTCTGTAAATCAATTCGACAAAAAATCGCCTGGTGGTAATTTCATTCATGACCACGCAAGGTATCAGATTTAAAATTGCCCAGCGTTCGCAAAATCTTCTAGGTAGCCAATTTTTTTAAACATTGTTCAAACGAGCGGCGGCTTTTTTATTGTACACCTGGGCATAAAAGTGTTAAATTCACTATCAGGAGTATTTTCAACGAATATAAGTTCATGCAAGCTAAAAGAGTATTTCAAGTTTACTCTGTTTCATGTGATTATTAAGGCAACTTTTAGTTTCACATTTTAGACAAATTTGAAATAATTAATATCTGAAAAATAGTTTTTATGCCCCCACAAAGTGGGGTGCATATAGCGTTGCACTTGTACATCCGTCCGTCCCGAAATCTTGTGAACGCAACTCCTCTTAAACTGGATGGCAGATTTTGCCTAAACTTACAGGGAAGAACAACCTTAATGTGTAGATGTTAGTAAAGGAAGGAATTTTCGCTGCAACCAAATTTAACAGAATTATGGTCCTTTGTTGATTTTTTCACTATATACTATGTAAAAATTTTGTGAACGCAACTCCTCTTAAACCGAATGGCAGATTTTGCTTAAACTTACAGGGATGAACAACCTTAATGTGTAGATGGTAGTAAAGGAAGGATTTTTTGCTGCGACCAAATTTAACAGAATTATGGCCCTTTGTTGATTTTTTCACTATATACCATATAGAAATTTTGTGAACGCAACTCCTCTTAAACCGGATGGCAGATTTTGCTTAAACTTCCAGGGATGAACAACCTTAATGTGTAGATGGAAGTAAAGGAAGGAATTTTTGCTGCGACCAAATTTAATAGAATTATGGCCCTTTGTTGAATTTTTCACTATATGTAACCATATATATGTTGCTAGTGGGGGCACCCTTGTCATTTTACGGAACGTCGGTGGTTCTACTCAGGTGCCCGTTCGTGCCTGAAATAATGCACGGAAGGGCACCTGAGGTCTTCCTCCACCAGTAAAGCTGGAACGTCGCGATATGACCTATACTGTGTCGATGTGACGTAAAACCCAAAACAAAACAAAAAACCATATATATGTTGCTAGTGGGGGCACCCATGTCATTTGGACACAGTTCTAGTTTTTTGTTCTGTCAGAACTAAATTGAGCAGATATTACTAGTATAATTGTTAATTATTTTTTCTTACTAATCAAGGGGGAAAAAAATCGGTTAAAATCATGGATACAACTATAAATTCGCCTACTAACACATTATGTCTTCTATGATACTCTCTGAGTACCCTATGATAACCCTCTAGCAAATATATTTCCCAGTCTCAGTCTTTAAGATTTGTGTTGCCATGGTGACATGCACAGCACTTCCTGTATTTACAAGTTTCCTTTTGTCTACCTTGTTTATAATTTATATAACTTAATTTCTGGTAATTTTAAATTCAGCAGTATTATGAAAAGGTTTGTCATTAGTGCTTGCAGCTGTAAAGATTTCATATAAGTTAGATGTTAATTCCCTGTTTCCAATTTTGTCAACTGTTGTGGGACTTTTGTAAGGTAGTCCAAGCTTTTCAAAGATTTCCTGCATGATTTTTCTGTCATGGTTTTTAAAGTCAACAGTGCAGCCAACTCGTAGAAAGGCTTTTATCTGTGGTTTGTTGACATCAAATGATGACAAATGGTCAAAGTTAACGAGTACTATGTTCTTTGATCTGTCATTTTTGAAATTGTTCCATCCATATTTCCATTCGTTCTCGGTCCATGATCTCATTCCCTCTTCACTCTCTTGGAGATAACTTTCAGACATTATTGTTAGGAAGTTGCGTGTTTTAGATAGAATGTCAATTATTTCTGAGTCTCTTTCAGCTCCGAATGTGGCATCGCGATTGGGTTTAAAGACAGAGTAACCAGCGTTTGTAAGTTCTGGCTCCAGTATACAATTTACCCATTTGTCAACATCATCATCTGCATCATTAAAGGAAAGGAAAACATCATATTCATTGAGAGGAACAACAGTGTTTCTACTTTTCTGTCTCATTCTTAGGCAAATAATAAGTAATTCATAGCGGAAGGTATACACAAGAATTCCTATGAAGACAAGGCTCAGAATTACTCCAGCAATAATAATCTCGAAATAAAACAGGAAACCTTCAGGCGAACATTCTAGATCTTCAGGATTGAAGACAAGAGCTCTCCTTATACCAATTTTAGGAATTTCACATTGAAACAAATTATTTTGGAATTCATTACATGACCTCGAATGAACCCATTTTTCAATCCATTTTGACTGGCAGTCACAGCTTATTTGAAGGTTTTTCATGTGACGAGAGCACACATTATGGTACTGGAACATTTGTGGAAGTTGCCTTAATCTTGGATTGTTGGATATGTCAATATACGTGGCGTTCTCAAGATGATTTGCAATAGTGTTTATTTCTTTTAGATTGTTTCTAGAAATATCCAGTATAGATATTCTATGAAGGTATGACACATTTTCTATGGTTGATATTTGATTGTTTGATACATTTAATGCCACAAAGTAAGAAAATCGAGAGTAAGGTATTTCAGGTAACCGCTTTAGATCAGAGTTTGAACAGTCAATTAAAGATGTGTTCTTTTTTGGTTCATCGACACAAGTACATCTTGGGTCACAACCATCTTCAACTGGACAAACAAACTTTTCAGGTTCTTTTTTATAGATGTCCCAGACCAGATGGCCAGCAAGACTTGCTGGTTCACTGCATGTTAAATTCATGTAGCTTCGCCATAAAGCATTTATAATGTTATATGCTTTCTCAAGAAATTGTTGAATATTGCAGTCACAGACTAGGCTCATTCCTCGGAAATCAAATCCAAAATTAATTAAACGCCCAAGTTGTGTTATATCATCTAAATGAAAAAGGGTTTGAAAATCTGGCCAGGTACTTAATTTATTATTAGATACACCTACATATCCTGGTCCATATGATTTTTCTATATCCAATTTAAAATCTGCTTCATTTACTAAATCTGTAATTTCATTTGAACTATAGTCTATTTTACAGAATGGGTACAAGGTGAACATGTTGGAAACATCTAGTTTTGACATTACATTTTTACTGAAGTCAACATGAAATAAGTATGACAGCGACTGGGACATAAGAATATTTGGATCAATTTCTGTGATCTGGTTTCCAGACATTGATATTGATCTCAGATTCCGGAGATTTGTAAATGAAGTATTTGAAATATGCTGCAATTGATTGTTTTTAAGATTCATCTCATCAAGACGAAGTAAACAATTAATGTTTGGAAGTTTCTTGATTTTGTTATTGTCAAAGTTTATCTTTACAATTTTTCCCCAAAAGGGTTTTATGTTTTCAAACTCATCTGAATACATCTCTGGAAGACTTGATTCAGTATCCCAGTTGCAAAGATTACTAGGAATTTCTGTCATATCAGCATCCTGATGATCAATTTTATAGACCTCAGTATCACTAGGAGCTTGATCAGACATGACCAAGCTTTTGCTTAACACAGATGCATATTCTATAAATAGCCCAACCTCATTTCCTTCCCATACTGCACATGAATGACATGAACAACATGTGTCATATTTTTCAGTCTTTGTTGGAGTTGTTGTATTTCTACATTTTACACCTAGAATGCAATGCAGATCAGTTCTTGGCTTGTCTACCCAGGATGCATTCCATAAGTGTCCACCACAAGTTCCTGACACAAGGGCTGGTAGATAGAAGATCAGCAAGCTAAATATAGGCAGACTGAAATGCAAAAGAATTTTAGATATACTATTTTTATACTGGGCTCAAAAGAAGTTATATAAGGGCATAGGAGTAAGCTTGTCGGTCAGTCTGTCCATTGGTTAGTTAATTGGGTCGGTCTCACTCATGGTTTCTGGATAATAACTATAGTTTGGAATGAGGTATTGTAATCAATAAGTGTATAGCAACCTTTTGGTGTTATAATTGCTCTTTATAAATAAGCTACATATTGTTGATGTCAGGTGGATACATTATTCTTTGTTGAAATTATTTTCCTCTTGTAAAATTGTATATCATTCTCAGATCTGAAGATTAAAAAAAAGAAGAAATAATTGAAAATTAAGAATTACCTCATTGTGTAAATTATTGTTTTTATTTGTTAATCCATTTGTCTTTCCTACTAGTCCTTGTAATATTTGGAATTGATTGATTAAAATTGTAACAATATATCATTCCTAAATTTTTAGTTAGATTTTGGTTTGTGGTTAAAAGGTCATCTGTTATCATACATATTTCGTCTGGGAGATTTTTAAATAAGATCTTTTGATATTTTTTATGGATTTTTAAGATAAGGTTAAGTGAATTTCAAATTGAAAATAATATATAACATGAACTAGATTATTGACATCAGAGTTGTACATATTTTTATCTCGCATATTTTAAATAACGCTAAATGTGGCATTGCATAATTGAGACCCATTAGTGTGCTTTGTCTTAACCTTATAGCTTATAAGTAAAAATCTCAATCTAAAGCTAAATTTTGTATTATTTGGCATGGCCATTTTGTTATATCTCTTGGCTTAATTGCTTTATTCTTTTGTTTTTATTTGATTTTGCTGGTTAAGCCAAATTACTCCTATAATATTTCAAGGTATGTTTTTTTTCCTACATGTATCTATAGGAAATATAGACTTAAGTTGTGAGTGTATTGTTGTACGAATAATGAATGGTGCAAGGTTAGATTAGCAGTGTAAGCTTTGTTTGCTATTACTTGTTACATAATATTACATTTTAATGTCCTTATTTTGCTCAAGTGTATTCTTTAATGGGGAAAATCTATCTGTCAGGATGACACTATCCTTTGCCTTGTAAAGGGGAAATAAAACTCAAATGAACTGACAGAACCAAATTTTTGTTAAACTAAGTTTTTATTCACACTTAACTAAGTTAAAGCTAATCCAGTTTACAATGTGTATTTTAATAGAAAATGTTGTTTTTTTTTTACCCAAAAATATGATTATCAAAATTAACTAGTTGCATAAAAGATTTAAACTTAAAACCAATTGAAGGTTGTTAAAAATGTAACATCTGAAAATATGAAGAAAAAAAACCCCTAATGATTCAGTGCTATTTATCTGATATATCTTAATACAATTGTAGTAGCAAGCCCTGTTTTAATCTATATTAACAAAAATAAAGATCTAATATTTCAAGATGACTGCCAATGAGAACAAAGAAAAGATATTAATTAATCTTAATTACCGCTGTAAAAAAATGTTAAAATTACATGCAAATTTATCAAAAATGTTTCAGTGAATTAAGATAATCTCTGAGGTTCATTTATATGCCAAACTGCCTAAAATAAATAAATAAATAAATAAATTTATTAATTAACCTTAGGGAGCTTTTGGAGATGTTACTTCTTCAAAAATTAGCAGCAGAATGACAAAACTTTCTGAGATGCTTGTATAAATGGACTTCTGAATCCCAGAGGGAGCTATTGAGCATCTACCTACAGGTGGCACTATATGTAACAACTTATCTGATTGGTCAAATTGCAGTCAAAAGTCCTTGAGATGTTTGATTAAATTTACTTCTGATACCCATGTATGTATGTATGTATGTAGTTTATTTTTAATGAGGGTCCATCCACCGGTAAGGCACAAAAAGCAGTTTTTGCTGTTGGAGTAATAATTACACCCCGGACATGTCATCAGTCATGCCCTCAAAGGGTTAATTTTGAAGCACAAAGTGGTAATGATTTATATCCATGCAATTTCCACAGAGTATTAAGCCAAAGATATGAATTTTGAGCCAAAAGTAATTTACTGTACGGCGGTCAATGAGAACCTTAATGTACAGCAACCTGTGACATTATGAAAAGGGGGTAGCCCTGAAAATGGCTGTTGGTGCCAAGCAAACAGCTAGCAGTACAAGTGGTCTATGATTATCTGTGCTACCTGGGGCTCACGTACCCAATGTCAAGTTAATTTTAAAAATATTATGCAATGGTACATAATAATTATGTCAAATATTTTAAGTGAAATTGCAACCGCTGGTTAATATACTATAAAAAGAAACTCCTGTACTAAACTTAAACTTCATGACTTATTTTACATATTTTAAGTATTTGTGCTTCCATGTCTACATGCATAGCACTTCCTGTGTTTACAAACTTTTCTTTGCTCAACTGGTTTTAAAGTTTTGTTATGTTTCTGTTGTCCATTTTCTGGTGGTTTACATTCAATGTGACCTGGATTTAACAAAACATTTCTTTTGATTTGAATATCTGCTTGCTCTTCATCTATGTTAGGCATTTGAGAATGAAGTTTGACATCTGTAGTTGCTACCATAAAGATGTCCTATTTATTAAAATTAACTTTTTTGTTGTCAAATGTTTTAACAGCAAGGGAAGGAATTCTGCAAGGTTTCCCAAGTTTTTCAAAGATTTGCTGCATGATTTTCCTGTCATAGTTCTTAAAGTCGACAGTGCAGCCAACTCGTAGAAAGGCTTTTATCTGTGGTTGGTTGACATCAAATGATGACAAATAGTCAAAGTTAACAAGTACTATGTTCTTGGATCTGTCACTTTTGAAATTGTTCCAACCATATTTCCATTCGTTCTCGGTCCATGATCTCATTCCGTCTTCACTCTCTTGGATATAACTTTCAGACATTATTGTGAGGAAGTTGTGTGTTTTAGATAGAATGTCAATTATTTCTGAGTCTCTTTCAGACCCAAATGCAACATCTCGGTTTGGCTGAAAGACTGAGTAACCAGCATTTGTAAGTTCTGGCACAAGTATACTATTTACCCATCCGTCAACATCGTCATCTGCATCATTGAAGGAAAGGAAAACATCATATTCATTGAGAGGAACAACAATGTTTCTACTTTTCTGTCTCATACGAAGGCAAAGGATAAGTAATTCATAGCGGAAGGTGTACACAAGAATTCCTATTAAGACAAGGCTCAGAATTACTCCAGCAATAATAATCTCAAAATAAAACAGGAAACCTTCTGGCGAACATTCTAGATCTTCAGGATTGAAGTCAACAGCTCTCCTTATACCAATTTTAGGAATTTCACATTGAAAGAAATAATCTTGGAATTCATTACATGACCTCGAATGAACCCATTTTTCAATCCATTTTGACTGGCAGTCACAGCTTATTTGAAGGTTTTTCATATGACGAGAGCACACATTATGGTACTGGAACATTTGTGGAAGTTGCCTTAATCTTGGGTTGTTCGATATGTCAATATATGTGGCATTATCAAGATGATTTGCAATAGTGTTTATTTCTTTTAGATTGTTTCTAGAAATATCCAGTATAGATATTCTATGAAGGTATGACACATTTCCTATGGTTGATATTTGATTGTTTGATACATTTAATGCCACAAAGTAAGAAAATCGAGAGTAAGGTATTCCAGGTAACCACTTAAGGTCAGAGTTTGAACAGTCAATAAAAGATGTGTTCTTTTTAGGTTCATCAACACAAGTACATCTTGGGTCACAACCATCTTCAACTGGACAAACAAACTTTTCAGGTTCTTTTTTATAGATGTCCCAGACAAGATGGCCAGCAAGACTTGCTGGTTCACTGCATGTTAAATTCATGTAGCTTCGCCATAAAGCATTTATAATGTTATATGCCTTCTCCAGAAATTGTTGAACATTGCAGTCACAGACTAGGCTCATTCCTCGAAAATCGAATCCAAAATAAATCAAACGCCCAAGTTGTGTTATATCATCTAAACGAAAAAGGGTTTGAAAATCTGGCCAGGTACTTAATTTATTATTAGATACACCTACATATCCTGGTCCATATGATTTTTCTATGTCCATTGTAAAATCTCCCTCATTTACTAAATCTGTTATTTCATTTGAACTATAGTCTATATTACAGAATGGGTACAATGTGAACATGTTTGAAACATCTAGTTTTGACATTACATTTTTACTGAAGTCAACATGAAATAAGTATGACAATGACTGGGATATTAGAATATTTGGATCAATTTCTGTGATCTGGTTCCCAGACATTAATATTGATCTCAGATTCCGGAGATTTGTAAACGAAGTATTTGACACATGCTGCAATTGATTGTTTCTAAGATTCATCTCATCAAGGCGAACTAAACAATTGATGTTTGGAAGTCTCTTGATTTTGTTATTTTCAAATTTAATCTTCACAATTTTCCCCCAGAAGGGTTTTATATTTTGAAACTCATCTGGATACTTATCTTGTAGACTTGACTCAGTATCCCAGTTGCAAAGATTGCTTGGAATTTCTGTCATATCAGCATCCTGATGCTCAATTTTATAGACTTCAGTATCACTAGGAGCTTGATCAGACATGAGGCATATTCTATAAATAGCCCCACCTCATTTCCTTCCCATATTGCACATGAATGACATTTACAACATGTGTCATATTCTTCACTTTTTGTTGGAGTTGTTGTATTTCTACATTTTACACCCAGAATGCAATGCAGATCAGTTCTTGGCTTGTCTACCCAGGATGCATTCCATAAGTGTCCACCACAAGTTCCTGACACCATGGCTGGTAGACTGAACATCAGCAATGTGAATAAAGGCAGACTGAAATGCAGAAGAATTTTTAGATATACCATTTCTATACTGGGCACAAAAGAAATTATATAAGGGGCATAAGTAAGCTTGTCGGTCAGTCTGTCCATTGGTTAGTTGATCGGTCTCCCTCATGGTTTCTGGATAATAACTATAGTTTGGAATGAGGTATTGTAATCAAGATAATCGTATAGCAACCTTTTGTGAAGACCCCAGTTGGTATTGCTTTTGGACCCCCTAGGTGTATATAAGAGTAAGCTTGTTGGTCAGTTAGTAGGCCGGTCTCCTTCATGGTATCCAGACAATAACTTTAGTTTGGAATGAGATATTGTAATCACACTTGGTATGTAGCAACCTTATGTGAAGACTCTGTTTGGTATTGCTTTTGGACCCCCCTGGGGTCAATGTCAATATCATAAAGAATAGAAAAATGGTTTCCAGACAATAACTAAAGTTTGGATTGAGATATTGTAATCAAATTTAGTGTATAGCAAGCTGATATAAAGTCCATGGTTGGGATTGCTATTTATTGAACAATTCTTTGTATATGTTTGAAATTTATAAATCATAGGTCGAGTTCAAATGTTTCTTTTGATCACGTATTTTGCAAAAAGTCAAGGTTGCTTGTGGGGGTATTCACTGAAGTGAAGTACGGGGAAACTTTTTACAGCTGCCACACGGCACTTGACACCTGCTATTGTGAAGTTTACTATAGTGAATATCTTCAGCATTTTTTAATTCAAGATTTTTTTTCAGAGCTATGGTGCTTATGGCCTTTGTATGATTTTTATTTTTAAAGTTTGTCCAGACTTCTTCCCTGATAATACCAAGTAAGTAAGTTATACAACCCTCGTTTCCATTCTATCTATCTATACAAAGTAAACCTTAACTTGCAAGTTGGAAATAGTATAAGTTCTAGTTGTACCTCAAGTTCTACCACTACCAATTGCTTTATAATTTACACATATAAAGTGTATGTTTTTAACAAGTTACAAAATATGGCATATACCCTCCCAACCCTGCCCCACTCCCTGAGTTTGTCCCCTTTGATCACTTAGATAGAAATAGAAACTGGTATGGTTAACCTATTTTGGCAAGTTGTATATATTGTAAATTCAGCCAGTACCAATGGCTCAAGAATGGTTTCAAATTATAAGTCCAAAAAATTCATATCAAATTACAATGTACAATTGTTCTTCATAAAGCCTTGTTTTCATTTCTGAATTTAAAACAAGTCTTAAGTCAAATCACTATTGAACTCTGATTAGCATTTTTATTTCCGAGTCCAAGAAATTCCATATCAAATCATTATTGTACTAGAAGTAACATAGTTATGTCGAAATCTAAAAATTTGGAGGAATAAATAGTTATAAGGTCATTTTACATCATTGAATACAATACTGATTTTATCGGACTTGAACACAGCTGCAAAACCTATATTCAGGTAGCACCTTGTCCAGTAAGTTCAATTGAAAGAGGGTTGGACTGTAAATGGGGTGACCCGGTTTTGTTTCCTGGCTTGTGCAGTTGTATGGTTCTTAACAAACAATAAATTTGCTTCAATATAATGATGGTGTTATTGCTCTTTATAAATAAGCTACATATTATTCTTTATTGAAATTATTTTCCTTTAATAAAGTTGTATATCTTTCTTAGATGTGAAGATTAATAAAAAATAATTGAAAATTAAGAATTACCTCATTATGTAAATTATTATTTTTATTCAATAATCCATTTGTGTTTTCTAAGTCCTTGTAATATTTCGAATTGATTGATTAAAATTGTAACAATATATCATTTGTTAATTTTTAGTTAGATTTTGGTTTGTGGTTAAAAGGTCATTTGCTATCATACATATCTATCTGAGAGATTTTTAAATAAGATCTTGTGATATTTTAGATGGACTTTTAAGATATGAGGTTAAGGAAATTAGTTGAAAATAGTATATAACATGAACTAGTTGAATGACATCAGAGTAGTGTATGATTTGATCTGGCATATTTTACTTTAGTCTTGATCAATAGCCCTATATGTGGTGTTGCATTAGTGACACCCAGGTGTGCTTTGTCTTAACCTTATAGCTTTCAAGTAAAGATCTCAGTCAAAAGCTAAATTTTGTATTATTTGGGATGGCCATTTTGTTGTATCTCTTGGCTTAATTGCTTTATTCTTTTGTTTTTATTTGATAGATCATTGGGCTAATCTGTTGACCCTTTAAGGGGCTTTTCAATTGTTTAAATGTTGATTTTGCTGGTTTAGCCAAATTACTCCTATCATATTTCAAGGTATGTTTTTTTTCCTACATGTATCTATAGGAAATATAGACTTAAGTTGTGAGTGTATTGTTGTACGAATAATGAATGGTGCAAGGTTAGATTAGCAGTACTTTTATTGTGTTGTAAGCTTTGTAGTCTATTACTTATTTTGGGGCGTCTGTGGCCGAGTGGTGAAGGTCGTAGACTTCAAATCACTTGCCCCTCACCTCTGTGGGTTCAAATCCCGACAGGGACTTTGGATGCTTTCATGTGAGGAAGCTATCCAGCTAGCTTACGGAACGTCGGTGGTTCTACTCAGGTGCCCGTTCGTGCCTAAAATAATGCACGGAAGGGCACCTGAGGTCTTCCTCCACCAGTAAAGCTGGAACGTCGCGATATGACCTATACTGTGTCGATGTGACGTAAAACCCAAAAACAAACAAAACTTATTACATTTTAATGTTGTTATTTTGCTCAAGAGTACTCTTTAATGGGGAAAATCTATCTGTCCGGATGACACCAGCTTTTGCCTTGTAAAGGGAAATAAAACTCAAATGAACTGAATCAAAATTTTATTAAACTAAGTTTTTATTCACACTTAACTAAGTTAAAGCTAATCCAGTTTACAATGTGTATTTAAATAGAAATTTTTTTTTACCCAAAAATATGATTATCAAAATTAACTAGTTGAATAAAAGATCTAAACTTAAAACCAGTTGAAGGTTGTTAAAAATGTTACATCTGAAAATATGAAGAAAAAAAATAACTCTAATGAATCAGTGCTATTAATCTGATACATCTTAATACAATTGTAGTAGCAAGCCCTGTTTTAATCTATATTAACAAAAATAAAGATCTAATATTTCAAGATGACTGCCAATGAGATAAAAAAAAAAGATATTAATCTTAATTACCACTGTAAAAAATGCTTAAATTACTCACAAATTTATCAAAAATGTTTCAGTGAATTAAGATAATCTCTGAGGTATATTTACATGGCAAACTGCCTAAAATAAATAAATTTATTAATTAACCTTAGAGAGCTTTTGGATATGTTTAGACTTCTTCAAAAATTAGCAGCAGAATGTCAAAACTCCTTGAGATACCTAATTAAATGAACTTCTGATACCCATGTATGTATGTATGTTAGTCTATTTTAAATGAGGGTCCATCCACCCATAAGGCACAAAAAGCAGTTTTTGCTGTTGGAGTACACACCCCAGACATGTCATCAGTCAATTGCCCTCAAAGGGTTAATTTTGAAGCACAAAGTGGTAATGATTTATATCCATGCAATTTCCACAGAGTATTAAGCCAAAGATATGAATTTTGAGCCAAAAGTAATTACTTTACGGCGGTCAATGAGAACCTTAATGTACAGCAACCTGAGACAATTATGAAAAGGGGGTAGCCCTGAAAATGGCTGTTGGTGCCAAGCAAAGGGCCTGCAGTACAAGTGGTCTATGATTATCTGTGCTACCTGGGGCTCACGCACCCAATGTCAAGTTAATTTTAAAAATATTATGCAATGGTACATAATAATTATGTCAAATATTTTAAGTGAAATTGCAACCACAGGTTAATATACTATAAAAAGAAACTCCTGTACTAAACTTAAACTTTATGACTTATTTTACTTATTTTAAGTATTTGTGCTTCCATGTCTACATGCATAGCACTTCCTGTGTTTACAAACTTTTCTTTGCTCAACTGGTTTTAAAGTTTTTTTATGTTTCTGTTGTCCATTTTCTGGTGGTTTACATTCAATGTTGTGACCTGTATTTATCAAAACATTTCTTTTGAATTGAATATCTGCTTGCTCTTCATCTATGTTAGGCATATGAGAATGAAGTTTTACATCTGTAGTTGCAACCATAAAGATGTCATATTTGTTAAAATTAACTTTTTTGTTGTCAAATGTTTTAACAGCAAGGGAAGGAATTCTGCAAGGTTTCCCAAGCTTTTCAAAGATTTGCTGCATGATTTTCCTGTCATAGTTCTTAAAGTCAACAGTGCAGCCAACTCGTAGAAAGGCTTTTATCTGTGGTTTGTTGACATCAAATGATGACAAATAGTCAAAGTTAACGAGTACTATGTTCTTGGATCTGTCTGTTTTGAAATTGTTCCATCCATATTTCCATTCGTTCTCGGTCCATGATCTCATTCCTTCTTCACTCTCTTGGAGATAACTTTCAGACATTATTGCAAGGAAATTGCGTGTTTTAGAGAGAATGTCAATTATTTCTGAGTCTCTTTCAGCCCCAAATGCAACATCCCGGTTTGGCTGAAAGACTGAGTAACTAGCATTTGTAAGTTCTGGTTCAAGTTTACTATTTACCCATCTGTCAACATCGTCATCTGCATCATTGAAGGAAAGGAAAACATCATATTCATAGAGAGGGACAACAATGTTTCTACTTTTCTGTCTCAAACGAAGGCAAAGAATAAGTAATTCATAGCGGAAGGTATACACAAGAATTCCTATTAAGACAAGGCTCAGAATAACCCCAGCTATTATTGTCTCAAGAAAAAATAGGAAACCTTCAGGCGAACATTCTAGATCTTCAGGATTGAAGTCAAGAGCTCTCCTTATACCTATATTAGGAATTTCACATTGAAACAAATTATTTTGGAATTCATTACATGACCTCGAATGAACCCATTTTTCAATCCATTTTGACTGGCAGTCACAGCTTATTTGAAGGTTTTTCATGTGACGGGAGCACACATTATGGTACTGGAACATTTGTGCAAGTTGCTTTAGTCTTGGATTGTTGGAGATGTCAATATATGTGGCATTTTCAAGACGATTTGCTATAGTTTTGTTTATTTCTTTTAGATTGTTACCAGAGATATCCAGTATAGATATTCTATGAAGGTATGACACATTTTCTATGGTTGATATTTGATTGTTTGATACATTTAATGCCACAAAGTAAGAAAATCGAGAGTAAGGTATTTCAGGTAACCGCTGTAGATCGGAGTTTGAACAGTCAATAAAAGATGTGTTCTTTTTCGGTTCATCAACACAAGTACATCTTGGGTCACAACCATCTTCAACTGGACAAACAAAGCTTTCAGGTTCTTTTTCATAGATATCCCAGACGAGATGGCCGGCAACACTTTCAGGTTCACTGCATGTTAAATTCATGTAGCCTCTCCATAAAACATTTATAATGTTATATGCTTTCTCCAGAAATTGTTGAATATTGCAGTCACAGACAAGGCTCATTCCTCGAAAATCAAATCCAAAATTAATCAAACGCCCAAGTTCTGTTATATCATTCAGGCCAAAAATGATTTCAAAGTCTGGCCAGGTGCTAAGTTTATTATCCGCTACACCTACATATCCTGGTCCATATGTTTTGTTCATGTCCATTGTAAAATCTGCTTCATTTACTAAATCTGTAATTTCATTTGAACTATAGTCTATCTTACAGAATGGGTACAAGGTGAACATGTTGGAAGCATCTAGTTTTGACATTTCATTTTTACTGAAGTCAACATAAAAAAGATAGTGCAGGGACTTGGATGTTAGAATATTTGGATCAATTTCTTTGATCTGGTTTCCAGACATTGATATTGATCTCAGATTCCGTAGATTTGTAAAGGAAGTATTTGACACATGCTGCAATTGATTGTTTCTAAGATTCATCTCATCAAGGCGAACTAAACAATTAATGTTTGGAAGTTTCTTGATTTTGTTATTTTCAAAGTTAATCTTCACAATTTTCCCCCAGAAGGGTTTTATATTTTCAAACTCATCTGGATACTTATCTTGTAGACTTGATTCAGAATCCCAGTTGCAAAGATTGCTTGGAATTTCTGTCATATCAGCATTCCGATGCTCAATTTTATAGACTTCAGTATCACTAGGAGCTTGATCAGACAGGACCAAGCTTCCACCTAACACAGAGGCATATTCTATAAATAGCTCTAACTCACTTCCTTCCCATACTGCACATGAATGACATTTACAACATGTGTCATATTCTTCACTTTTTGTTGGAGTTGTTGTATTTCTGCAATAAACACCCAGAATGCAATGCAGATCACTTCTTGGCTTATCCACCCAGGATGCTTTCCACAAATGTCCACCACAAGTTCCTGACACCATGGCTGGTAAACAGAACATCAGCAAGCTGAATAAAGGCAGACTGAAATGAAAAAAAGAAGAAAAAAAGTCATCATTGTAGTTATATGACCCTAACCCTTTGATAATCAGATATATGCAGGCCTTATGACATAGAAGAATCTGTGATCTGCTTTAACCTATAAAATTTAACTTAATGTTTCATGTATAGATCCAACCTATCTGCATGACTTTGCGATCAGACCATTTTTGAATTATCCCCCTTTGTTTATTTTACACTTTGAACTTTTTCTGGGACATAACTCTAAAAACTATAAGAGGTATCAACATGAAACTTTGTAGGTAGATAGATCTCATTGAGTAGGTGTGCAGTGCACAAGAACCATAACTCTGCCTTGCCTAATTTTTTAATTATCCCCCTTTGTTTATTTTCACACTTTGAACTTTGTCCAGGACATAACTCTAAAACTATAAGAGGTATCAACATGAAACTTTGTAGGTAGATAGATCTCATTAAGTAGGTTTGCAGTGCACAAGAACTGTAACACTGTATTGCCTAATTTTTTAATTATCCCCCTTTGTTCATTTTGACACTTTGAACTTTATAGATAGATAGATCTCATTGAATAGAAGTGCAGTGCAAAAAAAGCATAACTCCGCCTTGCCTAATTTTGGAGTTTTTGCCCTTTGTTCATTTTTTTTATACTTTCCTGTGTCCAGAACCTTCTCGGGGAGCATCACCCGGTTCAACCGGTTCTTGTTTAAAAATAGTACATTGATTGTTGAGTCAAGTTAACAGTTCTGTCATTTTTGGATGTTTTTTTGAAAATAGTACAATGATTGTTGAGTCAAGTTAACAGTTCTGTCATTTCTGGATGTTTTTTGAAAATAGTACATTGATTGTTGAGTCAAGTTAACAGTTCTGTCATTTCTGGATGTTTTTTGAAAATAGTACATTGATTGTAAATGAGTCAAGTTAACAGTATTATTTTCAAAAAACATCCAGAAATGACAGAACTGTTAACTTGCTCAAACTAGGTTGGTAGCTCAATAGTGTAAAGGTGGCATGTGAAGAAAATAAATTGTTCATTAAAGTGCATTGATGTTCATGTAACAATACTATAATATTATATCATTCAGTGATTTTAAATCAAATTTGCAGAAAAATGTGATGCATTTAAGTAATGTGTTGCTCACTGTAATTAAGACTCCAGTTCAAAGGTCAAGGTGCAAAATATTTCAAAGGACTTGTCAATCTTTCAGTCTGGACAAAACCGTTTATCATTTTTAGGGAAATTTAAGGAAATATTTTTAGGAAATATGCATACATGCCATATCCCCCACCGGGGGACAAAAACCTTGGATTTTCTACCATGTCTCCCTATCTCCCGTACTGACTGAATTGTAAACAATGGAGACCATGATCAGATGGCTAAAAAATGCCAGCTGATATTGGTCTGCACTGGTTGCACAGGCAGCAAGAAATCTAAAATATGCATTAGTATTACGATTGAATCAGTGCCAACAGAAAAAAAAACTGGCACTTGTTAATATGACGTTTATACATTAATCAGATATCTAGGTATGTATCTTGAACAATTTATATCTTAACTTTGCTCTTAACTTTAAATGTTGATAACTTTGCTTTAAAGGTTATAGCTTTGTTTAAAAATTTTGAATATAATTATTTTGTGCAGACACAGCAATTTGTTAAAAAAAAAAGAAGACAATAGTATTTTTGTATTGTTAACCATACTCATTTTACCTATTATGATACATATTTTACGCCCATTCTCAATAAAATAAAGCATTTGAGGTTGAAAAATATTAAAAATTTGATGTTGTCATTGTGTCATTTTTTATCGATGAAGTAAAAGTTTAGGGTATTTTGCAAGTTTGCCAGAAATATTTTGAACAAGAAACTATGATATAACAGGATGACATTTATTTCGGTAAGGACACTGTATTTCTTCGGTAACGTAGATTTCAGATCTAATAATGTAACATATTGGCTGCATATTAACAACAAATGTCTTTAAAATATATCAAAATCTGTAAATTCTCTATCTAGAGGGACTTTCTAACCCAGGAAAATTCAATGAAGTTGGGTACCTTGCTAATTTTCAGTTAATTTCTTCAAAGTTAAATATTCGTAGAAAGCAAAAATAGTCAATTTTGGAAATGATTATTTTATGTCTTCATTCAAAGGATATATATCATATATAATTTATGAGAGGTCGAATGCATACACAAATGTTGTATTAGCATTTTTTTTCTTCAAAACATTCAACTTTTCACTTTCTTAATATTTGGAAAATTTATTGCTAAGCAGTTATATATTTATCCCCATATAGGATGTCACGTATGTTTCATTTTATTCAAATGCAAGTAAAGGTTGAGAAAACAATTTTATTTTTTGTAAAATAATGTATATTTATGGATATTATTTTAACATTATTATATATAGAATGAAATACGGTCAGTAAGCTCTTTGCAGAAACGAATTAGTTGTTGCTGAGAACATCAATATCTGGTAAAATATTTTTAACATTTCTGCTGGTACATCAACATACATATGTATTATTAACATATCTTTCCCTTGTAAAATAATTTTGTATCTTCTTACATCTAATACAAGGTAACCGTTACTAACAGGCATGATAATCCCAACTTTATCTTAATTTTTCAAAAATTGTTGAATTGTAAGTTGGAGTAACGTATGTTTCACACTCGCTTATTTATGAACTTAATCACGGAATTGAAACTTACATGTAAAATCGACTTTTTTATTTAGGAATCAAATGTACATCATTCTATTGTCATAAAAATGCGATTTTATGTTTTTATATATGCATGTGTAAACAATATAAAGTCTGTTTGATAAAAGTAACGTTTGTTTCACTGTGGTTACTTAAACAAGTTAAAACTCGACCAAAGTTATCAAAATTAACTTACTAATGTCAAATAGAAGTTAATGTTGCTGTTATACGTGCTTTCTGACTTCAATTTCCCTTTTGATAAACTAACTTTAAAAAGTTGATAACGTATGTTTCTGTAACGTATGTTTCATTTTACATTGAAAGTGGGTTAAAATGACGCAAGACCGTTTAACCCGCCATAATTTGTGGTTAATATATCAGAGTTACACACATGTTAATTTTTCTTTCTTGTTTGGATTCTTCTTTGAATGGATTGGCTCTTAAATAATGGTAACGTATGTTTCTTTTTAAAATGCTGTTGAAAAGATTTGAATAAAAAATGAAAAATTCCGAAAATATAATGATTTTTGAGAGGCTGCAAGCTTATTTTTACTTATAATTATATATATGCTGTATTATTAAGCATGCATCGATTCAATTATGTAATTTCGGTTCCACTTATTATTGTTTTAGGTTTGTCAATATTTATTTATATGCATTTGGCGACATTTGATCACTCATTATATCAATGAGATTTTAAGAGTCAAATGTAATTTTTACCAATAATCAAAGTTCATATACACACAGCAATGACTAATTGCACATGTTTCGTTTATTCTGGAACTTATTTTTCTGAGACACAATTTCAAAGTTGAAAATTCTAGGTGGCGACAGTAACGTATGTTACATTTTAGGGCATTAATGGTACTTGTAAAAGAAAAATAACAGATAGAAAGGTAAAACTGAGAGTGACCCTATTAGACAAAGTGGCAGCCACCTTTCTAACGACATTTTGACCTCAAGAAAAACCTTCGTATAAGAGCTACCCAGTGGAACATCAAATGCTGTGTCTTATTGAGAATGAGCGTTTAAGGTTATAAGAAATAAAATTATCTCATTTTGTTGTAAGTTAATAAATCCAACTTTAAAATGGTGATATCTTTGCTTTAAACTTTAAAAAATTTATAGCTTTGTTTTAAAATTTGAATATAATTATTTTGTGCAGACACAGCAATGTGTTGAAAAAAAAGAAGAAGATAATAGTATAGTAATATCATATGGTATTGTAATGTATTGTTCAACTTACTCATTAATTTTTACAGTTATGATACATAAGGTTATAAGAAAACAAATTACCTCATTTTGTTGTTAGTAAATAAATCCGGCTTTGTTTATTATATTTGTGCAATCTTTTTGAAATGTCACCGCCAAGTCTGTAACTGATACTTGTGGTTTATGCACTCTCCTGTATTTTTAGATTTTTCTTTTAATGTAGTGACATCTTGGGGCAGATAAATCACAGTTTGAAAGTTACATAAAATATATTTTATTGCTCTCTTATTGGCCAATAAAATTCAAAAATATTAGTACTAAATACAGAGCAATAAATTCTATATTTACATAAATTCAGAAGTAGAAAAATTGGGAGAAGGGGAATTCCCGTGAGTGCATTGAAAACCCTCCGCCCCACACCACAAAAAAAAAAAAAAAAAAAAAAAAAAAATGAGTAAAAATAGAAAAAAATAAAATAAATAAAAAAAAACAGCAGCAGAAACAAAAAACTCAAAACACACAATGAAAACAACAACATAAAACAACAAAACTGTGATGCCTAATAAGGTCTTAACTAAGCATTGAAATTCATATAATTCATATATAATTAATGTGTTCATAATCGATAAACATTGTTTTAACTACCTACCCTATAACTCAGGCATGGGTCATGGGTGGAGATATTTTTCAGACTGGTCTTGTTTACAATTGCTGACTCAGTTTAAATGGAGTCTATTCACGAGAAACAATGTAATGTGCAACGTCTTTCGGTTGCTTTTGATTTGCCTGTATTGGCTAGTCTTTGTTATCATTTGTAACAGACAAGAATGTACACAATAATTATGAGAAAAAAGATATACACTTAGTAAAGGTTGACCATTAAAGGGACTCCACTGAGGTTTTTTGACATGATGGGACTGAAAATATTTTTCCCAGATAAATGTACAATTTGATGTAGGTTTAGACCACTAATCTATGTGCAAAATTTCAGATCATTCGCGCACTTCGTTTTTCCGGAATAATTATTCAAACTGTAAAAAAAACACCCAAAATGAAAAGCGTTTAAACGCTTTTCACTCAAATCGGGCTAAGGAGAGCATATTCGTTAGACTTTCAATTTATTTCAAAACATATTTCTTTACTATCTTTGCATATATTTCTTTTAATAGTGCCCCGGCTCATTTATGTAAGAAATGCAAATGTTATGTTTTTAGGCTTTCAAACCTCAGTGGAGTCCCTTTAAAATGAATGCTGCAGAATTTACCTTATACCTGCCTAATATATGTCTATTCAAATCTACTATCATTTTCCCGCCTAAAATTTTAATGCTTATTGATCTACCTGTTTTACTAATGCATGTGTCACATGCATAAATCTGACACAAGACAGAAAAAAAAGCTGTATTACCCTAGAGTGTGTTCTGGAATGACGTTGCTGGCATAAAGCCAATTATGGTATGGTTCGTTGCTGGCATTATGCCAATTATGGTAAAGTTGAATATATAGGTTTAATTCGGCAAGTTACATAATTAAAGGGTTATGACAGTAAGTAAGTGTATTTGTCTCTTGAACAGATCACACTTGGCACTTCTGTGGGTCAGGAGATTTTTTCCTTAGTAAAATCCACTCTAGTCAAGTACATGATCTAGGTCGAAAAAAACGTATATGTTCTAGTAGAAAATCCATTTAACTTAACTCTAACAATTATACCCAGTATTTTAAAGTCTTTTGAAAGTTGTTCAAAGTATATGGTGTTAATATTGATACCTTTGCTTTGTCTTAAAATTGGACTTGGTTTTGTCTTAAAACTGGACCATCAATTGAACCTGTAAGTTTCAAAGCATTGATTGACATGGTTATGAAAGCGTGACATTAATCTAGCATTAATCTGTACAGAACCTGCCTTTTTCTTGCTTAATATAATTATATTTTTTGTTTGGGTTTGAGTAGTACTTAGGTCATATCTTTTGGTAGTTTATTTCTAGATCAAAATCTAATTAAAATCTAATTAATGATAATTTAATTGTAAATATTTTGATAGCATCATGCTGACTGGTCTTATTAACCTTGAAGATTACTAGGTCGTAGATAACAGATCTATTTTAAATAGGGGGAATATATATCAGATGATCTCAGTGAGATTGATTGGTTTTATTGAATATATTCTTTCTTACTTCCTGATTTGTCATGCAATGAAAAGACAGGGATTTTTTCAGGGGGTTTATTTTTTGGAGAGTGCTGTACTTGAAAATTGTTCAATAAAATACTTGCAAAATTGAAATATTATTTATCTATATGCTAAAGTAAATATTAATTTGAATAAGGGAGTAGCAGCGTTATAAAAGCCAAGCGTTTTTTTGTTAGTTTTTTTTTTTTGAGAACAAAGTTTGTACATCTGATTGATAAGTGAAAATTGTTAATTTTATTTAATTTTTCTTATATTAAAGTTATATACAAATCACTTTTATTTCCAGCAGGTCAAAATTTTGTTGTGCATACACTAGATTAAAGTAGTTTTGTAACTTATAAACATTATATTGCCCTGTTTTATAGATATATGTGGTCCATGATAAATCCACATTGTAATGACTTGTTATATAAAAAAGAAAGCAAACAAACAAACAAAAAAACACAAAGAAGTTTGTCCCAAGCCTGGTTAAATATTTAACAAACAAAAAAAAAAGAATAAAAGATGAGCAAAATAATTACGCGTTTGTTTCTGTTTCCTTTAATTTCAGGTGTACCAAAGGCAACAAATCTGAACCAGCATATAGATCTGCTGTTTGAACTCAGCAAGTATGTACAGCAGCTACTTCAGGCAGGAGGCTGTGTCCAGTTGGTCAAACCGGACCATCAGTCACAGGTAAGAATAATTTACTTACCCTATTCCTGCTAAAATTTGTACAAATTTTCATATTCTTGGAAAAAATTCTTAAAAAATGATATGAATATATTTATATATATGTGTATTAAAAAAATGTGCAAAAAATTGACTTCATGTACAATAAAGTATTGAATTTTTTATTAGAATTACAAATTCATGTAATTATATTTATAGAATATTGATACACTGATGAGCTAAATGTTAGTTATTTTAATTAATAATTGCTTTTTGAAGTAACTTTAATTTCATATCTTTTACAATATTTATATCCAGTTTCTGTAACTTTTCTGCGTGATTTTTACACCTATATTTGCTTAAACATGTATATATATGTATGTTACTTGCAAATCTTAAACTGTTAGCAATACAAAGTCAATGATTAGAAAGTATACCATAGTATTCCTTCATTTATTGTTTGGTTGGGTTTTACGTCGCAACAACACAGTATAGGTCATATGGCAAGTTTAATCCAGCCTAAATGTGGGGAGGCAGAAGGGGCACCTTAGTAGGGCCACTGATATTCTGTAAGCTAGCTGGATAGATTTCTCACATGAAAGAACTTGAAAAAAGTACCGTAGGGGCTTGAACCTACAGCATTGAGAAGCAAGTAGTGTAAAATCAACAATCTTGACCACTTGCCGTAATACATAGTTTTTAGCCGGGCTGTTGAAATTAAAGGTTTAAAAAAAATCAGTTTAGTTTGCTTAGGCTAATTTACATGAAGAAAAAAAAAGTCCCTATTAGCATAACATCTAGAAAACTTAATTAACGTTATGTTAACAAAATTTAGATGAAAAAAAAACCAGACTTTTTATCAGTATGCACAATCATGTACTTCATGTGTATATAAATTCAATTCTGTTCAAAGTTGATGTGGATTTGTAATGAGGGAAATAATATTGACACAAGAATTTTTTTCAAGAGATGCAGTTTTCAAATTTGTATAAATGTTAATGATAACAATAAAAATACAGGAATGCCAAAGGAGACAGTGTTAATCATAATTCCATGAGATCTTTAATTTATATGTCATAATCAGCATTTCCAAATAAATCAGAGTTAATAGTTGAGTTAAAGTCGTTCCTGGTTTAACTGTTGTCAATGAATTTGTTCATTAATTTACATGCTGTTAGTACTCTTGAATCCTCAAATTCCATTTGAGCTGCGTCACGACAAAACCAACAGAGCGCGTTTGCGACCAGCATGGATCCAGACCAGCCTGCACATCTGCGCAGTCTGATCAGGATCCATGCCGTTCGCTATCAGTTCCTCTACTTGTAAAAGGGTTGGAAAGCGAACAGCATGAATTCTTTATGTGTTGGGTCATCATTTATCCCTGCGTGATTGTAAGCAGCGGCAAAATGGGTGGGAATAAATTGAGTCTATACATCTCTCAGCTCCAGCAGATGAGGTGGTTTTGACCTCTGTTGTTGCTTTAAATTGGTAACACCCGATGTTAGCCAAAATCATCTTTCCTTTTTTTGTCGCCATAATGACTTAAATTGTGTTTATACGATTTGGAAAACCAAACAAAACAAAAAATATGAGATAATTTCATTTTCACTTGTTTTCTTAGGTACAAAATAGAAGTTAAAAAGAAACTTCAATTCAGTGATTATTTTATAATACAGCAGGGGATATAAATCTAATAATTTGCTTGCTACTATATGTATGTACTTTAGGTAGTTTAGATTTATTGATGGTTGAATTACACAGGAATAATATCAAGGTAGACAGTCTTAGATTTTTCAAATTGACACTTATAAGGAAGTCATTGAAAATTTATCCACCATAAATAAATCGTTTTAAAAGTAAGCATAATCTTTGTCAGATATAAATTGACTAAAGCTAGCTTAAGTCCTTGCAGGCCTTTATCTGTAAATCTGTTTAACTTAAATTTATGCTTTGTTTCCCAGGTCAATAATGATCAAACTTTAAAAAAACACATCCGACGGCCCCTCCCCATAAACAAATAATAATAAATAAATTTTTAAAAAAATGAGAGAAAAAAATGCACACACAAACACAAATATTCTTAAAAACACATTTCATCCTTACAATTTTGTCTTTTCCCAGTTCAATTATTTCTCTAAAAGTAAATTTGAAATTTACACAAAAAAAATGAATATTAAAGGTAGGACTTCTCCCCATTTCATACCCATTGATTTAGATTTAAAAAGATATTCGAAATAAATTTTGTGTATAAAAAAATGTGTGTTTTTATGACGTAAGACACGATTTCTGTGCCAATAAAAAAAGGTGCAAATAAAAAAGAAAGTTCATTTTAAACATTTTGATTGTTTTGCTTTGTCAGCAAGCTTTCTTTGTTATCTGTAAACTTAACGTTCCACTCAAGTGGCCTGTCATTTAAGACTGTTTACTTATTGAATTGTCAGGTCTGTGATACGATTGGTTTTATGAAAAAAGTAGGCTACTTTTTTAAAGTAGTCCAACTTTAGTCAAGTGTCTGATTTTTATCTGGCAATTTATCAATCAAAGTGCAGCAAGTTTAATAAAGATCTTTAGTGTTCAATGCCCTATCCTGTTGAATATATGTTACATTTAAATTGGCATGTTTACAGACTTTACTGTTATAGTTTCACAGTGCACTATCATTCACAATAGGTTAATTAGACTGTTGCTTGTACTTTTGAAGTAATTAGACCTACTCGGGAATGAAGAATGTTTTGGGTTTTTCCCAGCTAATCCAGGGGGTATACAAACAAACTTTGGCAGTTGACTTGTGTCGAACTTAAATTCTCTCTCTGTTTCATCAGAAGGACTGTCAGTAAATTAGTTGACTCAATAAAGACAGTTTTTACTTACTTGTTCAATTATGACCTATTCCTCAATAGACTTACTCCAGAATTCAGGAATTGAGAATACTTTTAGTTCTTCCCGCTGCCTGGAGGTACAAACAAACTGTACAGGCGACTTTTTACTGCCTCCACATGGCACAAATAACACTTATGTGACAATAAAATAGAGAAAAAAAGAATCCCTAAAGAAAGCCCAAAATGACAAAAATAAAAATGTTGCAGGCTCAGTTTGATTGAACCTGTTTATGGACAGTACTGGAAATTGGAAGTAACTGTCCACACACCCTACCAATGGCAAGTCTTGATTAAAATTTCAATTCTGTTCTATATTCTTTGTGAACACTAGTTGAATTTTTTTCTCAAAACCAATGCATTTCAGGTACAAGTTTTGGTATTTTATGCAAGTTTTTCATGCTAATATTTATATCTGTTTTTTCAGATTGAGGAAGAGTGGAACAAGCTAAGTAGTGTTATCTCAACAATCAATAAAAAGGTAAGTGTCTGGACAAATTTATTTTAGAATTAATTCAAAATTGTATGTAGATGTTATGCTCAGCTGACATTGTGACAGACGTTGATTTTTATACCCCCCTTTTGAGGAGGGGGCCAATTTTAGATTTGAATGTCTGTCCCACTTTCATGTTGTCCGCCCATAGACTGTCAAAACAGTGGAATATGCCCAGGGCACAGGACAAATTTCTAGTTATCCCCCACCGATGGAATCAGGAGGGGGATATTGTTTTGGCTTTGTCTGTCCTTCCGTCCGTCCGAGACTAAAATGGACTAAAGGGCCATCTAACTGTAAACAGAACAAAAGAGAACAATAGAGTTCATTCCGTAACAATAGAATAAGGGGCCATGGCCCTCTATTAAATGCATTAAACATTGTGTAGTGAACCTCTAGCAAGATTGTACAAATTATAGCCTGGGGGACAAAATTGGCCCCACCCCCAGGGGTCATTGATTTTCACTATGTACATATAGTAAAAAAATAAAAAAATATTTTTGTCTGAAGGTACAAGGCATAGAGCTTTGATGTTTGCTATATAATATCATCTATAGGTCCTCTACCAAAGTTGTTCAAATTTTTCCCCTGGTGTCAAAATTGGCCCTGCCCAGGGCAGTGATTCTCATTATGTACACATAGTAAAAAACAGAAAATAAAACAAATGTTTTCTGAAATGGAGAAAGCTACAGCTTAGATATTTGATTTGAAATGTTGTTTGGTGGACCTGCATCAAGATTATTTTGAATTAAACCCTTGGGTCAAAATTTTGCCTTGCCAAAGGGGACAGTGACCTACTTTCTTGTCCATTGATGTTAGGCAATGAAATTTTGACAATGTGCACAGTTGAACTTTGATATCAGGTGACCTAGATTTTGATGATGTGACCTACATTTTTGTCCTTTAATAATTGCAGCTATGAACTTTGAACCATGTGCACTTTTTTAAGATGTGAAGTGAACTTTGATATCAGCTGGCCTAAAATTTGACAAAGTGTCTTACTGTGTTGTCCTTTGATGTACAGTCATGGAATTTTGGCCATGTGAAATATGACTTTCACCACCAAATTCACTTAAGACTCAACTGCATTGATAGATTCCCACTTTGATCTTTTATTTGAATAACATTAGATTTAACCACTAATCTAAAAAAAAATCTGTTCCTACATTACTATTTAGTGCTGTATTAATGCGGTGGCATAGCATTTTCACGAAAGCAATCTTGTTTCATTTTTTGCTCGACTATTCGAAGAATATGAGAGCTATTGTAGTCGCCCCGGCATCGGCGTCGGCGTCAGCGTCAGCGTCCGCGTCGGCGTCTGCGTTGGTTAAAGTTTTTTGTAAAGTCAAATATCTCAATTATTACTTGAGATATTCAATTGAAACTTACAATACTTATTTATAGTAACAAGGTACATCAGATTGACAAGTTGGATAACTCTGCCTACAATATTGACAGAATTATGCCCCTTTTTAACTTAGAAATTTTGGTTAAAGTTTTTTGTAAAGTCAAATATCTCAATTATTACTTGAGATATTCAATTGAAACTTACAATACTTATTTATAGTAACAAGGTACATCAGATTGACAAGTTGGATAACTCTGCCTACAATATTGACAGAATTATGCCCCTTTTTAACTTAGAAATTTTGGTTAAAGTTTTTTGTAAAGTCAAATATCTCAATTATTGCTTGATATATTCAATTGAAACTTACAATACCTATTTATAGTAACAAGGTACATCAGATTGACAAGTTGGATAACTCTGCCTACAATATTGACAGAATTATGCCCTTTTTAACTTAGAAATTTTGGTTTAAGTTTTTTGTAAATTCAAATATCTCAATTATTGCTCGAGATATTCAATTGAAACTTACAATACTTATTTATAGTAACAAGGTACATCAGATTGACAAGTTGGATAACTCTGCCTACAATATTGACAGAATTATGCCCCTTGGAACTTAGAAATTTTGGTTAAAGTGTTTTTGTTAAGTCAAATATCTGAATTATTGCTTGAGATATTCAATTGAAATTTAAAATACTTTTTTATAGTAACAATGTACATCAGTTTGCAAAATTGCATAACTCTGCCTGCAATATTTGCAGAATTATTTGCCCCTTTGAAACTTAGAAATTTTGGTTAAAGGTCTTCAAAGATATTTACTTGAAACTTTACACATGCACTTAGGGTCATAATTGGAGGCTGATTCATATCCCCTTTTCTACTTAGTCTCTTGGTTAATGTTTACATGCAAGTTTTACATATCTCAATAACTATTAAAGATATTTATTTAAAACTTCACATATGCATTTAGGGTCATAATTGTAGGTCACTGACAAAGATCCATAATTCTATCTTGCATTTAGGCTGATTTTTCTCCCCTTATTCAACTTAGAAATTCATGGTAAAGTTTTGCTTGTAAGCAGCGTTATCTCAATAACTACTGAAGGGTTTTGTGCCTTTTTTGGGACAATTTTATGCATTCAAAAAATAAAGCAGTGTTTTTACTTGAAAAATTTAAAAAAACCCCTTGCCCAAATTTATGTATTCATGGAAATTTAGTTTTAAAACTCAAAAAAACACCCTTGTGAAACCCCCGAATAGTCTTTTCAATAGGGTAAAAAAAAGGCCTAAAAAATAAATTTTATAAAAAAAATTACCCCTTTTTTGTGTATGGGGGGGGATCGTTCCCAAAAATTAGACTAAAATTTTTCTTTTAAAAATAAAAATCGAACATTTTTTTAATTTTTATTGTTCAAAAAAAAAACCTCTTTATCCAAATTTTTTAATTAAAAGGCCCCGTTTTTAAAATAAAAGTTTACATTAAATTTAAAAACTGCCTAACAGGGAACAACAAACATTTACAAGTTTTTACTCCCTTTTGCATAAAATACAAAGCTTTTTTACAAAATTTGAGAAATATATCTGTACCTGAAAAACACAAATGAAATTAAAAATTCGAATGCAGAAAATATAATTTAATAAAACGTGTCTCCAGTCGTAGAACTACAACAGTACGTTTACACAATTACATGTTTAAAATGACAAAAGTAGATTCACAAAGTTAAACGATTTTAAGTCATGCATGACGCCCCGCCCCTCTCTGAGTATTTACGATCTTCTATCACGGAAATGTACGGACAGGTATAATACCCGTCGCCCCTCTCCTATTTCTCAATTAAGTGAAGGAAAACACGGCGTCCATTCTAATTTTTTTTATTTCTATAAAAAGTTCAATATTATTGGTATCAAATGAAAGATTATTCCATAAGCTTTCTATGAGTGCCTCGGAAATAAAAATGAATTAAATAGATGTATTGATTTTTTGTTGTTTTTTTTTTTTACTCTGAAAATAACACTCTCGAATTGGTAAGAAAAACACGGCGTTCCCTCCAAACTTTTTTTTTTTTATTTCATAATATATTTTGATAATTTCGGATTGAAATAAAAGTGTGTTTCATACGATTTATGATATATAATTATATAATGCCTAAAAATAAAAATGAGTTAAATCAAAATGAATTAACTTTTCGTTAAAAAATTTATCATGTTACTTTCTGTAAAATAGAGAAAATAAGAATCCCTAAAGAACGCTCAAAACGACAAAATTGAGAATGTTGCAGGCCCGGTTTGATTGAGCCTGCTCATGGACGGTAATGGAAAGAGCAAGTTATCGTCCACGCCCCCTAGCACCGGCTTAAGCAAAATTCAACATGATCGAACCGGTACAATTTTGAATTTTGAAACATCCGCAGATGTGTTAATATGGCGATTATCATGGAACCTTCAATGTGACACTTAAGTGCCATACCATGAAAAACGGCATACGATCCCCAAGTAAAAAAAACAACAAAACACACTCTGAAATTCAGTAAGAGAAACATGGCTCCCCCTACTTACTTTTTTTATTTCTTGGTCAATTTTGATAATTTTAGACTCAAGTAAAAGAATCCTTTATGAACTTTCTAGTGATGCCTTAAAAGTGAAAAGTAATTACGTAGAAGTATTCTAACTTATCGTTGTTTATTTTTTTTTTCTCTTAAATCCACACTCATATATTCGGAAAAAAATAACGTCGCTTCCTTTAGATACTTTATTCAAAAAGGATATTGAATATTGAATGAAATTTAAGACATTTGAGATATTTGAACAAGTATATTAAAAATCTGGAAACAAAGTGATCCCTCGGAAGCATTAATCACAACAAAATAACATAAGAATTGCAGATTCGGTTTGATTGAGTCTGCACATGAGGGATAATGAACAAGTGCAACATCCCTCACGCCCCCTAGCACCGGCTTGAACGGTACTCAATTCTCAACACTTACTAGCGCTGGCATCAATGATCCCGAAGGACCAGAAAAATATAACAACACTGAAGTGAAGTACGGGGCAACTTTTACAGCTGCCACACGGCACTTGACACCTGCTGTTGTGAAGTATAAAAATCTCGAAACAAAGTGATCCCTCGGAAGCATTAATCACTACAAAATTACATAAGAATTGCAGACTCGGTTTGATTGAGTCTGTACATGAGGCATAATGAACAAGTGCAAAAAGTTTTTAGTCAGACTGAAAATACCTTATCAAAGATTGTACATATGTGCTACGGATAAGTATTTTCTTGATTTCGGAAAGGAATCTCGGTGGCCGCTTTAAAATCCTATTTTTGCAAATACTTGCATAGTTTTTGTTGAAAATGAAATTTGTGCCAATACATTTTTCAGTGATACCAATGAGAATATTGGATGGTTTTTACATTATCAATAAAATTACTCCCTTGAAGTTGGTCATTGTTTCCCCTAAAAATTTCCAAATCGCCGATGTTTCTCAGGAATATATGATAAACAAGATCAACAAGGAAAGGCGGCGCTTAATGAACGCAACCCCACATGACCCAGCAACAAGAACAAGTGGCAAGAAGCCCAGGCGGACCCCAAACAAAACACAGGACAGGGCACTAGGCAGAGCACGGACAGGCTAATCACTAAAATGATAAATAATTTGTAACTGATAAGAACACGATGTTAAATAATAAGGTAATGCATAAGTTATCTTCATCATAAATGGTAAAATCAGCAATTTTCAAGTGATGTTGCTAGTGACAAAACTTTTGTAACAAATGTAACTTATATATGTTATGAAAAATGCCGTATGTTGCCCTTCAGTTTTATTTAAAAATATGGGAGAGGCGCCGTTTTATACCTGTCCGCAATAGAAGTTCGTAAATACTCCGAGAGGGGCGGGGCGTTATGCTTGACTTAAAATCGTTTAACTTTGTGAATCTACTTTTGTCATTTTAAACACGTTACTGTGTTAACGTACTCTTGTAGTTCTACAACTGGTAACACGTTTTCCTAAACTCTATTTTCCGTATTCGAGTTTTACATTTCATTTGTATATTTCAGATCTATAAGTGTGCAAACATGCATATGTATTGCATGCAATGGAAGATACGAACTTGTAAATTTGTTGTCGTTTTAGCTGTTAGGTCAGTTGTTACGATATATATGTAAACTTGTTATATAAAGGCGGTAACCTTCAATTAAAAGATTGAATTAAGAGGCATACAATAAAAATGGTAGGCATACAAGTTCGCATTTTCAAAAGTCATTTTAAAAAGGAACACATTACATGTCTGGAATTTTGGCAACGAACGCCCTCCATATTTGTGAACTTAAAAAATTTAACATTATCAAGGCTCTTTTACTATCAAGCACTTAGAATAGTCGAGCGTGCTGTCCTACAGACAGCTCTTGTTAACTTAAATATTCACCTTAAAATATGGCGGATAATTGGACTGACATTAAATCATGTGTCATGCGCGATAGCTCAGTTGGTTAGACCACTGACGGTCACTCCTGTGGTTCCGGGTTCTATCCTGTGTTACACCCTTGGGATTTTTCTGAAACACACCTACTTTTAAGAAGTATACTGGTAAGAAACCCAGGTAATCCTTGCATGTATCAGTGCTATACACTGGGCATGGAAAAAAACCTAAGTGTCTATTCAATAAGAGCTAGGGTCTGGTTCCCGGATTCCCAGATTCATAGCTGTCTCTGGAGTCTGCTGAGGTAAGAACCCTACTGGAAATATGTGCTTGCACTTTCATAGGTTATCTTGACTGTCTGGTCTTCCAGTCAAAGAAAATCAATCAATCAATCAATCATGCAGAGAGGTGGTGGAATTGAAACATCACTCATGTGACAACTCTTTGTTACATTTATAGTTTACTGTGAAAGTTTTATTGCTACCCTTCAGTATGGACATAGGCACCCTTCAATGCACAGGAAAATGAAAGTAAAACATAAAACTTGTTTGCTTAAATGTTTAATAAAATATTTCTATATACAACAAAAACATGAAGTCTTAAACTTACCATAGAAATAGTTCTATTTTTACCTTTATCTTGCTGAATATCTCAAACTTATTAACCCATTTGTCAGTCTGGACAAAACAAATCATCATTTTAGGGGAAATTTTAAAATAAAAACTGACTGAATAGCAAACAGTGCAGACCATGATCAGATTGTGCAGTTAGCTTAACTGACTAGCTGATGTTGGTCTGCACTGGTTGCATGGATATCATCAGTTGCCTCAAGCAGGCTATTATATAAGGTTTTAATCAAACTTACAGATTCATGCTATATACATGTATGTCATGATAAAATTTTAAATATGAAAATTGTTGTCTTATGAAGAGATAAAATTATTACATCTATCATAAGGTCATAAAATCCACACAGATGATTACCTGATATTATGAATCAAAATCTTGCCGGAACTCTATAAGTAATTGGATACGATTTGGTGATGAAAATTGTAAATTAGATCAAATTTTCCTTTGAAAATTGTACTGTTATACAGTTTGGGTTTTTATACAGATTCAAGTTATATACATGTACGAGGGTTGATCAATATATTCATGGACACTATTAATAACTTAATAATTAATCAAGATATTATAAAGATTTTTTGCTATTTAGGAGAAGAATTTAATACTATTCAAATATATTGTGATTTTTTTAAAAACAAATCTCATTTTGTTCATTATATGTATCGCCATAGCAACCCTATACCGTACGAACGCCGCAGCTCAAAAAAAGTTATATTTACCATTTTGAAATACTTAAAAATTGTCCTTATTTTGACGTGCTTCTTTAAAATATGAAAATGACGGCAACGTTCTTTCATATCGTTTATAGAACATTTAAAAAAGCAAGCGTCGCAACTATTTCTTTTGTTTGTTGGAGATGTTAATGGAGACAGGGGTGTGTCACCAGAGAGGAGCACGACGTTGTTGGAGCAGAGGGCAGTAATTAAGTTCTGTGTTAATCTTGGTATGACGCCAAAGCAAACTATAGAAAACATGGAAATTGTATCTGGAACAAAAAAGTGTCTTAATTGTTAGTTTATAAGTGACACATACACTTCTGTGAGGGTGGAGAAAAACTTCAGGATGATATGAGATGCGGCAGACCAATTAAACTTGTTGCGATGCGAACGTTATGCGAGTGAAATTGAAGGCAGAGTTAAAGGGACACAAGTTAACCGGGTTCCATGATTTGCACACCATGGCATTGTCTGTGTTGCGTTCATTTGATACTTCATTGTATAAGAACATTTTCATTCGGTGGGTACACAGGCATGAACGATGCGTAGAAGTTGGTGCTGCATTGTTTTTGAGAAGATGTAACGCCGACGTCACGACGTAACATAAGTTGCAAATGAGCTGCGGCGATCAGCTTTACATGTATTTCTGAAAACTGTCATTTCGGATAAAATATATGGATTATTTATTTGAAACTTACACATTAAATTGATAAATAATTGAATAAATGTCAAATATAATTATATTAACTTTCCCTCCCCCAAAAAACAATTTATGGAGTGTGTCCACGAATTTATTGATCAACCCTCGTATGTTATGAAACAAATAAAGAGATTGAAGTCACAATACTTAAATTTCATTTAGAAATATGCTTTAAAAATAGTTAAATTTAACATTATATGGCATAAAATGTACAAAGTGTCACATGTATTAGTATAATATATATAGATTATGAGATTTACAAGACAAAGAGAGGAAAAAAACAACATAGCTCTTATATCATACTGTCCCATTTTTTCTTATCACCAATTTTCTTCTATGTATCAAAACTATTCAAGGGATTGATTTTTATAATATGATACATGGTGATTGTTAAAAAATAGAACTCTTACTGCAATCCCATTTTGATTTTTTCTCTCTTTTTTTCTTTCCTTTTTTTCTTTTTTTTTTATTGCAAATCTGCTACATTTTTCTTTGTATACACATTTACAATATTAATATTACAGCAATCTTTATTTTACTACTGTGAATCAATATGCCAATAAAAAATAAAATTATCTTTTATATCACATAAAATTCTAAAAATTGATCAATGAAGCAATTATCTTCACCTTTACATTTTCTGTTAAATGATGTAAAATAAAAATTGTTTTGTCTGCAAAGTTGCAGAATTGATATATTATATCTACATTTTAAGTGTTATGTATTTTGAGCAATTTATTGTCAAGCATTATGTATTACGAATTATGCATTACTGTATTCTGCTTTTATTTTTCCACAATTTCACAACAGATATATCAATAAAACATCTTATTTATTTTGTAAAAAATAAAACATCTGTACATCCATAGAACTACAAAACTTAAGTTATATGTGATATCATAATGTTACAATAATTTCTTTAATAAGATGAATAAGTTGAATGAATGATGATGATCTGATGCACTTATACAATTTTTAGTGTCATGACATGTCATATCATATCTTTTACATCATTTTATACAATCTGATATATTTATCATCACTATCCTCCTTCAATCTACTAACACAAAGTGTACTAGTTTCAGCGCACCAACATGCAGCAAAAGGACTATCTACATCCTCCAGTATAGTTTTAGTGTCTTTCAAATCACCTCTTACTCTATATATACAATGACTTTTGTTACTATTCACTAAGAGTGACCCATCATCTAACAGGTTTATACCCATTAGTCCTTTAATTCCTACTAATCCTATCATCTCTCCTTGCCAGTTAAATCGTAGAACTGCAGGTTTGTAATAGTCAGATACATAGATTGAATGACTGTTTGTTGTAACATACCCAGGATGACTGAATATATTGCAACCATTGGAATCTTTATCAACAGTAATTTCAGTATTACCTTTCAAGTCCATGATTTGTAGTTTAATAGGTTTTAGAAATGTGACTGCAAGTTTTCCCTGATGATGACTGATACCATAACACTCTCCATCTACCTTCAGTTTGTTCTTCAGTGAGAGTGAGTATGGGGAGAATGAAATGAACTGTATTGTTTCACTGTATGGTAATGCAACAGCAAGTGATTCTGTGGTGACCATGGTGACATCAGAGGGTCCTGAGATAAGCTTAACTTGTTTGATTGTTCCACTATTGATGTCTATCATTTTAATAGATTGATTATTGAAATCCACTGCAAATATTTGATTTTGAGGAGAAACAGCTATACCAGAAATCTTACAATTACTTTTATCTGAGGATGATTTAGCATTGATTTTTATAGGAGTAGACAACTTCATTGCTTCTGCACATTGATTCTTTTGTTCAGCTGGCTGTTTCTTTTTCTTACTGCTCAATGTTCCTAATGATTTCTGATCTTGAAAGAATTTCTTGATAGCTTGATTTGGTTCAAAGATATAATCATCAATATCATTGATTGTTGGTAGTTGTGATACTAGATTGTTATCATCTTGAATCAGTTGCTGTGCCTTCTTAAGTTCAGTAAACAGTTGGTCAGTTTTCTTGTTTGAATTGAGATGTTTCAGAGTATCAGCTGATGCTTGAAGTGATTTGTTGATGTCATCACATGTTGTTTCTGTTGTTTTCAACTTTTTGTTGTTGTCATGTTGGATTGTTGTAGCAGTATCTTTAACCTCCTTTTCTAGTTCATCTAATCTCTTGTTTATCTCTTTTCTGAAATTGTCAATTTCTGCTATAGCATCTTTAAGAGAAGTTGTTGATTTAGCAACTCTTTGTTTCAGGTCACTTGTAATCTGGGAGCATTTGTTTGTCAATTTATCAATATCTTTCAGAGTTTCCTTGAACTCGGTGCTGTCTAAAATCTGTCCTGATATATCAGGTATGTAGTCCACATGGCAGGATGTTGGTGTGTGTTCAAGGGTCACACAAACACTACATATAAGAGCATTATGGTCATGACAGTAGAATTTAATCACTTCCTTGGTGTGTTTACTACAAGGCTTTGTAAAATCACCAATCTGTGGACTGGAAGTAGATTTTGATGATCCATGGAGTTTTTGTTGTTTTGGCATGTGATCTTTATCTAAAAGTTGGTGATGACGTAGTGGTTTTGGTCGTCTGTGAGTGTTGAAACAAGATGAACATAAGTGTTCCTCACAATCTACACAGTAACCAAAGGCAGGAAGCCTGATATCATCTCTATCACATATTTCACAATAAATGTCAAAATCTTCAGCACCACCTTGAAATAGTGTAGATGTGAATTTCTGAGATGTCTTTTTACCGGGGACAGCCATTATTAATCTGGAATAGACAAATAGCATAAATATACATTATATTTAACGGTGCAGCAGTAAATTAGTGTTAACTGTGCATGTTTATTAAATGTTAGCTGCAAGTTTTATTTATTCAGATTCTACAATTAAGTACAACCTTGAGTGCTTCATTTAATATGAGTAGCAATAAGTTGCAATATTTCAGTATTTTTAGCTCTTAGGGAGCTGCCATTTTGTTAATGACTGAAGTAGTTTTCATCTCCACCCTGACCTTACAAAAATTAAACATGAACCATTAAAAGTCGGGAGGAATTTGAGTGGGATATAGAAAAAATACATGTTATATTTTCAAGGTTATTACAGTACAACAAAATTTTAATGTTCATGAATATATATTTACATTGTAACTATATAGTTCTCTGTATGATGAATTTATTAAAATTGTTAATATTGATTACTTAACTTTTAAATAAATATCTTACCAGTGGTTATCATGCTTGTTAGAATATATATGTTTTAAGTACATAATTTTAGTTTCTCTGTCAAGTCAATTTTCTTCTATCCGCTAGTACATATTTCATAAGTGTATATACCATATAAATAGGTATTATAAGATAATCCAAAAACATTCCTAAGATGTATAGTGTTACATGAAATTATTGTGTACACAAAGATAGGGTTTTTAACTTCCTTTTTATGCCACCGCAGCATCTGCGATGCGGTGGCATATAGCGATTCACCTGTGTGTGTGTGTGTGTGTGTGTTTGTGTGTGTGTTTGTGTGTGTGTTATATAGACTATATAGTGAACTTAAAAAATCTTCTTGTGAAAAACCACTAGTCCAATTTCAACCAAACTTGGCAGGATTGCTCCTTGGGTGAAGGGCTTCCAAAGTTGTTCAAAGAATTTCATTCCATGCAGAAATCTGGTTGCCATGGCAACCAAAAGGAATTATAAGAATAAATTTAAAAAATCTTCTTGTAAAGACCCAAAAGGCCTAGAGCTTAGATATTATGCATAAGGCATCGTCTGGTAGACCTCTAACAAGATTGTTCAAATTATAGCCCTGGGGTCAAAATTGGCCCCGCCCCGGGGGTCATTGATTTTCACTATGTACATATAGTAAAAACTTAAAATACCTTCTTGTAAAAACACAAAAGGCCTAGAGCTTAGATATTTTGCATAAGGCATCGTCTGGTAGACCCTTACCAAGATTGTTCAAATTATAGCCCTTGGGTCAAAATCGGCCCCGCCCCGGGGTCATTGATTTTCACTATAATTATGTACATATAGTAAAAACTTAAAACACCTTCTTGTAAAGACCCAAAAGGCCTAGAGCTTAGATATTTTGCATAAGGCATTGTCTGGTAGACCTCTACCCAGATTGTTCAAATTATAGCCCTGGGGTCAAAATCGGGCCTGTCCCGGGGGTCATTCGTTTTCCTTATATGTATATAGTAAAAACTTATAGTAAAAACTTCAAAAAAAATTCTTCTAGCAATTGACAAATGCTAGAGATTAGATATTTTGCATGAAACATTGTGAAGTGAACTTCTAGCAAGATTGTTCAAATTATAGCCCTGGGGTCAAAATTGCCCCCGCCCTGGGGGTCATTGATTTCAATATATACACATAGTAAAAAATCAAAAAATATTATTGTCTGAAGGTACAAGGCTTAGAACTTTAATATTTGTTAAATAATATCATCTAAAGGTACTCTACAAAAGTGATTCAAATTTTGCCTCTTGTGTCAAAATTAGCCCCGCCCCCGGGGGCCAAAGGTTTTCCTTATATGTATATAGTAAAAACATAAAAAATCATCTTCTCTAAATTTACAAAGGCTAGAGTTAAGATATTTTGCATGAAACATTGTGTAGTGAACCTCTTGCAAGATTGTCCAAATTATAGCCCTGGGGTCAAAATTGGTTCCGCCCCGGGGGTCATTGATTTTCATTATGTACATATAGTGAAAAATATAAAATAAAAAAAAATTCTGAAGGTACAAGGCATAGAGCTTTGATGTTTGATATATAATATCATTTATAGGTCCTCTACTAAAGTCGTTCAAATTTTTACCCTGGTGTCAAAATTGGCCCTGCCCGGGGGCAGTGATTCTCATTATGTACACATAGTAAAAACAGAAAATAAAACAAATGTTTTCTGAATGGGAGAAAGCTATAGCTTAGATATTTGACTTGAAATGTTGTTTGGTGGACCTGTATCAAAATTGTTTTGAATTAAACCCTTGGGTCAAAATTATGCCTTGCCCAAGGGGACAGTGACCTACTTTCTTGTCCTTTGATGTACAGCAATGACATTTTGACCATGTGCACAGTTTGAGTTGTAAAATTGAACTTTGATATCAGGTGACCTAGATTTTGATGATGTGACCTACTTTCTTGTCCTTTAATGTACAGCTATGAAATTTGAACCATGCGGTGGCATAGCATTTTTCTCAAATGCAATCTTGTTGTATTTAAGTTTATATTGAATATTCATATGTAAACAAAGGAAAAGAAATAACTTGATGTTAAACTGAAACACTTCCGTACACAATAAATGTCCATAATTATACACAAACTCAAAGGGTAGCTTTTTAGAAATATTATGATCGTATAATATGTGACATGTTTTGTACAGCTCAAAATCGCTATTTCTTTCATTATCTGTTTACATCAGTATTTACAAATAGGGGTTTCGATAATTCTTATATAAAAACAAACTATTTATCGCCTAAATCTTTTACCACCTAATCAATCACACATTTTTATGCTCCCCGCAAAATTTCGGATATAGTCGCCGGGTTGTCCGTCCGTACGTCAGTCCCTCCTTCAGTCCATCTGTGTCAGTCTGAATTTCGTTTCCGGACTAGTTCTCTGCAACTACTGACTGGAATTCAACAAAACTTTATGGGAATCATAAATATTAAGAGGAGATGCGCATATTGTCAGCTTGTTCCAGTCAGACTCTTTATCTCAGAGTTATGGCCCTTGATTAGTTATGCAGTATGCATATAGAGTAAAAATTCGTTTCCGCCCTACTTCTCTGCTACTACTGGCTGGAATTCAACGAAACTTTATGGGAACCTTCAATACCAAGAAATGTGCATATCATCGGCTTGTTCCGGTCAGACACTATAACTCAGAGTAATATGGCCCTTGATTAGTTATGCAGTATGCGATTAGAGTAAAAATCGTTTCCACCCTACTTCTCTGCAACTGCTGGCTAGAATTCAACAAAACTTTATGGGAACCTTCAATACCAAGAGGAGATGTGCATATCGTCGCCTTGTTTTGGTCAGACACTTTAACTCAGAGTTATGGCCCTTGATTAGATATGCAGTATGCATATAGAGCAAAAATAGTTTCTGCGCTACTTCTCTGCAACTGCTGGCTGGAATTCAACAAAACTTTATGGCACCTTCAATATCAAGAGGAGATGCACATATCGTCGCCTTGCTCCGGTCAGACACCTTTGCTCAGAGTTATGGCCCTTGATTAGTTATGCAGTCTGCATATAGAACAATATACGTTTCCAAGCTACTTCTCTGCAACTACTGGCTGGAATTCATTGAAACTTTATGGGAACATTCAATACCAAGAGGAGATGTGCGAATCGTCGGCTTGTTCTGGTCTGACACTTAAACTTTGAGTTATGGCCCTTGATTAGATATGCAGTATGCAACCAGAGCAATAATCGTTTCCGTGCTACTTCTCTGTAACTACTGGCTGGAATTCTACGAAACTTTATGGGAACCTTCTATACCAAGAGATGTGCATATCGTCGCCTTAATCCTGTCAGACACTTTAACTCAGAGTTTTGGCCCTTGATTAGTTATGCAGTATGCATATAGAACAATATTCGTTTCCACGCTACTTCTCTGCAACTACTGGCTTGAATTCAATGAAACTTTATGGGAACATTCAATACCAAGAGGAGATGTGCATATCATAGCCTTGTTCAGGTCAGACACTTTAACTCAGAGTTATGGCCCTTGATTTGTTATGCAGTATGCATATAGAACAATATTCGTTTCTGTGCTACTTCTATGCAAATACTGGCTGGAATTCAATGAAACTTTATGGGAATCATCATTACCTATAGGAGATGCGCATATCGTTGGCTTGTTCTGGTCAGACACTTTAACTCAGAGTTATGGCCCTTGATTAGTAATGCAGTATGCATATAGAGTAAAAATCGTTTCCGCCCTACTTCTCTGCTACTACTGGCTGGAATTCACAAAACTTTATGGGAACCTTCAATACCAAGAAATGTGCATATTATCGGCTTGTTCCGGTCAGACACTTTAACTCATAGTAATGGCCCTTGATTAGTTATGCAGTATGCATATAGAGCAATAATTGTTTCTGCGCGACTTCTCTGCAACTGCTGGCTGGAATTCAATTAAACTTTATGGGAACCATTAATACCAAGAGGAGATGTGCATATTGTTTCCTTGTTGAAGTTATTCAGACCAGGCCCTTTATTACAGAGTTATGGCCATTAATTAGTTATGTAGTATGCATATAGAGCAATATAGCTATTTCTTTGCAACTGCTGTATTGATTTGATCAAAACTTTATGGTAACCATGGATACACAAAGGCAATTTACATCTCATTGGCATGTCCAGATATTACTATTCAACACAGAGTTATGGCTCTGTTATTGCCTTGAGTATTTATCAAGTACAAAGAATGTTACTGTTTATGCCATGATAAATATATAAATAAAGCCTAATGTCTTCAATGTTGTGTTAGTAATAACCAGTACTCGGTGGGGGATATAAATTCAACGAATTTGCTTGTTGTCCCCTGCCTTTTAGAAGAAAAAAGGGGGGATATAGAAATAGGCTCCGTCCGTCCGTCAGTCTGTCCGTCCGTCACACTTTCGTGTCCGGTCCATAACTTTGTCATTTATGAAAAGAATTTGAAATAACTTGGCACAAATGTTTATTATAATAAGACGATGTGTCATGCGCAACAACCAGACCCCTACCTCCAGGGTCAAGGTCGCACTTGCTCATTCAAGGTCAACATTGTCTATTTGAGGGTATATGTCATGTCCGGTCCATAACTTTCTTATCTATGAAGGGATATTGTAAATACTTGCCATAATTGTTCACAATAATCAGACGATGTGTCATGCGAAAAAAGCGGTCACCTACCTTCAAGGTCAAGGTCACACTTTGAGGTCAAATATTAACATAGTCTGTTACAGGGTGTATTTCGTGTCCGGTCCATAACTTTGTCATTTATTAAAGGAATTTGAAATAACTTGGCACAAATGTTTGTTATAATAAGACGATGTGTCATGCGCAACAACCAGACCCCTACCTCCAGGGTCAAGGTCGCACTTGCTCATTCAAGGTCAACATTGTCTATTTGAGGGTATATGTCGTGTCCAGTCCATGACTTTCTTATCTATGAAGGGATTTTGTAAATACTTGCCATAATTGTTCACAATAACCAGACAATGTGTCATGCGCAAAAACCGGTCACCTACCTCCAAGGTCAAGGTCACACTTGGAGGTCAAATACTTACATAGTCTGTTCCAGGGTATATTTTGTGTCCGGTCAATAACTTTTTCATAGATCAAAGGATTTTGAAAATACTTTGCACAAATAGTCACTATAATAAGAGGATGTGTCATGCGCAACACCTGTATCCCTACCTCCAAGGTCAAGGTCACACTTAGAGGTAAAAAATTAACATAGTCTGTATAGGGTATATTTTGTGTTGGATCTAGAACTTACTCATAGTTCAAGGGATTTTGAAATAACTTGGCACAAATAGTCTCAATAATAAGACGATATGTCAAGTATAACACCTGCACCCCTATCTCCAAGGTCAAGGTCACACTTAGAGGTCAAAGGTTAACAGAGTCTGTTATTTGGTATATTTTGTGTCCCGTCAATTACTTCTTCATAGATTAAGGGATTTTGAAAATACTTGGCACAAATAGTCACAATGATTAGATAATATGTAATGCGTAACATCTGTGTCCCTACCTCCAAGGTCAAGGTCACACTTAGAGGTCAAAGATTTACATAGTCAGTTACAGGGTATATTTTGTGTCCAATTTAAAACTTCTTCATAGTTCAAGGGATTTTGAAAATACTTGGCACAAATAGTCTCAATAATAAGACGTTATGTCATGCACAACACCTGCTCCCCTACCTCCAAGGTCAAGGTCACATTTAGAGGTCAAAGCTTAACATGATAGATTTTTAAATTCCCTGTTTCATTTTATTTTTTTAACAAATTTATTGTTGCATTTGCAGATCTAGCATTGATCATAATTTTGGACTGAATGTCCTGAGATCCATACCTCAATCTTTTGAAATAGCACAATTTTATGCTTCATATAAAACTTCCCGAGGCGGGGGACGTTGGTAACTCTGTTACAAATTCTTGTTTCATATTAGGAAATATTCCAAAAAGATTATGTAACATTGATGCTTCTGTTATGTTTAGTGTCATTAGAGCTTTATGCCAGAAATAATCCTTGCATGTACACTTTATTCTTTATATATTCTTTATATACTATAGACATTATGCCATATGCACAATGTAAACATAAATTAATCAATGCCTGAGTTAATATTTTGCATGTACACTTACTGCCTGATTTAATCTTTACATGTACCTTAATGTGTGAATTAATCTTTGCATGTACACTTCATGTGTGAATTAATCTTTGCATGTACACTTAATGTGTGAATTAATCTTTGCATGTACACTTAATGTGTGAATTAATCTTTGCATGTACACTTAATGTGTGAATTAATCTTTGCATGTACACTTCATGTGTGAATTAATCTTTGCATGTACACTTCATGTGTGAATTAATCTTTGCATGTACACTTCATGTGTGAATTGATCTTTGCATGTACACTTCATGTGTGAATTAATCTTTGCATGTACACTTCATGCCTGATTCAATCTTGGAATGAACACTTTATACCTGTTTAATTCTTTGCATGCACACTAAATGTTTTAACTAATCTTTGCCTGAGTTTATCTTTGCACACACAGCCGTAATTATTCTTTGCATGTATACCTGATGCCTTAAATAATCTTAACATACAACATAGCTTGGGATTAGTCATTCCTCACAATAGATTATATAAAAGGAAGGGGAAAATGATTTTATTTGGGGATGTGGTAATGTAACATTTTAAGAAGTAAATATTCTACAATATATTGATCATGGGTTGTTATATGTTACAGAGAAACCCAGGAGAGATTCTAGATGGTCATACCTTTGAGTTGTTGTTTATATACTTTGGTCTACAGATGTTTGAAGACCCTCAGAACTTACAGGAATCCCTACTGGTAAGGAAAGGCTTTCTTTTAGTTTCAGTTACCTGCATGTCGAAGGACCTTTCAGACAGTTTTTGTTTTAAAGAAAAGACCAACTTTACTTGACCTGTAATATGGAATGAAGCTTCCCATACATAACTTAATCAATCTTTTATTCAAATTAGACAAATTGGACAAATTCTGTAAGAATTTCATAGATTTCTTTTACTTAAATATTTTACGCAAGAATGAGCCTAGTATACCTTTAAGTTTATGAATCATTTGTGTAACATTGATTAAGACAGTAAGAGTAAAAGAATCATTTGTTAAACTTACTTGGTCTCTGAATTTTTTCCCATTTCATTACACTTATCACAGTACTTATCTCCTGAACTGTAAGTGCTACTGATAAAAAACAACAAAACAAGTATGTAGGCCAGGGAGAGGAAATTTATTATAACCATATATAATGAAAAAATGTAATCCATATACCTGCACTTGATTTATTTTTGCAATTAACTCCCTATACAGAAACAATTATTTACATTAGTTTTGCATATATATGTAAGTCCTTGCGAGGGGTTGATATTATTGGGACATATAAGAGATCTTAAATAAATAGATTGATTGACTTACAGCAGTGCTTTTTGTATTAAAAATATTGAAATATTCTTCATCATAGACGTAATGAATGTCTAGCACAACGTTTTATTTGCATGCACGCTATTGCCATTATTTAAGTAAATAGACAAGTAATCAATAAAAATATTTTCTTAACCTTTGTCATAGGCACATGGTAATGTAACAATTCACAATAATAACGATTCACCACATAACAATTCACCACAATAACGATTAACCACATAACAATTCACCACAATAACGATTAACCACATAACAATTCACCACAATAACGATTAACCACATAACAATTCACAATAATAACGATTAACCACATAACAATTCACCACAATAACGATTAACCACATAACAATTCACCACAATAACGATTAAACCACATAACAATTCACCACAATAACGATTAACCACATAACAATTCACCACAATAATGATTAACCACATAACAATTCACAATAATAACGATTCACCACATAAGAATTTGCCACAATAATGATTAACCACATAACAGTTTGCCACAGAGTAATAATGATGTTTTTATTTATATATTTTAGGATTTATATGTGTGTCATAAAAAGTCTACAAATAGAAGAAAGTCTCTTGCCAAAGATGGTAATGATTACATTTGTTTTTATTTCAATCATTTAACTTTTTCTACTGATTGCAATAATTTCATTCAATGTATGAACAACTGATTCAGGTGCATGATGATTACAGTACTCCATATGTGTATATTATTGACAATACTCCATATGTGTACAATGATTACAATACTCCATATGTATCTACTATACTATACTATTGTATACACTGTAATGTTTGTGTAATGTATGGTACGTTGTGGTACTTATTTCATAACATGGTCTTCCATGATTTATCACAAATATATATGATAATAATAATTGATCATTATTACAAGAAACTTTACATGTACTAACTAGCTACATGGCAAATAAAGCTAGGTTTTGAAAAGAAAAGATGTCATGGTTTTTTGTCTTGTGGGTCTGCTTGGTTTGTCTCTGCAAACTACAACATTGGCCATAATTGAGCTATAAGTCAGAGTAAAGTTGAAGCATGTCTTTCCTAATCTAGAGCAGTCTTTTAATATTAATATAAAACTTTATAAAAATATGCTAGCAAGTCAGACTGGGATTTGTTAATACCCCCCAGAGAAAAATCTACTAATTTGATTGCTATTTGGTAAGTGCTAATTTCCACCACTGTCTAAACAGTTGGATTGAATCCTATCAGATGTTGGATTCTCATTTGACTCTCTCAATCCACACTGGTGTGATTACTGATTCAGAAATTAAGAAGCAGTCATTTTAATACCACAAAAAAATTGATAAGTTTAGGTTTAAAATCAGTAGGGAGAGAAAAATCAAAGTACTAACGTCACATCAAAATATATGCATGGCTGCGCAATACCATTTTTACGGAGTCGAAAAATCGGAACATGTGTATGATAAACTGTGTGACATGTACCAAGTGTTTTTTGTTTCCAGATGGACCAGCATGGATAGATGTGATCACTGAGTTGTTACTTAGTATGATGTTTAAGGAGAACGCTTCATCAAGGTTTATTGCAAAGCAGGCGATGACCTTCCTGGCCGATCATGTGACCACGTCTACTGTACAGCTTATTGTTGATGTAAGTTGTTTCATCTTCACAATTCCGCTTCAATTTAACCTGTTATACTTCGCTGAAATATCTTAAATGGACTTGTCCATCTTTCAGTATGGATTAAACAATTAATCATTTATAGGGAAAATTTCAAAATATGCACTGACTGAGTATATAGATGGCACGACCATAACACTATACTTTGATCATGGTCTGCACTGGTGGCATTGGTAGAGTCAGTTACTGTAGACAAAGCCTTAATTAACAAACAGAAAAACTACATATGCAACAAACACTATTAATGTTTTGAAAGCTGCACATGGATCTGTCATCAATTTTTTCAAAGCCATTTTGAAGTAGCAAACTATGCAAAGTCTGTTTAAACTTCAGGTAAACAAGCTGACCAGATTATTTTAGTGGCATATAAAATCATTATAGCTGTTTACAGAATTATGAAAATGAAGATATGTAAATATTTACTTAATAAACTTAATTTGCTTATTTTAATTTACATGCATGTATAGAATTGTTATTGTACTATACAGTGAAGTATATATATATTTGATTGTGTCAGGCATTGGAACAGACTAGTTTAGACAGTGAAGAGGGCATGGTAGGTGTCGAAGATGATGGTGATGATGAGGATGATAATGATAAAACCCAGATAGATGATGATGATGTTGATGATGATGGTAGTTCAAGTGATGATGATGACAATGATGATGATGACGATGATGAAGATAGTGATGATTCTGGTATTGAGGAGGAGACAGATGTTATGGTATCGGATAAACTAAAGGAGAAATTGAAGGTTGCCCTTGGCGATGCAGCTGGTGATTCAGATGATGAGGTTAATATTATTAAAATAGATTATATTTAACATTAACTCAATAGTCCAGTGTAAATTTATGCTAGATAAATGAACCATTTACACATTTTAAGTTTTTTTTTTCAATTTCCTTTACTTGAGACTTAAATTACACATTTTTTTATCTAAATCGATTACATACATAGGGTGTCCGATCAGTATTGATTTATTGCATCTTGGCCACCTGTTTGCTTTCTTTGATTGCAGTTTTAGCATGTATCAATAAGACTGCCAACACTATTTATGTGAGTTAAAACATTAAAGGTACATGATGCCTCAGAAAGGAGTAAATTGAAACATTAAAGGCACTTTATGCCTCAGAAACGAAGAAATATTTCTTTCTTTAGGAAGATCAAACATGAGTTATATAATGTTGAAGTGACAGTTTTAGAGCATGCTAGATGCTTATCACCTAAAGAAAGAAGTGCTAAATGTGAAATTATTTGTCATTATAGTAGCTGATTATATAAGCAAAATGTAAACAAAGTAGTATTTTGACTTCCATACAAAATATTAAATAACTATAACAGTCTTATTACCAAAAGGCAACAGAAGCATAAGAAGGTTCATGATATTGAAAAACTAAAAGCACTACATAGAAAAGGAAAAAAAAACTTTTGAGAAATGAATACAAAAGCATTGCAAAGTAGATACAATAGCAAAAAAAATAATTTCTCTTTTCTAAGCATTGTTATTTGCTACATTCCACTTACATTTATCTTTTATTATCAAAGGATGATGATGATGAAGATGATGATGACAAAGATATTGAGTTTTCAGACAGTGAGATGTTCAAACTTGACAGTGTTTTAGCCTCAGCCTTCAGAAGTATGTCTAAGAGCAAGAAAATGGATAAACAGAAAACCAGACAATTGTTGGATTTCAAAATCAGGTATTTATTTTTTTGGCATAATATTTTTTTTTTTAAAAATGATTTCATTTATAATAATATTTCAGTTTCATGGCAAATAGATATGAAAGCATGGAACAGTTTGAAGTATGAGCTATCCTATTTAAATAAACATAAGCCATGATTTTTTTATGGATTTTTATAAACTATCACTTGGAATATTCATGGCTCAGTAAATGTTCTGCAAAAGAATGGATTTACATTTGTTTTTGTTGAATAAAGTATGGCACAGTCAATCTTGTCAAACAATCTACAAATGTTTCGTTTTATTGCTACAGGGACTGGTTATAGTTGAAAAACTAATCAACTAAATCTTTTTGATTTGATAAGTTTTGCCTTTTACAATGTAGCATATCTGTAGTAGAAATATATTCTGTTTTTCTTATGATTTCAGAGTTTTAGATCTTGTTGATGTTATCTTAAAGAATCAACTGTCGCCTGTGATTACAAAGGTAACAAATAAATTTTCTTAAACAAATAGATTTATATTTCAAAACTTAAGGAAAACATAGTTCAATACTCGTTTTATCAGTCAGTAAAGCTAAATACTTGACTTACAATACTGTAAATCAGAAATACTTTTGATGATTTAAACAAATGTTGTATAAATTTGATAGTTCGAGTTTTTGTGTATTTTTCTTTCAGCATAATTCATGGTGTCAAAATCTTGAAACAATATATATATTCTGATAAGAGGTGTTTTTAATGAGCACACAATTTTTCACCAAACTTGCAAATTTTTATTTGTACTTATTGTACCTTACACACATGGATGTTTTGGTTATAAAAAGTCTTATCAAGTTGCTTTTATCTAAGTATGACATATATATATAGTCAAAATATCTGATATTTTAGGGATTTATCCTGCCTCTTCTAAACCTGGTAGAGAGGGGATTAAGGAGAAATGATGAGGAAAATTTGGGTAACAGAGCACAAAACACACTACAGTTTCTTCTTAAACAGAAGAAGGTACAGTATACTTACAGTTTTGTGTATGTGTATTCAGTTCTTTGAGTGAAGAAATAAAAAAACTTTCGGGTTAAGTTTAAGCCTTAACACAAAGAATATGTACAGTGTACTTGTCCAGGGTTTTAACTTAAATTTGAATGTTTTGTTGGTAGTGAATAGGTTTATCAAAATTGAGAAATAAGCTATAAATAATGTAGTGGGACTGCAAGGATATGCAGACCTACTTTTCATTATAGTGTATTCATAGACAAGTCATTACCTGTGTCAGAATTACAGTTTTTACTCTCTCCATGTAAATTTATCTTGGACAATGAGTATATGTCATATGTCGCTGAACCACTGATTCAGGAATAAGATGTGATTAGAAGTCGGTCACTTGTGGAGATATTGTGTGGGTAGCTACTTGTTAATTATCCAGGAAAGCTGTTTAGGTGGATCAATAGCAAAGATATAGCCATTACTTTCAGTTAAAATTGAAATAAATAAAATAAAACTTTGTTACCATTAGAGGGACTCCACTGAAGTTTTTTGACATGACTGGATATGAAATAATTTTTTCCAACTGTATGTTTGATGTATTTAAGTTTTGACAAATAATTTATGAGCAAAAATTCAGACCAATGATTCGCTCACTCGGTTTTTCCAGAGTTATTATTCTCTTCATAAAAATGACCCAAAATTGAAAATGCTTTCACACAAATTTGAATACAAAAAGTACAAAAAACACAAATATCAATTTTTTTCTGAGTTAACTTCTTTATCAACTTTGTACATATCTTTCTGTTTTAAAGTGACCCACTTGATCTATGTAAAACTTCCAATGTTACATGTTGATGCTTTTGGACCTCAGTGCAGGCTCTTTAAAGCTTTTACTGAATGTTTAATAAGGAGAGTACATGTATAATAAATGTTTCAGCAGACCAAAGATCTAACCAAGATATAGTACACATACACCAAAAGAGATATAACTCCTACAAACCAATTTTATCCATATTGGCCATGAGTTATATATTACATATTGAGGCTCATTAATTTGTATTTTCATAAAATCTTAAAACAATGATTATTTATGTTACTATGTCTTTATTCCTCACCAAGCTTGGTATCTTAAATGGGACTTGTCGATCTTTTGATCTAGACTAATCCATTTATCATTTTTAGGTAAAAATTCAAAATATGTTTTGACTGAATAGCAAACAGTGTATATGGTGATCAGACTGGATGGTCTTCACAGGCCACATGTTTACATTCTGTTACTGCTACCAGGTCAAGTGTTAAAGGCACATTATGCCTCAGAAATCAATATTTATTACATTCTTTAGAAATATTAAACAGGTGTTTAGTAATGTTCTATTAATGGATTTAGATCATGTTACATGTGTAACAGCTGAGGAAAGTAGTCTAGAATGTCCAATAATGTGTCGTAATGGTCACAAAATGTAAACAAAGTAGTATTTAGTAGTTAAATATAATTATACCAATTGTGAACAAAGCAAAAGGAGCAAAGATAGTTCAACTATATGTTGAATGAGTGTTTAAGGAAACTGTAAAAAGATACTCGAAATACAAAAAATGAGGAATAAAAATAATAAAGCATTTCTGAGGCATAATGAGCCTTTAAACCTTAACATGTTGAAATCTTAACTAGATCACTGTCCTGTTGGGTGTTCTCCTGGGTTCCATGACAATGGTCCTGTGTTGTGGGTGATGCGTTCATTGAAGCCACCCTTCCTTGTTGATCTTTTTTTTCATATTCCATTTTTATACAGATCATAAATTTTGAGGATATCATTATAATGGTGATATTGAGATTTTTGTCAGCTGTTTGAGCATTGTAAGCTCTAATGTTGTAGCTTTATATTGTATTATGTTTTCATTCAGGTAAAACCAGAAGATGAAGTCGACAAAGATGAGCTGCTAGAAATGTTGGAATATTTGATGAAGTGCTCCAATAAAGGTACATTTGTGTTTCGTAACTTTCTGTAATCTTATGTTTCCTTTATAAAATCCTATATTTGTCTGTTGTTCATTTAGTAAAATATTCCCTGAAACAAAAAATAATTTTTTATTTAAAGCAGGACAACGATTATGCAGAATATATGTTTCATTGTAATTTTGAATAATTTAATCAGGAAAGAAAAGACTATTTTAAATGCATTCCTTCACAAAAGTCAATATTCAAAATTATGGTCCTGAAACAGAAAGTGTTATATGTCATAGTTTTTGAAATACAGCATTTTAAACTTGCATTTTAGCAAAATTTGCTTTTCCTTTTTAGTTCCAGTACCCAGCTTTATACAAACCACAGGAAATGTAAGTGTGTATGTGTTAAAATTGTTGCTCCAAGATTCTGGGCTATCACCTCTGAAAACACGGTCAAAAACTGGAAATAAGCAAAAGGTAAGAGTTGTAAACAGTAGATATTTTTAGCGGCATCAAACTCTCCATGTGTTGGTCTGATTGTTAATTAGTTCATCACCTACAGGTTTCTGATATTGGTGCCATGAAACATTTTTAATTAAATGAGGTCAAAATATGCAAAAATAAGCCCTAATGCATTCACACAGTAGAAATATGGTGAATAATACAGTCATTAATTGCACATAACATGTAAATTATTACTTCAGTCTTGAAAATTTCAACTTTTCTTAAAACTTACGGTAGTATATTTTTGTCAAGTTGGATTATATTGAAATATTTTTGCTCATCTGGAGGCTTGAGCTTTAACCTATTTTTAAAGACTTTTCACACTTGTCAGATTATTGGTTGTATACAAACTTATAGTCATGTGGCCACTTACTGGAGTGTGATTGAATCCTGCTTCTATATTCACATAGTTAACCTCACAGCTGTGGGTTTCAATTCTGTTAGGGAACATGTATTCCAGTGTAAGAAATTCGGGTTTGAAATCACTAGGCTGGTCAGACTACCAGATTGGAATATTCACTAGCCCAAAAGACATATCACTAGCACGATATATTTGTTCAAAACAGTTGTTTATATTTCCTCTGAAAATACTTTTCCTGAGTTTTATTATAAGTTGTCAGATTATTGATTGTATACTACCTGATAGTCATGTGGCCACTTACTGGAGTGTGATTGAATCCTGCTTCTATATTCACATAGTCACCTTCACAGCTGTGGGTTTCAATTCTGTAAGGGACCATGGATTGACCGATTCTTTCATGTGAGGAAGCTAGGAAAACTAAGAGTTATTGGTTCTACTCAGGTACCCATGAAGAAGCTGCATATATACAGCTGGTGTATAGAAGGTGAACAGTTCTATGTCAGGTACCTGCTTATGCTTCAAATGATTAAAAGAGAGTTGGTCATATTAGGTTGTCAATATAAAATGACACTGGAATGTTGATAAATTACCATTCATATTTCAGTAGGATTGAATGAAATCAAATAAAAACAGACTTATGATTGATCCATTTTTCATTCAGAAGCCAGCTTTCTACAAAGAGAAGGTTGAAGCCATGATGAGGTCAGCCATCTTGGATTTATTAGGTCATAAACCAGGACATTGCCAGCCAGCTTTCTTCCATATGTTGATTGTGAAATTTCCAGTAAGTTGCATTCATCATTTACATTAAAATGTCAGCATTTTACAAGCTCCTGTAACCAGAGCTTGTTAAGCTGAATCATATTTTTGAACTGAACAGTCAATGTTTATATACTGTAGAACAATCAATAAAACTCAAATGAGCCAACAATATGTTTAGCTGTGTATTAATATAATCAATTTTTAACAATTTATGTCCTATATTTCAGTTGATATTTTGGTCTTCATACAAAGACTTGACAAATGCAGTTCAGTCACAAGATGCCAAGGCTTTTGATAGGGTGAGTAACAAAATTTAAGTTTTTAATACTTTGTATAGTTTGGGCATTGTGTTTTGAGAACCCATTTCAATCTCTTTAGTCATTATATAAATGTTAAATATTATGATAATATTATACATTGTTGAGTACAATATTGAATTCTGTTGAACAAGTACACAGCTGTAAAACTACATTGAACGAGTCACCAGCCAAGTTTATATAGCTTGATATAGGTTTTGCAGCTGTGTATGACTCCAATAATATCAGTATTGTTCTCAAGTATGTTTAATGACCACTTTACTTCACACCAAAGTCTTTTGAAATTTTGACTTTATTACCTGAATTACAAGAAAGATATGATATGCATCATATGGGACTGTTCTTCTATGTATTGCATAAAAAAATTAGATATATATATCCATTTACATTTCAGACCCAGGCAGCTGCTTTCTTGGCCAATATGATCAGCAAGGAGATGGTATGAATTTTTTTTCTTTTTTAAAATGTCTTGTTTCGAAACATTTTTGTTGCAATGCAACATATATATGTATGTATATAATTTATAGCTTCTGTAGCTAAGAAAAATATGGGTTTCATTATTGTATTGTTTTTCTCTCATTAATTCTTACTAAATCAAAATGGACATTAATTTCTATATATTTCTATACTGAATTTCAAGTTACATATTTAATAACAAGTTGTGTAGTAACAAGTGTTTTTAAAGAGTTATGTTAGAATATTCCAATGGCTTTAACATTGAACCTGATCGCAACAGTTGAAACTACCCATAGTACCAGACCAAGTTCAGCAGGCACATATGTGTTGTTTGATCATGGTCTGCACTATAAGCTATTCAGTCACTTTGTACAATATTTTGAAAATTCTCCCAAAAAATGATGACTGTTTTTGTCCATATTGAAAGATAGACTCTGAGTGAAAGATGGACAAGTCCATTTAAGATAATTTCAAGCATAGTAGGGGTTTATAGTGAATATTTTAAGTATATAAAAAATGTTATGTAATGATTGGCTTTCAAAATTAATAATGTTTTTGTATTTGTTATATAGTTTGATGAAATTAAGCCAGAAGATTGGACACAATTTGTAAAGAGCTGGAAATCAGTGGCAACTGAGGTATGTTAGTTACACTGAACTGATTTAGAATTTGTAGGAAAATGTCTGGAAAAAAAATGTTTCACTTGATTAATCAGTACAAAAGTGATCAGTGATTGATTAATTATTCATGATAATGAAATACCAGAGATGCTGTTGAATCATGTCAAAGAATAGAATTTTATTAAGAAAAAAGAATTTCATACAAGAAAAAGAATTTCATTAAAAAATGTATTGAAATAGTATTATTTACATAGCACTTCTTACAGTAATGTCTTGTCATGATAAGACAAATTATTATAATTTTAGACTCTGTATTGTTACTGAGCTTCTTTGTGCTCTATTTGAAACATGTTTTATTAATAAAACAAGAAAAAGAACTTGTTAATCAGGCAGAAGTTTATGTTTTACTGACAAGAAAGGCAACTCTGTAAAGTGTAGAATAATTAAGATTTTTGTTGAGTTTTGTGATGGCAATATGTATATCTTCAGCAGGTCATCAGTTGTTACCCACCATTTCTTTTATTAACATCTCCTAAACCACTTGCTGCTTTTTGATCAAACTTCATATGAATGATTCTTAGGTGGTTCTCTACAAAAGTTATTTAATAGTTCTAGTCTGATATATAATTAAGTAAGTCACAAGAGCTAAAGAAATGAAATCTTTGCAAAAATATAATTATCTTCTCCCTGAAACTAAAGTCCAGAAGGAAGATATAAAAGATAACTCTTCTTTCCTGTTTATATTATGATGTTTTTTCATAGGGGAATCAGGCAGCATTCAACAAAGTTCGCAACAGTTTTGTGGATTTGGAATAATTTTTTGTTTGTTTATAATACACATTTAATGGACAAACAAGTTGCCTATTAGTCATTATAAACACAAGTTGACAAGTTGATTGTTTTTTTCATTTTGAATATTTGAATATATTTTGATAGGTTATCAAAGAGATGGCATGTGAGGGCAAATTTAAGAAGAATTTATTGGAGGAAGTGGTTGCAACTTGTAACCAGATAAATCTTGTGTCACCAGGACAGCTGGTGAGTCATTGTTCTATTTATAGACTATATTTCACATGAATAATTAATAAAATCTTAGTTATCTTAAAATTCTTAACCGCCTCCGTGATCGAGGGGTTAGAGTCGATGACTTCTAATCCAGTTACATTGTACCTCTGGCATGGGTTCGATCCCCGGGAGATGCTTTGGTAGTTTAGCATGGAGGAAGGTATTCTAGTACTGGTGTAACACTCCAGGACCGATGGTTAGGAAACTACCCGCCTGAATATGACTGAAAAACTGTTGGGAAAATGCGTAAAATGAAACAAACAAACAAACTTAAAATTCTTGAAAATCTTAAAATTCTTGAAAATCTTAAATTTGAAACAAAACTTATACTTATTTTAGACTATTTAACCAGCTAATTTTGATTAACACAATTTTCATCCCTGGAATTTGGAATCTGTGATGAATGATTAAAGAAAATTTATGATGAAAATTAATTATGTGTTATACATTAATAACATACTGATTCAATTGCATACATTGTTCCAGAGTTTAGATGAAGACGTTTTACAGAAATTGTTGGAGATGAAAAAAAAGTGTGATAAATCAATCAGAAAAACCATCAATAAGTTAACAACAGGAATTGAAAGGTGGGATATTGGTATTTAATGTTACATTCTCAATTATTCTTACTTTTTGTATTTCAAAAACAAATCAAAGTGCTGAAATGATGCTGTTTGATACCACAAACTGGTCCAATTTAAATACTACGAAAAGTGTACATATTTGATAAATAAATTTTACACTAAGTGTGAATTAATGCATCACTAACTATATTGAATATAAAAGTTGAAATTTTTTTTTATATGTCAGAGGCTAACAAATACAGTCAGCAGTTTTTCAGTTTGAACTAAAGTAGTTCTAAACCTATTATTCCAAACATGTCTCAGTTTTGTTCTAATAAACAACAAAACTTTACATTTCACTGTTATTTCGGGCAACCAAAGAGGGGCAACCACGGTTTCATATAATTTTTCTAAGTTACTAATTCTGTTTGGAAAATTTCTGCCTGGCCTGGCCTTTGCTGACTGTGAATCACTTGGAATATCTAAGCATGCTGACATATAAGTATGAACTGTTGTTTTACATATATATGATTTTTTTGTAGTTAATTTATGCTTTGTGCCTTTGTCTGTCAATAGCTTTATATACTGATTTGACATTTAAAACTTTTTATACACATGTGCATATTTATTAATTTTTCAGAACTGGTATTAAGAGGAGAAAGAAGAATGAGAAATTAGATGAAGTAGATGGTCCATCTGCTCCAAAGAAAATAAATATGCAAGACCAGTCTGTTTCCATAGATGATGAAATTCCTGATAACCAGTCAGCAAAGGAGGTGAAACACAAAAGAAAAGGCAAGAAGTCTAGAAAATCTGAGAACCTGTCAGATGAAAAGAATGCTGAAATGTTAAACCAGTCTGTAACCAATGGTGATGACATTAGCAAAGAGCCAATAAAATCCTTTGTTGAAGATCTTGAAAGAGATAGCACAAAACAGCAGGGACATGATGTCAACACACCAAAGTCTCAAAAGAAGAAAATGAAAAGAAAATCTAAAGGGTCTTGTACTAATGAGGCAATGGAGGATGAACATGTTGCGGACATGGAACCAGTCATAGTGAAATTGAATAAAGAAGAGAACCAGTCAACAACAAATGATTGTAGCGTTTTGGAAGAATCATTTGATGTATCAGCATCAGGAAAGAAAAAGAAAGTGAAAAAGTCAATGAATTCTACAGCAAGTGATAGCAATGTTTTGGAGGCACCACCAAATGTATCAGCATCGGGAAAGAAAAAGAGGAAGAAATCTATGAACTCAACATGATATGTTTAAATGTCAAAAAAGGTTTTATTGTAAAGTTAAGGATGATCATTTAGAAATGGGTAGGGGGATACTGATTTGAAAAAGATGTGTATTAACTAAAAAGATATAGATGAATTCTATAAAGTTTATGAATCATTGTAAAAAAACGATTCCACTATCTATGTATATAGTATTCAAATTGTTTAATTACAACTTGAATTTAAGTTTGCAGACAAAATAAGTGAAAGTTTGTTAAAAATGTATGTATGACATAATTATTTAAGACAGTTAGTTTAAGTCATCATTTTTATCAGGATATCAAGAATTGGAAAATGTTATTGATAAAATATGTAAATAGAAATTATTGTTTGAATCACTATATTCATTTGCAGGATCACCATCCATCAGGCCTGTTATTGTTATTTTTTTGGTACAGCACATTTGAAACATCATTTTTCATTAGATAGTCGTGATGTTGACATTAATCTAGACATGAGTTATTGTCCTTATATTTTTTTCAGTCTTAAAAAAACATCATGATTATATTCACAACAAAGAAATCAAATGAATGTCTTGAAACTAGGAATTGTTAAGTTTGAGCCCTGATAAGGTCACGGCCATATTTCATTGCAATGCAAAAGAACTTGATAGTGGATCAAAATTATTTACAAGCTTTCTTCACAAACTTGAAAAGTAGAAATATTTAACTTATAAAATTATGTACAAATTAAAGCATCTGAAAAATCAAGGAATTATTATAAAAAATCAAGAAATATTTTTGTCATATACATGTACTTGTTTGTATGTATATTTGATATTTAAATGGTATAGCTTACAGTGTGACCATACCATTTACTTCCATTTCATGCTTTGGTAACATGGCAAGCCGAAATATTAAATAAACTGCTCAATTCAAATGATAAAACTCATGTTTACATGTATTTCTTTATCAAATATGACCAAATAAAATGGAGGCTAAGGGAAAATTAGTACATCATAATTGTATGGTAATGATTATTTTGACACATGGACAGTTTGGGCCTAAAATGGGAAAATGGTATGGTCAGAAAAAACATGGGATATGATAGCTTTCCTGTTTCTGGGCCAAAACTGTCCATCTGTCAAAAATCATAACCAAGCACTTTTGAAATACAACGTTTTCTCTTAATCCGCTTTATTTGGTCATATTTGATAAAGAATTCGCATGTGTTCTAAGATTCGAAACTGGCAGTTTTATTTATGTTTGCTGTTTTACCGAAAAACAATGTCAAAATCACAGTGTATGGGCAACGTTTTAAGATTCTGTCAAGCTGCAGGCAATAAATTTTAAAGAATTATTATCTTGTTTGTTATTGTCTTTGTCCTTGGATCATTGTTTGTCTTTCGTTTGTCCCTATATTAGAGCAAACTCAGTAATCATAATGTATTGCAAAATTGGTTTAACTTGGGTACGTCTGTTCCTTCTATTTAGTGTTGCATTAATGCAGTGACATAGCATTTTTTCACTTGTTCTGAATAATATTTTTACTCATCTGGAGGTATGCTGCTTTAAAGTAATAAATAACTAGTATAAACAAATAATATATAACTTGTAAAGGGAACTGGCTTTATTTTTAACATAAATTTATAATACTGTGCGTTTGTGACGTTGCTTTCCATTGGACAATTGCGACTTTTACATGACAGGGATTTTACATTTTATTTTTGTTGTGGGAGAACCTTTTATTACTTGTATATTATTATATATAATGAAGCTCCTTTTGCTTCTGTTTCATTTTTCTTTAGGAATGTTTTTCAGTGTCGGTTCTTTTTTCTTCTTCAAATAATCATACTGTAACAAAAATTGGTTCAGTTGTTATTTATTTATCCAAGCAAATTATATAGTATGTATATCTCAATTTACAATGATCACAACAATACAAGAAAGATTTGATATTAAAGAATTAATTTTTACTCATTCATGTCGTACGAATTAGAGGACATAGGAACTGAATAGCTATATAAAATAACTAGCAAATTAAAATTATTCAAAGATTTTCTGTTTAATACATTAAGATGAGGAAATACTTTATTTAATTCCTATGTCTTACAAATGCTTCATCCTCTTACTAAAAACACTTTTGGGCATATAATGCTCTGCCTAACGGTGCTCTTGTTGTTCTTAAAACATTATAAGAAATATCGTTAGTTTGAAAATATTATACTTGTAAATAATCTGTTACAAAATGGTATATATAAATGATTAAAAGAAAGCATGTATATACTACAAACAACATGAAAAGAAAACGTGTATAAAATCGTTGTAACAGTTACAATAGGGAACGATCTGAGATAAGCATCGTATACGTCACTGATAAGAGACCTGTTCTAAAAATAGCCACATATCGATAAGTTTCGGACAAGGAAACTGGTTAACCTACATGTAGATTATACAACATAATGGTTACGAATACTTTTATTCACATTTCTCTCAATGGAAATGATATCCCTGAGGTTAAACTTGCGTAAAGCATGATTAAGATGGTTTAAAACCATCAGGAAAATAAAGATGATACGTGAAAAAGAAATAACTTTCGGCCCTGCATGTCAATTTGAGAAAAATGCCGGCGATTGGCAATATGTTTTCGTTTTACTGTTTATCAAAATTAGAAATGGTGATATGATATCGTATGATTTTATGAAATTGGGACTAAAAATGAAAGAGTATCTTCTGTCCCAGATATACCGTACAAAATTTTGTTTCTATGTAAAATACGTAGATTGGAGAAGTCATCAATCTACCCACCTAAGTGCTACGAGTATTAGATAATGATTAATATCTTAATTCTTTAACAATTTTAGAAATAAGCAAAACTGCATTTTCCTATTTTACCTAATAAAAATGCCGATTCTAGTAGTATTTATTTTATCAAAAATAATGTATACGTACATGCATGCTTGCATGTATATTTAAACTGAATTGACAATTGAGGTCCGTGATTTAACATACATTGTTTACGTAATAAGACAATAAAAATACTTTTTGTTTTTTATTTTATGTCTCACACAAAATATTTGTTGTTAAAAATCATCGGCAATTTAATACTGGTGCATTTTTTAAAACTTTTGTTTTATTAAGGTGTTAAGATGTATATAGAGACCAACCCAGACTGGACATTTTGTTTAAATTTTAAACTTTAAAAAAACTTTGTTTAGTTGCCCCTTTTTTTTTCAAACATTAAATTCCTTTTCCAGCTTGTTTTTTTCAAACAATTGTATAAAATTTCTTAAAAAAATTGCAAAAAAACAAAGAAAAATATAGCCTGATTAACATCATGTAAAATTTGTGAAACTCCAAATAACCCTTTGTCAAAATTTCAGTACGGGTGATGAAAGTGGTGATAAGGTAAAATCTTAATTTTTTAGAACAGGGGGTTTCCTTCAGATCGAAAAGGGTATTGCAAAAAAGGATAGGGAACAACCCTTATAGGGCAAACGCTTTAAAATTTGCTTTTCTCTTTCATATAAGGGAAATTTTGGATTTAGATTGAAATTTTAAATTTCCATACCATGTATTTAAGAATCATTCTTTTGATTAGGGAAAAATTTGGGCTATTTTAATTACTAGAAAATGAATGTTTGAAGCAATGAATGTTGGGCTGTCCTAACTGGCTTCCCTATAACACCACTATTTTCTTTTTTACTGTCTGTCATTTAACATTTCGTACCTTTTAATTGACCTTGAATTAATCAGCAACAGAAAAAGGAGTGTGGCAATAACGAATCTTCCGCAGCATTGTTTTGGCCTCTTACAATTTAAGCGACATCAATAAACGTAAACTTTTCCCAGCTCACCCTTCTTGTTCCACTGCACCTTCCAAAATGTTTTAAGCGTTTCCCCGAGTCCTAGGTGTGGGTTCTTCTTTATGGGTTCTGTTCAACAAGTTTGAAAAGAGAACTTGTTTTTTCTCATGCTCCCTAAGAAGCGTTAACTTTGTAAATTGTAAAAAGTAGAGGTAAGGGGGGGAGTCCACCACCGAAAAAATCCTCCCAAAATCTTTTCTTTTTTTAAAGACATATTTTATTTCCCCCTTTTGGGGACTAGCCTTTCATACTATTTTAGTTTGGGACACAGTAATTTTTAGGGAAAATTAAAACAAAACGTTGTAAAATGTAAAAAACCTTCATTTTGATTACAATAATTCACAGAAACCCTGTAAAAATGTTTTCCCTCTAAAATAACAACCAGACAGGTTTAAACCCTTTAAAAATCAATCTTTTTTTAAATCTCACTGAGTCTAACCCAGTTTTTTTATTTCTTGAGAAAACAGTATAAAGTTTAAAGTTATTTTCAGTTTCTTTGCAAATTGTTTTCAAACCAAGGATATGAATTGAGGCCTCTGCTGATGAAAGTTTGTACTGTTTTTTTGGAGGAGGCCAGTACAGACCCAGGGGGTAAAATACTTTTGTGTTTTTAAATTCGCAGTTTTAAAAATAAAAATTTTCAATTGAAAATTTAAAATGTTTTTGAAAGTTGTTTTTTTAATTTTTCTACACTTCATAAGGACTACTGGTTTTTAAGAAGTTTAATATATAATTTTATTTTCTAAAGATAATTTTAAAGCCAATTAAATAAAGAATTCCCCTAAATAATTAAAACTTACTTAGGGAAAATCGTTATAAACTTGAGTTTAACCTAGAAAAAAAATTAATCACTTTTAATTTCCCAAGTAGTCCCACCCTTAAACTGCTGTTTAAATTTTTTTGAGTTTTTCCCCAGAAATAGGGTTTGGTTTCAGATGAAAATCAAACCTCTTTTTAAATTTTTCCCAGGTAGAAAAAAATTGGAAAATTTTTCATGAATAAAATTTTTTTGTACGGGAAAAAAAAACAAGTAAGAAAAAAAGTAATTTATTTTTCCTCCAATTTAGCTTTTTGGGAAACCCAGGGGAAAGTACATTTTTTACACAAAAAAACAAAATAACATTTTTAAATTTAAGTAGATTGAAAATTTTTTATAAGCATTTTCTCAAGACAAAACAGGGGAATCTTTTTAATTTCAAGAAAACATTAACACCCCCTTCCCTGATAAAATTTTAAAATTTTCTCCATTCAATTTCCAAAATTTTCCCCGGCCCGGGGACACCAACACCAACAAAAAAGGGAAATCCATTTTTCGAAAAAGGTTTTTTTTTAAAATAGAGGGCCATTAAACCTTAAAATTTTTGACCAACCTTTTCTCCCTTTGTTTGGCCATTTTTTCCCAAGTAAGCAAACAAAAATAATTTTACAAAAAAACCCCGGGTGACCTTGTTGTACACCTCTCCCCAAATTTTTTTTCTATCCCAATATTTTGCATAAAGGGTACAAAAGGATTTTTAAAAAAATTTTAACCTTTCGGGTTTTTAAAGAATTTTTAAACTAACCACCGTAAAAAAGGAAGAGGAAAAACAAATCTCAGCGCCTAATAAACAATATCCTGGAAAAAATTTAAATTTTGAATCAAATAGTTTGGTGAAACCCAGGTACCCCCTGACTCAAGTCTTGTATAACAGTGAATTTTTTAAGGGGAAAAAAGGGGCCCAACTATGTCTGATAAATTCCTCTTTTTGGTCCCTTTCCCGATGACCCCAAAAAATGGAAAAATAAGCCCCAAAGGGTAATTTATAAATTTTGTTTCCCCAAAAAGCCAAAATTTTCCCTTCAGCAATCCTCCCCAAAAAACACCTATACACCAGAACCCGGGATAACTCATATACATTTCCTGGTGAAAATTTGGGACCTGAACATTCTGAAATAATAATTTTGAAAAATTTTAAAATATGAATAATCGACAAACAACTTAATTTTCAAAACTATACAGTTTTTAACTTTAGAGAACTTTTTTTTAATTTTTAGTCATTCATTTTTATCAAGCAAATTTTTGTTTTTTTGTAACAGTGACACAGTATGATTAAATATTTTTAGATGATTTTGTTTCAATGAAATCAGTTGATACTGCAATTTTTATAAAAACCTTGAAAAAAAAATTTAATCAGATACAATAACATAAAATAAATTTATCAACACTAGTATAGAATTTTAATCGATTAATTTAATTTTAATTTTTGTGTTACCTTGCAGCAGATTTAAGAATCATGAGGTCAACCTAATTTTTAAATATTTTAAAAAATTTTGAGAAATTTCCCCAACGCTAAACCCGGATTTGGTTTTTCTGAAAAATATTTACTTCCCCTTTTTCTTTTTTAATTAAGAAGATAACTCGTTTGCAATCACTTTATATCTCACA